TATGGGCATAGATTTTGGATAATTCCAGTCGAAGCTGTGGCTTGGGCTCCAAGGGAGCAAATCCTACACAGGTCCACAGTCATCCATCAGTCATCAAAGATGATAACTGCTCGACCTTTCAATTTTCCATCCCGAAGATCTTGATAAGCCTTGGGAACCTGGTCGAATGTGTATGGATCGACATCAATCCTCAATTGGCCGGTCGACGCCAGATAACAAACTTCTTCCAAATCACGACGCGTAGAACCCAGACTAATGGCAAACTCACAGCTCGTAGCAATCTTGTTCCACCCTACTGGGGCAGTGCCCATCTGCATGCCGACCAGAACCACTCTCCCTTGAGGTCGCGATATCTTCATGGCAAGATCCATGCTCTCATCGGACCCAACAAAATCGAGGATGGCATCGATTCCTTTACCATTAGTCTCGGACATGATGTCGTCCACAGCCTGAGGGCCAGCCTTGAACGTTTTTGCCCCCAGTTCTTTGGCGATCTGAAGTCTCGCATCGCTCACATCGCACCCGTAGACCCGGACTCCCATCAATAGCTTCAGAAACTGGAGCGCGTACGAGCCCAAGCCACCACAACCCAGAACAATGGCAGAGGATCCGGGTCGGAGTCGATCCTTGACCGTACCGACAGCGTGATAGGCAGTGACACCCGCGTCTGTCAGCGGCGCGTATTGAACGGGATCTTGGTTTCCGATGCTGACGAGTTGGTCACGGGGGCAGATCATGTACTCTGCCAGGCCGCCGTCCCATCCGGTACCCCTATTGATCTCGATGGCGCCACGCTTGTACGTCCCACAATGCTGCTCAACGCCTCGGATACAGTATTCACAGTGCGAGCAGTGTGGCATGTGGCGAACAGCGACGCCCTCACCAACCGCCAGACCCTCGACGCCCTCGCCGAGCACAGCGATGGTACCCGCATTCTCGTGGCCGAGTGTGTAAGGAGCATCGACCGCAGAAGCATATGGATCTGACCCAGGCTCCGAGTCTACCATGTCCAGATCTGATCGGCAAAGGCCGGCGGCCTTCATCTTGATGAGTACCTCGCCCTTTTGCGGCTTGGGAATGGGCACATCGCAATATTGTCCTGGTTTTCCGTATTCGACCAAGCGGAATGCTCGCATGGTTTTCGTTTTCTCTGCCATCTTGAACTGTGTTGAGAATTTGCTCCTGAGTTCCGGGGGCTCTGGACCAGGGTTGAGAGGAAACGGTCGCAATGAGAGTCTCAGTTTTAAAAAGGGCCAGGACATAGTTATTGTCTTAATCAGTGTCCACGGAAACGACCATACTCTCCATCCCATTCCAGGTTGGATGTGTCCTTATTGGGGCCGATAGTCCGAAAATGGACCGCAACCCCAGATGAGTCCAGACTGCCCCAACTCACAGAGAACCAAATTTGTGGAGAAGGACGAGGACTTCTGATGCATTTCACAGACTTTGACTGAATGAGTTTCTAGGCTAGTTAAGTGATCCTCAACTCGCGGATTGATGTTAGTCCTCTAGAATCATCCATCCTCCAGCAGAAGTAGTTTCTGAATTCCATACCCATCAAATCCTAAGCCACCAGAGCCATGGCTGTCGACTTTGAAAACGTAGGCACCAAGGTACTACGACCGGCATACCTGGCCCACGTGGTCCTGAGAACATGTGACGCTACCAGTTTCAAGGCCATGTGCGAATTTTACGTGACTTTTCTCGGGGCCGAGATCACATATCAAAACAAGGTGCTCTGTTTTCTAACCTACGACGACGAACACCACCGAATCGCCATTGGCGTCTTTCCAGAAACGATAAAACGAGTCGGCAAGCCTGCAGGACTGGCTCATATCGCCTTCACCTACAACTCTCTCCAGGATCTGGCGGTTTCGTATCGCCAACGTAAAGCGAATGGCATCGTCCCATTCTGGTGCGTGAATCATGGGCCGACCACCAGTATCTATTTCCACGATCCAGACGGGAACGAGCTGGAGACTCAGGTGGACAATTTTGACACGGCTGAGGAAGCGACCGAATTCTTTGCCTCGCAGGAGTTCAACGACAATCCGATCGGGGTGGATTTTGATCCAGAAGACTTGGTGAAGCGGCTAGAAGCGGAAGAGAGCGAGACCTCGATTAAGAAGAGGCCCAATATTGGCATCAGACAGGGTATTCCTGGGTGGTGAAACACTTGGCGAGGGGTTTGAACTTCAGCGAAGTTCCAACGCAAGTTAGTCCGTAAGGTCCAATTAGCAGACTAGACTAGCAACGAACATGATTTGGACCTGATCTGTGTCTAACACACTAACACATATGAATTGTTCTGTCATTGTCATTGTACCGATCCTCCATTTCACCGCCCTTACCTGGTGACTTCACTATGCCTCCAAGTATTCGCTGCAACTTCAACCACGTCGGTTTGTCAGTGGAGAATCTTGAGGTCGCGGTGGAATGGTACAAGACCGCTTTTGGCTTCGACCGCATTATTCCGGACGTTGTGATGCGTCAACAAGACGATCCAAATGGGATCATATTTCGAAGTATGTAATCACTGTAGAGCCCTCAACTGCCCAGGCCTTAAGAATTGTCTCTACAAGAGAGAAGGGTTGAACTGTGCCCCATATTACGTCTACGTCCCCATCCTGCTTGCAAACTGACACGATCTGCTACGACATCAGTCTATGGAAACCAACTACGCGAAGTCAAAGTCGCATATATGGCGACTGGAAACCAGATTGGATTCGAGCTCTTCCAGTTCATCGATCCAGAGTATAGAGGCGGTACAAAAGCCTCTCCAACATCCTTTGATGAAGAAGCCTGGATTCGTGGTGGGTTCTTCCACATTGCATTGACGGCCAACGATCCTTCAGCTGTCGCGGCAATTGTTGAGAGAACAGGAGGGAAGAGAATTCGGAGTGCTGTCGATCTACCTAATGGTGAGCAGGCATTATATGTGCAAGATCCATGGGGGAATGTGATAGAACTCATGACGACTGATTTTGAAAGGATGATCAAGGGAGTTGATTGGTAGAAGTACGAGTTCAATTTGAGAGACAGGAATCAACTCGGTCTTAGTACGTTAGACCTGCGTAGTGCAGGAATGCCAGATGCTATCTATCACTTCCTCCAGCGTTGAAAGTTGTGAACTCGAACTACAAACACTCTCGACAAGGTGTTTCAACTCAGATATAGTTGGACATGTGATAGTTGCCCATTTTCGTGATGTGAACTCTCCTTCTCCATCGCATGTATGAATCTTGATCTTGTTTGTGGTTCCATCACTTGAGGGCCCTGCAAGCTTCAGTCCAAGGGCCAAGACTGGCATCGAGAGGTGAAGTGCCTCGAAACCAGTTAAGAGATCTTTTGATGTGGCATTATCCCCCTCCTTTCCGTGTCTTGTATAAATGTCATCGAGACGAACAGGAAGGCTAATGCGTAGAATTCTACACTTTCCTCGCAAAGCACGTAGCAACACAGAGCTTAACTCATCCCACAAACCCCATGATAGGGGCATTGACGTGTACAGAACCACAGTTGGGCCATGATTGTCTGGTCCACCTTCCAGTCTATACGGTACGATCATGTCATCTCCCGTAGTGTAATAATTTTCAATATACGGCTGGGAGCCTGAGCTCGAGCCGGTGTGAGTCAACCCGTCTGGACTGGTGAACGACTTGACACCCTGTCGTCGTAGAGCATCGAGATCGCGGGCAGCTTTTCCTTGTAAATGATGAAGTTTGAACATGTGTCTCCATTTGCTGGCGACCACGCTGGTTTTGACTTCTGTCTGCATGGCCAATTGGTGCTCTCGCCCACCAATCGCAGCGTCCTTTCCAAACTCATTGAGAGTCAGGAACTCTGCCGGGTATCTCGGGGCTGTGGAATCTTCTTCAATGACGGATCGTCGATACCTTTTTGTTCTTCGCCACCCCGGGATTTGGCGTACAGCAGGCATATGGTCCTCGTCGTACCATCGATTCCATTCACTCTCGGCGTCAGCACTGCCGTCGACGAGTTGGACACCAACGACGATGGTTGTGCTACCATAGAGCTCCTCCACGTTGTCTTTGCGGCAATAAGTCTGGTCAGAGATGTATTCCGGGGATTTGTAGGTCGCTACTAGGTCGTAATAGAACCGAACCGCCCTAACCTTCTGGAGAACCTCGGATTCTCGACCTGACTGAGCCGGTGCCTCCAAAAGTCTTTCATATTGTCGGTCCAAGAGTCGGTGCATGTCACTGATGTCGTATAGAGCAAGCCATTCTTCCAGCCCACTAGCTGTTTTCATCTCTTCGTTGTCCTCGATAGAGCGATAACGGCCGCCAGTCTGAAAGTAGGGTAGTTTCATACGCATCGGCACGTGTTCATTGTTGTACCAGTCATCGCATTCTTGAACGGAAAGTCCTGGTTTGATGGCCATGGGTACCATGACCAAGCCTGGAATCGTCCGATATGCCATGATTGGATTGTGTTGTTGATGATGAGGATATCGATTTTTCTACGAGATGTTGTGCCTCAACATTCCACTGAGTCGAGAGGACGTGTGATCAACAGGTCTGCTATTGGGATAGATAGATTCTGGATAATCCAATGACAAGCAGCCTACCTGTGAGCGATCTGAGCAAATAACCGGAGGCTCTGTGGTGTGTCATCCTAATATGGACCATCTTCGGATGATCTTCACTTCCCGTTAGGGTCATGATCACAATCCCGGGCTACCATCAAGGCTACAAGTCCTGAATTTTGGACGAAGCACATGAGCACTTATGCTTGATCACAACAAAGACCCGAGTTCAGCCTTCAGACTTCACCTTGAACAACGTCAACCTCATTATTCATAGCACTACATGCTAGTCTCTGCTATGCCATATAACTACCCGAAAAGATCCCTCCTAAATACTGAGATAGGGAGGTGTTGCTTTCCATCACGGCTTGTGACAATATGTCCGCCGCATTATCACCATGTGGATCAGGGTCCAAAAACAATGGCATCATGGCCGAATCTTCGTCACTTAAACCGCAGCCACTGGACGCTCCTTGACCCAAGACGGACATTGACACAGATGGTCCCAACATATCGAGTTGATTGCCGTTTGAGCGGGACAGATGCGGAGAAAGCCTGTGAGAGGCGTGGCCGACTCCGGTAGCTGTATTGGCCGTGAGAAGAGCTGAGTCTGTCTGATGAAAGGAAGATTGATGATCGTTAGTAACCTGCTGGCCTGTGAGCCAAGTTGGTCTGGTGTTTGGCGGCGGGATCGACTGAGTCGACATGAACGGACCCGTACAGGTGACCGTGGAGTCATCTACAAGGTCCTCATGTCAGTTAAACTCGACTATCTCGTGTTATTTTGGTTGCTTACCGGCCGGGTGCAACCCCACATCGCCGTGACCATCGCCCGCACCGTCGGCCTCGATTCTTGCGTTTGTGTCTGTCTGGGGCGGAAGACGGATTTGGTCTTGTCCTTGTTCTTGTGCTTTGGGCCCACCGCATCTGAGATTGTGGATCTCGGTCTCAACGACCTCGAGATTCTTCTGCATCGTCGAGGACATTGACCAAAAACTCACAAAGTGATTATATGTCATACGAAGCAACTCAAGCTTGGAGTTTGTCACCGCCTTTTCGGACGGATTCAGGGGCGCCAACTCGCGGTACAGCAATTGGACGGCGCCTCCGAGCCAGATTGTGCTGGCAGTAAAGGGGTTGACGAAGCGAAAGTGTTCTTCGTAACTCTGGCCGACAAGGGACACAATCTCATCCGCGGACTCCGAATACTGTTCTAGAGCCTGGTTGCGAGCTAAGTGATGGTGGCAATCTTTCTTCAGCAGCTGATCCCCACTTTGATTGAACAGGTGGTACTTGTAGATCATCAACTTCGTCAGCTGCACCATGGTGTGGATGCTGTAAATCGCGCTATGCTGGAGTCGCCGCGTGATGACCGACTGCCTGTCAATCTCCCGCATCCCGAAACTGAGATACTGGTACCGATATTTGACTTGGGGAGGGAGCGCCATCACTGTACATTGCAGTGCGTTGCGAATAATCCGAAGTTGATTGAGCGACTCCCTCGCTCGGGATGGCGTGCGGTGGCCGTAGCTGTGTCCGTGGCGGTCTTGTGGCTTGGCTGTATCAGAAGCAGTGGCAGTGGCGGTAGCAGAAACATGTAGATCGGGGACAAATGAAGTATCGAGCCCCATTGGACTGGTGATTTTCTGGGCCTCCTTCATTAACGAGTTGATGATCAGGAACCATGCCTTGGGAGATTGGTTGCCACATGCCTCCAGAGCCTTGTACCTGCCCACGGGATCCAGGCTCAGTTTGCAGCTTTGTTGAGGCTCGCCGCGGGTCCAGTTGTCGTCGTCGGCGGGCAGAAAAGTTTCGTTTTGGGTCCAATCTATGCCGGTTGGGCACCGCCTAATGACGCTAGAGAAGACGTCCATTTCCCAGATTGCCCACCAAGCTCGACGCCGCTCTTCATCCTCACTCCACAGTTGAGGGTCGATGTCATTGGTCCAGTTTCGGTCGGCATCGATCAGATGCATGTTCAGCTCATACGCCGAGCCGACGGCACATCGCAGGTATCGCCATGCTCGACCCCGTACGCCTTGCGTCAGCAGATAGTGTGAGATCAGAATGATGGTTTGCAACAGAGGGAGCGACATGGGCAAGTCAGCCCGCTCGTAAATGGCAATGTCGACGTACTTGAGTGCCTGAGAGACGAATTTGGCGCTTGCTCGACCCTGTGATATTCCCGGTACCGGATAGTCCTCATCGGTGCCCTCGTCGCTCTTCGTGGCGAAGAGCAGCAACGTGGCGATCAGGGCCCGGCATTGGTAGTGGGTTTCAACCTGGTGGAGCAGGTTGCGAAAGTCGGATTCGCGGAACAGTCGGAACGAGGTAAAATTCTCAAAGAACTTGTCAATGCTAGATGTACAAGATCAGCAAGGGCGGCAAGAGTGTGCAAAGACGGCACTAACTAGTGATCCAGTAGTCCAGGATTAAACCCCAGAGCAAAACAGCTCGAGGCCACATGGCTTTCGGGGGATCTCTGCTTGTTGCTCCCCGGGCTTCCGTCCTTGCGCTGGTCGGAACACGAGTCATGAGATGGATGGATGATGAAACTGAGACTTTGAATGTCAGGCCTAGGACTGGGTGAGTCTGGCTCTGGTAGATCGACGTGGCCACGAGGACTAGGTGCCAGATCTCGCGATGGAGACGGCGAGTCCTGCGGCGCTAGTGTTGGTGGCAGCGGTGAATCAATACGTTGCCTCGGGGCACTCGCATTGACCTGCACTGTCTCCCCTAGAATGGAACCACACTCAGCAAACCCGAACACCCATAACTTGTTTCATTTTCGGACCATCTTACCTTGTCTTTTGCGCTTCCGCGGGGTTTGGGTGGACCCAATCTTAGGTCCCGGCCGCAACAGCTTCTCGGGATATTCGCATGTTTGTAGTGTCTGCGCACACAAGGTGCATTGAGGATACTCTTTGGAGCATTTGACCTTGCGTTTGCGACATACATAGCATGCAACCACGGAGCGAGGCTGGTTTTGATCTGCCTCGGACAGATTGTGTTCGGACATGATTGATGGTATGGTGGAGCTTCGGTGCTGTGTCTATCAATTCTGTATAGTCCGCCCGCACCACGCGTGGAGGTGAACAGACAACGAGAACAAAAGATTCACCAGCGAGGGTGGGAAAAAGGTTGGGCGATGGACAATTTTAGGCCAAGTCTCTGTCTTTGTCAGTCTCTAATGCGGTTCCCCATCTTGATAAGATCTGGACTCCGGGGTCACCTGGGGCCCCCAGAAAGAGTGTGTTCAAAGGCAGGGGGATTACTCCGAAGCAAGCTTCTAGGTTTCTTGACGTTCAGACAGAAAGGCACTACCGAGACGCAGGGCCAACAATTCGAGGGATTCTGCATGGTGGTGGGTATTTTGGTAGCTGGCAATTCGGCTGTGCAAGCAAGTGGATCCCGCTAACCTCGGTTCGTGCAACCAACCAGGCGGAGATGGCTGCAATTCCTCCGATGTCCTCCCGTAACGAGGTTGTCGAATCTCGAGTCCTCTGTCAGTTGGGTTTTGACTACCAACGGTGTAGACTACAGGTGAAGTTTGGGGGGAATTCCGGGCCGAGAGCTCTTCCCCGCCTAAGGTTGGACTTTTGCAAAGGGTTTGTACATGTTGTCAGAAGGCCATGACAAGCACACCGATTTGGTAGATCCACGGTATAGTCGTGGTCGACTCGACCACAGTTGATTAGGGTTCACAACCACCATCACCACCCTTATCATCCACCATGCCCTGTCAGTGATGACAAGTTGAGTTACCCTTGTCCTCATCAGTGTTCTTCATCCGGCAGAATAAAATCCGCAAGCAGAATAGCCCCCATCTACTGTCCATCGTGCTAGAGACTGTGTGAGTTTGATGTCTCCATGTCCTCGTAAGTGCACACTTACCTCCGGTGACATACGACGCCTCATCACTGAGCAAAAACACAACCACTTTGGCCACTTCTTCTGCTTGACCCATCCGGCCCATTAGGGTTCCCGCACTTACGATGTCGGCGTTGAAGAGCCCCTTAGCCTCACCGTCCCGAAATATCTTTGTGTCGATAGGTCCGCTATCAAAAGCCGAGTTAGAGGATCCACGACGTCTCTTCACAAAGACCAAGAACAAAGGAAGCCTACGGTAAGACGGCATTGACCCGGATGCCTTTCTTTCCATATTCTCCCGCCGTTGATTCAGTCAGCCCAATCACCCCAAATTTGCTCGAGGCATAGGCCGCATTTCTTGGGAGTCCGCGAAGTCCAGACGTGCTAGAGATGTTGACAATCGATCCTCGACCTTGTCTCATATGTTGAATTTCGGCTCTCATACATAGCATGAGGCCTGTCAAGTTGACTGAAAGCATACGATCCCATGCCGTTTGATCCTAACATGTTGTTAGCGGAAATATCCATCTAACGCCATTTCTGGACGTAACAAATTCCGTCGACGCTCACAATGTTTTCGGTGAGTTCGGCAGCACCTCCAGCAATGCCGGCAATATTCGCAGCTGCGTCGATCTGACCAAATTTTGCTGACGTCGCTCGCATCCAGGCATCGACCTGCTCGGCATCGCTCACATCTACCTTTGTTGTAGTCACCGTAGTGCCGTACTCGCGACCTGCATCCCAGTAAGATATACATCCATTATCTTTTGCCACTGCTTGCCGCACATAGATTTTTCGTCTCTTCAAGACCCTTTTCATCAACATCGCACAGCGCTATCGCCGCGGCCTCTTGTCGTGCGAGAACAACCGCTGCTGCCTGTCCAATCCCACTGCCTGCTCCTGTCACCACGCAAATCTTGCCCTTCATCGCCATCTTGACCTCGAAAGCGGAAAGCCGACAAGAAAAGCTTTATGTTCGTCTCTTAAAAATGTTGTCCCTTCAGGAGACTAAGAGATCAGTCCTGGATATATTTTAAGCCCCATGGCCCCAATGTCCAAGGATGGCTCTAAATCACATCAGTAAAACGATAGACACTAAGCACGTGGATGCGCGATCAATGCTCAAGATTTTACCGAAGTCTTTGCGGGACACCCTCCCCGATAGATTGTGACAGAGTTGTAGTTGAAGTGGAAACTGGTTTTCGGAATCACTTCGGGGGGGGGGGGTCCCGCCGGCTAAGGAATGCCGCCCCTGTCCCTCTGCCTGGTCCACACTTAGAACAAACAAATGATCGAGACATGGCCGATCGAATATTGAATCGACTCGATGAACAAAAGGCAGAGAAGTTTGGACTCGAGTTCTTACTGAAAGTCCATCGCCATGAAGATCTCTGTCAGAGACAGAGTAGCTCTCATTACCGGAGCTGGGGGTGGGTTAGGTCGACTCTATGCATTAGAGTTGAGCAAGAGAGGGGCCAAGGTGGTGGTCAACGACTACGGCGGCGACATCGAGGGCAAGGCAGGCACAATCACGCGTGCACAGTCTGTAGTGGACGAGATCATCTCCGCGGGTGGCACGGCGGTAGCAGACCACGGCGACGTGGCCAAGGACGCCGCTAAAATTGTCGCCAAAGCAGTAACAGAATTCGGCAGACTCGACATCGTGATCAACAATGCAGGCATCATTGGCAAACAGACCTCCCACGACAACGTCGACGCCGCTGCATTCATGCGTGTGCTTGAAATCTCGGTCTTGGGCACCACTATGATCACCTCGGCCGCGTACGGCATCATGCGCGAACAGGGATTCGGGCGTGTGGTCAACGTGTCGAGTAATGCAATCTATGGGTTTGGTGCCGGTGGCGACTGTGCCTATGGAGCCTCAAAGGGCGCCACGTATGTTTTGACCAGGGATTTGGGCCGCTTTTCGCATCGTGACGGGATTAAGATCAATTGTGTCATGCCCTCGGCCGCCTCGAGAATGACTGAGATCACCGAAGGGACCAAGAAATTGACAAACACGTACTTTCCACCAGATGTAAGAAAGAAACTCAAGCTTTTGACTAAATGTCAACAATGTACATTTCTGTACGCATGCATGGCTGGCTGGCTAACCATCCAAATTCATTGTAGGGAGTGGTCCCCTTCGTGATGCTATTGTGCGCCGAAGAATGTCCTGTGTCTGGAGAGGTCTTCTCGGCCAGCGCCTTTCATGCTTCGCGTGAAGTGTTGGCCGTGTACCCGGGTCTCAACGCAAAAACGCCGGAAGAGTTTCTTGATGGCTGGGATCAGGTCATGGGACAGGACAATGACAGCACGCAGCCATACATCGCTACCAGCACTTTGGACCAGGTCAAGTACTTGATCAGACAGGTTTATAATGAGGAGATGGAGGATATTGCCGAGTTCGGTCTGAATCAGTGAGATGTGAAAATTCAGGGTTCTTGGATGTTATCGGGGTTGGGGAGCCGGAACCTCCAAAGCCCAAAAGAGAGAGAGAGAGGGAGAGAACGGCTCTCTTGTACTCTGAGTAAATGCAACATAAATCTTCCTCCTGTCTTGAACACATTATGACCTCGATGAGACGAAAGGCCAAGTCGAATATGAGGGTTGGCTCAACGTTGCAGAAGATTTGTATCATGTCGACCAGCCGGGACAATGAAGAGCAACCAAGTATATCTGCCAAAGATCTGGCATCTAGATAAAGTAAAGGCTATCTCTATTCGAGCTTCGAGAAATATGCTCCCACTCATCATTATCATCCTCCTCTTCTTCTATCCCCCTCCTAGGCTGAGGTTTCGGCTCCGGGTATTTGCGCAGATGCTCAATAGCCCATCTCGTCTCATCGTTCAACACCGGCGGACATCTTCCCCGACCTTCCAACTCGGGCAGTCCAGCCAGTTCAAACAACCACCGTAGCCACTGCATGGTCTCTCCATTGTCCCACATAATGTCATGAAACCTTCTCCTCTCTCGACTGACTAGATCCCATCTGTCGTCATCCCACTGTTTTTGCTCCTTGCTCGACGGAAGACCCCATGCCCCTCGACCAGAATACACCCGCGCCAGCGCGATTGCCTGGTATTCAAATGACCGAAACGTCAATACCCGAGGCACCCCAATGATGCCCAACGTTGGAAACTCGCGGAAGAACGTGTGCTGGTAACTCCCAATCAGCTTGTTCCTCTCGTAATCCCAGATTTCGCCGCCGTTCGCCTTTGCATTCCAGAACGGGAACGAAACCTTGTACCCTGTCGAGTAGATAATTGTATCGATGTCAGAGAGCACAGATCCGTCTTCAAACATAATGTCTCCGTTGGGTAGATACTCGCTAATGACGGGTTTCCACGCGATTCCGGCCGGTGGCTCATCACCGTCCCATCGTGATGCTGACCGTCGACTCTGATAGACCGGAGGAGTTGCATGACCCACCAATCCTGTCGTCACGTCATGGCCCGAAGCCGAGTTTCCAATAACCAACACCTTCTGATTCTCCCATCTCTGTGCGTTGCGATATACCTTGGAGTGGACAACTCGTCCGGGATATCGTTGGAGATAGTCTTCCAACCCCTTGATCTGTGGAATCTTTTGGACATTCTGTCAAACAAAGCAAAAGATGGATCTCATAACGGAAAAGAGCTACTCACAAATGGTACCGAGTAATGTCCATTGGCGATAATGACCGCGTCAAACTCCTCCTCCCACCACACATCAACATGCTTCACTGCGTCGTACCTTCGAAGCACCAATCTCCATCCATCCTTGTCTCTTGTCCCCGACACTTTCGACAAGTCTTCCACCGTCGTATTGAGAACCAGGAGTTTGTCCGTCCGGTGCTCGGAGAAATAGTTTGCTATATATTGTTGGGGTACCCAGTGTGGTGGAAATGGGCCATATGAGAAACGGTGGTCGGAAAATGACATGGCAATGTCCGGCACATTAGTCCTATCACGTCAGCAGTGTCCGCCCAGAAGATTCTCGATGTCGCGCAAGACATACGTCAATTCATCGTAGATAGGAGTTCGATCATATCTCTCTTGCGTGTTTGGCGCCGTCGTGGTCGGTAGATTCTTTGGGATGGCTAACGGTGGGTCCGTGGTTGGTGGTAGAGCCCCTGGATATAACCGAGGCTCCGGGCCTGGATCTGGGTCATATATCCTACATAAATCAGTAATTGATATATTCAAGCAATTCAAGATACTGTGCTCAAATTCAGGGGATAGACTACATACCATGTCCCCCCAGGCGAACTCTTGCGCTCAAATACTCGGATTCGATCATAGCATCCCTCGGCGGATAGAGCAGCGGCGGCAATCGCACCTTGGCCATCAGTAAGAAAGATGAAACTCCTAAGCTACGTATTCGATGCAAGGGGCTTACCTGCTGCACCGGCACCGATTATTGCTACCGACTTGATCCTGCCAGGCTCAATCATGTTCTTCAGTACAGCGATATAACAGATATCGTCCTTGGAAGAATTCAAGTAATTATTCAACTATGTACATTCAACCGCTCCTGGAGTCGGAGATGGTCGTCCAAACCATCCCATCATGGCCATGGATTACCATTCACTCCTCGTAACGTGATGTGTGGTATTAGGCTAGCCTGAGGTACGACATATTGATATCGATGGCGTGCTTTGGAAACTCACCAGTCATAGGTATTAAATCTTGCGCACATGGATACCCCAGCAAGCCAAGTCATGGATCAAGGTCTCAGTGCCCGGGGCCTAATGACCGATCTACATACTGTAGATGATGGAACTGGATTGGAGACGAAGGGCAGCGGCGAAGATGGAACCGCGGTATGGACATGACATCAAATCTGACCCTCAGCCTGCCCTCAGCCTGACACGTCACATTACCCCTGACGAAAGGGGTTGCTTGTCTTCGGGTCTCCCTACCCAAGCATCTCTACCCCATCGACCTATATTTCGTCTTGGGATTTCCTTCAGCATTCATTTCATTGATCTGTGAGTTGAGACTGATTGAACAGGTAACGTGAATCATACACACTGTGTCGTAAACAGAGTGTTAATTTTGGTACCCCGATCTTCGACAACCTTCTCAAAAACTCAACGCGATCCCCACTTGAAACGTGCCAGCGCAATGGATTTCTTTCCCAGGCAGAGACTTGTATGGCAAACAAAGAAGTGTAAAAGCCCACTTGAACGCTTGCAGTTGGGAAAGTCGAGCTATTTCCAAAAGCGGTTGCTTTGTTCAACCCCGCGTGAACAAACGAGAATGGCTCTGGTACGTATTTGAGGTCGTGGCCCGACAAGTCCAACCATCCGTCCCTTTCAGACACTACGTCTGCGTGGTCTGTTCAACGCAAGAATGAAAGTCAATACCATCCTCTTCTTCAATGCCATCATCCTTGGCTCGGTGACATTAGCATTCACGGGCCAATCGACACCGACACTGACACCCCTGGACGGAAGTTTTAATGGCATTCGTTTCAACGAGTCTGACACTGACTCGGCAGATTTAGTCACACGTAGTTCTTCATACGGAGTTTGTCTTTCCCATAAACCTATACAGATATTCGCTGTTGTATGATTTCACGCACTGACTGACTGACATTTCGCCACACAGGTCTACATTTGCTCCAAACCTCACTGGCAAGGCACATGTTTCTGGAGCGCTATTGACGAATCCAGGCTCGGGAAGGGTGATTGCGGCGCTGTGACTGCTTTTGATGGCTGGGCTTCCGTGGGCCCTGATCAAGGGTTGAAGGTCGACATTTACAGGTGAGAGAACAAAGAGATTCTGAATATGTTTGTACTCGTGGAGCCAACTCTTTCACGCAAAGAGCCCCACGGGCCTGATACTCAACGACACTAACACAACCTACCCACATATAGGGACATATATTGTGCTACGATAGGGAAGGCAGGCGTGCTTTATCCCGGTGTTGATGATCTCATCAGCAATGGTGTGCCCGAAGCCATCTCGGCCTACTTTGGCATGAAGTTCTTCAAAGCTTGAGGTATACGAACTAAGAGGAGAAATATGCATTTGGATACCAAAAAGTCGCTCCTGGTAGATATGGGTGGCAGCAGAATACTTTCCAACATACTCGTCTACGCCCCATCTTCGTCAATTTATCCCTACCATGCAAAAGCCTCTTCAATCAGCTGCACTTCGAATCCGTCTCCTACAGCCTTGACAACACTTCTCCTGACTTCATCAGCAAGAGTGCCAGGAGCACAGACAAGGACAGCCACCCGACGTGACGGTTCCAAAACTGATCTGATGACCGAGTCTACCGGCATTCGTGATCCAGTGGTCAATGATGTGATGTTGGTATACTCTTTATTAGGCGATGACGGCGATGGTGAACGGCCCTCAGAATTCGAGATCGTCTTGGCTTCTTGAGCAAATTCCTCCTCCGAACCAGTCATCTGTTGTTCTTTCGTGTGCCATACGTTGACCTCCAAATGACCCGTCCTAGTAGCATCCGCTGGGATCAATTTTTGTGTGACGTGTTCGATCAATTCTTCCTCTCGTGCTGACCACGCAAGGGTGAATCTCGTAGTTCTTGCAAGCAGTCGTCTCCCAGGGACGAGCGATGAAGTCTTATTCTGGTTGAGATATTGCTTAATAAAACCCAACGAATACGTCACGCCGATTCCCCCGGCAATGCACAGCACAGTATCAGCATGTTTGAGTGGGTGAAGGGTTTGACTGTGGCCCGCATATGGACCTTCGGTCAGGATGCGAAGGTGTCGCGGGGAAGGCGGAGAAGATGAAAACGTCTCCAGAAGAGACCGTGTACTGCCAGTATGTGGCCGGATCAGAATACGGATGTAGAAGCGTCCCTTGTCAGAGGGGACTTTATCGGCCATTGCGCTCTCATGCACGACAGCGACTCTTTTTTCGTCCGTAGATTCTGTTGGGGAGGCTATGCTGGAAGAACCTTCCGAGGTCGGTTGCCAACTGGATGGTGCACCCTCCGGTACAGTCGACCCGAGAAATCCCCAGTCAGCAATGGTAAACGGGTGGCTCTCCCATAGCTTACCCGGGAATGTGAGGAAAGTGTGTTTCCCTGGTCCAATGGAAGACACCCACCGTTTGCCCGGGAATATAGTCAGTTGCAGGAACTGCGATCCTGGGACTTTCTCCACATGGCTTGCCACTGGAACGGTCCATTCATTGTACCAAAGTACTCGGCCGAATCTGAAGACGCGGTCAAACGCCCAAAATGCCATTGCTAGGTAAATCCAAACCTCATAACCCCAGCGCTTGTTGAACCTCAAGTCGACATGATACCAACAACCCACGATTGCCAGAATGGCCAGAACAATGTGGGTGATCAAGAATAGCTCATATGCTCTCAACCTGACGGGCAAGACTGAGAAGCCAACCGACACCGACATGACGACCGTGGCTATGATGCCCCACCAGTAATATGGTAACTTTGCCTCTGCGTAATATGCTTGAGCCCCACCACTCCAAAAGTACGTCACGGTGTAGATGATGGAATGCACCACCGCCTGGACCGTAGCGACACGTGAGACCCAGCGATGAATGGTCAGAAACGTGGTCTGTGACCATCCTGTCAAGGCGATCAGGAGATTGTTCCTCCCGGAGAAGGCAATGGCAAGTCCAAGATTGGCGAAACTCAGGACTCCCGTTCTATTCGAGACGTATGCTGCTGTTTGATCCCTGCTGGTAGAGAACCACGTATTGGGATTCTGATTGTCGTAAGAGACACAACAAAAGATGATATTAAGTGAAACATAAAAGAATATGAAGAGCGAGAGGATGCGGCTGGGGGCATATCCAATGCTATATGGAAGAGGCTGAAGTTGGCGACCATTGGACAAGGCTGGGAGGAAAAGGTATTGGTTGAGTTTCCGGGACAGAGAGGATGACTGCTTGGGCGCGAGGTTGGATTTGATCAAAGTAAATACGCCAACCAGGATGGGAATCCCAATTGTGAGCATCCAGACAACCAGTCTAGCGTCCCATTGATCAGTCGGGTTCGTACAACCAAAACGTGAATCACTTACCCGTAGCGAGTATGCGCCTCCTCGGATCTGGCGAACCCATCCAACGTCCTTCTTTGGTCAGCGTAGGCAGCGTCATTCACGAGAGAAGTCGTATTCAACCATTCCGCATCCTGTTTTAACTCGCCAGTTGGTGGCTGAGCAGGCATGCATGAATGAAGATTCGGTACAGGGAGCGTGTTGGCGGCAATTGTTTGAAAACACCGGTCTTGGGAATCAGCGTCAGCTCCCTCGGCAGTGCATCGACTGTGGATGCAGTATGCCAAAGTTGCCAGCCAGGTAGGATCTGAGGCACGACACTCGTCGGTCGTCTCTGCCATTGAATCTCCGCCCATATCCATTCTCTTGATGAGTTTCATGTCCATGCCCATATGGCCGTGCGAGAATGTTGTACAGTTCAGATTGAGGCTGGAGAGGGCATCGTGGCATGCATAGCAACATACAGGCTTGTACATTGGGATCCCCAGCCCAATGACGCCATGCTTGGTTTCTTGAATCATGACAGCCCCGGAAACATGTCTGAATAGTGGGAGGAGAACAGGGGCGAGGAGAAGGGAAGGTGGGATCATGGCTGAGTGAATGTCGACTCGAAGGCCGAGCAACAAAAAGCGTAGAGCTGTAGAGGCAGAGCAGAATGTCGCAGCAGCGTGTGAAGCACAGGGTAGCGGATCATGGTCAATATTTGAGACATCCTTACCTGATTTTTTAGCGTCGAGCAGACAAAGTCGTGTTCAGTATAGACATGTAGGTGAGCATATTTCCATGCATCTAGACTCCAGTCTCCTGAGACTGCCATCTGCCAAGCGACAATGGACAATGGACCGGGATAGTCGAATACATCGGTATACTGCACATCTCAACCAGTGGCATTCCACGACAGCATGGTGGCAGGGGGTGGAGTCATGCCACCATTTGGCTACCGTTCAAGGCGCAATGCTTGCATGAGGGAAAGAAAAGTAAGATGATGGTCTCGAGTCAGACCGACAGCTCACAAGCAGCATTGTGCGGTGGGCCAGAGAAAACGTGAGCGTGAGCAGGTTATTAGGTTGTGAGCAAGTTCCAACCATTCAAGGGGCGATGCGTCCACCCCAAAGAGGATTGGGTCCATCGCACCGCTCTGAATCCACAAATCATCGCTGATCGAATGGCAATCAGGAGGCTTGTGCCTTGATAGCTGTCATGCGAATTGCCATGCGTCGGAAAGATAAGCACGACGACACATATGATATCGGTAGGTCGGCGAGAAATAGATTGTGTGGTTGTTTAATCAAACATGTCTCTCAGAGACGCGTTCCTTGGGCGCGTGCAAGATCAAAATACATGGCTCGCAACGCCAAGGCGCTAGTCATCGAATAGGTAGCTTGGCATATAGCATCTCTCTATCACATTCACCCTTCAATTGATGATTTTTCATTCTGGATTGGAACCAAGGGCTGGCAAATTGAATGTATAAGTATTAAATGTTATTTGGAATACCTGGAGTAGTGACCACTATACTCGATAAACAGGCTCTGGTACTCTGTTGTAATTGCCTTGGTCTGCTCCACTCCTCTTCCAGCTCGAATGAGAAAACGAACGTGTGCCATGTATTCTGAAATCCAAAGTCTCTTCCTGAGTCTTGCCCAAGTCCCTAATCGACTGCAATCAAAACCCATTTTGTATTTGTGGTCGTCGGCATTTGACCAAGCCTGGTTCACCTTTGGGGTATCATTAAAAGAAAAGAAAAAGAAGCCCTGCCTGTGTTCAATTCGTCGACGACCTTGGCTCAGAACGCCACTCCTACACCCGGACTGCGTAAAGGACCTCCGATTTCTTTGATCAAGGCATTGGCCCCGTCCACTTGTTTGACAGCATCCGAATAGCACGGTGGTACGTCGGGGATACCACTCAAGATCGGCCGGAGCCCATTTGACACATTCTTGACAGTGCCATTGCGACTATACATGTCAACTGGTGTGGTAAGCGTTGTCTCCGTCTGACTTGTGGCTTCAAATGAAAGCATATCTGAAGCAGCGGTGCTTGCCACAGTGGATTCTGTCAAGGTCCTTTGATGCTGCTTGGGCCATAAACTCAACGGCTTAGGGGGAACTGCGGACAGCTGATAGAATTGAGCTCGCTTCCGCCGATTTTCACTGAAAGACGATGACGATGACGACGTTTTGGCGGTGGCGACAGTGGAGACTGACGTGGAATGCCCTTTATGTGATAGCCATTGTGATATCCTCTTTTGAGTTTGATAATTAGGGTGGAAATAGCCCGGGGCTGCTCCCCCTTCTTGACCAAACCCAATCTTGGAGAAGTTCTTGGGGCCTTTGGCTGGAGTAGTTGTAGCGCCAGTCTGGGGTTGGCTCGGAGAAGCCATGTTGTAGGTGCATGACAACGACCGATTGCTCTCCACCTGCGGAAACTCAAGAGTTACTCCATCAACCACGACTGATGTTGCCGGAGGGCTGAACTCTTCCTGCATTGGACTCAAAATGGCAACTGATGGGTCCGTTCGACCAGTCATGTGAATGGCAGGAGGCAGGCCCGGCAGAGATGCCCATGAAACTGGATGAGAGTGCAAGGCATCGTATTCAGATGGAGGCCGAGACATGGAGATGACAGTAGAAGACGTGTTAGGACGGAAGCGAGACATGCGCCGTGGTTCAATCATGGATGCTGGCTTGGTGTATTCGGGGAGGCTCGACACTCGACTGTGCATGAATGCTTCCGACTTTGTCCTGAGAATGGCTGGTTGAGGCAATTGGATCTCGCCATTATCTGTGAAGCTCAATTTGTCAAACTCGGGCAAGTCTGAGAGGCGATTCTCAGCCATATAAATGCTCAGCTCAAGAGGCCGGTATGTGTGCTGAGGTCGGCGGAAAGGGAAATCTTGATTCTCTGGGAGAGGGGGACGAGGGCTAGAGATGGATGGCCTCGCTGGAGCCTGGCGTCGAATGGACAGACTGGACCTCAAGGAGGCTTTCCCACTCGAAACCCACTGTGAGAGTTGTGAGGGTGGAATATGTGTCGGGGTGGACGGCATAGGGTCGAAGAGAGTCAACTTCATGGGAGGAACCAAGTGAGGCTGCTGGTACATGATGCGCATCTCACGTTCAACGCCTTTGATTCTGGTCAGCAATGTATGGACAATCAATCTCATCATCACCACATACCATCGGTCCTTTCCCCGTGCACCTGCTCCTCATATTGTTTCGAGTTTGGCCGGGAGAGAAAGTCGAACCAGGTAAAGGAACAGGTGGGCTCCAAGGACTGCTCGGATGTGGACGTGGACTTTGACTTCATTGCGACGTGGACAGAGACGTCGGCCAGCCACGTATTGCCCAAGACAGCGAGTTTGATCAGTCACTATTACGGGAAAGGTGATGCCAGCATCAACCAGACGGGAGCAAGACAAGATGGAGGAGGGGGAGGGGGAGGAGGAGGAGGAGGCAACGACAAGACCGCACCTGCAGTCTTGACGGACAGTCTCTCACGAGGAAAGAGCTGAGGTGTCGAAGTGTCCATGGCCGTTGTACTATAGTCCACAGCACCTGCCGTTGGTAATGGCTCTGAAACGTGCCTTCCAAAGCCACAGCGCATCCACCAGATTCATCCGTCAACAAAAAATCTTACCGAATCCCACACAACATGACGAGTGCGCCCTATCATGATCGTGAATCGTCTAACCAGTCACATCATCTAAAGCTGGGGCGGCGCTTGTTTGATGGTCGGTTCCAGAGTGTCTTTCCAGGATGTGTGAGTTGCCAACTGCCTCACTGGACCAGAGCTTGCCAACGAAGCTGGACCCGTAGGCCATCCAATCCTCCGAGGATCCAGCGTTCAAGCCACAAATGCCGAATAAGAGGTTCGCATCGTGTTATTCGTGGAACGTATCGAGGTACAAATGTGAAGAGAGATCATCCTCAGCGGCACCACAGCCAATCATCTTATGCGACAGGCACACCGCCAAAGCATGGCCGAGGTGGCCGAGAGGCCTGAAAGCCCTGCGCCCCACCACTCTGGGGATTGCTTAACTCAATGTTACTTTTACACAGAGTTATGCCGTGCCAGAATTCCCGATTGATCATGCCTGTGTTTCAGGATGGAATTTGATTACCATTCTCGAGATAGCGATGCTCTCACACTACCCAGTCTAGACCTCTAGACTACCACATACCCCATCCACCCTTCACTTTCCGTACAGCTCCACTGTTAATACCTCTCTACAAGTCTCGCCCTACCATCCATGGATCTATCCAAAGCGATGACTTCTCGTCCTTGGGCATCAATGTATCGTTTTTCTGGTTCCACAGCACGATATCTAACGGATTCCGCTGGAACGTATTCGTGACGAGCCCCAGTCCTATCATCGATGAAGACGCTCCCTTCACGACCGATGGGGGGCCGCACACTCTGCCCACGCGAAATCATGTCGACTGGTGGTGGGGCAGCCTCATACCTGGTAGTAGGAGGTCTAACGCTGGCCATTCGAACTGGTTCATGATACTCAGTCCGCTCATCTGCGTAATATTCTTGGGCTGGCCGTCGATCGACAAGCTGAACGCTGGCCGCCCGAGCAGAACCAGGCACCGCATCAACATAATCTCGGTGATGGCCTCCAGGCATGACTGAACCCCGGATTGGTTCGGGCTGACGCCGATAAGAAGCTTGAGGCGGAGGCATGTCTGACGTGTAAGTCCGCTCGGGTGCTGCGTCTAATAAAACGGAGCCTGCACGGATAGAATGGTAGTCTTCATACTGAGGTTCAACGGCGCTTCGTCTCACGGACATGGCACGCGGCAATGGAGCCGGCTCGGACTGAATGATCTCGCGAAGCTTGCGGCCGTATTGGTCGACAACAATCCTCTCGACAAGTGGCGGCGGTGGCATGGGTTCGACATATCGCAGCCCGCCCTCCCCGTCGTCATAGACCTCACGGTAGATCGGTGCAGGGGTCCGGGCTACCCGGGCTTCGGGTGGTGCTCGTTCGTAATCCATGACAACTTCACGTAGCTGGCCAGGCAAGGCACCCATGGCGGCTGGGCTTCCCAGTCGAGCATATGAAGCTGCCCTAGCGCGTGTTGGGGAGCCCACGTATGGATCAGTATGGTCTCGACTTGGTTCTGCCCTCATATTGTGAAGGCTAGCGACCCGTCGAAGATTTTGCTCATCCCTCACAGGCCGCACGCTAGATCGAGACAAGACACGTGGCTCGCTTTGCGGCATCAACTGTTCAACCTGGCGTGGGAGTAGTCGCATGGGAGATTCCACGTACCGTTCTGGAGGCGGCATGTAGCGGCTCTCCTGAATTGGTTCGTCATCGTGGATGATGATTGGTCGCTCAGTGCCCGTTGGGCGTAATTTGCCTGAGCCTAGGGGTTGTACGTCGTGAAACGGAGGAGGGGACACATTTTCTTCCTTGATGAAAGCGTCTGGAGAATAACCGCCGTTTCGTCGCGAACGTTTCTGTTGCCGGTCTTGCTGCCTCTCCAACCGTTTTCTCTTTTTCGGAGGTTGGCTGTCATCTGGGCTGGGGGGAGAGTCTCTGCGGGCGTCTCTACGGGCAGCGCGCTGCTGGCGGGCATTCTGTGAGATAGATGGAGCCTTAGCTACAGCAAGGGGAGAGACACGGGATGGTTGTGGGGCAACGGGAGAGGTGATGTGGTTTCTTACCACACGCATGTTTGCCTCATAGGGAGACGGAGGTCTTCGCCCGTTATCGTCAGTCTCGGAGTATCTGCGAAGGGGACGACTGCGAGGATCTCGGCTGTCTTGCATAGGTTGTGAAATGTCGTTAGCAGGGAGAGAATAATTCTCCGTGGCCTCGGGTGGCGAGTATTCACCCTCTTCCTCTTCATCGTCCATGTCCATGACATTGGGAACGATGGGGAGGTCTTGCTTGGTGGAATCGACGGATTCAACATTAGTGGAATTGTCACCTCTGTCCGGTCGCAGAGGCGACCCCATCACGGCACTCACACGCGGGCCTAGGGGCTCGTCAGCTTCGCCTTCTTCGGCATCTTCGCCGGAAGAGTTTGGACCCTCTTCGACCGAGTCCGGGGCTCTCGAGGAGTAGAATGAGTTCTCATCGATGGACTCGGAGCCAGACGCTTCGCCTTTGGCAAACTCTTTGGAGAGCTCGGACACTCTGGAAAAGAGAGCCTGCAGGTCAAAGTCCGGTTTGGCCTCGGCAGGAGCGGGTCTTTTACGAGCATCTAGTCTCTTGTGTTCGAATTGTTCCTTGAGTTGCTTTTCAAGTCGTTGTCTCTTGAGCTGGTTTTCAGCCCTCAGCAAGTCATCTGATTTTGTCAAAAGGACAGGGTCAAACTCGGAAACATTCATGGGATTGTGAGAGGAAGGGGTGGGCTGATCATGGCCTGGCTGAGCAGTCACGCGACGACTGGGCGAAGCACTGGCGGATATTGAGGCAGGGATAGCTAGATGAGATTGGGAGAAGGGTTGAAGCGCAGGTGCAGCTGCGGGCAATGACAATCGAGGATGCTTGCCCGCGAATACCTCTTGGCGAATCTGCAAAATCTTCTCGTACTGCAAAACCTCATGGCTTTGGTGAACCGATGGCGCGATGCCGTTCCGTAGCGGGGCTACAGAGGCCGCCATGGTTGTATCGACAGAAGACCTTTGTCCAGAGTCGAAAGCATGCACTTGCTCTTTACATGATGGTCTTCATGGCGACGTGGAGCGCGGGAAGAGGGACACGCGACACAAGGGTGTCGGGAAGAAATTATCGAAGAAGGAATGCGGGTGAGGAGGAAAAGGAAGATGCGGTTGTCGTCTTTTGTGTGTTGAGGAGAGTGATTGCAAGGTGAAAAGAATAAGAGAAGTCGAGAAAGGAGAGGAGGGAAGTTGACGCGCAGACGCGGAAGATTTTTATTGGACAGGAAGGTGCAAGTCACATGTCATACAAGTTGCGAAGTCCAGCCATCACTTTCACGTACCAGATTAGCACGTGACATTTCTAGTGTATGTTACTTGTTGCAGTTTATTAAAAGAAATGTGGCTGCACAGAATGGAATGTGGCTCACCGTTTGTGGCGGGCGTAACATCAAATCACGACAAATCCTCTGAGTAGTGACGCAAGTTGAACTGTTTTTTTTTCTCCTGGATTCAGACGTGAATGCAACCACAATTTCCAAAACACTCTAATTGTAGATGAGTCACTCGTTACCATCATTCTTTTTCATCGATCACACATAGACATAGAATGTGAAATCCTCATCAGCCAGCCTCTATGACATTGCAGAACTAATAAATCGATTGCCACGTTCTCTCCATATACAGTACTCTACACGTGTTGACACCACCTTAGCCATGATGACAGCCAACTCAACAGCAACCACAGACCAGAGGGCCGTGTTTTTCTTCGACATTGACAACTGTCTATACCCCAAAAGCAAAAATGTTCACGATCACATGGCCATCCTGATAAACAAGTACTTTACTACCCATCTCGATATTCCCCCGGACGAAGCGACTCGGCTCCACCTGCAGTACTACAAGGACTACGGCTTGGCGATAGAAGGGCTGTCTCGGTTTCACAAGATCGATCCTCTGGATTTTAATCGGGAAGTGGATGACGCATTACCACTGGACGACTTGCTCTCCCCTGACCCCGTCGTGAGACAAGTTCTGGAATCTTTCGACAAGACCAAAGTAAAGATGTGGTTGTTTACCAATGCACACATCAATCATGGGCGGCGTGTGGTCAAACTGCTGGGGATTGAAGACTTGTTCGAAGGAATCACCTACTGCGACTATTCCCAAAGCCCTCTTGTGCCCAAACCTCTCCCGGCCATGTTCGACAAAGCTGAGCGGGAAGCTGGAGCGACCGGCCACGACCCCAGCAACATCTACTACGTGGATGACTCGTTTCTGAATTGCGAGGCTGCCTTTGCTCGTGGCTGGGTGAATACGGTGCATTTGGTTGAACCACAAGTGCCGTCACCGCCAGACCAAGCGAGCAGATATCAAATCAGTCATCTGGGACAATTACTAGAACTTTTTCCGGAAATTACCACAAAGAGGTCGGGCTTGGAGAATGGATTGGAAAAAGTGAGATGAAGAGGTTAAGTTATAATACAGGAACCAGCATTCCATTCGCTTTTGAAAACCTAGACCATATGCAGTCGGCATACAACGGTGATACAACGGGCTAAATTGAACAAGAGAACAAAAGGGCTCAAACGCTGCGCGGAGCAATAGAAAACCACCCCTATCCCATCCAGATCATAAAGTCGTAAAAATTTCCGGGTGTGGGCCATATAAAGTTTTACGAGCCCACCATCAGCCGTCTCTGGCCGTGGAGGTCGCTGGGACTGAATTTCCAAACGTCGGCATACCTCTTCGCGTGCCAGTTCCGGACGACTGCCTCGATAAGCCACGGGACATCAGGAAAAGAGGAGGTCTCGCCGTCAATGACGAATGACTTATCCTGACAAGTCAGAGTCCAGGGTAGGTCGGTGTACAAACTTCCGTCTTTGGTGGCAATGTGCTCGGCCTCTTTCCAGATCTTCATAAGATCTTCAGACTTGAGGACATGCAGACTGGCTAGAGTGGGGATCTCATCGTGCAAATGTTGGATCAATTCTGGGGCGAACGATTCGATGATGTGTCTGAAAGTGGTGCCGTTAAACTCGTCCGGCTTGGTCATGGTGATGTACCTATGAAAGATGGAAAGGCCTTCGGCAAACGACTCGTGGCCCTTGACGTTGGATTCCATGGCTCCTGGACGGTTGAGAAGCTTTTCGTAAGCAGGAAACATGTAATCATCCTCAACCTTGTGGTGATGGTCGAGGGTGGTGAAGATGATGCGATTGAAGTGCAAAAATGCCTCGACTTGAGCGGGTTCCACGGAGGCGGCATGATTCCAGGATGAGTTCAGAGCTCGAATGATGGTGTTGTGGATATCAGCCATTCGACGAGCACACCATAGGGCCGCATGGGATTTGGGGACCGAGGCCGGGATGTTCTCAGGGTGGATAGTGGTGATGAGTGGGTAGTGGTCATCGGCGAAACGAGGAGAAAGGATGCTCTTGACCGAAGTCTGATGAGTTGAGTTTGATGAATGGGATTTGACTGAAGAGTTTGCAGAATGGGTGGATCTGATGGATCGGGATGAGGATGAAGCGGATCGTTGAACATTGGTCTGATAGTTGGATCTCTCGGCCTCGGACAAGTACAGAAGATGGGAGTATCTGGCATGAGTAGGGGAGGGTGACCGAGAGCGAGATCGGGTGTGAGAATGGGAATCCATTTTGGGGGGATTTTGGAGCTTGACAATAGGAAGGTCAAATGTTGACCTAGACAGAGTGACACTGTGTTGGTTGCGAACAGGCTCCCAAAAGGATTGTTTGTTGTGACAGAAGGAGGGCAGCTCGAGAAGGATAAAAGATTATATATTGAAAGCAAGAGAGTGGAATGGAGTTGAAACGTGGTCAGGAAGCAGATGAGACAAGAATCATATCAAAGATGGATGCAAGAAGATGGGGCATATGTTGTACTTACATATATGTATGTAGGTGGAATGCAAAGGTCCGCCCGATCTGTAACTGTATATAGCACAAAGTGTCACAATGATCATGACCTTGCAACCTATTTAGGACATGGCATGGCATGGCATGGGTACCAAGCCAGAAGCTCAGCTGGTGGACAGAGTGACAGAGTATAGTTTGAGCACGGCAAGGTATAGTCGAATGTGAGCAGATTGGGGGGGTTGAACTCACATGGTCACAGGTTAACAGGTTACACCAACAAGCAATTCTTACCGTCAAAAGTCACCCGAAGAATGTGTCGCCAAAATGACGAACACAGGGAAACAAGGAAGAGGCGCACCTGATACGAGGAAATGATGGTGGTGCCACTCATCCACTTTGGCTTTTTTTGTCACTTGTCTAGTCCAACATCCAACATCCAACATCCATGGTGTCGATGGTACGAATACATGGTGGCCCGATATGTCTTGACCTCTTAGTGCCTCTCTAACTTGACAAGGTTGACATGATGTTCCCGGCCCAAGCCTGCAAGGGGATCACGGGGACCCACCACCTCGCCAAAGGATGCGGCCGAGGGACCGTCAAGCCCCCAGAGTCGACTGATTGGGGTCCCTTGCATCTGCACTTTAGGTTTGGCTCCAGGTACCGTTGCAAGGGCCAACTGACCAGCCGTGTCAGTCAGCCGCGCCAAACTCCCAGCCCAGTTGCACTATGTGTCCCCATGCGAGCCTTGGAGTGACGATTTTAATGTTCAAGATCCGATCCAGAGTCGTAACAATGCTACCGTACCTAAAGCCAAGCCCTACGGGGTCTCTGGGGTCTACGAGCCGCCCACCAGGATGTTCCGCTGCCCCAAACAGGATTTCCTAGGCGAAAATCTCAGGCACGCTCCGCAATCTGCACACTCAGCGCACAAAGATCCCGGCCGTTGCCCTTGGACCGAGAAATTTTTGACCTGGGCCTACGCCTATGCACCCCTGGCTTCAGCTGTGTGCGCTGGCCTGACTGCAACATCCCTGGCCCTCAGCCAATATCCCATGTCGTCCACGTGGTTTGCAGAGGTTCCTGGCTCCCTGAATGCGGCGATCCATTTGATCGGCTGCCTGGCACAGCCAATATCGAAACGCCCTAGAGCAAGATTTCGATATTAATCAAACAGTGCAGGGGATGATGATGTATTTCCGCCACAATGGTTCAACAACAATCAAGAGACCACATCATCGTTTTGCATCAAACTCTGGCAGAGCACTGGAGCACCGAGTAACAGTACCATGTACAGTAGAAGTAGCGCTGCACACATGCACACAGCATTTCATGTCATCACAAGATTCTCCCCGACGAGCTAATCATCCTATTTTGGACCAAGCGTACCATTAGAACAATACGAATGCAACCAAAATAGGCAACCTTGACACCTGTCACTCGCCTATACGATTTCATCTGCATCTGCATCTGCATTGCATTTGCATCTGCATTCGCACCAAAACGTGGCATGCAATTGACATTTGACGCAAGAAGCACCATGAATCACTGGTCACTCTAATGTCTGTGGTTCGAATATGAGCCCATTCCATATCCGGGCACATGAGGGAGAATTCAAGGCTGTCAAGCCTGCAATGTCCTTACTAAGGCAATACTTGGTAGGCGTAGGTGTAGGCATTTTGTTGGTCCCTTAATGTCAAAGTGTTAGGTGGTGTCGAGGCCGAGGCGCTACCTACAGTGCCTACCTGCTGCCAAGATGGTCAACGAATCAAATATTCATGGCTGGCTGATGACCACCCTCCATGAGTCCATGACACACGGTAGAATCACATTGCATCTATGTTTAGTAGTACATCGACCAGACCAGAATGGACAAAGGAGCCGATAGAAGTCTAATCCATCTGATGTTAGTCAGGTTTGACAAGCGAGGCGATTCAAAGTAGCAATAATGACAACGAAAGCATTCTGATCTAGCCCGCAACATACCTGTGACGATATCACTTCAGGCTTTCAAGAAGATCAATCTTCGGATGCAGGAACCAGACGAACGACAAGCCAAAAATGTAGCTCCGTACGTACAAAACAACTTGTCGGCGTCGCTTGTTCGTTTTAGGAGCCGATTTAGTCCACCTGATCCAGAAGTTCGGGGCGATGCCTGCAAGCCTCTTCAGCCTCTTCAGCCCAGGTTGTAACCCAACAACGTTGGTCGGTCGTCCTATTGGGTCATGACGCAGTTTGTAAGCCTACTATGATCGAGAAGCCAAGGGCCTTTTACAAACTCGTACTTCGTAGGTGCTGGAAACAAATTCCCAGGCTTGAGGTCTTCCCCGTATACTCCGTATGCACCCCGCTGCCCAAGACTGCCCAAGACTGCCCCGTTGTGGCCATCTGACCATCTGCATACGATATGCATCTCTACCAATCCTCAGGAAGTTAGGTCACCTCCGCATCTCCCCAAGTCTCTAAACTGTTGTAGGTATGGTTCTAATCATGAGTACCCCGATCCCCTCTCTGTAGGCTGTCCTCTTGGTATCCAAACCATACTCCTTGCGATCTCCAGACCTACACCATCACATTCACAACGAACTACAAAGACGCTAGGTCTAATCTCGAATTGGGATGCATCACGAGATCTTGATTCAAAGTACAACTTTCCCCCCCTCCTGCGCTCCGTGGCTCCGTCCCCTCCAGGTTAGTCTGGCGCCAATCGTTGTTGGACGGCGCCGCCGTGCCTGCCTGCTAGCCGTCAAACAGAATCCTTCTCCTCACAAAACGGTCCTACTGGGCCTGCAGATCCAAATCCTCATACAGAACCAGACACGCCACCAGACTCACTAGTCACTCCTCTAAAATTCGGGTTCCTGCGTGCCCGCATCATATCATCGACAACTCGGCTCTGATAGCGTCCTCCTAGTCAGGGCCAAGTCTGGGCCCAGATTGACCATATGACAGGAGTTTGACACACACCATTTGACTGAGTGGCTCAAAGTCCCTGACCTGAATTCATCCTTGCTCTTTTTCTCCCCTAACCGTGCTCCAGTGCCACAGTGCCTCTCTGCCTCCCAAACTTCTCCTCCACGCATCAGGCTCAGATCTACCTCTGACAGCAGTAGTGACGTGCTCCTGTCAACAAAAAACCACAGTTCTAGGCCGGTTCTTCCGTATCACCATGGACCCTGCCTCCCAAAGAACAGCCTCAGGCATTCTTTTCATTTCACGACGCGGTACTTGATAGAGTCACGACGCTCCCGTTCCCGCTGTCTGTCGCTTCCACTCGAGTGACAGCAGCACTCGCGGTGTCGTGTCACCACTTCCCGTCATGCACATGCCCAAGTCAAGATACACAATTCTAAGCACCTTGATTGACCAGACACCAGAGCAGACATCTACATGCCTAACCTCAGGTCAACGCAACAGCCACGTGCGGCTGGCCATCATGCCCGTGTCGGTGCCAAAGTCAATCTATCTCTCTGGCAATTTTGAGATGGTCTAGAAGACTGTAACGACTATAGGTTTTGGGACTTGCCGACGCATGGACCGTTGTAACGCCCGTCCCTCTGAACCCAACTCTCTGGCCAAAGCACACGGCAGGCACGGCACGTAGATGCTCGCCTCGATGGCCACATTAGCATTCCCGCACACGTTTACCCACACCCTTTCCCATCTCCCAGCGTGCCCAGTCTCTGTTACCTTTCCAATGGGAACGTCGTACTACGCTGCTCAAAGTTGATGCCACGCGCGACGCATTTAGTGATGCTCTAGGCCCTACAAGCCACCATACACAGACTCCCCCTTCTGGACATAATATCCCAAAAGCCAAACGTCGCCCAAGCCCAATCCCCATGGCCGCTGAGCATCATGCACAATTCGATTGGCTCCTCATTACAGACATCATCATTCTGTACATTTGTAGGCTCACATACTCTCAGTCATCGTATGTTCCAGGGACCATTTTGGACCCCCTAAGATCTGAACAAGGGTGCAAACCACATGTCGCAATTGTTCCTCAAAAACACATTCTCGACATCTTGCAAAAAGACCGCAATGCACCAACCCAAAAAGGCCAAAAAAACGCCCAAAAAGAAATTTCCTCGACCGGGAGTTGAACCCGGAGCTACTGGGTGATATAGATCACTTAGAGTTTTCTTTGAAAACCAGTTATGTTACCGCTACACCATCGGGGATGTTTTTGATTGTGGCTTAATTTTTAGCCAATCCAAAATATATGGTAACAAATTTAATGGTCTGATTGGTGGACGTGGTTCAATTATGATTTAGTTCCAAGCCTTAACCCCACCCCAAGTAATTCTCGAAGAGGACATACCTAGTAGATATCTAGGTAGATGAACAGTAATAGCAAGACACTCATAGAAAGTGCAAATCATTATGCAGTCAACCTAGAACATTGTGAAATTCCAACCATCTATTATCGCATTGAACGATCACATGTTTGTCGAGCTCTCGGCAGAAAGGGTCTGCACTGACGTTGATTGGAAGAGGTGCTATGATGTCAATAAAGTATGTAGAAAACCATTAAAATAATCACTTCAGCAAAAGTGATCACCTTTATTTCAAATTCTTCCACAAATCATACTCCCTCAGTAGGTAGGTAGAACAGCTTCAACAATATCATACCTCATGACATCTTCCGCCCCCATCATCACAGAGAACATCTCAACTCTCTGTTATGAATGTCGGTCCGATCGAGGAACTCATGATTCTTCTCAATGATATATTCCCTCTCCCAAAGCCATCTTCTCCCGCGTCTCGCTTCTTGTCGATGGACATACACTAGTCGTATAAGGAACAGGTCGACAATAATCAGGAAGTAGAGAATCTTGAATGTGCTTCTCAGAAGTTCTATTGCTTGCTGAGGCTGTTCAAGCGAGACTAGCAACGTGTTATCTTGGGCAAAGGAAAGAAGTATTCGATGTCAACCAGGTTGTCGATCTACAGCATTTGGAATCTGCAAGGACATCCAGCTCCATTAATATTCAACACTAACGATCAACCGCCACAAAAGTCTGCAAGCACGCAATACTGCGACCCATATGTGACTCAAAATCCTTCAACCATGTGCTTCATCCATGTTCGATTATCTATATAGACCTGCAACGTTGGCCCAAGATTTACAAGGCCGATTGGCCGCTCAAGCTATAATGCTTGTTGGCGCCACTGAGCTTCTTGTCTGCTTCCATGTCGTGTGCCGACCCACTGAGGAGGCATGTAGAGCAAAGAAGAGTTGGCCTTGATTCCCTTACCCTGGTCGATTTGCCGGGCATTTCCTGAGGCTTAACCCACTTGGCTCGCATGGCGTGCTCGTCCGCCAGCCTTAATGGGCGCAATGGTATCGCTCATATTTTATTTCACAATATTCTCGTTGTCGCTTCGGTAGGGATGGCATTGATTCTTCGGCAATCACACCGTTTGTTGCGTGATGAAGTATTGCATGATAGTTGGCAAAAAATCCTTTTTGGAGTACCTAAGCCCAAATGGCTGTCACGGCGATCCAGAGAAACGTCACAGGTCTGGCCCTGCCGACCAAGTCTGGTGACTTGGCTGGACCAGATCTCCATGTTGGGTATAGATGATTTTTGCGACTGTCCGAGGTATGCTTCCTCGAAAGTCGAACCATTTCAACCTTGCAACTCGTTCAGTCTTGCCTCCCAGCCATCAACGCCGCGAAGCAGTGCCTCCAGCTCTTCCTTTTCGTCCTCCAACTTGATTCTCCGCTCAGCATCGAGTTCGCTAAAGACATAACCACCTTGACCGTCGAATTGCAGAATTACGCTGTGGTACTTCCACAGACTTCTTCGGTGGCTAACGGTCATTAAAGTAGTACCTAGACCTTTTGCTGTCTCGTACATGGTCTTTTCCATTTCAAGAGTGACCGAACTCGTGCATTCATCCAGGATCGCGTACTTGGGTTTGTGATAGAACAGTCTCGCCATGGCGATCCGCTGTTGCAGACCCCCGGAAAAGACGTCCCTCCACTCCTCAACAGCATCCCAACCGTTGGGACGGTCGAGGACCGATTCGATTTCAAGGATGGCGAGGATCCGCTTCAACTCGTCCTCAGAGCCTTTTTTGAGTCTGAATTCGTAGAGTGTATCTGGATAGATGATTTGATCCCTTAGTGTACCTCGACTGAGATATGGGCGTTGAGGAATGTAGAATATGTCTTCAAACTTTGGCTTCTTCACACTGCCTCCGTACACTGGCCACAGTCCACCCAAGATTCGGAACAAGCTCGACTTGCCACATCCATTGGGACCTACAATCAGAAGGTGGTCGCCTGGACGGATGTGGAAAGTCAGCTTTCGCACGAGAACATCGCCGTTTGGGCTGACAATGGGGACGTCGGTGAATTCGATGTTTTCGCTTTCCTCCACTGTGCCTCGACCTTGCAATACAAGGGCATTCTCCTCTATACTGGCTGAGCTGACCAACTTCTTCTGGAATCGACCGGCAGCAACTTCGTCCATGACATCCAGTAGGCCGGCGACTCTTGAAGTGTGTCCAGCAAGTTCGTTGATCTCTTTATACGAAAACATCAGGCGGCCAAATGCATCGGAGCTGCTCAACAACATCCTCCGATTCTTGACAAAACTCTCCGTATGGTCTCCTGCACTCTCTAGAGACTGACCGGGAATCTTGAAAAAAACAGGCAGTGAACACAAGAGCAAGCCTAGGGCGCCCCAAAAGTACTTGATAACAAAGTCTTCCATCAGACCATGGTAAAATCTTCTTCGAAGGATGCGATTGACGTGCTTGATCAGAGTGAAATAACCCTTGTCCAGGCCATCCTTTTCGGCCTCGTGGCCCGCGTAGAGAGCAATCTCTTCGCTGTAATCGATGAGTCGAGTATGCTGAAACCTGAATTCGCCTTCGAGGCGGGCTTCATCGGCGACATATTTGCCAAATGGAGGAGTCAGAGCGCGCATGACGTTGGCTGACACCTGAACGAGTAAAGCCATGGCAAATAGGCCTTCACCACCGACTGATTTGGATAGAGAGTAGTTATAGATGACCATGTCAAGGATTGGCTTGGCTAGGTTCGAGTAGAGTTCCGCCAAAGAGTTACTAAAGCGTGAAACGTCCACGGTGATGAGTTGGTCGGCGTTCTTGATCCGATCATCCAGTGCCGACAGTGTATAAAAGGTCATATTGTCGAGATATTTATCGTGAATGTGGTTCGTTAAGCGGGTCCGGTAGCATAAGGCGAGTTTGGTCTGGTGATATTGTAGCATGGAATTGGTGAAAGTGGCCGGAACCGCAACCAGCATCCACCATACTAGCCCTAAGACAAAGTCTCGGCCACGGCCTTTTACCAGAGCTGAGACGACTTTGCCATCAAGGTTCGCCACATATAGAGACAATAGGGTGCGCAGGACGAGAAAGACGCTGTGACTGACTAGCAAACGAAGCTCTTTGCTGCGCAGTCCTGGAATGACAATTTTAAGTAATCGGAGCAGATTCCGGAAGAATTCACGATTGATTTCCACTCTCTTCTTCTTGTGATGTTTTTCTTCGGCTTCTGGATCGCCCGTTGACGCGATTTGTTGATCTCGCAGTTCAGCCTGCCTCCTCAAGGCCGCTTTCTGTTCGGCGATTGCGTTGTAGACTCGGTGGATTAAGGCGAGCACCAATGTGATGTAGACGGTGCGAGAAATCTTGGTTCGATGCTTGAGGTAGAGCGACGTCAACTCGGAGGCGAGTTGTTTGATCGTGCGACCAGGCGGGAGTAGCTTGGATTGGACTGCCATGGTGAAGACGTTGCCACGGACAGTGAGAATAAGGGATGTATGAGGCTTGCTACATTAGATGTCGATCAAGGCTCTCGTCGTGGCATTGCTTGCCTGCGCTGCACATATTGATGAGTCTTGAAGACAAGAATGGTTGACCAATGCGTACCACACAACCAACGTTGGCACCTGGCAACTTGAGTTGGTAATAATGCCTCGGACCAACATGTGCAATTGACGTCACCAATCAGATCGCGTCAGTCTAGTACTATTTAGGTAAAGCATAGCCTTGTCCATCCCTGATCAATATCGAGACGGCTTCACAAATGCTAAGTAGTTTACTGAACACATCTCTGTCTGCTACATTCTGCTAGGACAGTTCTCACTGAAATCAGCACATCTTCTTCCCTACGTCAATATCCCTTGGCTTGCTGCAAGTAGTACTTCAAAAGCCTTCTAACAGCTCTCGCAATGTGATCGGCTTTCTGACTGCGTTGGAAAACCCTTCGTGAAAGCTCACCCACACTCGCCCGCCACCGTCTTTTGCTGCAACGGATTCTGGCTTGTTCGAGACGTTGCCAGCCGACATGGGTCGAACTTCGTTGACAATTCGTCCGAAAAAATCCCTCTTTCCACCCAGGCTATTCATGGCCTGCTTGATCTTGTCTGTTGAACCTGCACCGACATTCTCTTTGTCTTCTTCGCAGGTCTGTATCGCGTCTAGGAGATCCCCAGAGCCACGAGCCTGACGAGCAAGACTGTTTTGCAGAAGCTTCTCCTTCCTGAGTTCCTGGTCTAGCACCTGTCGAACAGCGTACCTCACAGGTGCTTTAGACGCAGCTCTGTCTTCGAAATGGTAGGCGAGAAGATTGTCGAGAGGCCTCCATGTCGGTTAGTATGACTCAAGCGCAGCGTAGAATGTACAACTTACGGTTCCATCCGGTACACATATCCACCATTGGAGTGCGCGCCGCCGCCTTCCACTTCAAGTCGAACCTTGTCAAAGCTGACATTCAGCGCCAGCATTGCACGCACCGCACTTCGCACACACTGCTTCTCGCTCTCCTTCCTAACACTGGCGATACTCGATGCACCACCACTGCCTCCGATGACCACTGGCTTCACATCCGGTGCTAGGATACGTCCCACACTGGGCACTAACTCCATGGCAATTGCGTCAACAGAACTGAACAGTCGGAGCAGGGATCCTGAGAATGATGACTGCATCTCCGTCAATAGAGCCCGGTTCTGCTTCTCTGCCTCATAAGCAGCAAAGTCAGCTTTTGGGCCGCTGAAGGGGTGTTGTTTGACCGCATCCTCCTCCACCTTGGAAGGGTCCTCGTTCCAACCTCTCGCGCCTTTGTTGATGGATGCGAACAGATGGTGGAACCCACACGCACCCGTGCTCAAATACGGCGTCAGCTCCCATTCCTGTCCAGAAAAAACTCGACTTGACAAACGGTCATGCAAGTGCAACCACTCGTAGCCTGCATTTGGTTTGGTCAAGTACACATCGTCCTGGAAGACTTGTGTGGGGTAGGTCGCGAAACAATCCGTCATCAGTCGATCATGCTCGCCACAGGTGTCGACCATCTCCCTCAAAGCTGTAATAGCTACGCGTTTGCGCAAATCGGCGATACCGATCGGATTGGTGTTCGAGTCTGCAATGAGCCGTGCATCTTCCGCACTCAACGCCGTGGGAAGATTAGGAAGCCCAGCGCCTTCAAGAAAGACTCTTTCAACCACTTCCCGGACCCCACCTCGTCCCAGGCCCTTTTGTCCTTGCTGTGTATTTCCAAGATGAGGCTCCAGCCATTGCCTAGTCAGCCGCATACCTGTTCCAGAGTGCCTTAGCTTACGCGCGATGCCTTCCGCCTCGACGAGAACCCCCCGAATATCTCCTTCGCCGGAGCCCCGAGCTCCCGGACCTCTCTGTTTCCGCATGGCCAAACCCCAAGCGTTTTCACAGAGTCGTCTGACGGCATCATTATCACATGCAATGGACTCCCTTTCGAAAACCGTCTTGATCCGGGCTATCACCTTGTCGATTGGTGCTTTTCGCACATGAACAATCTCTGCCATGGGCGAGGTTCGCAGTGGTCGTAGTGACGGAGCATAAACATCATTGCAGACCAAAATGAGCGGCCGAAGCATCCTGAATCGGTCACCCTTTTTGGGACCTTGAAGCTTTCCATTGCCAGCTTTGTTGGAATTGCGTTGATCAAGCTGCACGAGGTCAAGTAGAGCCTTGACAAATCCTCCTTCACCTCCAGCTGACGCTGATCCTGTCGTCACACCATCGACTTCATCCACGACGACACATATCGGCCGACCAGCCTTTCGAGCTTTGCCGTCCTCTTTAATACCACGAACGGTCTCCGTGCCAAGGACGTCCTTGATACGACCTCTGACAACATCTTTGGATCGATCGTCACTGGCGTTGATCTCCAGCACTTCATATCCAGCTTGCTTGGCACATACATGAGCAAGGGTCGTCTTGCCAAGTCCTGGAGGTCCCGTAAGAAGGAGAATCTTTTTATGTTGATACTGCTCCGGGTCTACAGCGTCGAACTTCCGCATCGCTTTCATTTTAGTACTGCCGGGGAAAACGATGTCATCCCACCATTTGAGCCACCGAAGGACAGATCTGTGTGTTCTCTCATCACCGACCAGTTCAGTAAACTTTTTGGCCCGGTACTTTTCTGCCCACATCTGGTGCTCCATCGGTTTTGAGGTGGATGTTTGAATCGACACTTGAGCCTCGCCTGCAGGGGCATCAACTTTGGCTTTCTGGGCCTGTGTGGCATATTGATCTAATTGACGCTGAGTCTTTGCATCATCCATCAGTTTATGGATATCAATGCCATAATATGACCTTCTGGCGCGACCTGGTGCTGTTATTGAGCGTTCCGCAATGATGGATTCGTATGATTGGGTGCTTGGTTTTTCCCTGGGCTGAATCTTAACTTCCTGGCCGGATGACATCTGAACTGATACAGTCTTTGACACTAGTCTTCTCATAAATGATCGCGGAGCAAGTGCAGGTCCTGGTGGGATAATGTTTAGGCCGTCAACATCGTTCCGAATGTCGGGGCAGGTTCGACTCGTTTCTGGTTCCAGCGGCGGAAGAACGGGCTCGCCCTCAGTATTCGCCGAACGGAGCGGCCTTTCTTCGGGTCCTTTCTCTTCTTCATCTCTCTCCTCATCGCTGTCAGCCAGAAATCCTCCTATGACCTTTTGCTTTTTCGATTGCGCATTGCCCGGGAACGGTTGAAAGAGCTTGCGTTTTCGAGCAAGTGACGGTACAGGAGGTGATGAGCTGGCGGGATATAACACTGGAGAAGAGGAGAACGTCATGCCGTCGGAAGATAGCTCTGAAATTGGGCCGAGAGGATCAGATGGGGGATCAATGTCGTTCAAGGCTGCATTTCTGAACGAAGTTGGATCGAGATGGGCTTTGAGGGAGGCTAATTCGTGTAGAGTCTCGAGGTCGGTGGGCTTGAAGCAGGGAGAGACGACGACAGTCTGATTGTCGGCAGTCATTGGGTCAACACTCGAGCCGCACGTAACATATGGAATGAGACTTCTCGAGTTGGGAATTATAGTGCCTCATGTGTTCAAAGTCTGCTTCCAATATATTTACAGACAACCCATGCACTTGTCGTTTGACGCGGTCGCGCTTCCCCACAAACGCGCGTCTCTTGGTAGTCTTACCCACCGTAGCGATTTCCCCGCTTTTGCGTGAAGAGAGTAAAAGTTCGCTGTAATTCTCACATCCAAGTTTGAGGCGACTTCCAGTACCAACATCTGACGGACATGGCCCAAAGTCAACGTCAAAGACCGCAGCTTCACCCATGGGACAAGCCATCGTATTCGAACACATTGGAAATGACGCATGGGCTCCTGGTTCCGACGTCTCGCTCGTTTCGCACACAGAAGACTCTTCAAAGCCAGACCCCGGCCTGATGTAAATGGAAACCCAGCGCAGTTGACTGGCACCTCCCATTCATCGAACGTCCATCTCATCCTGCCCACGTCAGCCGGCGCTTCACTCGCCCAAGCCATACCAGGATTCCTCGCTAGCCTCAGAGAGATGCCCCGAGAAAACATCGCCGACACAACTGCTGCAACCTTTGCGGAGTAAGTCTTTCAGCAATATTTCCCTGCACTAGACCGTCAAAGTCAAAGACAGTCAATCTGGATTTGGACTTGTACCTGTCCAGCGCTGACCCTGAACATGCGCCGCAAAGGCTACTATCGGGCCCTCTTCTCGATATATACGTGGGCCCCGAAGGTCGAAAATGGACTTTGCCTCGCAACCTCCTCAGCTACCACTCCCCATTCTTCGATGAAACACATGTGGTCAATGGTGAACATAGAAGAATCAAGGATGGACAGTTAGACTTGCGCGACGAAGATCCTGGAGCATTTCAACTTCTCGTGAAATGGGTCTATCAAGGCAAAATCGATGATGTATCCTGGATACCAAAGGATGTCAAATGGGATTATGCATTCACGTGTCAGAAGCTCTACCTTCTGTGTGACACGCTCGAGTTACTAGATCTCAAGAATCTGGCCATCGATCAGTTTCGGAAAGGTTGCCATGAGGCTGGGTTGGTGCCTGGACCGGAGGAAATGAAACCCATCTACCAGAAAACACCCCCGGACTCGCCGTTTCGTCGGCTTGTGAGCAAAATTGCGGCAAGGCAGATTATGGATCCTGACTCGGACAAAGATGCCTCGTCATATAAGGAGTGCTTCGCTGCGTCTCCTGACTTTGCCGTGGATGTGATTAATGCCATCAAGCAATCTTCCGGTGGCTCACTGTTTGATGATCCGACAGAAGGCAATTCTTGCAGATTTCATGAGCACCAGGCAGGCGAATCATGCCAGAAAACTGTCAAGTTCAAAGACCCTTGATGATACACACTCAGTTACTCAAACACTGAGTACGTCGATGCTCAGAGGATCGCAATCACCAACTCTTCTACACAACTTTCTTCGAATTCTTGCCGACCACCTAACTCTGGACTACGCAATGATTTATGTCCGCCACCAATCTTTCAACCCTATCTGCTTCCCCCCATAAGCAACGATTGACCAATTTCACCAATGAGCGTTTCCTATGATATACATGTACAAATACAATCGAGTCGGAGCGATTACTGTCATTATCGTTCATTTGCAAGTAAAATCAGGTCGCTCATTTGATTGTTTCACCCGGTTTAATGAATGTGGGACCTCCCAGCGTTCTCCACGACGCGTGTGGATCTTTTCTTTGAAAGCACGATTGAGCTTTGGCGTATGCTTATGGCAGTGGGTATGAACCATGAGCTTGATCACTCCATGTAGGGCAGAAGATTTCTTTTCTGAGAGAGCATCGATGAATGCATCTTGTCAACGAGCAACATTTTTATCACTGAATGAAGCGCGATGATGAAAACCTCCGTCTTTCTGTTGAAACAAGCTTGCATGGCTTTATGGCTTTCCGTGGTTTTCCTTTGATCGCATATAATCGTCGTGGACTGGTGCTTGACCCTGACACGAAAACGCACGCCCCGTACCATCGAGTCCTGCTAGCGTCAAGATCAGGAGCAACTTGGGTATCTGCCTTTCTCAGCATCGTGTTCCCAGGCGCCGCTGGCTGCAAGAAACTCTATCGCGCACTTTCTACATACTCTGCGCTAGGTTTCTCATACTTAGCACAGAAGAATCGAGAGCTGTTCTGAGCTAGCCAAGTGCTGAACTTGCTCAATTCGGTTTTGAGGCGGTTGACCGACGCAGCATCCATGTTTGTCTGTGCAATGATCTCGGGAAGATTCACTAGACACTCGAGTCAGTATTGTGCACAAGGACAGCTGCGCAAGGAAGGGCGCAACTGACCGACCATACGGGTGAGATGCTCAGCCCCGTAACAATCACCGGGGCCTCTCCCTTCCCAGTCTTTGTGTTGCCCGGATTCCCAGAGCTTGCGAACCTATGTTTGCGTTAGGACCAGCGATTCATGTGGTTCTGCATACGAGGGCGCAAGTGGAGTGACGTACCTCTGCCAACTGTGCACGTTCAAAACGGTATAGCAAGATCTTGCCAATGGCTTTTTCAAAATATGTTTTGAGACCAGCGACAAACTCTAGTAGGATATCTGCTTCGACCGAGCCAAGGCGGCGATTCAGTTTCTCCTCGTTGAAATATTCGTCTAGGATGTAGTTTGCAGGTGCCTTGCTTGGGAGTGGGACTAGAAGCAGCGACTTGGTGACATTCTCCCAGTCGTCAACGAGCAGGCTTTTGAGATGATCGGGAATCGATATTCGAATCGATGGGCGATTGTAATAGTTGTCTTCCTGCAAGTTCAAGACATGTAAGCAATCTGGTCATTCAAGATAACCCAAAAGACGCAAGTAAAAGAAAGACTAATCCTGGGAAGTTCCTTGGGATCCAGAAGGTGACGACGTGTCGCCGAAACTACAAAGATAGCCTCTGGAGCGACAGACGTAACATTCAGGCTGTTCTCCATTGCATCTGACTCCCAGGGCGATGCATGTTGTGCATCTTTTGGACGAGTGGATCAAAGGCTGGGCTGCTGGATCGCCAACGACTATCACTCGAGCGAAACGTTGGGTAGCGCTTGCTCGAGGGTGTGCTCTCTTGTGACCGACAACAGTCTGTGGTTTGGACGGGGAGCCCGTTCCAGGATGAGATTTATGATACAATCGAGCCTTCTTGGATGACTTGTCCACCGTTTCGTGATCTGGTGAAGTATCTGGCGATTGGTCGAGGTCGGTGACGTCTCGCATTTCAGGCTCGCTCTGTGAAACTCGATCGGATACATTGCGGCGAGGTCTCTTATTAGGGAGCAAATATGGAACATGCTTGATTGGTTTGTTCCGGGTCCCGGGCGAAGCGCCAGTGGGGCGAGAATTGGGAGTAACATCTTCGTGGTCAGATGACATTTCGCTCATAGCTGGACTTGTGGCAACGCTGGATGCTGGCTTGGATGAAGGGGGCAGCTGTGGCTGGGGCTTCTTGGAAGTGACCGATTGTTCCTGTTGGACGAAGTCGCATCGAACATTGATTGATCCAGTCACATCCTCCAAATCGGCATCAAATTCAACGAGGTCTTCGAGTTCGTTGTAAAGGAATACATTGTGTTTTCCACCAGTAATGGGGCGAGGGTTTGAGTTGGCGCTTGTGCCCGATTTTGTTGATTTGATGACATTAGAACCGCCCCCGAGCGCAGCCGACTCGTCATCGTCATCGCAGCCATCCAGGAGGAAACAATATCTGTAGACTGCCACAGGATTGTAGAGCAGCGGGTTCACGTGGGGAGGCCTGTCCAGGGTTGGCAGGCCTGGTGTTGGGGTGTTCTCAGGAGTAAAGGCGGCTTGTGGGAGTTGGGAACATGGAAAAGGATGATTAAGAGAGGAAAAATCAGGTCCGGGTCCAGATCCGGGTCCAGGTTCTCCGGAATGTGCGAGGACTGGATTGAAACTGGGAAACGGAGGGGACATATCCAGATCAAGCAGAGGTGAATTTCCAGGGGTAAAAAAAGGGAAGTCACCAACCTTCTCAATATCATTATCCCTGGCACGTTTCGAGCCACGACCACCTGTAATGGGTGCAGATGATCTCTCCTCGCTGCCTCTTCCAGAGCCGAATTCAGAACCTTGGCCACGTCGTGATTTACTGGTTGTTTTGGGAGGTGCTTTGGATGCGGTTTGGGCGAGAACTTCTCTCCGTAGATTATTAGCGAGCTCTCGGTTGTCATCGGTGAGTTTGCGCAGCCGGTCCTGAGGCACCCAGTCGTCCCAACTATCAGTCATGTCAGTAAATGCTGGATTAGTATGATGAAGCGTAAAAGCGGAACAGTGTGTGCACCAGAAACAGTCGGAGCAACCCAGAACAGATCGATGAATGTAGAAGAATGAGTGAATGAATGAATGGCATTGTTGGATTGATGTGCAGAGGCAGCAACTTTCAGTCCTCCTGCTGGCATACTGTATGCACGTCGTAGGGGAAAAGACAAGGTGAGGAAAAGTAAGGGGGTTTGGGAGTATGAATACTGACGTGTTCTTCCATCCTTTGTAATGGACACGATACTCAAAGGGACTGGACTTATCCTTTGGATCTGAGCGTCTTGATTCGGTGACTTTGGCCTCATAAAGTAGCTCGCCGTGAAAACACAAGGCTTTCTCGTCCTTTGCGTAAACTGGCTTACTCTCGCTTGAAGCAGGGGCCATGGTGTAGATGGAAGACTGGGATTTTGGGGTGTCCTAAAATCAAAGTGGAGGCAAGGAGACTTTAGAGTTAGGAAAGAAAAGGGTCGCTCGAAAGAGCTGGACTCGGCGCGGTCGATGGAAGAGTGTGATTGCTGGAACCTTGTAAGTCAGATCAAACGCGATGCTTGCTTGACTTCCGACAAAATGCTGTGTGAGAGAAAGCGACCAACGATGGAGCAGACGCTGGACAGGAAGAAGATTGCAAGGAAGACGAGTGGTGGTAGTCAATGGAGGATGAGGATGGGATGAGAAGGGGAGGATGAAAGATCAAAGATCAAAGATGGAAGATGAATGGCGGCTACACTCAATTAATGCTGCGTGATGATTGGTCAGTGAGCCCCTGCCACTAGTTCCATCTGCCTCCTTCATTCAGGACGCGTCCAGCACCAGACAACTGTGATCAAAGGAGACCAAACTCGACCCTGGGAACGTTCAAGGTCAAAAGGTCCGTTAATACACAGTCTTGAAAGACTATTGACGCGTTCAAAACGCGTAATAGATCGAATCTTCCGCAAAAGGAAGTCCTTATGTCTTTGGTCTCCTCTACACGTTGGACGCTACTCTGACAACCACCAACTATTGAGCACAAGCCCCTCCTACGGGTGAACGTCGATATCAACGGGACCAATTCGTCATATGGTTTAAACTGAGCCAGAGTTTTCAGTGGAAAGGCCTCACAGAACACCGCGTGGGGTCTTCTCGTTGAATCTTCCCTCCTTGTCACGAGGCACCAAAGTTTTACAGCCCAGAGGACCATGGCTACATCTTCCTCTTCCTCTTCGCTCCACCCAACAGAGTCTCAAATTCTTCATTCATATCTACTGCACCCGTCGCCTCTCCCAACCATCCTCCCGTATAAAAGTTTTCTCAACCTTGTCCCAAAGACAGTCCTCTCCACGGTCTCGTCCCAACCCACAATCCTGAAACGGCTATATCGGGACCTTCAATTTCAACGGGAGATCAACATTGACGATGTGCGGCGGCGGATTGAAACGGAATGTCGAAGAAGCGTGGAAATCCAGGCACGACTGAGGAGGGACGTGGGCCGAGAGAATTTGATGCAGGATCGGCCTGGTGGGATAACGAGGAAACGGAAACGAAATGGTGACGACGGGCTGATGGAGGACAACATCACCATGACTTCTGGTCATCTCACAGGCCCACTTTCAAATGCGCTCGATGGTTCTGAGGCTATCCCGCGCTCGGTGCCTGGATCTGACTCTGACTCTGACCTGGATTTGGGACCAGAGACCTCCGATCATAAGTCTCATCAGCAGCAAGTCATCCTCGACACCGCTCTTCACGGCCACCACGGGGGTACGCTGCGCCCGCAAACATGGCGACACAATCACACAAGTACCAGTCTTCTCGCTGCACTCTCGTCAGCGGAGAAAGATCTCGAGATCGAAATTGCGATGCTGCAGGAGGATCTCGCGGGTTTGAAGAAGGACTGCGATGAGAGGGTGGGAGCCCTGAGTGACTTGCGTTATGGCCGGTTCGCCAACAAGGGGGTGAGTGGCGGCCCCGGAGTGGAAACAGAGGTCACGGATGGGTTGGAACAGGCAAGGGCGGCGTTGGTACGGGCAAGCTAGAGCGAAGGCTACGGGCGTGTTGCTTTCGAATATGACATTGCAGGAAGCCTTGTGCACGATATCCTGCAGTTTAGTAGATGGAGAGGATCAAATCACGAATCAACTTGTTCGACAACGGTGTTGCAGTGCGGTGGAAGATGGTATATATTCCTGAAATAACGGTGAGAAAACTCCGACGTCATGCCGCTCCAACATGTTTGTTCCCAGTCGCTAGCGTCCATCCGTGAAGCATGCTCATCGGATGATGCACAATGCACTGCATCCGGCAACACCCACGTTCTGTACATAGTCACTTTCTGTCCATCTCGAAACCGAGTCACTGGGAAGTCTCCGGCCAACAAGACTTATGCCGCCTAGAGGTCGATCTGGGACAAGATCCATGTTACTTGTGTGCTTCAAGAACTTTGTCCAATTCGTCGGGGCTGCCCATAAAGATGCCCGACCGGTCATGAATGCTTGCTGGCTTGACCTCGAGCATTCGGGTCATGTTTGAATCAATGGCTTTGCCACCGGCATTTTCCATGACCATGGCCATGGGAGCACATTCATAGAGAATGCGCAATTTACCCTTTGGACTTTTCTTATCGGCAGGATAGGCAAAGATGCCCCCGTACAGCAGTGTGCGGTACGCATCGGCGACCATGGACCCAATGTAACGGGATGAATATGGTTTGCCGCCCTCTTGTTTGGGGTATTTCAATCCTTCAAAGTAGGCCTTGGTCTTGTCGCCCCAATACATGGAGTTTCCTTCGTTGACACTGTAGATGGCACGTTTTTTGGGAATACGCATGTCGGGGTGAGTGAGGATGAATTCTCCGAGTGCGTTGTCCTGTTTTTCGAGGTCAGATACAATATGTAGGGGGCGAGGATGTGGTGGCTTACCAGAGTGAAACCATTCACGGTGCCGCCTTTCATGGTGATAACCAGCTGGGCTGAAGCGCCGTACATAGTGAATCTGGGCTTGTTAGCATCGTCATGATGACACCAAGAAAGGGGGACGAGAGCATACCCAGAAGCCAACAACTCGGTGCCAGGCATGAGAAGGTCCTCGGGAGTGGGTTTCTTTCCAATCAACTCATCGGGTAGCTTCAATACGCCAAAGATGGTGCCGACCGAGACGCCGGCGTCGAGATTGGAAGAGCCATCGATTGGATCACAGCAGACGACATATCGAGCGTTGGGGTGCTCATCAAAGTAGATGACCTCATCCTCTTCCTCCGAAACCAGTGCTCTGCACCGACCGGAGCCTTTCATGGCGGCCACAAATAGATCATTTCCGATGACGTCGAGTTTCTTCTGATCGTCACCAGTGGTGTTGGAGGAACCGGCCAACCCGGTCAGATTGATCAGGGTAGCACGTCGAATGTAATAGGCAATGGATTTGAACGAGAACTGGAGGGCGTGGCATAGTAGTCTACCCGAGTGTCAGTCAGCGAACTTCCAGTGTCTCGACCATTGAGGCAGGGTTTTTGTCTCGACTTACGTGAAATCACCGGTGGCTTCCTTATGCTTTGCTTGTTCTTCAGTAAGATGTCGTGTGAGCGTGATAATGTCGGTGTTGATGCGTTCAGTACCGGTGCCAGTGCTGTGGCCGTTGCTGTCTCCGTTGGCGGCCATGGTGAGAACAACGCAGTCGCAGGGAGCAAAGCTGGGAAACGGTGTAGGTCAAGGAGGTGTGATGGTAGTTACTATCGGGAGAGGGATTCCCAGGGTTGGACACTTCCGGCGGTTATATTCGGTTCTCGGAAGAATGGAGAATAGAAAATGGGAGGATGGAAGTCGGAGGACGGAGGATACGCGGAGAATTGCAGTTTCCAATGGTTCGAGTCGACAACCAAATCAAAGACCGGGAGACAGGACTGAAAATGGGAATAGAAATGAACACGGGAATGGGACCAGGTGGAAGTAGAGGAGGATATGTATTTGGGACCAAGAGCTGAAGGTCAGGATGGGTTGTTGAGGACAAGGTCGAGATAATCTATTCCGAAGGTCCCTTTGTTGACCATGGCGATTCCGGCCCGCAAGGGCAAATCGTCACGAAGTGAATGCCGCTTGTATCCCTGCCGAGCAGTACGAGTAACATGGAGGACATTCTCTGACGCAGTGGTATAAGGTTCTCCGCATTGATCTGATTCGCGAGAGGATGGCAATGGGGCCAAAGGCCGGGTTCTGGAGGGATGAAACTGTTATGGTAGAGGCAAACGGCCGAGGGGCGACGCGGGGTGAAATCTGCGAGCGTCACCTGCAGTAAAGGCGAGGGGCAGGCACCCGGGGGGGGGGCACCCGGGGGGGCACCTTCCTACCATTTGCCTGCACCTGCGCCTGCACCTGCACCTGCACTTGCAGTTGGACACAAAAGCTCGACGTGTGCCAAGGCCCGTATGATGACGGATCTTTTGTGTTTTGTCAGATCAAAATGACTGTCATCATGGCCCCAAAACACGCCCCAGTTGGCCTAATCTGATGGTATTGCCACTGTAATAATCACTTACCGGGAATTTCTCGCCATCCTCCTCCTACTTTTCCCGACCTCAGGTTTGTTGGCCTCCTCCGCCGTGTCATTCCTCACTCATTCTCTTTTCTTCCCTTGGCTATTGTCTGCCCCTCAGCCCTATCACGCTCATGAAAAACAAAGACCTCGGTCATCTCACCCCGAGAAATTCATCGGTGGTGCCAGATATCTCGCATCAACCGGCTATGGCTGCAAGCTTGCCCAAAGCCGACGCAACACGGCAGTTGGCATCTCACATCTCAGTCATGATTTGCTCGCCACTACTGCTTTGCTAGCGCTTTCGACACTCTTGACTGGTCCATCCGTCATCCTTGATGTTCTCATCATCTAGAGCCATCTATCAAAGCTGATCAATCTTTCACAAACGCCAGATGACTGTGTCGAGCAGAAACATGCTCGCTTCATGACAGCCAGCGGGTGAACAGTCTTCCCCGTTGTCCCATATCACATACGCATGGTTCACCCTCCCCAGCCTTGGGAATCACCAATACATATTCAATGGATCAAGGGATCATGCCATTGGCTGGTCGGGGTTTGGACTTGTATCACCGCAGGCCTCTATCTCGCTTTCGTTTCGCTTCAACTCGCTCCAGGCACAATGTGACTTTCTCGTACCGTCACCTCGATTGATTCATCCCAACCCCCAGTGGCCTCCAGGTGCGCCTTGATCATGGCCTTCTTCGTCTGGAAAGCATTCCCCAGTGCCTCCGACCACTGTTCCTCCACCATGGCAACCTGCTGCTTCAGCTCGGCCGTCGCCTCTGCCTCCTCTTTTTGCCTAATCTTGATGGGATTGTCGGCATCCGCAGGGCTGTGACTGTTGCTCTGAGCCTGGCCCGCCTCCGCCGCTCGACAGTGTGCTTTCAACACTCCTAGCCTCGCCTCGTGAAGGAGACAGTACAGATTGGTCTGTGACTCGATGAACTGGTAAGTCGAGGTTTCTGCATGGTCTAGAAGCGTATAAAGATATTGCAGTGGGTAGTCGTGGTACGATGGGTTTTCCTCATACTCTGCCGCCGGAATGGCAATCGGCTCCATGTGTTCCACGTCATCCGACACTTTCTGCATGAGGTCCAAAAGTCCTGGAGCAATGTCCCAGAATGCCGAGAGCTGAATCACCACCTCCTGCCGAACGTGCTCTTCAATCAGCTTCAATAATGTCTCGTGTCGAGCAACCGACTCCTTTCGAAACGTCGTCTTACGCTGCAGGCTATCTCGGTGGAAAAAGTCCTCGGTATCTCGGATCTTTTCGTGATGTGCGACTTGCCGGTACGGCAGGAGGACGATCGCCTTGTACTTTTCGTTGCGTTCGCTAAGGAGATTGTAGATCTCTTGATGGATTTGCTCCCGTGCCTCAAACAGCCACTTGAGCTGCGTCAAATATTCCAACGTCTCCGGAGTTGCATCCCCCTCCTGCTGTGGCCGATCGAGATTCTCCGCTTGCGTCTCCTCGGCTAATGTGCTGGTCAACTCCGCGATGCTCTTGTCGAGTTGTTCCAGCCGCGTGTTCAACATGTCATGCATCGGCGTAATCACCACATCCTGCAGAGTGTCGAACTCCGCTTGAAGACACTGCTTCTCTCGTCGATGCTCCTCGAGTTTCAACGCCTGTTCAGCTTCCGCCGCCTCCGCAAACGTGATGCTTCCATCCGCGATCTGCGCCTGAATGTTGACCTTGAACGACTGTTGCCTCTCTAGTATCTTGCGCTTGTGATCCGACCTCAACGCTTCCACGCTCAGATTGTGTCGGGATCTTCGATCCTCCAGCTCGGTCAATTGACTCAGAGTTCGAACAATGTTCCTCGAAGCGGCTAATTTGGGGTGAGTATTGTTAACCGCCGGGTAGTGTCGTGGGTAGGGCGGGGGTAGCGTGATGAACCTCGAGATGTCTAGCGCGTGTGGACTGACAACGTAACCTGGCGTTGGATCGATTGTCGGCTGCGCTTCGTACTGGGCATCATAGTACCCGAAGCTCGCGAACCCGCCCTTCTCGCCTTCTTCCGCACCTTCGCTGCTCAACACATCTTGGAAACCTGTGGGCGTGTCATCCCCCGACAACACCTCATCGAGTGTGAGCTCAGGAAGCCCCATGTATTTCGATTCCCGCTTGGAGCGCTTGACCTTTTTCCCTGCTCCGACGCCCTGTGAGTCGTCATCCCCGGTCTGTGACTGCCACCACCGACTTGCTGTTCGACCTCGGGAGCTCACACCGTCATGGCTCATACTCGCTATCGGTGACAGGGCGGGTCGATAGTCTTTCCACCACGTCGACTCTGCGCGACTCTGGTACCCACTTTTCAATCCGTATGGATGTGCCTGCTCTGCTGCATTTGCCAGATTGTTGGGGACATCAGTTTCAACTCGCTCTTCGAACACATCCTGAAACAACTGTGCTTTGACCGTTTCTGGCGTGAAACTCCCGTCCGCGAATGGTCCCGGGTATCGCTCCCTCCTGACTCTCGATTCAGCACAAATGAATTCCCCAAATAGTGCCAACCGCTCTAGGTCCGACTTGGCCTGACTTTCACGAATCAAAAACTCATGATGACGGCGAGAGGCATCTGCAATGAAAGAGTCCGAATCGCCTTGTAGAATCTCGAACAACGAGGAAGCAGTGGAAGGTAACACGCTGTGCGCGGATAATGGATTTTTCTGGCTCAATGGTGGGGTCGGCAGGGCTTTTTGAGGGAGAATTGACGAGGTGGATCGTGGGCTGAAAGGGTTTGTCGGAGCAAGGTTTATGAGCTGCGAAGGAATTTCAGCATGCGACACGTCAGTTACAACCCGCAACTGTTGTTGAACGGGGGTGGTGGTACCCAAGCTGAAACTTGGGCTGGCGACAGACGGGACTGCAGAGTCAATATCGCGTGTGCGACTATCTCCAAATTCGCGAGGACTTGAGCTTTCGAACCACAGGTCAGTATCAATGGTCAATGCACTAAAGTCTGTTAGCGGCTCTTCATGTACGCTTCTTCTGTGCTTGCGTCTTTCAAGTAAACCTTTGGCTGACGAAACTCGAAGTGCAGCACTACGACTGAGACCTGCCGTGCTCGACTCTGGCCTGTCAAGATTGCTCGTCACGATCTGTAGGGGTGGAGGTGCTCTCGAGCTCGAACGAGAAGTTGAACCCTCTCTCCAACTGGCAGGGGTTGGTGGCATTGGGCTCAACAAGGGGGCCTGGCGCGAAATGCGATGGTACCCACGTCCATTGGGCACCGGCTGTCTAGATGAAGATGCATTGTTCATGCCGCTTGCACTCTGCGATCGCGAGGAAGATGGGGGAGGTCCAGGCGGAGGCCCTGGAAGAGGCATTCCAGGATACCAACTCCCTTGTCGAGACGATGGTCTCGACAGTGGTCCATCCTGGATTTGAGAGCCATGCGAGGATACAGCGCCAGCAGACGCAGCCCTTCGAGCAGCTGGGGGGCCCGGTACGGAGATAACGTTCGAGTGTTGAACCGGACCTTGGCCGTATGTGGCACCAGATGGAGGAGAAGTGATCGACAATGGGCCTAGAGTAGGCTGCCTTGCCATGATCAGAGTAGGTTCGCCGGGTCGGGTTTCTGTTGGCGCGGGCATTGTATTGAGCCTTGGTACTCGGTTTCCAAAAGTGCTTGGACGGTTCAACCCAGATGTGAATTGTTGAGCGATGGCCTGTGCATTTGCTCGCTGCCCAGTCTCACTGGAGACGGTATGACCTGAATGAAGTGGCGACATAAAACCCACCGTGCTCGTTGGTGTGTTGACCTGAGAAGATGTATCGCCTGTGAAAGTGGAATCTGCTGGGGACAGTGTTGATCCTGTGTTGATACCAGCAGTGGGAGTGGGGTCTGCGCTCGAAGGTCCAGAATATGGCGGAGGCGGGTTTGTGATGCCTTCTGTAGCACCATTAGAATGATAAATTAGACAGCCAGGTGAAGCTGCGCACCTTCTCCCTCGTTGCCATGACGTTCAATCATAGAGGTTCGCCGACTCCCACCAACCCACTCTCTAGGATCATAAGGGGCAGTATAGCTGAGCGTTGACCTCGAAGTCATCGTTGTCGCTGCCATGGGACTTGGGCCCGGTGTCTGAGGCTGGGAACGACAAAACGGCCCATACGATGAAACAGTGGATAACGGGGTGCCAAGAGGAGAGGGTAGGGCGTTGGTCAACGGCAGCAGGACCCCTGGGCGCGGGCAAGAGGTCTGAGGATGGCCATCCCAGGGGAGAGAGGAAGGAAAAGATGTGAGAAGAGAGGGTGTTTGGACATGATGAGCCTGTCTGGTTGTTGGGTAAGGTTTGCTTTGAAAGCCACGAGATGTTAAAACAGGTGTAGGACGCTGTGAGCACGGATCGGCAACATACTCTGACATTGTTGACTATGCTGGCACTCTACAAGCGGGAGTGATCCAGATTGGGGGAATAAGCGCCCGTGGACTGGAGTCACATCTGGTCAGATGTAGCGGATAAGGCTGGGCCAGGCAGAGGCTCTGGGATGTTGATCATTTGGCTAACCTAGGGGCATTCTGGGACATCATCAGAGAGGAAGAGGAAGAACAGGTATTGGAGGGGCTTGAACAAAGAAGGTGAAAGGCGACAGAAATAGAAAGATGGATATGCTTGACGCTTCGAGCATGACATTGGTTGATTCCTAGCAAGGCTAGAGGACGAGGCATAGGGGAAGGTATGGCCAGTAGCCAGCCCTGGTAAGCGGTCAGGATAGGCACTCCCCAGGTTGATCATTCAGAGGAGGAGAGCTCGCCGATGCAAGAATCAACGAATCAAGGAATCAGCGAGGGGAGAGCAGTCAGTCCACACATGCCAGACCACCAAGATGTGTAAGGCGTGCGAGCCATGCATTGAAAACCACTCCATGAGGAATGGTGTGTCTGCAGGTGTCTGCAAGTATGTTCTATGTTTGAGGAGTTTGGGCATGGCCAAACTGTGATGCAAGCAGCTGTGGACTGAAGCGAGACGGCCCAGACAGGGTACGGCGCCTATTCTCATCATGGGCTGACCAATGGCTGTGGAGTGCTACATGATCCGCGAGCTTGGTGATCCAAATAAAGATTCGAGTCAACGCCAAGCCGTGATCGCCTGTTTTGATCTAGCGCTGCTGAGGACGAATGCCAAGAGTTGATTCACGTGCAACGCAGCCAAAGTTTTGGAGATTTTGTTTCGCTCAAATTTTGGAGGCACTTCAAGGTTGCCAGAATTTCACAACAACACACCTCTGTGGGAGACGTTGTCTTCTTTCAGGCCATGATCATCCTCTGAACAACTCACGAATGGATGTTATTGACTGAGCTCTGCTCGCGGCTTGCTCCACTTCTCTTATGTATACTGACAACCAGGAACATCAGCAGTTTGTTCTGATGGCAGGTTCTCGATTTGAGAGCTGCTTCACATATCCCAGGAGAATATCTTTGGGGGGACATAGCAAGGCCACGATCCCAAGCATCATTGTAAGTCGCCTTCCTACCTACTCATTACTGCATCTCTGTCTGGTGATGAATCCGCATACCGCAACAAACTAGAGTCTTTGACCCAACATGGGTATGAAACTGCATTTGCAAGCACGTCAGTCTGATCAACAACATATCCTCACGAATGCCAACGATAATTCACGTTTGATGAATGACCGCTGACACTACCCAGAACTTGATTTAGGTCGACTCCTTTCTGATTCCTTTCTCAAATCTCCTTCCTCCATCTCTCTGCCCGAGGTATGCCACCCATTCATCTTCTTTCACCCTACAGCTTTGAAATGATGATCATTTCGATATAACAATATACGCTGGAAATTACCGGCCGAGACCCTCAAGTCGTTGACGATATCAAATGGCTATTTCTGATACTTCATCTCCCATATATTCAATCTTTGTCAGTTTTACAGAAGATAGAAGCTGACCAGAAACTACAAGATAGCAGGACACAACAAACGTGAGTCATCTTTAATTTGACATGCCTTGTCCCATCCGAATGATGAATGGCACTGGGCTCCGACAGCCAAAATGGCTGGTCTTGATGGATATGCCCTATTGTGGCAGGCCTAGAAAACCTTGCCCACTGATCAAAACCAAACCTTGGCTATCGACTTGTCAATCATGAACGGCACGAGTATGATAACTAATCATGTTTATGTTTGTTGGCAGTATCCCGCTATGCTGGACGGCTTCTGAAGAGTCCCGTAAGCTCAGTCTATTTGATCCCTCCAAACCCCCCATCATGATGATCCCCTTTAGATGACGAGTCTTATCCAGCTGTGCTGATGCAGAGACACATCAATTACCATTCATGCATAAACTGAATCCAGTACCCTCCGCGCACAGCTCTTCATGCTCCAAGGAGTTGCTTTTGCTAACCTTGTTTACGCAGGGCCATTGACACACAGTACGTTTGTACTCTTCTTTACCTCATTTTCACTCAATGATGAATCGACATTTTAAAGACAAGCATATGTCCAAGTTGGCTCCGGTCAACCGAGAAGAAATCGTCCTGGCTGAACAACAGCTCGTCCTGTTTCGCAATCAGTTTTGCTCCTGGGACAAGTCGCTAACAGATGAAGACACGCAGGTCCTTCATTTCCATAACATTCATGGTATGTTTACTCTTTCCATATCACTCTTGCCCTATTCCTCCAAATGATGATTTATTTTTTTTATCACGACGGTCAACGTAGCTCCTGCTTTGACGATACCAGCCTGTGACAAGGCTCGAGTCTGAACAACCTCTTCTCCATATTGCTGCCGACCTAATGTTAAGCATTCACTCACTGACCTCTCCACAATAGTCAGCAATACTCAAACCTCTTCACATGCCACATTCTTTAAGATGTCCCAACGTTTTCCTCCTTCCATTCGCTCAATGCTTCCAATGTTGTTACTTTGACCTGATATTTTCACTCTGGCTCTACACTGTAGCCACATGCTTGATGTCTTGATCCTCCATGGCTCCATCAACATTTCTTCTTGTCGCATTCCCCTTGTTATAGTCTACCTTTACTCGTTGTCACATCGCATTCCCCTTATCGTATCCTACCTCTACTCTTTGTTGCGTCTTATCCCGCCTTACTGTGTTCTGCCTTTACTCGTTGTCGCATTCCGCCTTGTCGCCTGCTTTCACTCCAGGCCCAGGCCTTGGTCCTTCGACTGCCCTCCGACTCATACCACGTCGTATGCTTTCACTCAAGGCCTCGTCACATGCATTCACTCCAGGCCTTGTCGCCTGCTTTCACTCCAGGCCCAGGCCTTGGTCCTCCGACTTTCATCCGATGTTTTCCCGACATTCCTCACATAGCCTCACTCTGAAGACTCTTATCCACCATGCTGTATAGGCAAACTAGGTTGAGACATGCCCTACATGTCATACATGAAGCCAACTGCTCTGATTTTGAAGATCAGTCTTTTACGGTTCTAAAAAGAAAGAGTTCAAGCTTCATCGGACCAGAGATAATCAAGCGACAGAGGCAGTATGCGAGCCACATTATTACAAATTCGAACTCGGACCCTACCTCTCCATCTCCCTACCCCTCGGCTTTAGCTTCGACTCCATTACCGATTGATACATTCATAACTTTCAAGTTGAAAACAAAGACTTTCCTTAACGGCCTTGCCAATGAACAAGGAACAAGCTATAACGCCCAGGGATCATCTGCTCGCCCGACTAATGAGACATCTCTTTCGAGGCTCGACCATGACTCGCTACAAAAGTCTCTACCAGGAAGTGCGGAAAATCCGATCTTGATAGAGGATCTGCCATCATTGGAAACTCTACCAGGAGAAAGAGAAATAATCTCACTCAGTTCTTCCCCGGAGCCGTCGCCAGGGCCTAGTGAAGAAGCTGGGTTAGAAATAACCGGGGCTCGGGGAATTCTTCAAATTAGAACCTACTGGGCACATCCCATCGACTTCAAATGTATCCCCTCTGAGAACGAAACTTGCCATTTCTGTACCGACCCTAAGTACGGCATGTTTGGATATGGTATATCGAATACAGCAGTCTTTCAACGCACCGGAGAGGTGTATGAAGAGGTCGGAAATGGCCATCGAGCAAGAGGTCGTGAAGCGACAAGAATGTGTGTTCTCTGCGCACTCGATCGACTCTACATTTCTGGCTGCACCAAGCATGTTATGAAGGCGCTCACACTTCAGCATACAGAAGAGGCCTACCCAACATGCTCCAGCTGTGTCTCGCCTGCCACCTTCCGCTGTTGTACAGGCCAGAAGGTAGATCGGTACCTAAGGCCGATTCTGCGTGGAGAACTACCTAGAGGCTGTGGTCTCTTCTTATGCCAACCTTGCACTATCAAGATGGGCCCACAGGGAAGGTTGATTCGACCTCAGCCTGACAGCAACAGCAATGGGGTCCCGTACCGCGCCGACCTCGAGTTCCTTTTCATGGGCAGCTTATTACACCAGAGCTATGGCATGTCTAGGAGCCCGCAGAGTAGACTCACGTGCTGACAGATCTCAAGATCTACGAGCAAGTCGCAAGCTATGGAGATGTAGGTGCATTTCATTGCATGAAATGGCCGAGGGACCTTCGGTGGTGACTGTCCTGCTGTCTAGGACAATGAAGCTTGGGATGCATCTGACTGCACAATTTTTGAGATAAATATGAATAAAATCAAAGACGATTGGGAACTAATTACTACACTGCATTTTCTTTTACGTTCGATCAGCGGACCAAGCCCAAATCCAATATGCGGCCGATTCGTATGAAATTCTAATACTCATTTGGGAGTCGTTGGATTCGGTGGGCGATGGCGATAAGCGCTCAGGTCGTAATGCGGCCGGGCGATAAGGAAGGCGGAGCCAGGTTCAGCCTATGGGAACTCATGCAGAGTGCCAGCAAGATAGACGATGCTCACAGGAAAAGATCTTTTGACTGGAAACGACAGATCTCCCCATTATCTATAGCTTTCACCGTCGTCAGTGTAGAGGATTGAGGTCACACATGAAGCTTGCTGCGTGGTTGTCCTCGTGCCATTTTGTAGTTGGAGTTTCGACTGCATCGTCCCGCACCGCCATAAACGCAACCTATTGACCTTGTCACCGCCCAGCCACGCCATATCTGCATTTGTTACCCTCTTCACGCTCTTGAGATTGAGCGTTGCTTGCTTTCCGAGTCAGAAAGATTGTCCTCATACCAACATCATGGCTACAGCTTGAAGACTTGTAGCCTGATAATTGTACGGACAACCGAAGCAGAAGTCGATTACTCCTTCCGCCAACCCATCTCAAAGCCTATCCAGAACGCGCACCTCAACGCGCCCAACATTCTTCCCGTGGCTCACAAATAAAACATCGCATCATCTCCAAGTTCAACCACAAGCACCGAACAGCTGCATCCTTCTTCTCACCACAGCAACACATCAATTCTTGCGTGGGCCAAACACTGCACAGCCCTCGAGATGAGTTTCGTGCAATCTAGCCCGATCGCTTTGCTCAACCGCAGCTCGTTCAATCGAGTGCTGCAGAGCTCCGAAGTAAGTGCTACAATTCTCCTACAGTCTCATATGTTGGAATTATTGCGTTTGTCGTATTTGTTTTTCTGTTGAAATCCTATCAATGTGCCCGGCGTGGTCTCCGGCTTCATCCATTCCATACCAATGTCAGGTGATGATATCGGCGAAAATGGATGGCTGCACGTGTTCTGTGTCCCACCCATTCACTGCAGGATGGTCCTGCTCCCTCAGTTTTGGACTCATCGATTCACACTGGATCTCCCTGGAGCAATGCTCTATCGAGGCAACGCCAATTTATTATAGATGGACATTATGGCGTATCTCGCCTCCATCTTTCCCACGAGACAGGGTTACATGGGGTTGGTTCGGGGGTCGAGAATGCCACCCTCCGCTGAACCGACCCTTCTCGTGAACCCGTGATTCCACACTTCCGCTGTCGTCCCGCTCCACAAGAAACTCCGGGCACATGCTCACGGAAAGATTATCTTTACTTGTGAAGTGGAGATCGCCGAGGGCGTGAACGAGAGCGCGGGCGTTCCATGCGGGGGTGAAAAGATCCCTCAATTATCCGACTTCAGCAACACCACAAGACCTGCAAATTTCTTGAGCTTGATTCGATTCATTCTCGGCCCCAAATCTATTAGGCTGGTCTACAAACTCTTCTTCTGCTTCCGCCCTACAGCTGCAAGCATCTCCGGCAGGCCACCTCGTCCGCAATAGGGCATCTTGTCTCCCAACTTGTCACAACTTCAAGGCACAGACACCTCGGCGTCCCAGCCGCACATAGCTCGACCCCGGCCTTGGCGGGTGACCACTTCAATTTGTTGGTACCGACATCACCATCTACCAGCACGACACTTAATAACCGAACTCTGCCCACGGCTTCTGCCTCCCCCGCAGCTATCCTAGGCGACTTTTTGCAAAGTCGCTGAGAACATACCCGGAGCTTTCTGTACCAATTCATCACGAGCTGAGCCTGTTGTCAAAATCTCGGGGTGAATTCAGTCGGACTCAGGCTCCTGGAATGCGATCGTCATTGAGACATCCCCCGTGAAATTTGGATGGCGTTTGCGTCCGGAGGGTGCCAGTTCGGGATCGGTCAATTGCGTATTCGATCACAATCTGCCCTGCAAGCCATTTCGCCAACTCCTGACGTTTCTGACCTGGAGTTCACTTTTCGCACAATTCATCATATTTTCTGGCCCCCCGTGGCGTGTATATCACAAAATGTCGTTTACTTCGCCCGTTCGTGACGGGGTATGACTCTTGGATCTCTCTTTGCATCTATCGAACCTTGATCCGTGCAGCGGCTGACCTATTTCTCCAGTCAGATGCTACCCAGATCGTTGTGGTTATGGTCGGTTTGCCGGCGCGCGGCAAAAGTTTAATAGCTGGAAAAGGTATGTGACCTGAGCATCCCGAGTCCCTGTGACCGACATCACTAATTCCATTCTAGTCAAACGCTATCTGCGATGGACCTCTGTCAAGGCCGAAGTGTTCAACGTAGGTACCTATAGAAGAACTGATAATCCTCACCCGGACGCCAAGTTCTTTGATGTCAACAATACCGAGGGAGAAAAGGCACGTCGAGCAGCAGCAGAGGCTGCTGTTGCCGATATGCTCAACTGGTTCAAGGATAAAGAGAACAAAGTCGCCATCCTCGATGCCACAAACTCGACCAAAAGTAGACGAAAATGGATCCATGACAAGATCATTGAAGCAAACTTACTCCGTAATACCCGCCTTTGATTATGTTACAAAGCTGCTGACGTTAGTCCTAGATCTCTTTGTCGAAAGCAAGTGCGATGATGAAGATCTCATCATGTCCAATATATTAGAAGTCAAGACCAGCTCCCCGGATTATGTTGGGTATGCTCTCGAGTTACACGGCTCTGTGTTCCTATGCTAACCTCGGCCACAGGCAGGACCCGGAGGAAGCGGCCAGAGATTTTCGCGATAGAATCAGAAATTACGAAAAGGTGTACCAAACAATCGATGAATCGGAGAAGCATTTGACTTATGTGAAGATCATCAATATCGGGTAGGAGTAACAACGGCTTCACATCTGGCGGTGCTGACTTTGCAGGGCCCGCACCGTCATCAATCTCATTCAAGACTACCTCCAATCTCGCCTGGTGTATTACCTCACCAATCTTCACATCAAACCGCGATCAATCTGGCTGTCACGCCATGGGGAATCCGAATACAATCTTGAGGGAAAGATTGGGGGTGACGCCAATATTAGTGAACGTGGAGACCGATATGCCCGCCTACTACCCGAGCTCGTCAAACGTTCCGGCCTTCCCAAAGATGCCCCTCTGACCATCTGGACGTCCACCTTGAGACGAACGAGCCAGACGGCCCAGTATCTCGTAAAGGAGCTAGGATGGGAGAAATTACAATGGAAAGCGCTGGACGAACTCGATAGTGGTGTTTGCGATGGAATGACGGTTGGTGCTCCGCTCGCTAGGGATATTTGTGTTCGTCTGCCGACTCACTAACGCGCTGCAACAGTACCAGGAAATCGCGGACAAATACCCAGAAGACTTCCAGGCCCGAGATGACGACAAATACAACTATCGCTACCGAGGAGGCGAGTCCTATCGCGACGTTGTCATTCGACTGGAACCGATCATCATGGAGTTGGAGAGAAGCGAGAATATTATCATCATCACGTACGTTGCCATCCCTTGTCTTTCCGTCCACTTTCCCAACTTACAGCTCACCATCTCTCAGACATCAGGCCATCGTCCGTTGCATCTACGCATACTTTATGGAAATCCCACAAGAAAAGTCCCCCTGGATGGAGGTGCCTCTGCACACCTTGATGAAGCTCACGCCCAAGGCGTATGGGACCCAGGTGGACAAGTACAAGGCAGACATCCCCGCTGTATCGACCTGGCGACCCAAAGGATCCACCGCAAAACATCACGATAGTGTTAGTGAAGGTGTCCCAGAAGTCCGAGTTGGGGACAAGACCAGCCAAAAGAGTGAACCGCCGCCGATGACAGGTCTCCCTTTGCCGTGACGAAGTTTATGACGTTGGAACGAGAATGTTGATCGTCCGAGTCATGATTCTGATCTGGTATAGCTATTTGAATGGGATGGAGGATGTGCGACATGATTCTGTGACCATGCTGGAAAACCAAACTTCAGACTCTAGACTCGTCTGGCGAAAGCTGATTTCGACAACCTCTCAAGGCTGCATCGTGGAGAACAGCCATGTATTGCTACAGCGGACTAGACTATGGATGGCAAGTGCATGTTGATTCTAGAACGGACATGGAAACATCATCACCGGCCATTTGAACATGACTTATTGGTATATAGATGGTGATGATATCCATAAATCTTCTCTCCTTTGCAAACTCTTGTCTTGAAGCACCAGCCGTCGTCATGCACAAGCTATATGTCTCGCCGTAGGTGGGTACGGAAGGGTATGAAGCATATTCAGGTCGTATCACATGTCCCATGATAATGTTCCACTGTCCTTAAGTCTAGTTACCGAGCCAATGCCTTTGACCATCTAACCACAAGCAGACTAGTGAGGTTTGGAACATTGTGTGTCGTCATTGGCTTGCAGTCTACTCACTTTAGCCTTTTGCCCGCGTGCCTGTGCCATGATTCAACTCTTGAATCCTGAAGCACACCACCCAGCTTTCCTTGGACAGGGATTTACCTTCTACAACCGAAACATCTGCTTCTTCCAATTTCTTTGGCACCGGCCTAAGTCTCTTTCTTTTACCCAACCATCCACCCATACTACTTGGGCTCATATCCCCGTCCTCACCACCTCTGTTCCACCGTCAAGATGAGCTACGCAGAAGCTGCCGCAAAGGGACCCAAGCAGTCCCCAGAAGAAGTGAGTCCGGCGATGAACCTTTGTTCCTTTGAACTCGACTAACTGTTGTCTTAGGCGTATGTCCATACCGCCATGTGACAAGACGTGTCTGACGATTACTGACATTGCTTTGTTCACAGCCGCGCACCCCCAGTTCCTTCCCTGTCCCAGTCGGAACTGGAATCCGAGTCCGCCAGCTTGATCGACGTCGATTCTCCTCACGTCAACACAGTGCCATCGGATTTTCAAGAACAAAAGATTCAAACCGAAACCCAGGCCGAGAGAATCGCACACGAAGCAGAGGACAAGGCTCGAGCCGATGCTAAGAAGGCAGCTGATGCGGCAGAAAGTGCAAAGAAGAAGGTTGCATCCAAGGGCAAGCAGGTCAAGGATGCATTAAAGAAGGATGGCAAGAAGTTGAGCGACAACCGAGACAACCCTGTTGTCATTGGCAATGCTTTGATCTGGGGCATTGCCAGCGTCGCCATTGGTTATGGCGCATATCAAAAACACAGTGAGGGCAAGCTGGACTGGAAGTTGGCTGGCTCCGTCGCTGGCGTAGTCGGTGCTTTTGGTGTGGCTGATTACTTTGGCAGCAAGTGAGTTCATTTACAGGCTTGCAACTTGTCTGGTCTGGACCATGACTAACCGAACGCTCTAGGTGGCTGCTCGAGAACAAGTACCCTCCTAAATAGGTCACAACTGGGTCACGGACCGAGGGTTCCGAGGGTTGACGGCTAATTCCTCTATCCTGGCCGCCTTGCCAGTTTGTGACTTTTGACTTTGAAACTCTCTGCTCAAATTGATGCGACGGCTTGCGAGCTGGTGGTTACAGGCGCAAAGATTTTCTTGACCCGTATGTACTTGTCTCATGAATATGATATCCATTCGCCCCGCTGGCGGCTCGTCACTTTCGTCACTTTCGTCCCTTGCATCCGTGTGCGGATCCTTGTGTGGTGCCTTTTTCTTGGATTGAAATACATCTCATGATAGCCTCCACTGACCCCCTGCTGGTTCATTCTCGAGCCCTCTCTTGCCTGGTCTTACTGGACGATGGATAATGAATTGCAGGAATCGTCTGAACGTTGGCGAGGCCGCGTAATTGGAACGAAGATGGTCATCTGCAGCGCAACCATGAAGATGACAAAGATTTTGCACGAGTCATCATTTGTATGAACGTCCAGGTGCGGTTGGACCCAGGTGGCAAAGCCTGGTTGAAGGATGACATGCGGGTGAAGAAGACTCAAGACCAGGTTGATGGTGTGAAGGACCAAGGTGGGATTGCAAAGAATGGCAGGAATCCATCGACGACGGCTGTCCTTGATCTTGAACCAAGTCTTTAGAAGCCATGGTGGCGTTACGGATGGTATTTTAATGGCCATCTTGGCTAAGCTGTGATTTTCCTATGTGAAGTCAGTGGACCAATGAGGCCAACGCGAGCAACTTGGCCAGTGTCGGGGTTCTTACTGGCGACAACAATATTGGACTGGACGTTGGCTAACTTGGGCATGAGCACAGATAGGATATGGGAAAGAGGCATGAGTGGAAGGGACAAATTTTTCACACACTATCACGGAATGACAAGGGCATGAGCTGGCTCCAAAGGCAGTGGGTGACAAACTGTTGAAAATGGCATTGTAATTGCAAGTTTGGTCAAGAGCGAATGGGTCGTGACTGCCGTTGAAGAGCGAGCGTTGAAGGGCGTTGAAGAGCGAGCTTCAAACACTCAGCGTTTGCCTTTGCCTGTCGTTCTTGAATCCCACCCCCTCAAGGACAACCGAACCATCGCACCCAATCGAATTGGCTCTGGGATTGAGTATCTACTGAACCGCAGAGCTACTATTTAGAGAAAAGGAAGAGTTGTGGTAAATTCGTTTCCTGTCAAAGCAAGTGTTGTTGAAAGCATTGTAGTACAGTAACAGCGCAAACAGTGAGAATGATACCACGCTAGGGGAGGGGCCGAGGGGCCAAAGGTTCAGGCGCTGCGACTGGATGGTTAGTGACCGAGGGGCCCCCTCGGCCCCTGGAACTCACCTAAGATCGCAACTAACTTACCTAATTGACCTCCATTAGGGACGGAACGATTCTGATTCGCCCTTGGATGTCGACGCCTTCTTCGCGCTCCGACGCCTCCTCAACGAACAGGCCAGACACTTGAGAGCAAAGGCACTGGTAGTGCATTGTGGCACCCAAGGACACATTGCATCTTTGTACTTTTGCATCCCTGACATCCAGACTACAATACACTCAGATTCGATTCCAACTCGTGCCCACCAACATGTCGATCAAAACCACCTTGTGACCCTACGCCTCTTTAAGCCCCCTTAGGGAGATTCATTGTCTGGAACGAGACTTGGCCTCGTTCTGGTGAGATCATTGGCAGCATGGTAATTTGGCCATCTCCTCTAACAAGCATCATCGCTAGGCTGACTTGGTGTTCATCTTAGAATGTGCTATTCAATTCTGCATTGAAGCAGTCAACTGCTGTCCGTCGAGATCTCGAAACATTTGCCCAAGCACCTGCAACCGCATCTCCGGCTCTTCAAGGCCAGATATCTACCAGCCTCCAGAGTTTCTCCCGCATCCTCGAGGACTACCAAAACCTGTCGCGGAACGAACTCAACGAAGAGAAGAAGGAAAAGGCCCTCGAGAGGCTAAAGAATTTTCGCGCAGATTTATCCTCGTACCGCGCGCAGTTTGACCAACTCAAGAAGGAGAGGGAAGGAGCAGTGCAGTCCAACAACCGTAGTGAATTGCTTGGAAGACGACCTCACCATACTGCTACCCCAGAAAATCCATACGCTCACGCCTCCAGTCAAAGCGCCTTCGCGCCAGCGCATCGGGGCACACAGGACGGCTTGTCATTTGGGGCGGGCCCCGACGAATACACTCGAGAAGACCATGCTCTACGCGAACAGAATTTTTTCGGCGCTGCCAACTCCCAAATCGATGAATTTCTTGATCGTGGGCGAGCCGTGTTGGGCGACCTAGCCCAACAACGGGAGATTCTCAAAGGCACTCAGAAAAGGCTCTACAGCGTTGCCAACACCCTAGGAGTCAGTGGTGACACCATCCGCATGGTGGAGAGGCGAGCCAAACAAGACAAATGGATCTTTTGGGGAGGCGCCATCGCGTTCTTCCTCCTTTGTTTTGTCGTCATCTACTATCTGAAGTGATATGTCGTGATAGGTTGGATACCATGCATTGTATCGGATACGGTACTCTAGGTCTACCTCGACACTCCCCTATGAGCCCGCCACAGAACATAAACCACAGCTTCGCCGGGCAGCGCCAGAACATTTCGAGCCAAAGTTTCCACTGGACCAGCTCGCATATTGCCGTCCTGACTTGTACGACATAGTGTGTGCAGACCGACGTCATTATTAAATACGCGTTCATCAGTCAGCAGGACAAGCAATGGCGTCGGAGAGGGAATAAATACGTCCAGGGGGCGGTAGATCTGAGCCGGGCATTACGGAGTTCATTCCCCGCCACTGCGGCACTGCCTGGGCCCGGCGTCAGATATAGCAACACCAGTCGTTGGTGCAAGCAAGATAGATCCAAGGTCGGCATCCCTGGCACGTGTCAGGACCTCAAGGAATACTCCGTACAATAATAAAAATCCAGTACGTGGGCCATTATTGCAACAAAGGAAGATATTATTGGCGCAAACCTTACCCCGGAAGCTCGTCTCAAGCCTGTATCGGACTAGTAAACAAAGCGTTGGTACAGTCAACAGGTGTTACGTTGTTACGAAACTATTTACCAAGAGGTGTGTAATGCACTTTGGCTGTAAAGAATCGTCGATATTCGCAGTCATAATCGTCGAGTCAGAAAATACTGTGTCGAAGCCTGACCAAGGGACGCTCGGCTATTGCCATAGCAGTATTTGGCCGAAACATCACGCCAGAAGCGACTCGACTCACCCCGCAGCCCACATCCAACACCAACGGCCATTGGTCAAAGTGCCTTGGGGATGGCGGTTTGAATCCACTTTGAGACTTGGGGATGGCTTATGGACCCATCATGTCACCAAGCCAGGAACATCAAGCACCAGGGTCTGAATTCTTCAGTACCTCGGCCTTCGCAGAGCGCGTCACAAACAGGATGGTGATTGTCTGAGAACAGGGACTTACCAACCCACCATGACTCGGCCACAACGACAGCAGACAGCAGCCCAGACACTTTAGAAGCTTGCATATCCCCTCCCAGAACATTCTATCCTGTTGTTGCTGCTCCTGCTCCTCCTGCTCGTAGGCTCTGCTCTTGTCGAATTCCTTCTCGTGGTAGCATTGAGAATGGGAGGCAACAAACCATGGCCGCAAGTCCCAGTGGGCAACAAGGATCACACCGAGGCCTCGGTGGTTATCATTGGAGGAGGCATCTCGGGCATGTGTACTGCCATTGACCTCATCAGCAACAACATTCACAACTTTGTCATCCTCGAGAAGAGCGGTGGGGTTGGTGGCACCTGGCGAGATAACAAATATCCGGGATGTTGCTGTGACGGTGAGTGTGTCCACGTGAGCCTTGATTGATCTCTCAAACTGACCGTGGGCAAGTGTGGTCGCATCTCTATAGCTATTCATTTGAGCAGAACCCCGACTGGACGCGAGAATACCCTGGTCAGGAAGAGATCCTTCGATATCTGATGGGCGTTGCTCAGAAGTACGAGCTGTATCGCTATGTTCGCTTCAACACAGCCGTCGACTCGGCCAAATGGGATGATGCAAGCAAGAAGTGGAAGACAAGTGTCACGGTGCAGGGGGCAAAAGATGCCGAGTTCGGCCAAAACTACACCATTACTTCGGATTTTCTCGTCTCTGCCGTTGGCCAGCTCAACGTTCCTCGATACCCCGACATTGATGGGTTAGACCAGTTCACAGGCAAGCTGATGCACAGCGCCCGGTGGGATTGGAGCTATTCTCTCAAGGGGAAGAAGGTTGCCATCATTGGAAATGGCGCCACCGCAGCTCAGATCATCCCCGAGATTGTCAAAGAGGTGGACCATCTCACCATTCACCAACGGACACCCAATTGGGTTATCCCTCGTCTGGACGCCGAGATCCCCTCGTGGAAGCGAAGCGTTTACCGATATCTCCCCTACGTTCGGCATCGGAAGAGGGCTGACATGATGGACTTCCGAGAGAGTTTCTACGATGCCGTTTTCAACCATGATTCAGCCACGGCTCATTTCATCGAGGCACAGAGCAAAGACCACATGCATACCCAACTCAAGGATCGGCCAGATCTTTGGGCCAAGCTGCAGCCCAACTACGCCGTGGGCTGCAAGCGAGTCATCATCTCAGACGATTATTTCCCCGTCTTCGCACGCGACAATGTCAAGCTCGAGACGGGCAAGATCGACCGGATCACGGAAAAAGGGATTGTGACGGACGGTCATGAAGAAGAGTATGACTTGATCATTTTGGCGACAGGCTTCCGGACCGTCGAGTTTATGTACCCAATCGACATCACAGGTAGTGCCGGGAGAACGCTCGCTAGCGTATGGAAGGATGGTGGACAGGCTCTCTATGGCGTGACCGTGGAGAGTTTACCCAATTTCGGCATGCTCTATGGGCCCAATACGAATCTAGGCCACAACAGCATCATCCTGATGATTGAGGCCCAAAGCAAGTATATCAACGCCTTGATCAAGGAGGTGGTTGAAGCAAGGTCCAAGTCAGGCAGCCTTGTCATCACCCCCAACCCTCAACGGGTCAAGGAGTTCAACGACCAGATCCAATCCGAGCTCGAGAAGAGTAGTTTTGCCGACCCCAACTGCAATTCATGGTACAAGATCAAGGATAGCGGCAAGATCACCAACAACTGGAGCCGCACGGTGATTAACTATCAAAAGGTGAGAGACAAGATCCAACGCACAACCATGGCATGGAATACTAAGTTTGCATCTAGATTTTGGAAAAGGTCGATTGGTCCGACTTTAACGTTTCCGGCACAGGAGCAGAGAAGTTCTCTAACGGACGTACCACCAAAATCGGTCGGGTGGTGGAGGAGTCTATAATCAGCTACGGCACAATGGCATGGACTGCTGCGAGCATTGCAGCTGTGGGGGCTGGGGTGCTGCTGCGCAACAGTGGAAGACTCCGGCTGCGTTGATGGTTGCCACGTGGTTTGGATGTGGGTTGGGTGAGAGTGCTATGTGAGGATGATAGAGTCTCGCCCACACTTGGTCGTGATAGTATCTCTGTTCTGGCACTTGGGTGACACGAAACATTGCCCATGGGACCTTGCAGAAATTGTAGGAATTGGATCGTGGGCTTGCAAAGTACTAACCTACCCTTATCTTTCATGGACGATGGCGCAACATTTTTTTTGGTCCTGCGGTACCTGCAGGCTGCAATGCCCATCATTTACCAGAATCGAGATTTGGCAGTTAAGCGAGCATTTAGTGGCGATGCAGGGGCAAGGGAGGGATGGAGGTCATCAGAATCACTTTTACTTCAAGTCACCAGTGTCAAACATGTCGAATCTTGGGTGCATGTCCAAGTAGCCTGTGGACTGCTGAATGGGTGCTAGCTGAGCCAGAGATATGATGAATACCTACCTTACCTAGGTACCTGGCACCTAGGTGCACGACATTTGGCTGCGTTTGTTTACCAGAAGCCTCCATCCAGACGTTTTCTAGCAGGTCTTTGACTAGTCACCACCATAAAGTTCGTTGTTGATGAATTCTGCCCTTTTTTGAGAGTAATATTAAAGACTTCAGTATATGTAGAAGAAAAACATGCCTCATTCCAGAGGGGTGATGCTGGAGGGCATTGGAGAGGGGGGGTGAATAAGGTGATAGAGTGAAGCCTAAACTGACCCAGCTGAGGCCCGAGGACCCCTCAGCTCGAAGTCAGAGGACTACTTATTAACTCAGGTACCTCCTCGCGTTATTATTACAGTCCTTACCAACATTTGTCCGACAGGACTGCCCAGGTGACGCCGATTAGGAAACCAGACCAGAAGCTGTGGAGTCTTGACAACAATTAGTTAGGTACTCTCTAAAACATGTTAGTGCACACCTGAATTTTCTCCGAGTGGTCATGGCTCGTCAAGTGGTTGGTTAAACAGTGTCCAAGCACGAGTATTCGTACAGTTATTGCCCTCGGATCTTTCTCCGCACAAATCATGGGCTACTATGTACCTAGGTAGGTAACTACGGAGTATGCTGAGAGTGGAATTTACAGCACGGGTCTCGGTCAGTCAATCACGGTCAAAGGCAGGGCGTGTGTGTGGTGTGGTGGTGTGTTTAGGTGCCACTGGCGCTTGTAGTCCAGTCTTGTCTAGGCTGTCGTGTCTGTCACCCAAGGGGCGAGAACTGCACCCACAGTCTTGTGTGCCTTCTTAACCAAGCGCTCCAAAATAGCGTGGGCAGCCAAGTTCTCTCCCAGCACTAAAATCCTACAGGCTTACTTGTATCAGCCTACCAGCGTGGCCTGCACATCGACCTTGACGTTAACTGTTACTTTGCACAGACGAAGCCCTCATATTTCCCTTTTTCTCTCCTCTCTTCTTTGGACCACGACGTCGACGCCAACTATTCTCAACCGTGTATTCTACATCACTTCACTGTCTCCGAGAACGCCTTCCTGATCAGTGACCGCAACTTCTTTCGCCTTGGTCATTCTCATCGCCCACTGATTTTGCACTTTTCATCCACCGCCCGCCTGTCCCAGAATCCTCGAATTCAACGACCGGCAACAATTTTCCCAGTCCCCAGTCGTCGACGTGCTTCTGTCACATCCTTGTATCAAAATGCCTACGCCTTTGCCTTCAACCTTTGCCTCTGCTGCAGCAAGCACCAACGGTGAAAACCCCGCAAACAAAAGAGACAACACCTCCACCAGTGACTGGTATGCCTTTCATCCATCATGCCGTACATGCCCTTTGCTTTAGACACACCGTTTCCTCTTTCCAATACTCATCCTGCCTAATATACCTTGCATTCTGTTTCGTCGTACTGGACGAAGCCCTGCTGACATAGACGACAGGTCAAGAAAGGTTAACGGCACAACACACACCTTCCGCAGACCGTCTCAAGCCGCCACCCCCTCCCACCCCCAGTCGCAGACACAAGCACGCGATGCCAATTCCTCAGTCCCTGCCAACAATGGCGACAGTGTCTATCTTCCTCCTCACCTCACCAGCCGATCCTCGTACTCATCCCGCCCCTTGCCTACTGGCGAAACACGGTACAACAAGGACCAGCTCCTGAGCATCTATGAATCCATGCGAGCCTCTTCCACTCTGGATCAGAACCTGGACAGTCTTTTCGTCGGTCCCTGGTCTGTGAACGCGAATGGGCGTCTAGATGGCAAGGAGCCTGGCCCAGAGGTCTGTTGGAATAGCAAAAGCGACACTGGTCCCTTTGGTCTAATTGAGCTCACTGAAGAGGAGAAACAGGTGTGTGACATTGTTTTTGATGCTTCTTTTCGGCTTCCACTGGCTAACCGTGATTCCAGCTTTTCTCGACTTCTGTCAACCCACCTGCCAAGCCCCAACAAGCCACAACTCGAGAAGGTGGAGGAGTGGGAGTCATTGGTCGCAAGGCTTCTCTGTCCAACTACAACAATACTGCATCCACTTCGAGGCCAGGAACCAGACGTCGCGAACCCAGTGATTCGTATGCGGGTGGTGGACCTTTGTCACCAGCAGAAAACAAAACCTTTTTCCGGGGAGACTCCAACACCGCAACGCCACCTCCTGCTCTGTTACGACGCAGAACCGATTACAAAGATGAAGAATCTACGCCGACGTCCAAGGAAGAGCTCGATTCACAAGAAAACCCTGAAGCACAATCACATTTCCCTGGCATCCGCAGGGCCGGCACCGGTCCATTGAGCGCAGGTTTAAATGCTCCTTCCGCTTCTCCCTGGTCAGCTGCTACACAGACCGGCGGTTTCGGTTCCATGGGAAGCTTTGGCAGCTTCGCCATCGGATCCGCGCCAACCCCCAACGAGTCTGCCGACAAGAGACCAGGATTTGGGAGCGCGAGAGGTGGTAGTCGTTTCAAAGACCTCCTCAGCAAGCCCAGCTCCGAGGACATCCATCAAGGACTTAAAGACAAGTCCTCTTTCGGCGCATTGGAGAAATTGCCCGAAGAAGATTCGCGTGCTTCTCAACTCGGCCAACGAGCCATAGGCTTTGGGACGAGGCCCGGTCGAAGTGAGACCAATCCGTACGAGGAGGTGTCTGATCGAACTGGCAGTGCTGTCCTGGGAGGTTCTCAAGACGGCCAGCCAAATTCTGTCAATGACAATCTTGGTTTTGCCTCCCACGGACCTCCGCCAAATGTTGGCGCACGAGATCTGGGGCATGATGACCATTACCAGCAAACTCCATACGGACGCTTCAATCCTCATGATCCGATGAGCCCCACCAACACGAACCCCTACCAAAGTCCACATGCTCAGCCGGATGATGACGAGCAGGACTCGAGTGAACCAAACTCGCAGGCCCCAGGATCCCAGCCCATTGGTGCAAGCCGACGAAATGTCTTTCCCGGGCCAGATGATCGAGGCCTTGGAAGTATTCGTGGCGCTGGCGGGTTCGGGAATATCGGATTCGGCTCCCTCGGTGGCCCCATGTGGTCTGGTGCCAACCCTGGAGCAGGCAAACCTGCGCTGGACCGCACCATAGGATCGGCATTTGGAGATCCAATCTTCAGTCCACTCGGCGATCTACAATCTCCTGGCGGCGGTCTGGGAGGCGGGTTCTTTGGCGCTGGGGGTTTTGGATCTCAAGGACGTGCTAGCCGGCTGGGTGCCATGTTCCCTCCGGCTATGCAAGAACAAATGAGGGGAGACAGCCGGAACGAGTTACACCAAGGTCCTTTGGACAGTCGCCCGGATAGTGCACAACAGCACGCCCAGAGGGACCCGTTTGACCCGGCAGGCCGTCGACCAGAAGGTTTTACTGGAGGTTCAAATCGCTTTGACGACTCTCCCCCATTGAGAAACGCCGACGACCCGGTGTCATCGCAAGGGCAGCAGAATCATTTTGGTGCTCCGCAGCCGTCTTTGCCTACGCCACAAGCTGCAAATCAGCGAGCTTCGTCGGGCGGGGACAACTTCCAAGCTGGTCACGGGCTCAGTCAGTCGAGTGGCAGCAATTCGTCCAACCAGATGCCCGCAGCCCAGCAACGACAGATGGTGATGCCGGATCGGATGCGCTGGATCTATCGTGACCCCCAAGGCAACACTCAAGGTCCCTGGTCAGGCTTGGAGATGCACGACTGGTTTAAAGCTGGCTTCTTCACGGCGGAGCTCCAGGTCAAGAAGCTTGAGGATGCCGACTATGAGCCCCTTGCCCAGCTCGTCAGACGCATAGGAAACTCACGAGAACCATTCCTGGTACCCCAGATCGGTGTCCCCCACGGCCCTCCATCAGGGGGTCAAGGCAATCACTGGGCCAATCCCGCCAACTCCAGTGCAGCCCAGTCTGGGTCAGCCCCAGGAGGAGGCGCGACACAGCCGCCTTTTGCAAGCAGCTTTCCCAGTTTTGGTACCACTCTGACCGCAGAACAACAGAATGCTCTCGAGCGTAGGAAGCAAGAAGAACAATTTCTGATGGCACGACAGAAGGAGCACTTGGCCCAACAGCAGATTGCAATGAAACACTTGCAATATCAGAATGGTCTCCATTCTCTACAACACCAGCCAAGCGCTCACTCTCTACAGAGTCAGCCCAGTTTTGGAAGTATGACCTCTCCCGCGGCCTACCAGCAATCTCCAATGCCGGCTCCAATTCAACCTCCACAGCAACAGGCTCCCCCACTTGGCCAGACTGGTCTGGGGATGGGCCTGAATTATGGACGGGACAACGAGATCCACGGCATGATGGATCGGTTGAGTTTCAACCAACGCACTGGGCCGGCCTCCTTCCCAAGTGGAGTTTCTGGACAGGCTCCTACTGATTCTGGGCCATCCCAACACGTTTCTTCCATGCTCCAAGACCGAGCCCGGCTTCTGCAACAGCAGCACCAACAATCCGAGATGCGAGACCACGAGGACACTTTTTTAGGCCCGCAGGGTCGCAACGATCGACTGGAGGAATTCCGCACCCTTCAACGCGAGGGAGATACCCAGGCTGGTCGTCTCGGCCCTGATTCCCAACAGCAAGCACCTCGGCCTATCGGAGCACAACGTCGGAACGACGATCCAAGTTCTGCATCGATCCCCCAGAAGGGAGCCAGCGCAGATGGCATCACCACGTCCAAGCTGGAAAATGAGAGTCTTAGTTTGGCTGAGCAGATTCAAATTGCAGCCGCCAGTCAACAAGCTGCAGCGGAGGAAAGTGCCTGGGCCAAGAAAGATACATATGTTGAACCACCGCCAGTCTCCATATCCCCCTTGCCTGCGCCAGCGGCTCAGCGCAATCGACTTCATGTCGCCGATGCCTTGGCTGCTGAATCCAGATCGGCAACTCAGACCCCAATTGAAACGCCGTCGGTGTCGGTCGCTCCATGGGCTGAGCGCACCGTCGAACATCCCAAAGGCCCGTCGCTGAAAGAAATTCAAGAAGCCGAGGCTAAGCGTGCAGCTGAACAGGAAGAGCTTATGGCGGCTGCCAGGCGCGCTCAAGCGGAGCAGGAGCGATTGTTGCAGGCTCAGGCCCCAGCGGCAGCTCCAGGCCTACCCTCGAGTTCGACCTGGGGTAGTTCGTCTTCGCCAGTGGCTGCCTCAAACACGTCTGTGTGGGCTAAGCAAGCGTCAGCAAAACCGGCAACAAGCAATTCGAAAAAGACCCTCGCTCAAATCCAGAAAGAGGAAGAGTCGCGCAAACAACGAGCAGCTGCCGCCGCCGCCGCAGCTAGCTCTCATGCCTCTCCAGGCGGACAAACAGGCAGTGGACCGGGCAGTGGACCAGCGGGCAAGCGATACGCGGAGTTGGCGAGCAAGGCTATTCCTGCTGTGCCACTGGCACCAAACAGTGCGTGGATGACTGTAGGATCTGGGGGAAAGACCAAAGCGCCGCCTGCTGTGGTAGCAACACCACAGCCCGCTCCTCGGACAGCCAGCGGATCTGCTGCGACAGTGGCCAAACCTCGACCAGCCAATCCGATTAGTCGCAGCACCACTGGGACGAATCAAAACAAGGCTGGTGAGGAGTTCAGCAAGTGGATCAAAGCATCACTTGGGAAAGGATTGAACAGCAATATCAACGGTGAGTCCATGGTGACTATTTGACATTCAAGGGGCCATACTAACGCGCAAAACAGTCGATAGTTTCGTCCAAGATCTGCTGATGCTACCTCCCGAGGTGGAGATCATTTCTGATTCAGTTTATGCGAGCTCACAAACACTTGATGGACGCAGATTCGCAGAAGAGTTTGTACGTCGTCGCAAGTTGGCAGATAAAGGTATTATTGAACCTGCGGCAAGTGGCCCTCAGGTCGGTGGCAGCGAGAGCAGCAGTGGAGGGGGTGGCTGGAGCGAGGTGGCCAAAAAGGGACCAGTTGCTAAGGAGGACAACAGCAACAACGCGGCATTCAAAGTCGTCCCGACCAAGAAAAAGGCCGCGAAGCGATAGATGTTGGACAGCGTTGGGCTCACAGAAGATGTATGAATGATGTGGACTGTTAGTGTGCCGTGCGATGGCGAGCTGGGTAGGATGTGAGATTGGGGCATGAGAAAAAGTAATTTGCTCGTGATGTTACTAGGTACTACTTTGTAGATCACTTGCTCAATGCAAGTCATGTCTCGATCAAATGAAGCTGCGTTGTAAAGTGAAGATGATGGACTATCGACTTTTGTAAGATGAGAAAGTCGTGCGGAGAAGCCATATAAAAAGTGGACCCCTGTCCGTTGGGTCGTTCCTACCCTGAGCATACCTAAATAAATTTAACTCCTTCCTAGAACAGACTTCTCCGCACCTGCCGCCAAAAGTCCCAAAACTTTTCGTCTGCGGCAAATTCTCAGACTGCGCAACGTCGCCGTCTACAAACATCTCTGTAGCAGGCTGCGGGAGAGTCTCATCGCCCTAGAACCATGGAGACTCAATCCAATCGACCCCATCGAGCCTCAAAGGAGAAGAAAACCCCGCGGAAGGGCGAAAAGAATGTCAAGGCCTTTGCAGTCGCCAACCCTGGACGGTTAGCCAAACAGGCAGTGCGATCCAGCGACATCAAAGAAAAGCGACTGCATGTACCACAAGTTGATCGGCTCCCAGAAGAAGCCCCTCCTATCGTCGTCACAGTCGTCGGTCCTCCTGGGGTCGGAAAAACGACCCTCATCAAAAGCCTCATCAAGCGCTATGCCAAACAAACCCTCTCCCACCCTGTCGGCCCTCTGACCGTCGTGACCTCGAAGCGACGACGCCTCACCTTCCTCGAATGCCCCTCCGACTCTCTCGCGGCCATGATAGACGTGGCCAAAATCGCCGACATAGTCCTCCTCATGATCGATGGCAACTACGGGTTTGAAATGGAAACCATGGAATTTCTCAATGCCCTCAGCACGTCAGGCATGCCCGGCAATGTCTTCGGAATTCTCACCCACCTTGACTTGTTCAAAAAGCAGTCCACATTGCGTGCGACAAAGAAAAGATTAAAACACAGATTCTGGAGCGAATTGTACCACGGCGCAAAACTCTTCTATCTGTCTGGGGTAATTAACGGACGCTATCCTGATCGCGAGATCCACAATTTGTCTAGGTTTTTGTCCGTGATGAAAAATCCAAGACCGTTGGTTTGGCGCAACAGTCATCCATACTGTCTTGCTGATAGATTCTTGGATGTAACTCCTCCCACCGAGATTGAACAAAATGACAAGTGTGACCGGCAAGTCACCCTCTATGGCTATCTTCGAGGGACAAATTTCCCCGCAGACGGTGCTAGAGTCCACGTTCCCGGTGTCGGCGATCTGACAGTCAAGGAAATTGAGGCTTTGCCCGACCCCTGCCCTACTCCATTCATGGATCAAGCCATTGCCAAGGCGACGGGTAAATCCAAGAGAAGGAAGCTGGGCGAGAAACAAAAGATTCTCTTTGCTCCCATGTCGGATGTAGGCGGCGTTTTGGTCGACAAGGACGCCGTCTACATCGATGTCAAGACAAACACATTCGACAGAGAAGTCGACAGCGGCACCGACCGTGGCCTCGGTGAACAGCTCATGATCAATCTACAAAGTGAGCGCAGACTTCTAGGCGAGAATACCGGCGGTGTCAGACTCTTTCAGGGAGGGAAGCAAATCCAAGAAAACGATATGGGCCGTACAGAGAGAAGAGGCGTTCGGTCATTCAACCAGAATGATGATACCACCGAGCAGCCTGACCAAGACGATGATGAAGGATTTGTCAGTGGTGACGACGAAGACGTTAATGATGACTCCGAAATCGAAGGTGACGAAACTCATGATTACTTTCCACATTCTGGCAGACCTGGCTTCGTCGTTGACGATGATCTCGAACAAGGCAACGAAGCAGATGTGGCTTTTGCAGAGAGTGATTCAGATATGGGATCTGTCTCTTCCGACCCCGGGATGAGTGACGATTCCTCTGTCTCGGAAGATTTCCCTGACGAACAATCCGATGATGACATCGACGCCGAAGAGGAAGGGGCTCTTCGATGGAAGACAGATCTGGCCGAAACGGCTAGGAGATCACACACGTCCAAAATCGCATATCGAGCTATTGATCTGTCTCGTTTAATTTATAACCCCAAGGTACATCCTTCGGATGTCTTGGCTACGTGGAGCGGCGACAATATTGATAAACCAAACGACCCAATTCCAGAGGACGACGATGCCTTTTTCAAGAGAGCAAAGACGGAACAGGAGGCTGAGATCGAAGATCGACTATTACCTAGATACGACTTCAAGGCCTTGGCCGAGAAATGGGAGGACGAGGGGAATATTGAGTCACTCATGTCCAAATTCTCCCGTCATGCTCTCGGCACGGGTGCAAATGCCGACAGCGATGTGGATTCCAACGACGAAATCGGAGACGACGATTCAGATGAGGGAGATGGGGATTTCGAAGATCTCGAGGCTGGTAATGATGCTGAGCCGGCCCCGAAAGAAGAAACATCGCTCGAAGAAGAGAGAGCGCAGAAAGCAAAACGAAAAGAGGAGCTTCGTCTCCGCTTCGAAGAAGAAGATCGTGAGGGATTCGGCAACGCCCAGAAGGATGTCAAATCGACCGAAGAGGACTTCGGCGAGGATGACTGGTATGATGCGCAGAAAGCCATGCTTCAAAAGCAACTTGACATCAATCGTGCAGAGTTTGACAGCCTCGACCCAACGTCACGTGCACGGGCAGAGGGATTCAAGGCTGGAACATATGCGCGAATTGTCCTCGACAAGGTACCGTATGAGTTTGCGCGGTCCTTCAATCCCAGGATGCCTGTCATTGTTGGGGGACTTGCGCCCACTGAGGACAGATTCGGCTTCGTACAGATTAGGATCAAAAGGCACCGATGGCACAAGAAGATCCTCAAGACGAACGATCCTCTGATATTTTCACTCGGATGGCGACGGTTTCAGACACTTCCGCTGTATTCCATCTCCGACTCACGGACGCGTAACCGAATGTTGAAATACACCCCTGAGCACATGCACTGCTTTGGGACATTCTATGGACCGCTTGTGGCGCCGAATACGGGCTTCTGCTGCGTTCAATCATTCTCCAATGCCAATCCAGGCTTCCGCATTGCCGCCACCGGCGTTGTCTTGAATGTCGATGAGACCACTGAGATTGTGAAAAAGCTGAAGCTGACTGGATATCCGTACAAGATCTTCAGGAATACGGCATTCATCCGAGATATGTTCAATTCGTCGGTTGAGATCGCAAAGTTCGAAGGCGCCAGTGTACGGACTGTATCTGGGATTCGAGGTCAGATTAAACGTGCGCTGAGCAAGCCTGAGGGGCACTTCCGTGCCACCTTCGAAGACAAAATTCTCATGTCAGATATTGTCTTCCTCCGCGCATGGTTTCCGGTAAAGCCTCATCGGTTTTACAACCCCGTCACCAATCTACTGGATGCATCGCCTAGTACTACAGATGAGAAGACTGGCGATGGAGCCGACAATTGGCAGGCAATGCGCCTTACTGGAGCCGTGCGTGCAGCAATGGGCATCTCCACCCCCCTCAATAAGGACTCGGCCTATACCAAGATTGAACGTCCCACCCGCCACTTCAACCCCCTAAGGGTTCCCCGCGCTCTCGCGGCAGACCTCCCATTCAAGAGCCAGATTGTTCAGCACAAGGCGCGCAAAGCACCGACCTACCTTCAGAAGCGCGCGGTCGTGCTCGGAGGAGAGGAGAAGAAAGCTCGAGACTTGATGGTGAAGCTGCAGACGCTGCGCAATGAAAAGGCAGAGAAGAGGGCCAAGAAGCAGGAAGAGAGGAGGGATGTCTATCGGAAAAAGGTTCAAGAGAACGAGGAGAAACGAGCGGATCGAGAGAAGCGAGAACGGGATGAATACTGGAGAAAGGAGGGCAGGAAGAGGAAGGGCGATGGAGGCGGAGGTGGGGGTGGGGGTGCTGCTGGCAGGAAAAGAGTCAAGAGATAGTCGCTTGGCCCATATTGTCAAGAATGCCAACTTACGAAGAGTAGAATCTTACCCTGGTTGGATATCGGCGGCGGCTCAGACTCATCAGTCAGCGACGAGCTTTGTGAGTGAAACGCTCCAGAAACGAAAATCCGACCTTGTGATGCCGAAACACCGATGTTGAACTCTGTCTGACCTTTTCCACCCCGGCCAGTCACCACCGTGAAGACTGTACTCTGCCTCGAGAAGCATACGAGGTGGCTAGGTAGGTAGCGAGCGGTGTGCCGTTGCGTGGCCGTGGTAGCCAAATATCAACCAAGCCGGGACCAAGAGCACCAAGAGTACCAAGGCTGGGCGGAACGGAGTCATGCCAAGATCCCGCGCGGGGAAGAGGGGGTTTGGGGTATTTGCCAAGTTTCTCCTCTTCGTCGCTTCGGTCGAGTTGCTGGCGAGCCGCGGCAGATGTTGAAGAGGAATAGAGTGATTGTCTTTGACCCGAATATGCGAGGATGCATATGTACGGAGTAGGAGACTGAGGCACGCACGGCATGCTAGTTGACGTCGGTGCTTGGGTATGTCCCAATAGTACTTTCCTACCTGGTACTTTTGATCCACTCGCAACTCTCACCCTCCGGAACCAAACTTTGGACTCAAACAAGTCACCGCGTGCACGAATAGTTCGCCTCCCGAGTGGAACACAGATCCACTCGTTAATCTGCCGTCAAAACTTCGGCACAGCAACGCACCGAACGTTGCTCCCGACCATCCTCACACGAAGCGCCGTGGGTCTTCCCTCAACGGGTTTCCACAACTGTAGTCTCTAAATGAGATGTGCCGGTGGGTCTCTCCCCCGGCTTCAAGGCTTCATGGTTGAGATACAGCAGGGGGAGCCAATGTGCACGACGTAAAACAGGATCCACTGGTTATCTGTCGATGCTTCGTTGCTGCCGCCGTGAGAGGATGGGAGCTCCAGGACTTGACCAAGCCCGAAAAAGAGAAGGTGTAGGTGTGTGACGCAACATATGAATTGGAGGCGGAAATCATAATTGAGGGAGAATCTTGTATTGCCACATATCAACAGGATCGCAGATGTGACGTAGAGGATAGTAAATTGAACCCGCATTCTCAACAGAGGAAATGATTGTGCCGCTAAGTCCTTCGAAGGCGTTCGAATCACCTTGGCACTGGGTCAAGAGGTTGGTTGGGGTGCATTGATTGGTTCGGGGCGTCCCATGGCTATGCCAAGGAGGTCGATCGTTTCTCCCCAGTTGTATGTTACATGTCTTGGGAGCATTGGCACCCCCAGACGGCGAAGACACCGACATGCCGGTTGTAGGCGGGGAGCCGTTGTTTCGTGGAGGTCCCATGTTGAGACCATGAGGGTTTACGCAGCTGGTTAGTGATCTGCTCAACGCGAGAGCCAATCGACTATATATGACGCTGCATTCCACCACGTGTGACCTTGGAGTTCTCTTTTATCCAAAACAGTTTCTGGGGTACGAGGGTGTCAACTTTGTGTTCTTCAGCTCCCACTTCCTACACAGTCTGCGATTGGTCGCAGAAAGGCGCCATCATGGCAGACATCAAGCGTGATGAGTCAGGCTCTCCTGTCAGCGAGCCTATCCACAAGGAGGACAAGATTGTTGGAGAAACAGAGACGGAAAACCATTACTATACCGTCTTTGCATCCAAAGATCAGGAATGGCGGGCTGCGTTTGAGAAGAAATTGATGCGCAAAGTCGACCTTCGACTGGTTCCGTTACTGATCATCATGTACCTCAACAACTTTATCGACCGAGCGGCGTTGGGCCAGGCGCGGCTAGGGACTCTGGAGGCCGATCTCAACATGGACGGGACGGACTTCAACCTGGCCATCTCCATCCTGTTTGTGGGATATCTCACGATGCAGCTGCCGTCCAACTTGCTGATCACACGGATCCGTCCTTCACTGTACCTTGGCATTACAATGATGGTATGGGGCGCGGTGTGTGCTTCGACTGCAGCAGTCCAGAATCTGGCTGGCTTGATTGCCGTGAGAATCATGCTAGGTGTCACTGAGGTGTGTTTTGTCTGTTTTGATATGTGTGAGATGCGTCGGTCTGACAAAGCTGATAGGCTCCATTCTTTCCTGGCGCCATTTTCCTCATGTCGAGTTGGTACACTCGACAGGAATTGACCAAGAGAATCGCTTGGTTCTATGGTGGCGTTGCTTTGGCCAACATGTTTGGAGGATTGATCGCAGCCGGCGTTTTGGGAAACATGGAAGGCGCCATGGGGATTGCAGGCTGGAGATGGTAAGTTTGCCGAGATCCCAGTTCCCAAACCCCAGATTCTTGTCATTTGAAAATGGTCTGACGATGGGGTTTTCCTTTCCCCCCTTTTAGGTTGTTCATCATCAACGGCAGCATCACCATCTTCTTTGCATTTGCTTGCATTTTTGTTATACCCAATTTTCCTGCAACTACCAAATGGTTGAATGAAGAGGAACAGGCATTTGCCCGATGGCGACTTAAGTTGGATGCGGAGGAGGAAGATGACAATACCTCCACCTCCCTTTGGCACGGACTGCTGCTCTGTCTGAAGGACTACCGTATGTATATCTTCCTCCTCATGCAGCATCTGTCGATCTTGTCTATGACATTTCAATATTTGTTCCCGTCCATTGTTGGCACATTGGGTTATCCTCATGTCCAGACGTTGTTGCTTACGGTGAGAAAAAAGAAGGCCCTGTCCCCCCTCCAAAAGCGAGAAGGTTGACTAATTCCCTGTTGCTAGGTTCCCGTTTGGACTGCGACATGGATTGCTGCCATCTTTGTCACATGGACTGCGGATCGTACGGGAGACAGAAGCATCCACATCATGTGCCTCTTGACTGTCTCAGCCGTTGGTAATGCGATTGTGGGAAGTACACTGAATATAGGAGCACGGTTTTTTGGCATGTTCCTGGTAAGATGCGATAGAATTCTTGTCACGACGAAGAAAAGACCCGCTGACTTCCAACCATCTAGATGCCACTTGGGGCCGTGTCAGCTTACCAGATCATCGTCGCCTGGGTGGCCAACAGTTTCATCCGTCCAATGGTCAAGCGATCCTCGGCCATTGCCATATGCAATGCTGTTGGAAATTGTGCTTCTATCTATGGAACTTACATGTATCCAGCCTCGGATGAGCCTCAGTACATGCCCGGAAGCGCTGGAAATGCGGGCGTGTGCATCACGGTGGCATTGCTGGCTCTGACCCTGCGTTTCGTCCACAAATGGGAGAACAAGAAGTTGGAGAAGGCCGAACGAGAGGGCTACGTTGAGGATGGCGTCCAGAGAGATCGAAGAGCGTTCGGCTTTAGATACATTTACTAAGAACTCCAACTGGACTGGTCACACAGGACAAGAGATAGATGGGTGATGTCGTTGAAGGGTGTTTCTGCTTTTTACCTAAGACTGACAGGTAAAACACAACCATCAAACCAGAAAAACGAGAGCGTTATCATCTCATGGGCTTTAGCGCCAGTGTCAATTATGGTTACTTGTAATTGAATGCAAAGGGGTAGCCTGCTTGCTTCAAACAACAGTCATCCCTCTATTCTCCGACCCAGACGCAGGTAGTGCCAGATACTCTAGTAGCTACCTACCTCTTCTATATGACGTCTCTCGATCGAAGATAAACCCCGCACCTCCACTCCCAACTTCCGCCCATTCCGACCCTTGAATAAAAGCGCGAAAATGTGCATTAGAACGTTATCACCACACTTGTAGTAGGATTTTGGTATGTCTCAAGCAACGTCTCCTCGCGTTGCTGCTGTACGCCGCGTCTACGACGCAAGAAGCGAACAGTACGACAGTAATCAAGTCCATCTTGATCAGACGCGTGACTACATCCAATGGGCCAGTCTGACGCCTGGTCAGAATCTGTTGGATCTTGCCACTGGGACAGGACTGGTTGCGATTGAGGCCAAGAAGATCGTTGGTCCTTCAGGTCTGGTGGTTGGAGTCGATGTCTCCCAGGGCATGCTGGATGTTGCCAAAGCCAAGGCTGAGGAACAAGGGGTTGATGTGAGATGGATCAATGGCGACATTGAAAATCCACCGGAGCTGAAACTTGACGAGAGTACAAAAGACGTACATTTCGATCTCATTACCTGCGCATCTGCCTTGATTCTTCTTTCTGATCCCCTCGCCGCGGTCAGAGAGTGGGCGAAGTTACTCAAGCCCCTTGGAAAAATTATTACAGATGTTCAAACTCGAGATGCAAATCTCGTCATGAACATCTTTGCTAGTATTGCCAGTGAGACCGGCATACAGATTCCCTGGGAGGGAAGCAGATGGTCCAATATGCAAGATCTCGCAGACCTTATGGTGGATGCCGGCTTGACGGTGCTGCAACTCTGGGAGACTTCGGTCTACGCAACGACCAAATTTAACGTCTACGAGGCTGAGATGATCTTTGATGACGCAGTAACAAAGCCCTTGTATAGTGACTTTGGAAAAGATGGTGTGAGGCAAAGAGCTAGGAAGCTCTTCTCGACGAGGATGCTACAGATTGCTGCTGGGCAAGAGGAGATCTTGGAGCAGTGCAAGTATTGGGTGGTGGTCGCACAGAAACCGTGAATGAAAACTAGAACCGAGATTTATACGCCGTTCCTTGGTCATCAGTAGATTCATTGGCTATCAATGCCCTGCTCGAAACTCGTGATGGAGAAGGCCTCGTCGCCTTCTCCCTAGGTTCGGTCATTTTTTGCGGGTGAGATCTCCGTGAATTAGACTTGTACATTATATTTGTGAACCCAAAGGTCCTTAGGACAACCACAACGACGTCATGTTCTCCCAAAACTTGTCACTTCCCCTCATCAAAACGTATACATTCCCCTCAAAATCACATTTAGGATGAAATCTATCCGAGTTCCATTCGTACATCCACTCTGCACACCTCCACCTCAAGCGATCATACCTCACTATGGGCACGATCGACATGAATTGTACCGAGGAAGTGTTTGCAGCCGTCTATTATCCTCGGGAGTCTAGAAAATTGGAGGTCATCTATCTCCTCGCCCCAGAAGCTCCCGACTTCTCAACAAGCATTTGCCAGGGAATTGTTCGTATTCTTATATAAGATAAGCTTTCGTAACTGCTCTGAATAGATGCCTATGCTTCCTCTATGGAATTGGTATAACAATTCGACACCAAATCGCTTTCATAATGCTGCATAAGATTATTGTCAACCCTTATAACCTCTGGGTGGTCATATTTGTCGCCTTGGGAACCATTTCCACGGCATATGGCCTGGCCATCATTGGGTCCACCGTAGGGCAGCCGAACTTTTATAGCTATTTCGGCCTGGCTGTCCAAGGGGAACCTGGTTACGCGTCTACCACAAACATCATTGGCGCATTGAACGGGGTCAATTCAGCGGGTGCCATTGTTGGTTGCATCTCTCAAGCCTGGTCTTCGGACCATTATGGTCGAAAACGCACAATGCAGATTGGGTGCGTCATTCTGATCTTGGGAGGAGGTCTCTGCGCCGGAGCGTACGACATGGCCATGTTCCTCGTCGGCCGATTTGTTGCTGGACTGGGAGCGGGCATCCTTGCTTGCGTAGTGCCGATTTATCAAGCTGAGGTTTCCACTCCAGGTAACCAGCCCTCCTTGACCCTATCCCGAATTTGAAGCCAATCTCATCTGCTAACGTGCTTGATACAGAGACCAGAGGTGCAATGGTATGCGTCACTGGCATTATGTATGCCTTTGGTTATACCCTCGCTGGCTGGATGGGATACGCCTGCTTCTTCATGTCAGCTACTAACCCCGCTGCTCAATTCTCATGGAGATTTCCTCTTGCGTTCCAAGTCGTCTTCCCTCTCATTCTTCTTGCTGGTAGCAAGATAATCCCTTTTAGCCCTCGATGGCTTCTTTCACAAGGCCGCCGACAAGAAGCGTTGGATGTGGTCAAGAGACTGCACAAAACTCCTGCCGACACCGAGGACATTGTTGCTCGACAGGAGTTCTGGCTCATGGAGAAGCAATATGAAATGGATGCTAGCCTCTCCCGGTCTAGATTTGAGCTTTTTCGCACAAAGGCTAACAGAAGGAGAGCGTTGATGGCCTGTATCCTCATGTGGGGAGATCAATTCCTCGGAATTTTTGTGCTTACCAACTATGTAGGTCTTTGAATCGTTTCACGCCATCAGACGATGACTAACTTGCGCAGGGCGTTCTCATCTATGCTTCTCTCGGCTTGTCAGGATCCATACCACTACTTCTCAACGCTTGCTGGACAACTTTCACTATAATCGGCAACACCTGGACAGCCCTGTACATTGATCGATTTGGAAGACGCAAGTTCATGCTCATTGGCTCTATTGGCTGTGTTGTGTCTCTGATCTTTCTCTGTGCACTCACGGCCTCTTTTTTGAACACAGATAATATTGCGGGGCTGAGGGCCGCTGTATTTTTTGTCTTCTTTGTAAGTCATTCAGGATCCACCCTTGCTGTTCACTCCTTGGTCATTGCCCATTCACTAATCCATTTGTGAGCAGTACATAGTTTGGTGGTGCTTCTTTATTGACGCAACCCAATACGTCTACGTCTCCGAGATATTCCCGAACCATCTTCGACCCCACGGTGTTGCACTGGGTTTGTCGGCTTTCTATCTTGCAAGTGAAGTGACACTTGTGGGGGCTCCTGTCGCATTGAACAAAATCGGCTGGAAGTTTTACCTAGTCCTCATCGTTCCCAGCGCAGTCTACATCGTCATTCAATACTTCCTGTTTCCAGAAACCAAAGGTCGTACATTGGAAGAGATCGGCGATCTCTTTGGGGATGATCTGCATGTGGCTAGTCATTGGTATACGGCCACAGAAGAGGAGAGAGAGAAGATGAAGGAGCAGGCATTGAGAGAGACTCAAGGGAGTCAAGCAAGTCAAAATAGCGCAAGCGGGACATCTGACACGGGGGACGAGAAGGGAGTCATGACGAGGAACGGGGATCCCAAGGATGCAATTAAACCTTAGCCAACACGAGTAGAGGAGGCGTAGGGGATTGTCTCCGCCAGGGTATGTTGGATGAAATCTACCTAGGTACCTTCAGCCTGCTTGTTGAGCCTTTTTGACTTGTGTGAAGACTCATGGGAACAAGGAAGCGGGCATTGTCGATATTTGGTCCAGGCATCGGAGGCGTCAGCGTGTTAAGAGGAGTAAAATCTGCCCCGGGGTCACCCTCCTTTGGACGAGGGTGATGCCGCCCTGTACTCACCCCTGGCGCCGGCGAGCTGGGTGAGGCGGTAATGCCTTCGCTCTGTGGCGTCACTGGTGCGATGCCGACCCTGCTCACCTCGCTGGAGTCCGACAATGCCGACGATGATTGGCCACCTGTGCCGGCCGACGACGGGACCCTAACCGCCCCAGGCTCGTCCAGTGGACGCGCGAGACCTCTCAAAAGCAGCGTTTTGACGTCGACAGTTCGGGGAACGCCCGGTGTCACCGCCTTGGACGGATGTGTCTGGTGGAGGTCTTAGGTGCTGCAGTCTTGGCGCGCTAGGCTTCACCCCCGTCTTGCCGCAAGAGCGAGTTTTGGATGCGCCGGGGATCCTTGGCATCCTTTCCAAGGCCTATTAATAAACTGTCACGGGATGGCCCGGGCAACCCTGCTGACTCACCCCGAACTAGCTAAGGACAGCTCCTTGTATGCGAACCGCATGCGAGGAGACAGGATTTCCTTTAGTCAACGGTGTTAGAAGTCTCTGTATTAGTAGACGGCTAGCTGCCATCCCTGAGTGTCACACGCCTAGTCCTATCGATCTAACCAGCCCTCTTACAGCGATATTAAGATTAAGTACTCCGTACTTCACCGGAGATAGGTCTAAGCTAAGGATATTCCTCTTATAACTTAAATTAGCGACTTCTCGACTTGTTGAGTGCAATCGCGGAATCGTCACCCCCGTTAGGAACACTCTATTCTGCTTCTCGATAGTCCACCGCACTCCCGAATGTAACTGTTTGGTAGCTGGCTCGCTTGCTACCGAGCGAGGCTAAAGAATTGCAAATCTATTGTTTCCTCAATCGTTAAAACTTATTCAAATTGGCTGGAAAATCTTCGCATCAGTGAAATTGCCTTTCATGTCCCCGTATAGACCCTGCCAATCTGTATCGGCAAGGGCCAAACGTTTCACGGTTCCATTCTTGCTCAGGTCATAGTCTTCCAGATACATGAAGATAGCAATAGGCGTAACGGAGCTCTCGTAGAAGAAGACCATGTCTTTGAGATCATAATAACATCTCCAAAGGGTCGGCCACAAGTCAAGACCGGTGTTGATTTCACTTTCGGGGACAAAAGGAACGCTAACTGCTCGAATCATTGCAGCCGTGGTTGCGACCGAAGACATTAAACCCGGAGCATCGGCCGTTATCGTGTTGTAGTAGGACAGTCGCACAAAGCGATCTATATCCATCGAGTCTTGTCAGCCCATTTGTTCGATAAATTGAAGGTTATAGTCAGAATTTCGAAATGACATACCTGCTGGAGTCCCTGTACCGGGTAGTGAATAGTTCGACATGGGTTTCCAGTATTCCCATATGGCAAGCTGCTCGTCAAAGGTAGGATCATTCGTCATGACCTGATACTGTTCGCCGTGGTGTATCACTAGCTGCCCGTTCAGATACTCGATGATAAGGTTGTCTCCCGACTTGTCCGTCAGGGCGATATGGCCGACGGATGAGACCCCAGGGACCAGTGCCGCAGTCACGACTTGCAAGTTCGTCGAGTTGAGGTCCGCGACCACTCCTGCGACTGTGTCGTACATGTCGAGGTAGTACTGAAGCCAGACGCCGATAGCCAGCCCTGGACGTGAGGTATTGCGCGTTCCGTAGTCGCTGGATCCGAGGTAGAGGATGCTGCCGGTCAAACCTGCGGCGTTGATGCCGTCGATGGTGACTTTGTCGTACATTGTGGCCACCATACTGCCGTACTTCGACGTCCATTGAAGGGGATTGACTTCAACGGAACCATTGCGCTCAATGCCTGCGGGGAAGATGTAGATACTTGCATTAGTTGAGGCCACAAAATCCATCGAGCGGCCGATCGTGATGCGCTCGTCAACTTTTGCATGGTACGTGACCCGAGAGCAGGCACTAACTACACTACTCAACACGAGAAGACTCCCCACAAGATAGCCACTGCAGAAGATCATCTTGCTTGACGCGGTCAGGTTATTGCTCGGAACTCTCAAGAGTGTAGAATACTGTGCGTTAGTGTGAACAATAGATCGAATAACGTGACGACGGCCCTGTAATTATACCTCTTACCTGTCTTTCAGTAAAGTTCGAAGATCATGTTTTTTCTCCCTCTTATGCCTTTTCGGGTGGCTTTGGTGAACTGTTGGTTCGTAAATAGTGATACTTTCTGCACCACATACTCCTTACGCAATGCAACAGTTTCGTTCGGGGATGGCCTCGGCTCATCCGTGCTTAGAATTTGGTGATGAAAGGCCATAGTCTGAGATACATCGGTTGCTAGGCTAAATAGAAGGATAAATCGAACTTACAATAATCCGGAGTTGAAGCACAGACGGCTAGTCCTTCCTAAAAGTAGTCTAGCACTCATAATAGAACCGACCTAGAACAATCTACAGATGCGAATGATGCGAACGTGAGGGGGCATACGCGTTTCTCCACCTGACCCATCTCTTATGCATGAAAAGACTGTCGATGTTGACAACTTCAGCAGAAGCTCGAGCCTGGTATTATTGGCCGAGCTCAAAACTTTGTTTCTGTGATGTTAGGCTCACAGGCTCGAATAAGACTTCATTGAAGCTAATTTGGCTCAATCCAATCTTGAAGCCCCAGTTTGAAGGCAATGTTTTTTTGCAACATTCATTCCCCACTAGTTTCGATGAGAGAAGATTCTATTGAGTGTATCGCGCCTGAAATCAGATGGCTTGCCGCTTTACCGAAGACGGAAGAGATATATCGTTGTTTTGCAAAGAATATGTATCCTGAGTTGCGTACTCCGTCGTCTCACATCGACTTCCGCCATGGTTTGAGCAAGCTCCTAATAATGACAGGTGTGCTACGCCTAGCCGGACTCCATCATAGTTGACATCGAAGCCCTGGTGACTGCCGCACCTTGTTCTTCGTGGAAATTGAAATCTAAAGTTTGGAGAAACAGTAGTTATAGAGTGAAAAGCTCGGTTCGCATCGAATACGCAATCTGCTTCAGTACGGATAAGTATACTGTAGGTAGAGGCTGTGATCTTGATGGCCTTGGTTGGAACTGTTTACGCAGAGAGTCTAAAATCATCAACATTCCCGCGTCCTGCCCGGTTCTAGGCTTGATGGTGGGACAAAGGATCCAGATAACCATGGTAGTTTCAGCCTGTACACGTCAGTTGGCTCTATGATGGAGGGACTAGAGTGGAGTTAACATTATAGTAGCTATCAACCTTGAGCCTCAGGTACCTGGTAGGTACGGAGGTACCTACAACGCACGAAAGGTTGGAATCCGAAACTTCCCCTCTGTCCCAGCGCTGCTGCCCACAAATCTACAATGCACTTTCATTCTTCATCGCCGTGCACTTTGCGGCAAATGCAGAAGTCACTCCAAGTTAGCCACGACTGTATTTTCGCAGGCTGCTTAGAGTCGTAGAGATAACGTCAACATGGTCTCGAGTGTCTGCCTGCGATGGGTCGCCTCCTTACAATGGGGACGAATACGGCGAGAAGCGCAAAGCAGACAGTAATCCTAACCATGACAAGCAGTCTCATACACAGCCAGTAGAATCAACACATTTCAATTGCCTGGCGAGATTTATGCGCACAGTGCCTAGCCTAAACTAGATGACAGAGTCCAATTGCGTGATCTTTGAGCTAATGGGGGAAAAATTCCTGCGTCCACATCTTTGCATCGACACTGCGCAAGAGTCGCATTTTCTCAATCTTCGGAGGCACTGCATTTCTACTTACAGGTTTTGGGTCCATCGCCTTCCGCAGCGCCATCCGGCAGACCGCCTAATCTCTCGAGTATGCGCTGCTCAAACTTGCGCTAAAGGAAAAGGACGGCTGGAGGTTGCACACAGTCAGGATGTATGAACAGATCATGGGCGAGCAATTCACAGATGCTGTTTGTGGGGAGAAAACATGATTCAATTATGGGATGGAGAAGTCAAGAGAAGACTAGTTAGCTCCGTGGCAAGCACCTATATCTCGCATTCTCCACATCATCTCGAATACCTCAATAATTTCGATGAGACTTTTGGGCGGAGCACGTTAACTCTGCGACCCAATTAGAGAGGATTTTTTCAGAAGCATGGATGTATACCGCACAATTCTATCAATCTCGAGGAGAAACTTTTTGAGGCTTTCGGAGACTTGTCGGCCTACTCTGCAGGGGTATTCCATGTTACTGGCTTAGCCTCTTTAATTCATGCTACTCCTGGAAACAAAATTGGGAATCTCCTCGTAGTTTTCAATCTAAACGTGGATATCACATAGATCAGTACCTTTATATTCCTCGGTAATTCGCTTTCTTCCGACTGATTTCCATCGAAGATGCGGCTTCTGTAGCGGTAAACCGAGCTGTGTGGTCGTTGGACTAGCCGTGCATATCCTGTAAACTTCTGATTGTGGTGTTTCGTCCAACTGATCTGCAACAGATTCAGGTATGGTATGATACAGTCGGGCCTCTTTTCCGAGTCGACATTACAGTCAGTGATCAAACCGCCCATCTGTAGGGTGAATGTGTTGTTGACATGTCTTAAAAGAAAACCTGTACAGGAGAAATCTTGCGCGCACATATTGTCGCTTGGTGAGGAGCATAAGAGGCCGACTACAGGAAGGTTGATAGCTGCTGTCAGCACCGCCGTGCGGTGGTCATTGAGCAAAAGCGTCAAATTCCCGAACCGCAATTTGTCTGTAAGCCGTGGCATTGTTTGAGGTGCTCGATGTTGGCGCATCTGCGTCCAAGCAAGTACAGACTATCCGGAAAACTGAAGGTCTCGGCGAGCGGCACAAAGAGTTTATGTCTTCCTACTGCGGACAAGCTAGAAACACCAGAGTAATGTCTGAATGTATGTCATGATCCGCAATGGCAACTCGCAAAATCGAGGTTCGGAGCCAGGGCAAGGCCGAAGATCGAAAGGCTCGCTGGTGCGCTCATTGTCGGTAGAATTTCTCCATCATAGCGACTGTGCCGTTTAGTCTAAGATGACAAGGAGATGACGAAGATGAAACTATAGTGAAAGGTAGATAGTGTCGAATCAGCTTGAAAACAATCAGCAAGACTCTGAAATATCCTGGAGTACAGGGTAAAGACCATGTACTAATGATTTCGTTATCATGAGCGTCTGCAAAGCCATGAGGCATAACAAACAATTGAACGATATTATTGAAAACGGCACAGGAAGCCCGTAAGCAAAACAGTTCTCAATATTCGCACAATGCTTCTGTCTAGGCTGCTCCTGGTCTGGAAAAGTTCACCTGTGCTGGAAGCTAATTTGGGGAATAAAGATGACGGGAAACGTCTAGACTCGTGTGGACTGTGCGTCATGCGAAGGGGCAGTCTACCAAACACTCGGATCGGAGACTAACATTCGCTTAGATACTCTCGGGAGCATGTGCAAGTCGAGTATGCCTTAAGAAGGAATCCGTCTAGATAGTGTAGAGGAGGATATTCACGTTCTCGGCGCGCGGGAACAACGTCAAACCAGTAACCAAAACAAGAACGAAGATCCTGGGGTTCTCGTCGTAGGGCGCCGCGTGTTGGGATAGAACTCTCTCCTTGTGAACTCACTTAACTCGCTTCTTTCACTAAACTTAAAACTGATTAAACTGGATGAAGTGCTTCGTTATGACTGACTGAATGGCTAACTAGGTTGAAATCTCTCTGTCTCTGTGTCTGATCTTCTTCTCGTTGCTTGCCTGCCTCCATCTCCTCCTGAAGAAGGAGTGAGTCCTTTTGATCATGACTCAGCGTCGCTATTCCTGCCTATTCCATCACTAAAGCAAGCTAACTAACTAATCCTCCTATCGCCCTACTACAGTAGTTGAAACGAGCGCTAGAGGAGCTGTCGAAGAGAACTAGAAAGACCTAGGATAGAGCTTGTGCTAGTAAGGTTTGGACATCACTTTTCTACAATAGCACAATATAACTCGGATATCAGCATCGCGTGTCGCTAGCCCTCCTTTCGCTAGGTCTCCTAAGCCCATTAACGGTATACTGTGGCGGGCATACCAGTGACAGCTATAAAGTCTTTCATGACATGTACTTCGTACGCACTTCAGACGCTGGTTATTCAACTCTTGGGCCCACATTTACAGAAGATAAGAGCTCGACAGAACTGTCAAGATTCAACGGCCATATAGGACGACAAGTAGGCAATATCTCTTTCGTCTAGATAATTGTTCTTGCGTTCGTGGCGCTTGCCTTCAGGCCGAACCGACGCCGTCTGATCAAGACTCCGCCAACCTCATCTTACCTCGCTTTGGGAGGGGCATTCTACGGCCAAAATCCGGGTGGCTTTGCTCGATAATCATGTGATCACGAAAGGCGCTGGATCCGCAGTTTCCGCACCTTTTGCTTTCCAAGGACTTGCTGGAATAACAAGGTCCGCATTCATTATTCTCGATACAACTATTTGCAATTGGCGCTTCGGGTTCTGCACACACAATTTTCTTTCGAAACCAATGTCTGATCCGCTGGGGACCCATCACCTACTACATTGAGTTCTGTAAAGCTTGGAACAGAAGCTCTACCAATAGACAGCTCACAAATGATTTATAATTCGGAGCTTACTCGTACGTAGTACAACTCGCTCCTTTCCTTATTCTCAATTTCGGTCCCTGTGACATTGGTGAAGCCGGCAAAAAACCATTCAGCTATTGTCTGCAGCGAGTCGGTGGTCGGACTGACGGCGTCGAACAGTGGCTGGCTGGTGGAGGCGTAGAACCGTAGGAAGACTTTGACGGTGGCCAAGTCGGGGGCAGCCATGCTCGCTCGCAGGCACTGGTCCCGGGCGTCATCTTCGTCGGGCGGGGGCAGGCCATTCTGGGCGTACTCTTCCCTCATAGCTATGAGATGCCATCTGCTACATCAACGTTAGTACGGGGCTCGCGACCTGCTTCGACGGTAGATATACAGGACGTAGCGTCGAAGGGTTCCCTCATGAGTGTAGAGGTGAGTCGCGAGCGGGAGGGTTTAAAACGGCACGTTCAGAGGTGAGTCGCATGTGAGCTCGGGGCAGATTTTACTTGTCTTATACTGCCAAGACCTGGAGACAAGCTTTGGCGCTTCATGATTGGCCTGTATTGAACCGCGGCGCAATGGGAAGGAGCAATGGATCGGAGCTTCACCTCGCATCTTTTAATTCTCCATCAACACCGTAAAGCCCAGCTTCTATCACAGCCCCGTTGATTTCCCACTTCGAGGCCCTCTCATTCATCTCCAGTCTCAACCGTCTATCCTAATCTCTTGCCTCGACCAAGATGTCTTTCGCACGCCAGATGTTCGGCCAGGTGCCACGCAGGGCGTTCTCCGCCTCCGCAAGACAGGTAAGAATGAATCAGCATTATACCTGTCAGGCCTTTTCATCTCATCTGACTCTGTCGTCATTTCTAGTCCTCCAAAGTGACCATCCTCGGTGCGGCTGGTGGTATTGGACAACCTCTGTCCCTGCTCATGAAGCTGAACCCCCGTGTCTCTCAACTTGCCCTCTACGATATCCGCCTCGGCCCAGGTCCGTTCGTCCGCAACCGGCAAGAAAAAAAAGAAAAGCCAATTGACATATAAATCAAAACAGGTGTCGCAGCTGATATCAGCCACATCAACACCAAGAGCACCGTCAAGGGTTACGATCCCACCCCTTCAGGCCTCAAAGAAGCTCTCACGGGGGCTGAAGTCGTCCTTATTCCAGCTGGTGTTCCCCGAAAGCCAGGCATGACTCGTGACGGTGCGTCGAATAATCAACCTGCTACTCGCCTCAACGCTCACATCATCTAGATCTCTTCAACACAAACGCAAGCATTGTCCGTGACCTCGCAAAGGCTGCCGCCGACGCCGCTCCCAACGCTAACATCCTCGTCATCTCCAACCCTGTATGTGGATTGTCCACCACAAGTCGAACCTTCCCATCGTACTGATCTATTGGCAGGTCAACTCTACCGTCCCCATTGTTGCAGAAATTTTCAAGAGCAAGGGAGTCTATAACCCAAAGCGTCTGTTCGGCGTCACTACTCTTGATGTCGTCAGAGCCTCTCGATTTGTTTCAGAGATCAAAGGAACTGACCCTGCTGATGAGAACATTACTGTTGTTGGTGGTCACTCCGGTGTCACTATCGTGCCCCTGATCTCCCAGTCTGGCCACACCGACATCACTGGCGAAAAGCTTGACAACTTGGTAAACCGCATCCAGTTTGGCGGTGACGAAGTTGTCAAGGCCAAGGATGGCGCGGGCTCTGCTACACTTTCCATGGCCATGGCTGGTGCTCGCTTCGCTGAGAGTCTCTTGAAAGCTGCTCAGGGTGAGAAGGGTGTCGTTGAACCCACCTTTGTCGACAGCCCCTTGTACAAAGACCAAGGCGTCGAATTCTTCGCGTCCAAGGTCGAACTTGGCCCCGATGGCGTCCAGAAGATTCTCGACGTAGGCAAGATCACCAAGCACGAGGAGGGTCTACTTGAGGCTGCATTGAGCGGTATGTGCAAACTTGTTCTCGCGCCGCTTTCATTACTAACCAGTCTCAATCAGATCTCAAGAAGAACATCCAAAAGGGCGTTGACTTTGTCAAAGCCAACCCATAGAAGATGACCTGACGGTCGGACTCCAGCTATTGACGTGTACCAAAAGCAATTCCGAGGACCCTGAGATGAGGTGAATGCTTTGTGCCCGTACTTCAGATAAGAACTTTTGTTTGAACCCACTGAAAAAATGATCCGACTTTCAGATATACCCGGACCACTCCCATACTGTCTTCTACTATTGTGTCCTGTTTTTCCTTGAGAACCGTTGCTTGACCCCTTGTTCTGTGGGTGATTTCTTGGACTGTCGCTCCGACCAACTTCACCAAACTACAGGACGCCTTTCTCCCACCGCTTCCATTCTTTGTCTTTGTTCCACTATTTCTTTGATGGCGCTCTTGGGTCAGTTTTGATTGAGTCGTTTTTCTTACGCCCCGGCTCTTGGCTCTGAGTTGAGTGATGCCGGAGCTTATACAAGGTATGCTGCAAAGCTGGGAATGTCTCAATGCCCTGGCCAGATTCTTTAACCTCACTTGCTGTTAGATTGCTTTCATCCTAGAGACACACCAGGCTGGGCCTTTCTAGGACTACGTCAGGACAGACAGCACAGCGACAGTGATCACAGGTCAGCCAACCCAGTCAGAATTGTAGCTGGCTGATGAACCCATCTTTCGTGTTATGGATCCAATATTTCTATACCTTTGTCTGGCCTGCAAGCATTAAGAAAACTTTGCTAATTTAAATGTGCAAAAGTCATCCCCATTATCTCCATAACCAGTATTAGTTGTAATGGGTTATGCCTGGTTGTGCAATGCCTCACTCATGGATTTCCATTCGCCTCTGATCCAGATTGGCACATCTATTCTTTGTCAAGCAGTCTATCAAAGACGCAAATATGGGTTTAGCGTCAACTTATGTGTCTCAGGTCAGGTGGTGGTTTTGTCGCTTCAATGATGAGTACATATTTCTTCCTTCCCCAAAACATCTACTCAGGAAACGCTAGCATTTTGCATAATCATCTTGTTAGGGCCGGAAACATTTCTTCATCATGAGTCGCCATCTCGTCGATGCGGATGGGGATACTATCATGACAGACGATGACTATTTTCTTCCCCAGGCCCCCCACAGCACCCTATACCCACCAGCCCAATCTATGCATCCTCCTGGATCACAGGCATACCGGTCTGAGATTTCAAAATCAACAAGTGTTCATTCTGGCCACCAACCGTTGTTCTATCCAGGCTCTTTCGGATTGGGTATGGGCACTCGTTTCCAATTCGGTAGCTTTGGTGCCGGCGCTTCTCAGCCACTTCCACGAACTACCGAAGTCCGCCAGCCCCATATCATCCCTATGACTGTCCCTACACGTGGGCAGAATCAACTCAGTGGGCATTGGGCGCCATGGCCAGGACTGCCACCTACAAGAGTCGACTCAATTTCTTCTGGATTTGGGCCTGCCTTCACTCAGAATCATAACAATCGTTTCAGGCAAGGTTCGACTAACCTACCCACGAATCAAAGACATGGAGGGTGCAGAGCATGCAACATTACCTTCTGTTCCCTCTGCAGGACCTTCCATGACAGGGCGTTGAATTGTGATTACTTCGAAGACGAGGTCGACTACGAGGATGAAGGGGACCATTCGAGCTATACTGACAATGAATCTCAAGACGAATTCTCGAGCCAGATCGACGAAGACGAGGACGACGATGATGATGACGATGAGGATGAGGATGACAACTGGAGCTTCCACAGTGCCAATGGGATGCACGAGGGACTCGCAGAGGGGTCATTTGTGAGACGAGCAGTTGGTGGCCAAGGCGAACCGCATTGTTTTCATTGCAACACGATACGATATCGCAACAACAACCCGGAAACTGACTATTGTGACGTCTGCATGCGATCGTCTTCTCAGTTGGAACGCTGCCGTCATTGCTTCTTAGACCTATGCCCTACATGTTTACGAGGAGGTAGGAACGGAAGGTATACGACTTCAGAGCCCAGTCGGCGGCGCAATGGATTCTCTGCTCTCGACCTGCTTGACTACTAGCACTTCGGTGATTCTGGCAGCCTGCTTCTCTCCACATTGTTGGGCCCCTGACGCACCGCCCGTGCGCGGGAACACGGCATTTGCTGGGTTTCTAATGGCACTGGGCAGATGTACTGTGTATGATGAAGACGAAGCTATGACAATTTACGGCAAGGACTCGTTCACATGTAAAATTCTAACGCCCCGAGACCATCCATTGGCAGAAGTGGATGGCAAGGACTCCTAGTTTGGTTGGCATTTAGATAGAACACGTGACTTGCTGCCATTATCGAGGGTGTATACCATCGGCTACTCCTTCAACAGGATAGCCATCGAAACAGTCCAAGTAGTCACGCAAGCACAGAGAGTGCCTAGTCAGTCAGTAGTCGATCAAGTTCAGTCAGTTTACTTTGCAGAGAGATAATTCAATAGTAGTCGCTGTGGCCAACGAGAGTCCGTCATGTGATAAAAGCCATAGAGATAAATCACATGATTCAACATCTGCTGAAAAGTGGAGCATACTTTTTCCTGAGAGAGCAGGCTCACGTAAATTTTTTACTAGCTCTTGACTCTTCAAGGAACATTAACGCATCAGCAAGATCAAGTTGAAGCAAACGGTGAAAGCTGAGACAATGGCACTTGTGACTCTCCCAGGGCTAGATGGCGTCCTGCCTTTGATTGCCTCTGGCAAAGTACGCGAACTCTTCCAAGTCGACGGCAACTCTCTCTTGTTTGTTGCAACAGATCGCATCTCGGCCTACGATGTGATAATGAAAAATGTGAGTCATCACATCTATTCTCTTCTGGAGTTGCTCACTCATCGCTTAGGGTGTCCCTGACAAGGGCATCATGCTCACGCTCATGACTGCCCATTGGTTTAAATATCTACAGCAACAAATCCCAGATCTCCAAACGCATTTTATCTCATTAGATGTGCCATCCGCAGTGTCAGCAGACAAGGCTGCTCAACTCAGAGGCCGGAGCATGCATGTGAGAAAGTTAAAGGTGTTTCCAGTCGAGGCCATCGTGCGTGGGTACATTTCTGGTTCAGCGTGGGCGTCTTACCAGAAAAATGGCACTGTCAACGGCAAGAAGATGCCAGAGGGTCTGCAGGAATCTCAGGAACTGCCCGAGCCCATCTATACGCCCAGCACCAAGGCCGAGCTTGGTGCCCATGATGAGAACATCTCCACGGAGGAGGCAGCAAAAGTTGTCGGCGACAAGTATGCTGCGCGTATCGAAGAGCTGGCCTTGAAAATCTACAAGGCCGCCAGAGATTATGCACGTGAGAAAGGAATCATCATTGCCGACACCAAGTTTGAATTTGGCTTGGATGAAGCAACCGATCAAGTGGTCTTGGTTGACGAGGTGTTGACACCGGATAGCTCAAGGTTCTGGTCGGTCGAGAAATACCAGATTGGCAAGGGTCAGGACAGCTTTGATAAGCAGTACCTTCGGGATTGGCTGACCTCAAACAACCTCAAAAATAAAGAAGGTGTTTCGATGACAGACGATGTCGTCGCAGCCACCCGCGCCAAATATGCAGAGGCTTTCAGAATCTTGACTGGCAAGTCAGTGGAGGAGGCCGTTGGCGAGCTGAAATAAGCGGACCTTCGTGGTATGGTGGACTGGTGTCCTTGTGCGTTGCATTAGCGATATAATGGGCTGGTGTCTTTGTCCCTTGCATTAGCGATATGGTGGGCTGATGATCTTGTACGTTTCAAAAAAGATAGTGGGAGCGACTATTAACTTGACATGAAATTCTACCTACCTTGTTTATTAGATAGGTACTTTAGGCCGTAATATACCCTAGTCCCTACCCCTTATAGGTACTCTAGGTGTCAGGAACCACTCATATGCCCTGCAGAATCTCTGCAAAACGACGGAGAATCTCGTGAATCGCGCAGCCTTGAGTGGTTTGATATAGATATACTGACATACCGTGCTAGGGAGCGCCCAGTGTTGCTGTCACGTGTCTGATCACGTGTTTGACATCAGGGATAATCTACGGAAGTGAAGATCATTGTCTATTCAGAATCACGATTGTCAGGTCAACGAGGTCAACGATACCTGAGTTTTGGTACTCCTATTTGCGCGACTCAACACCGCTATCTCAATGCACGTTCAGTATTATGATAAATTGCGTTCAGCAGTCTTCTTCAGGCCACGAAAAGCAAAAGCATAAACTAGTGCCCGAGGTGGTGAGCTATGAGATCGCCTAGGCCACCGATCGCTATCTCACTAAAGATAGCTTGTTCTACCAAGAACCCTGCAGTGCCTCTTACTCATCCTCAGCCTCAGGACTCTCAATGCTAAGACAGACGAACGGAGAATTCCTGAATCATATGGACTGGATCTAACCACTAGTCATCATCCGTAGTGCAGAGCAGGGATGGAGGCTCCTCGGCCCATCTATGTACTCCGTAAGCCCTCTCACTGGCAAAGTTTTGTTCAACAATGTCTTACATGATTGTAGGGAATAGCCGTCCGTGTTCCTGAACTCTCCCTCTTTCAGCGAAAAAAGAAGTAGTCCGTACCTGCAGAACATGCGTAACCTCCCGTGCCTATCTACCAAGCTTCTGTACCCCCCGGAGTTTCAATGGGAGCAGATAAGGAACTGGTGTGCCACAAGATAAGTAGCGAGATGAGTTTTTGTCCCACGACCTCATCGTTATCAACTCGTCAGAGAAACCACCATGCATTCTTTGATGTACCAGTCGTGAGGCAGGGGATACTTTTTTGATCCGCCCTGCACCAGGCGTGTGATCGACTTGATAAGTTATCAGTATTTCAAACATGGGTGGGCGATTTCAGTTTCGTTTGAGCCGGGCATGAGCGTACTTCCCGGTCCCCTGCAAAGCAAAGTTTTCGAACACAGAGGATACGGAGGCCTGCCGCACTTTGATGTTTCTGTCCTACCATACGACTCGCCCGCCGTGGTCGGGTACAACTGCAGGAGAAGAAAAGCTTCGCAAGCTGCGACAATATTGAATGTGAATCTTTTCGCATCTATCTTAAGTTCGACAAATGGTGCGTATAGAACACACGTGTTTTATTACCAGATTCAAACACAGGCATTTGCAACAATAAAAGTCACTGCCCCAGTGACGTGAGAAACCACCATGGGGTTAGTTGAATAAATAATACGGAGTATGTTCGATCGGTCTTGAGAAGGGCTTGATGGATCATGATTGGTGTACCTTGTGAACATGTTTCATTTCTAGCACTGGTGCTTGTGGTTCCTTCGGCCCTCTGAAACTGTGGCTAATCTTGCTTATCTGTCTCAATCAGAATCCTCCGACCATGTTGTGGGCAAGCTAAACCGAATCAACCTGACACACCATCCCTCGTGTCTACGGAGTAGATGAAAATAGTCTCAAAGACTATCTTGAATAGTGGTCGATTGGCGCCCAAGTGTAATCCACGCGAGCTGCGAGCAACGAGCAACAGAGTTCATGAGTCTGGACTGCCCAGATGCCGGCTTCAGTGATTTCAGAGCTTCGAAATTCAATAATACCATCAGTAGACAATGCTCGCGCAGACTTGGCCTATGAGCAATAGTTACATCGCCCAACTGGGGTCGCATCGATGCAGCAGTGGAGATCATCGCTGATGGCCCGGGCTGAGAGTTGCGTCTTGGGGCACAAGCGGCAAGTTGCCAGCTGTGATGCAAGCTGATTGGTATACCTGGGGCGCCACCCAATAGCCTAAAATTGTCTCGTTCAGAGCTAAACACTATGGGGACTTTCGGGCTTCAAATTGCCATCGCCCACGCCTGGAAAAGTAGCATGCACGCCCCCAATGCCCCATTATAATTGTTATATTGTATTGGCTTGGGCCGCACCGCCTCTTGGAAGTTGGTTGGAACCCGCATCTCGCGTGCGCTTCTCGAGCCCATTCCAAGACTTCAATTCTGCTACACCCGCGTACATTATAGATCATGCCCCATCGGGTCTTCAATCCGTTGTATTTGCTGTATTCTTAGAGTTGACGTTTGCCAGCTGCCATCCCATTGTTCCCACATCCTCTGTCACCACCGTCGTCCTTTGTTTGGCAATCATTCCTTGGTCAGACCTTCCTCTCGTCCTCCATCGCGCCCCCGCTCCTACTCAAGTCAGACATCAGACGTGGAAATCTACTGTTTCTAAGCGCATCGCAGTCGCAGCTTCAAGTCGACGTCTTCAAGGCTGGTCAAAAACACCAGGGGACGTCCCGTCGCCTTCGACATCGCGTCAGAAATACCCGTCTCGTAGCCCAAGATGTGTTGAGAAACTCGTTCCCACCTCTCACCACCTAGTCCGAACCCTGTGCATGTTCTGGCCCTTGAGACAGCAAACAGACTCAGGCAATGGCCTATGCCTCCTTAGCCCAACAGGAGCATGAGCTCGACGCACACTCACCCGAGCCCTTGGACACAACCAGTCAGGTCAACTCTCCTGCGTTTGACCGCCTGCAAGATCACGATGCCCCCAACAATCTCGACCAAGGCCCTCCTGTTTCTTCGATTCTCCAGTCGCTGGGCTCAAGTCAGTCGTATGAGATGGTAGAAGATGATGATTATGAAGATCACATGGCGACTCCTATGGGACTGGCTTTAGATGTACAGGCTCCATCATATCCCTTGCCAAGGGATGATGTCGAATTCCAACCGTCCGACTCTCCTCCCATGAGGACTGCCTCCATAAGTCGAAACCTACCCCTCAAACACCCTACCCCAGACTTGCATGCCATCCAAGGCGCCTTGGCCAAGAATGTCGAGCGTTTGGAAGAGTCTGCCGAAAGGTTAAGCATGACCTCTAGCCTGGAAGAAGAACTGCAAAAGATGAAGCAAGATCAAAGGCGGATAGAAAGACAATCCTCTGCGCCAGTCACATCTGATCGTCCAATCCGACCATCCGTGCAAAGACAGTTTTCAACTGGCTCCTGGTCCAATTCCATCATTGGTATCAACCAGACCGCAAGACATGGTGGCTATTCACCTTCTGGCTATATTACCTCTCCAACAGGCTCCATCTCTAATCCCCATAGCCTCGACAGACATTCCTCAAAAGGAAGCCGTCGAGAGCATTCTTTACCTGAACCTCTCTTAGAGGGACGCCCACTTGATTTCGCTTCAGTTGCTCGCGCACCTGTTGCTATCATTCCAGACCAAGGGGTCACCGTGGCCTCCCCTGACGCACTCGACAACCAGAATGTCAATGAACGTCCTGCTACATCAGCATCCAACGAAACATACCGACAGGCTGAATTTGCTTTCAATGACTTTGATGGAGTGCATTTCGATCTCCCTTCATCCAGAACCAACTCATTCTCTCGCCGAATTTCTCTTAAACATCCTCCTCTGGCAAAAGACGCCAAGGCATATCGAGAAGTCCAGCCGGGTGAAAAAATGATATACTACCCAGCCCCGGTCCCTGTCATGCTCAACCTCCCCCAGCGGCTCTCAAAGGCCAATCAAGGCGAGAAAGAAAGACGACGCCTTCAGGGCATCAGCGGTATACCTGCCGAGTTGCGCAAATCCGCTGCCTGGTTGAAGGATCAAGATTCAACTAAATTACATGGCTCAAAGGAAAGTCTGAGCCTTCCTCCACAGCTGCGTGCCAGTGCTTTCTTCGAACAGCCTAGCATAACCCAAAACCTTGAGCTGAAGAATGGGTCCGCAGTTCAAACACTCGACAGTATTCTGGATGCTGCAGCATATGCACCTGTCAGTGCATTCACTGATCATCCGATCGCCGGTCAACTTGGAAAGGAGGTTTATGGCCCTGACAGCCGTCCGCGGAAGAGCGTTCAGTTGCCGAATGATCAGACAAAGAAGCGACGCAACTCGATGGGCAATCTACTCAAAGTGAAACGCTCTTCTTCCGCCACCATGCTGACACGCACCAAGTCGAGAGATTCGAAAGTAATGCTGGAAGGCGACGACTTTGCTAGCGGAGACGAGCTGGACCGAGCTACCGCGAAGGCTATGGCTCCAGACGCCGATGAAATGGCATCTGATCATGATTCCGATGACCAAGGCCAGACCTTTAATGCTCCACCAACAACCCTGCTGGCCGAGCTGCAGATGCGCAAGGAGCAACAAAAACTCCGAAACAGGACTGCCGCCAACGCCTTCCCCACTGGCATGCACTCGACACTGTTGGAGTTGGATGCAGTTACACAACTTCAACAAAAAGCTCGAAAAACTAAGCATGTCACGTTAGCATGGGAAGACCACGAGGAGGCGGACAAACAGAACTATGACGACGAAGACGTTCCTTTGGGAATGCTCTTTCCGGAGAAGGATCGTGCCGAACATTTCAACGCTCATCGCCCCGTAGGCTTGCTCGAGCGACGCGAACGAGAAGATAATGAACCTCTGAGCCACCGACGCGCGAGACTCCGTGGTGAACCCTTACCCGCACCAGATGCGGATACAAAGAGTCAGCACGAAACAGTTAGTCGACCACCTGTCATTGAAGATGTCCCTGGATTGTCGCAGCCGCCGTTACCGGAACAGGACGACGAAACGCTGGCTGAAAGAGCGGCAAGAATCAAATTAGAAAAGACAAATGGCTCGGGAGGTCAATTCGCCGCTGAGCTGACGGCCCAACTTGGCCTCGATATGGATAAGGGAAAACCATCTGCCACAACGCCGGATCCCGAAGAGACCTTAGGCCAACGCAGGAGGAGGCTCAAGGAAGAGGCCCTGCGGAATGGCGGCGGTTCTACGAGCAAACCACAACTGAGCTCAATGCATAGCCTAGCGGATATCTTGCACTCGCACCCCGTTGGCGTGCACGCCGCCCACGCCTCGAACATGTCCTATGGGACGCCAGTCTTGGATACGAACCCCATGCGTCAGAGCAGCATGTTCATGAATCAGCCATACGGAAATTATAGTCCTGCAAATTTCCCTTATATGAGAAATGCGTACAATGCTTCGATGCCAGCAATGTACGCGGCCCCTCTCCCCATGTATATGCAGAATCAGATCGCCGCTTATCAACCCGGGTTCAGTCAGCCTTATATTCAGGACCCAATGTCGGGCCCTCCCTTGGATTCAAAACAGAGAGCGAAGATTGACCAGTGGCGACAGAGTGTTGTTTAGCGAAAGGATTGGAAACCGCCGTTGGAAGGACACCTCAGCTGCAAAGTGTCACGTGAAGGGTGTATATTCACGAAACCCAGTGTATGAGTATGACTATGGCAACAAGGCTGAAGATGAATGAAATGCGAAGATGATTACAGTATATCCGCAGCCAATTCTCCCAGTATCTAAGTAATAATGTCCAATTACCTGCGATTAGTGAGAGGTTCAAGGCTTGAAGCAGAAATATGTCACGTGATTCCTTGCGATCCGCCGTTGCTGTGGCAGCCGAACGTAAACATGTGCCGGTCACTGCAGTCGCGACCGACTGAGATGCCATTTCGCTTGAACATCAAAGATCAAGGTGCTGCCCGTGCTTCAACGTCTCTTCGGTCTTACTACCAATGACAAGCAACATTAGATTTGGCACAGTACGCCCATATATTTTGCTTTGACCCTCACCATGGCTCCCTCCGTCCAGCAGGTCTCGCAAATCTTTGAGGATCCAGAGCCTGCAACACGAGGACGTAGATTGCACCAGCACCACGACCGTCCTACCGCCGACGACGCTGGAGAACGCGGGCGACGACGATATCTGAGCCACAGTCCCACCAAGAAACCTCTCCCACCACTCGATCGCCAGACAAACATCTCGACTAGTCCACTAGGCGAACGACACATCAACAGCCCTCCACAGCCGAAACGAATACCCACCAAGTCTGGTGATGGGACAGGGGCACCTATCACACCCATTCACAAAAAATCCGGGAGTTCCGTCTCCTTAAGAGGTTTAATACTTGGAAAAGAGAAGAGTTACGATCCTGCCAATGAAATTGTTGTTGAAAAGAGGCCCAAAAAAGTCAAGTCGGCCACAAACATTGCTGGTCTGTTAAAACGAAGATCCAGAAAAGACTTGAAAGAAGACAGTCGTGATCAGGAGAACATTTCTCCAAAGAAGAACACCACACAAGATCCGACTCCAACACCCATCTGGGAGCAATTCGCCACACAACCCTTGGAAGGGCCCGACGGCAACATGTTCTATCCGGTCCCCAAACGTAGGACGTTGGAGGAGGAGATTAAATTGTATACCCCGAAAGATTACTCTGAGTACCGACCGTCTGAGCAGCGCAACTTCTATGGATGCAAGCCCAAAATCGAACCAGCCATGGATTTCAAACCACCTCAACGACCCTATCTAGAACACAAGTCTAGTAGGAGTTCCATTTTCACGGAAAACCTGGATGACGAACCTGAGAAGCTGGAGACGAAACGTCCTGCAAGTCGTGAACAGTCAGCGACTCGTCCAAGCTCATCTAACAAGTCAGAAACAAGGCCTCCTGCTCAGACTCGATCCTCTGAAAATTCTCAAACTGACAACAAGGCCAAAAGAGGATCGAGGGTCTTCGAAGCAATTCAAAACCTAACCTTGAAGTCACGCCGAGATGGTCGGCCGGTCGCAGATGCTTCGAATGCCCAAACGCCTCCACTCACCCCCCAAGAACTAGACTCGGCATTTGAGAAGGTGCTAGACTCGTTGAACATTCCACTCAACATGCGAGACAACATGCGGTCTCTGAAGCCAGAGGTCAAGGCAGGTCTAATGAAAGGAGATCGAGTTGGCAGTGGGTCTTCAGTAACTTCTACGTCTAGGGATGTATCAGATGCCCGGTCTTCTTCGGCAAGTCCCAAGAAGAACGAAACTGCGCGACCACGAAGTCAGGAGGAGGATGAAAAGGACGGCAAGCGCTCTCGATCACGGTCGCGACCGAGAAGTCGAATCTTGACATTGTCTAAGAATGACGGCAGCTCACCAACCAAAGGAGAGAAGCCCGAGTCTTCCTTCCGATCCCGCAGTAAGACGAGACCCAAGTCTGTGGACATGGGCTCATCTCGGCCTACATCTGCGAGGGCCATGGCATCGACAACGTCGCTTGCATCTCTGAATGGGACTGACAGCGCAACTACGCCTGGAGATTTTATTCATTACCTCCGAGAGGTGCAGAAGCCTGAACTGGTCGAGGTGGGAAAATTACACAAATTGCGTATCCTGTTACGGAATGAGAGCATCAGCTGGACTGATCACTTTGTGACCAAGGGAGGAATGGACGAACTCATCCAGCTCTACTACCGTATCGCCAAGATTGAATGGCGTGAAGAACACGAGGACAGTCTCCTCCACGAGACTCTGCTTTGCCTGAAAGGACTATGCACGACATCATTGGCCTTGCAAAGACTCGAGCAGGTCGAGAAGGACTTGTTTCCTGCACTTTTGTCGATGCTGTTCGACCCTGAGAGGAAAGGACCGTCGGAGTTTGGCACACGAGGAATCATAGTATCACTCCTGTTTGCGCACCTCTCAGCATCGGCTAGGAGCCAGTCATCGAACGTCCAACAGAGAGCTGAGACTATCTTAGGGTTCCTTCGAGATCCAGTGCCCGAGGAGGGCAAGCGGCCGCTGGAGTTTGTGTCACAAATGCATATTTCCCGACCATATCGTGTCTGGTGCAAAGAGGTTGTCAATGTGACCAAGGAAGTGTTCTGGATTTTCTTGCACCATCTCAATGTGGTACCAATCATCGAGGCAGATGAGAGCGTTGGATACACTCGTGCACATTTCCCAGCACTACGTCCGCCTCACCCTGCGGCGCCGTACGTAGGAGGAGTGGAGTGGGAGGCTACTCAGTACTTGGCCACTCACCTGGACCTGCTCAACGGGATCATCGCCATGATTGGAGACCGCGAGCAACGAAACCAGCTTCGAGAAGAGCTCAAACAATCAGGGTTCGAAAAGATCATGGGAGCGAGCCTGCGAACTTGCAAGGAGAAGTTCTATGGTGGGGTGCACGATGGGCTGAAATGTTGGGTATCAGCAGCTAAGGCGGATGGGTGGTATGTGGAGGATGTTCGAGCAGGGCCACCGCGAGAGAACAGCAGTCCTCGAAAAAGTCCCAATAAAAAAGCAGGAGATGAACCGCCGAAAATTGCACTTGAGGTAAATATGGATCAGGTCCGTTTGCCCAAGATGGAGGATGGATGGATCTGAAGCAACAGAGGACAAAGAAGCGACGACGTGAAATGAGATTCATATTTTTCTTTGGCCCATGAGGTACATTATGGCAACTTGTTGGACACTGGTGGAGGAGTATTATGACCATTAAGGACTTTGGCTCGAGCAATAGAACCGAATGACCCTTGATAAATACTCTAACAAGGGATATGATTGAGTTGAGTTGAGTTGCAGTTGTTGAGTGACGTGAATGAGGTGATCGTACCTGCCTTGTGCAAGGATGTGCTCTTGCCTGATTAAATTTCCCCACGTGAGGAGAAACAGACGACAAGAAGGAAGGTGCTGTTGATGTCACCACCCGTCTGGAGTGCTTTCCACTTGTTAGCCCAAAGGTTCCTGGATATTGAACAGATACAGCAGGTTAACCGAACTTATGGTCATGATTTTAGCCAAATAGTGCACGATTAGACCACTACTTAGCGCGACCATCAATACATCTGTCGAATCATAATCCAGCACTTTATACATCCAAGAGCCAATGCATCTTTTAGTGGTGCCAGAGTGGGTGGTAGTAGATGGAAATCCACGCTCCGTATGGGTGACCAAGTAGGCAAGGTTCCCGCGCTGCTGTTTCTGCGCTGCTGCACTGCTCTGCTGTGACTGTCACATTGTTCTGAAGTCGATGCGCCCTCTGAAGCTGGAGTACTTTTGCATCTTCTCCTTCTCTCCATACTACCACTCTATCTACATCTCCCAGCTTCAGCTCAAATATTGTCCTTGACTACTTTGACTTTGCTTAGACACCATGTTGCCTTTTTAACTTGGCACATTCAATCACCCTCTGTTCGGATGCTGTAACCAAGCCTTGCAAATTCCCTCCCCCACCGACGTCGCCATTTCTCATCGCACACTGCTCCTCCTCGCCCTCACCTCCCACCCATTCTCCTCTACCTCATCCACCGTTCGTCCTTCGTTTCTCAGCCTCCTCTAGATCAGACACTCCTTCTTGTCCATGTCCACAACCACCATGACCACTACTTTGGGAACCTCGAATCTTCGAGGCGGCCCTCCTCGGCAGACGCGCTCCAACCCCTTGAGATACACAAAAGGCCTCGGCCATCCCCCAGTTCGCAACAACTCACTCCTTTCTAACTCGAGCCTGCAAGCCCCGTCTTCTACTGTTCCAGCAACGAACAGTCAGAACACCGCCACCACCGACGGTCCAGGCTTGTATCCTGCGATTACCCACTTTGCCGATGCCATCGCAGCCCTGCCCCGCGAGTTTCGCAGACACAACTCTCTGCTCAAGGAGGTCGACGCAAAGGCCTGGCTCCCTGAGGAAAATCTCCAGACAATTCTGCGCCAGTGTCTGTCTGAAATTACCTCCTCTCCCCTGACCCTTCCCAGCATCAACCAGAGTCTAGCTGTCCCTGCCACGGCTGACGATGTCGCCCCATCTAGCGATGCCCACAGCGTCACTGGCGCTTCGCTTGACAATGCCTCCTTGGTGTCCGCTCTTTCGACCGATCCTGCACTCTTGCAGCGCAGACAACAGTTTCACGCCCTCAGACAAAATCTCATAGCCATCATGGTCACCATGGACGAGAAAAACCACGTCATTAACAATGCCAATGAAGAAGTGGCAAGAAGTATTCGCCGGTTGTCGAAAATATACCCCAATGTCAGCCTCGAAATCTCAGAGGAAGCAAGACTGGGCAGCCTGAAGCACTGGGCCTACACCGAAACAAACCCTGTCAAGAAACCCACCGCACCTGCCACCCGGACCCGAGACGCTGCAGCGAATGCTGCCGCCGGACATGAAAGCGAGGTTGCCCATAGAAGCGAAAGCAGAAGAGAAGCTATGCTGGCTAGAAAACAGAGAGCTGCCCCTCAGGTCGATTCAGACTTTGACGAGTCTAGGCCTGGCCAACGAAAGGGTTTGACCAACGGCAAGAGGAAAGGAGTCGAAACACCAACGGATCCAGCAGGCCTAGGCATTATTGGTGCTGCCACTGCCACGTCCAAACGAAAAAAGACAGAGAAAGCTGCCGCTGGCGGCACCGCCATGGAACGATCGGTGAGCAGCGCAATGGGCGGACGAGCCATGTCGCGAGAGAACTCGCAAACCGAAAACGCAAAGAAGCGAAAAGCATCTGGCCCTCCTGCGGCTACTATGAGGAAGAGGTTCGTGGCTCGACTCGATAAGTCGAATTCAACTGACGTAAACCACAGGCTCAACGCTTCGGTCCAAGATTCCCCCAAGCTCGCATCTTCGCCCCTCGCAGGTAACGCTGGGAAAGAAGCCTACAAGAAAAGTCCGGCACTGGCCTCGGTGCGGCCGGTCGGCAGGGGAAGACAGAATTCTACACAAACAATAGACAGCACCAAGGGCAGGCCATCCTCGTCCTCGGCTTCGCAACGAAACGGGACCAATGCAGCCAGGGGTAGTACTCCCGAAGGGCAGGCTGCGACTGCTGCAACAGTCAAGGGTTCAGCTGATAATAAGAGCATGGCCAAAGAGACCAAGCTTGAAAAGGCCGAGCGTTTGGCTCAGGACGAGCCATCAGCGGTGAATGGTGCCAACGTCGGTCAAACCACAGCTCGAGGCGCAGTTGCACTAGAGCGAACATCTAGCAAAGCCGGGTCTGTCAAGGGCGAAGTCAAGGCCATGGATGAGGTCACCAGCAAAAAGGTCGCATCTCCTCGCATTCCCCCAGCACTGCTGAACTTGAGCGAGATTCGAAACGAGCGAGGTGGAAGGGGAAGAACATCCAAGACTTCCACACCAGTGGTCGGCACCTTTTCCGAAGCCGAATTCAACGACAGCAACGGCAGCGCCAGTGGAGGAAATGCTCCCAAGATCAGACGGCCGGCACGACCAAGAGTCAAGGATCATGGCCTGCACGATTCCCTTTCACCCAAGGGACTCCCTGTGAAGCGATCGCACAAGAAGAATGGTAGTGTCTCGACGATCGGTGCACTTCCTCTGACATCCTCAAGTAATCAACGTCTGATGAATGACACGGATGCTTCTCTCTCACGAACTCCTTCCGAGCATGGCGCAAAGGAGCGTGAGGACGAAGACGAAGAAAACGAAATGGCCGAAGAAGACGAGGAAAGATATTGTTATTGCCAGGGGGTTTCATATGGAGAGATGGTGGCTTGTGACAAGCCCGACTGTCCCATGCAATGGTTCCATCTAGATTGCATTGGCCTTAAAAGCGTCCCCAAGAGTGCCAAATGGTACTGTGACGAGTGCAAGGAAACTCTCGCTAAAAAGAACAAAGCTGTGGGTGGTAGCAATGGCGGCGGGGGTGCAATTGGAAGTGGTCTTGGGAAATAAGGCCGCATGTCGTTCTCGCCGTGTCTGAAATGACCGTCAGAGCTTCAAAGGCGGTCTTGATGCAGGGAAATCACGATTGCTATTTGCCTTGGATGAGGTAGTCAGACCGGACTATACAATGTCCCTACCAAGACAGATTCAGATAAGCCTAATGAAAAAACTCCATATTAATCCGTCAGCATGAGTAGAAGAAGAGACTGAACGGTGCTCAAATATCACATCATGGTCACGTGGAAGATAGAACATGTCGTGTACGTGCACGTGCGCAAGGCTGAACCATCAACTCGGCGGGGAGCATCGTCGTCAAATCATAAAGCTATCCGATCATCTCCCCCATGACAACCTTGACTCGATCGATGGGGAACCATTTCGAGAGGCTAGACTAAAATAGGAGAATCACTTTTGTGTGCATCTTCCTGATTGATTGCCTTTGAAGGACGGACTGGGTCAGCCGTTTGTCATCAGTTACAGGTGGTCCCATCGTGTTGGACCACCTGGCATCGGAATATTGAACATCACCGAGAACAACGACGACAATACGAGGTTATGACGATTGATGGTTTCGAGTTGACATCACAAGACAACAATCGATTCTTTTCTTCTTCGCCGAATACTCTTTTGGGATGCTCTTGAGCTCTCTTTGTCCTGATCCAAGCACCTGCATAGCATTTGTCACGGCCAGCTCTGCTAACTACGCTTGAGCATCATTACATCACCACTGTCTCTTCAGCGATACCATCATGCCTGAGGTCTTTTCTCATCCGTTCGGTATCTCGTGGCGCAAGGCGCTAGTGTCGATTCCTCGAGCGGTGCCCAACTTTGTGCTACACTTTACGAATCCTCAAGGCCCACAGCCAATGGTCTTCAACCTCCCGTCGCGGAAGGACCACTTGATCCCCGTGTACGTCTTTATACCACCAAAACACGCTCCCGGGAGACTGGTTAAGCCAGGTGCACATCTCAAGTCAGCACTGCGCAAGGAAAATCACGAAGATGAAGACCCAGGGTTTCCGGTGCTCGTAGACTTCCATGGAGGAGGGTTCATCCTAGGCTCGTGCCAGGAGCAAACTCCATTTTGCGCACAAATGTGTCGAGAGCTCAACTGTGTGGTCATCAGCGTCGACTACCGCCTGGGCCCCTACGCCAAATACCCGGCAGCCAACTTCGACGCGGAGGATGTCGTCAACGCTGTCATCGATCCAGAACGATATGCGTACCGGGTGCTGCGCGACAGCATCAACTCAAGTCTCGAGAAAGCGGGCCGGTCACCCATTGCGCTAGACTCGACGCGCATCGCATTTTCAGGCTTCAGCTCCGGCGGCAACCTGGCCCTCAACCTGGTACTGAGTACCAAGGACGACCCTACCTTGCATGGCGACTGGCCTAGCCCCGTACCTTGGTCTCACGAGCGCGAGATCCCCTGTCTACTCTTCTACCCGAGCCTTGACTGTCGTTTATTGCCACACGAGCGACCACGTCCCGAGGGACTCGATCCACCATCTGGCTTTGTTGAGCGCTGGAAGATTGAAAAGGAACTAATGCCCACGTATCTGCCCGTGGCTCGCAGGGGAGATCCTCGTGCCAGCCCGGGTCTCGCAGACATCACACCGGCCGACGAGGCCGACCGGACGGAATACGGTCTGCACCCCAAAGCAAAGATGTTCCTAGTCCTCCCCCAATTCGATTCTCTCAACGAGCAGAGCCTAGTCTGGATCGACAAGGTGCGCGACCAAAACCGCGGCGGCGACTTACTCGTCGAAGAAGTCCAGGGTGTCGTCCATGGCTGGACCCAGTTCCCGGATGCCTGGCTGGAAGAAGGTCACCGTGTGTTGAAGAGTCAGGTCTTTGAGCGAGCCAGGACCTTCCTCGCCGTGTGGTGGGGTATCACCGATAAGCAGGCTCAGTCCTCGTCGGGAATCAGCGCCTTGAAAGGCAACACCCCCACGAATGGTGCCCCAAATACCGAAGTCTTGCAAGCGCCTCCGCATTCTGAAAATGCTCTCAGGCCCTCCTATAACTCTGGAAGAGCAGGGAATCATCTCAATGCCGACGTCGATCAAATCTTTGCATTGTCCAAAGGTCGTGGCGGTAACGTCAACGTCAATGTCGATGAATTGTTTGCAAAGGCAAAGCAGGAACAGCTGGACCAGCAGGAACAGCAGCATAAGGAGCAGGAAGAGCAACAGCGGGAGAGGGAACGGGAGAAGCAAGAGGAAGAGAAAGAGCAGCAGCAACTGCGGGATGACAGAGATGATGACGGCACCGCAACCAAGACTAATACTCCTGGCGAGCCTTCCAAGACTTTAACAGAACAGGAATGAGTCGACTTGTCTTGGTATCTCGCAGGTTCGGCGCAGAGACATCAATTGAATGTATTCAGGGGTCGTACATTGATATAACGCTTTTCAAAAAGATAGCATAGGTACACAGCACGACGATCTATCCGTTTCGATGCGCTCCATAGTATCGCTTCAAGGTCGAATGGGATCTGATGGATATGGGCTATTCCATGTGGAAGAAAGATTCGTTCCTACATCTCCCTCCAGGCTGCCGTCTATGCTTCGGCAGGAATATCTCGAATCATGAATCGGATATTGGGGTCCACATCAGGACCATAACCCCATTTCGGATCCATGGTGAAGACGTCTATCGTGTTGAATCCGTGTTTTTGATAGAGCTTGTATGCTTTGGGGGAGGACTCCAGATATGCAGGAAGCCTCATTTTGTCGGCGATGTCGGTCCCCCATTTGATCAACATACTTCCCGCTCCACGGCCCTGATGTTTTGGGTCTGTTTGTAGTAGATCGAGTACTTGCAGAAAAGTCAGGGCAAAAGACTATAAAAAGATACCATGACGCGAGAGAGAGGCTTACAAACATGATACTTGCCATCCATTAATTCATGGCGCTTTTGGTGTATACCACCAAAGTATTCCTCACAGGCTTGCACATTACAGCCTTGACCAAAAGTGCGAGAACTAGGTTTCGATTCTCGTGGCTGATCAATGATTTCCCACTTTGCCCAGGCGACAATGTCATTTGTTTCTGAATCGACAGCCTTGACCCAGCGCATCTGTGGATCGTCTTTGCGTTGTTGGATCAAGCCTTGAGCACGTGTTTCCAGAGCGTCTTCAGGAAATGGGCCGGGGAATAAAATTGGAGATAGTCCATTGTCAGAATAGGCATCACGTTCAATGGCTGCAAGCCGCGGGGCATCCTCATCGACAGCAGGCTGGATCTCCAGCGGCATGTTGAAGGCAATGATGAGGATTCAATTGATAAAGTCGTCAGGATCATGTGATTATTAAAGAACGAACAAAACCATTCTTTGCACAAATGGAAAGAGCGAAGGTCAAAGAGTGTGATTTCCTTTTGAATGTAACATTGGCCAATATGGAAAGAGAGATCTTCATCAAAGGTTACACCTGCCTGACAGAGACACGATACGTCGACCCAAGAGAAGAGGACAGTCTTTTGTGACTCATCCTCTCTACACAAGACTTGGTCTCATATTGTCCTATCAATTGTTCGTTTAAGCACGTTCAAGGCAGCAATGTTGATGGGAGGTGCTATGCTACTCTATGACTTCCACAGACACCCGAAGCCCCAAATGTGGCGCAAGCCCTCCTCACTCCTCACTCCTCACTCCTCGGAGAAGCCCAGCGGGCCAGCGCAGATGGCGGTACGCCTTACAACCGCTGAATACGTCAGTCCCCGATACCTGTTCCCCGAGTTCCAGGGGTGGAAGTTGTGATCAGCCATTCACAGCCATGCCTTGAGAGCACCATCCTGGTACAGACGGGTGCTTTGTCGGCCCTCGTCCTTAAAACTATACCGAGACCTATACCGAGATAACATTGAAGAAGACGGCCTGCGGTTGTCTTTAATACCAGCCGAGTTTGTGACTAATCGTCTATCTGCATTGGTGTATCATATCCGATCCTTGCGAATGCCCTTTGCGGCTACCGCTCCCACAGGGTCTTCATGGGCCTCTGGTCTTGAGGAGGTGCCAAATTCTGAGCGCTGCTTGCATTCTGAGAACAATTCCCTCGCGGGGAATCGAATTCCACTTGTAGCAGACTGAGATCTGGTCACCGAATTGGACAGACATAGATGCATCACGGATGTCATGCCTGAAGGCGTTCGGGCAAGGTAGGAAGGCAGACTGCCAAAATGCTATAAGACTGTAGGTTTTCTTCGTTGATGCTATCCAAGCTGCTCTCATCAGAAACATCTTCGAAAGCGATAAATAGTACCCTCACGAGACCCCCTTCGAGTGAACCGTGTTCATCCCAGCTTGTGCAAAAATGGCATCCACCAAAATCCCAACTGCAATTCGTGCGTTACTGCACGATCTAAAAGCTCAGACCCTCAGTGTCGGTTCCATCCCAACGCCTTCACCTTCTTCAACTCAGTATCTGGTCAAATCACATGCTGTTGGTCTCACTGTGGGCGAGCTCTCCTGGCCGAGACCCGAACAATTCACTGTGTCCAGCCCCGGGGTGGAATTCGTGGCAACAGTGGTCACTTCACCTTCTACATCTTCCACGTTCCAGCCAGGCGATGAAGTATATGCCCGAGTCACATACCCCCAGTCTGGCGCCGCCAGAGCCTACACCCTGACCAGTGATGATGAGATTGCTTTACGACCTAAGAATATTTCCATAACGGAAGCTGCCACCATTCCGGTCAGTGCCTTGACTGCCTGGCAGGTCCTCTTTGGACAATTCGAGCTCGATCCTCCTACTCCCTCTTCGACGAAATCATCGACCAAGGATATTCGCATACTGATCACAGCGGCATCAGGCAATGTCGGCATCTGGGCCACACAGCTCGCGAAGTTGGCCGGTCTCCACGTTATAGCTACGGCAGGAACTCGCAATTTGGACTTTGTCAAGAGTCTCGGAGCCGATGAGGTCCTTGATTACAGCCAAACCAACATTCAGGCCTGGATCGAGGAAGATCCTGAAAGTAGAAAAGTCGACTTGGTCTTTGACTGTATAGGTCAATCTGCGCTCGAGCAGGCCTGGCATGCCGTCAAGGAGGGAGGCAAAATCCTCACGATCGTCCCACCAGCTGATATGCAGTGGAAGTGGGTCATCGACCGGCCGAAGGGTGTCAGCGAGACTATTAGTGGAGAATTCTTCGTTATGCATCCGAGTGGAGAGCAACTGGGGCAGATCACGGCTCTGGTGGAAGCGAACAAGGTGAAGCCCTTGGTTGACAGTGTCTGGAAATTTGACGAATACCAGCAGGCGTTCGATCGCCTGGCGAGTGGTAAGACAGCGGGCAAAGTTGTGTTGAGAGTAGATGATGAGTAGATATTGGTACTTGAACAACAGGAGTCAGATTTGAGAACCAGATCTTTCAAAAACGAAGTATATCATCTGACAAACAGACATTCATGCAAGCAGAGTATATGACACACGCTGAAATGCAAACAACTGTTCTCGACATTTGAACAAACGCAAGTCCCCCATGTATTCCAAATCTATAACGGCTAGTCATAGAAGACCAAGGTTCTCACTTCAATGCTCTGTCTGCCAGGGGCATCTGCAGGGGTCTGAGGGTCCACAAATGCGGTATGTGGCGTTGAGTCGGCCAAACCCTTCTTTCCACCATTGACCTGGCTGTACGAGTCAAAGCACTTGATAAACATAACCTCATCAGGAGTCATGTCTTTATAGTAGAAGAATCGATGATTCTCGTTCGGCTGGACACCATATGTCTCGCCTTTAATCTCATACCCGTCGGTTGAAGTCGCCGAGTTGGGGTCCGGCAGAACCTCCTTGCCTCGATCATCGCCATCGTCGTTGTCTTCGCTTCGCTTTGGATAGAGGAGGTCGACCTTGACAAAATCCTCAGGTTTGGTGGACCGCCAGTCGATCACAGCAAGTGGAAAGTCGGAAGCAGGGTTCTGAATCGGCCGCCACACGTTGATGATCTGGTATCGTCCTTTCAACAGTTCCTCGGCTTCATCAGCTGGCAAATGGCGACGAACGCGAACTGCGGCGGCCTGCGGCGTCTGGTCAACGTGAACCTGCTGCACCGGCTGTCGAGGAGATGCCTTTTCGCGTCTTCTGATCGTATGGTCGAAGATCACTACCTTCTTGATTCCCGGTAGTTTGTCACGCAGGAGCTGTTCGACCTCGGGATAGTACTCATTTCTCACGGTCGCATCATCAACAAACGCCTTTTCCTTGGCTGGGTAATTGTACACTGCAAAGCCGGATGTGTCGGTGTGGAAGTTGTCTTCTTGTCCTCGGATGTTCTCCACTGACCGTTGAGTATCTAGCAGTTTGAAAGAATATCCTGGCCCGTCTACCTTGGCCCACGGTTTCTCGAAAGGCTTCTCGCTCTTTGAGTACGAGGAAGGGTCAATATACTTGAATGTTGTGTTCGTCATGGTGGCGTAATGGCGATTGCTCTGATTCTCGATTTTGTTTCCTAGGTCGAAGTGGCGAGACCGAGAAAAGGCGGCAGACCTCGGGAACGAAGAAGAAGGACGAGCAGGTGAGATGTGGTTCAAAAGTGGGGTAGCGGTTTTGTGCAGTGACCGAGAAGCAATTGGCATGGATAGATGGTGTAAAAAGGGTTTGTTCAGGTTTTAAGAATGCGTTGTTTGAGTAACACGTCGATACAACTATTTAGATTGAAAGTATGGTTCAAGGACAAGCAAGCAGTGGTGGATTAAATACTAATATGCTAACGTTTTATCTATCCTTTGATGGTTTGCCTCAATGATGCCGTAAGCACTTTGGGGAAATAGAGCAACCATGACGCTGAAAAGTGTCTCACAAACCGGCTGTGTAGAGCAGCCATTGGTGACCGGGTCCAGTTCCTATCTGGGAGCCAAATTATCAATTGCTGGGGGGATTAAAAATCCACCCAAAAGCTGGCATTGAGAGCTGAACGGATGTCAGCGAGTGAGTAAAAACAGCATGATGGGGATCACCGGAGACGGGCACGGAGCCGAGGGGCAAGATGGAAGCCCGGAGAAATATTTCACCTCATGCCGACAACTCATCCCTTGTATAAGCCCGGAGCCTTGGCCGAGGCGCCCCGATCATTGAGTCACGTGACTTTCATTTCACGTGCTTTGCATTTCACTTTTCGTGCCTTGCCTTGGTCTGTCCCTCCTTCACGCGACTGCTGCCGTCTGCACACGTTCACCTCACGACGCGTTTTGTTGATGATAACGCGTCTCTATTCACTTCACACCCCTCCGCGACTTCATGCAAGCACTAGTTCACGCTGCCTGACACATCACAGGGCTGATACAGATGTCGACATTGCTTGAATTGCTAAAGTCCCCAACACTCTCTTCGATCCTTTTTCCCTTGTTCCCCCTCATCCCTTATCCATAAGACAAAGAGCAAACTGGCGCCAACATGGCCGACAAGCATATCTATTCGGCAACCTACAGCAATGTAAGGCTCTATTCTTTGTCCCTTTGCCGTCTATTGCTAACTCTTTTCGCACAGGTCCCCGTCTATGAACTCAAAGTTGGTGGTGATCATGTCATGCGCCGCCGCTCCGATGATTGGGTCAATGCAACACACATCCTCAAGATTGCCGGCTTTGACAAACCTGCCAGAACCAGAATCCTAGAACGAGAAGTCCAAAAGGGTGTTCATGAGAAGATTCAAGGTGGTTATGGCAAATACCAGGGCACCTGGGTACCTCTCGCTGAAGGGCGCTCCCTGGCCGAAAAACATGGCATCATTGATCGCATTTCCGCAATCTTTGATTTCGTTGCTGGCGATAGAAGCCCGCCCCCAGCTCCCAAACATACCACTGCTGCATCAAGCCGCCCCAAACAATCAAAAGCTGCTCCTGCCCCAAAGAAGGCACCGCCTGCTCCAGGTGAGTTCATCTATATTGACCCCCACGTGAATTCGCTAACCCAGTCTAGCCCCAGCATATCAGCCCGTCGAAGCGTACGACAATGCCAGTATAAATTACAACGGCTCTGCCGCAAGTAGAGAGATGACACCCACTTCCGCCTCCTTCATGGCCGACGATGACTTCATCCCACTCTCGCAGAACTCCACCGCATCCAAGAAGCGAAAGAGAGACATGGAAGAGCCTATCTTGACCGCTTCCGACCTGGAGCATACCATGTATGGAGATGAACTTCTAGACTATTTCGTGACGGCCGGCGATGATCCAAATGCATCCAATATCCTACCTCCTGAACCTCCCCCAAACTTTGATGTTGACAGACCAATCGACAACCAAGGCAACAACGCTCTGCACTGGGCGTGTGCCATGGGCGACGTTCAAATCGTTCGAGACCTTCTTGCCCGTGGTGCCAATCCTGCCGCTACCAATGAAGGCTCGCTCGAGACTCCTCTCATTCGGGCCGTGCTGTTTACCAACAATTACGACAAGAAGACCTTCCCCAAGATCGTCGCTGCCTTGTCCAAGACCATCGTGGAACGCGACTGGCACGGCGCCACCGTCTTCCATCACATTGCCGAAACCGCTCGTTCTCGTAGCAAGTGGACGTGCGCCAAGTACTATTGTGATGTCCTCATCAACAAGATGCAAGAGATGGGCTCAAACTATGTTCAAGCTCTTCTTACCTCGGTCGATAAGAACCATGACACTGCTGCACTTTGTGCTATTCGAAACGGATGCGTCAAAGTCGCCACCTTCCTTCTGAATCACTGCCCAGAAGCTGGTGATATCCACAACCTCAACGGCGAAAGTGCCAACGAGTATCTGCGATCCCTGCGCGAGAAGAAAGAATCTCTGGAGCAACCAGGCTCGTCTCCACCTCGGGCCAACGAGTCTTTCAGTGTGAGACTCTCCCGCAAGAAACGCCAGAAGGAGGCCGTCTCCAGGGCAGCCTCTTTGGTTTATGACAAGATTGGGCCCCTCATCGACGAAGGAAGTTTCAAACTCGCTGAAATGTATGATGCTCAAATGGCCGAGAGAGACCTTGAGATTACCGAAGCCAAACAAACACTGATCGACATCGAAAATCAGCGAAGCAAAGTCCGTCAAGAGACCTTCGCTTTGATGGCCAAGCTAGAGGACGCGTCCCGAACTGAGGCACTGCGCCAGCAGTATGACTTCTTGCTTCGGGATATGGAATCTCTTCTCGAGCAGAAAGAACAACGCATTCTGCAGCAGGAGATTATGCTTCAGGACCAACAGATCAATCCTCAGGCCTTCCGCTATGCCAATAATCAACAATTGACCCGAGATGAGATCCGCGCTGCCATCCCCGCCGCGCGCGAGCTCTATCGCGAACAAGAGAAGCGCAGACAGTTGGTCAGAGAAATCGCTCGTCTGAATGGTGATGCTGGCACCAGCGAAAAGGTTGGTAAACATCGAAAGCTTGTCTCTATTGCCACTGGTCTCAAGGAAGAGGACCTGGATAGCATGTCGGAGGAGCTGCTGCGCAGTTTGCAAGCCGATCAAGCCGGAGTCGGTCCCGGCATGGATCTTGATATAGGCATGGGCGGTGGAATGAGTGCTGTCGCTGGGGACATGTCTCTCGTCAATGGACCTCAGACGCCTCAAAATGTAATGAATGCTTAGGATACTTGACTGGGATCTGCAGGATCGTGTAATATGTTAGTGTATTGGCGCAGCAACTCGCCGCGATGAAATGAATGTCACGAATATCATGATGAATAAAAACCTGCCCGCGAATTAGTTTCCACTGTCGCTGATCTCACTGTCGACCATAATGGAAGAGAAGAGTTTGTTTGAATGCTTTTGGTTTGGCAGACTGGACGTTTGGTTGATCCTTAATGGATACATGCCCATCATGCCGATGATGTCTCGTAGAACAAGACTGAAGAAAAGAAAACTTGCGCAGTTCTGAGCATAACTGCCTGTCAATGGATCACTGTGCCCACCTGGCGCTCCGTGCAGTGTCCATTCCATGCAGTTCCATAAAGCTCTCGAGGACGCCAGCAATCGGCAAGTTTGAGAAGACCTGAATAGATCTAACCATGCTCGAAAGCCGCCCCATTTGTCGTTTGATCTGAATTCCACTCTGAAGCCCTCATCAATTGTGCCATCCATCGTTTGAATGACGATCTGAAATCAAGAAAAAGAAAAGAAAAGAAATGCAGTCAACAATTGCCCTGAAATGGACCACACACGGTCGCAGGGAGCAGTTTGCCGAGTTTTGTGGGTCAATTTCACCACCATTTGTATGCAAAAGAAGACTCCAATGACCCCCGTGTCATGCCCAATGTTGAGTAAGACATAGCTTGAAGACGCCAATGAACTCCAATTCCACGGTCAGTAGTGCTCTTCAGTCTCCAGAATAGGTCCCATGGTGTACTGGCCGGGGTTGAACAGCGGATTCGCGAAGGGAGCATTTGCGGAGGATTGCATGTAGGGCGATGCTGAGTACATGGTACCACTTCCTCCAGAGCCATGAAGAGTGCTGCTAGGAGGAGTCAGGTAGGCTGGACCGTGCATATTGGCTTGATAGGAGGACATTCCAGTCATTGAAGAGCTCATCTGAGAATGATGATGACGATTGCCGTAGTACTCAGAGCCCCAGCCAGTGAATTGACGACCACCTGGACCGCCGGCATTGCGAGTGTCACGCCACATACCTTGACCAGCGCCCTGGCGAGGTGGGACCGATGACAAAGAGCGAAGAAATGGAGTGTTGGAAGCACCATTTCCGAAGCGATGACGTCTAGCAGAGTATTCCTTGGGCTCCACACGGAGTCTTGAGGTTCCAAGGACGAATTCCTTCTGTGAAAAACGGTAAGTTTTTGAGCCTTTGGGTAAGAAATGGGCATCGTACCTCAGAACTATGAGCAGAATTCGCTTCTTCTGCAGTCTCAAACTCAATGAAACTGAAGACATTGATGGCGTCTGGACCTGGAAAGATAGTCAGCAGAGGCCAGGGTAATTTTTTCTCGCCTTATAGACAGCCCAAAAAACTTACCAAACTCTTTGCGAATGATATTGACCTGGACAATCTGGCCAAACTCTCCAAACATCTCCTCCAGCTCTTGACGTGTACTGCCATCTGGCAGGTTTCCAACAAAGATCGACTTGCTGTCGATGTTGGTTCGGGAATTGACCACATAGCCGCGATTGGTGTTTGAAGGGCCCCATCGAATTGGGGTTTCGGTAGGAATAGGCTGAGCCATGGTAAGATTGTATTGAGCGCTTCCCTGCATTCCCTGTATAGATCGTCAGCTCGGTTCTTACCCTGGAAAGAAGGGAAAATACTTACTCGAAGGGCATCACGGCTATCTGCCCAGAAAGCAAACTTTGCCCACACGCTTCCTGCGGGATTCTGAGCACTGACGGCATTGGCAGGCTTACAGGCCTCAATGGCTCCGTATACCTCGAGTTGCTTCATGGCTTCATTCACTGAAATGGCGTGACCGTCGATACGGGAAAGGACAACGGCCCCTAGTTAGATCAGCCAGTGTACAAGACAGTTTCTCTTCCGAGGACGAAAAGTACTCACGCTCCGCTTTAGCAAACTCAATTCGGATCTTGCGGCCACTGAGCCACAAGTCTTTGGAGCCTTCTACCGCAGCATTGGCATCCTGAACGTTCTGTTTTCTTCGTTAGGTATTCTCGCATTACTGAGGGAGGATAAGAAATCGTACATGAAATTGGACAAAGGCGTATGGATGACCGTTCTTGTCATGTTTGACTTTTGTGTGATTGGGACCATAGCTTCCGAATACACCTTCACAGGCTAGCTGGAGTTGCTCGATTGAGCGCTGGGTGGATAAACTGGTAACTTGTCAGTATATCGTCGTAGTCCATGGAGTAAGGAATGTGTATACTTTGCCACGAAGAGTAGCGCGTCGGGAGGGTAGAGACCTTGGGCATTGTTGGGGTCGTGAACGTGATTGACACGATCTGGTCGAGGCAGAAACGTCATCGTCGTTGCTGCTACTCGGTACGTAAGGTTAGCATATACTTTCCACCTCAGATCTTGCTGTAGCAGTGGTGATAAAGCAGATTCTTGGGACAATGGAGCTTGATTTTCAAGATCCAGGCATCGAAAAGAAGAGAAAGGAAGTAAATGAGCCCATAGAGACTCGAAATAGACTTACCAGGAGAGGAAGCTGACGGTAGAGATGAGGAGTTGATGCCTTGAGAAGACATGTTTGTCGAATTTGTGTGGAAGAAGATGGAGAAATGAAGAGGAAGAGGGGGAGAGTGTTCAGAGGAAGAAGAAGACAGAGAAAGTGGGAGAAATGACTGTCCAGACAGTGTAGAAGACCAACATGTGAGTACTCGGCGCCGCCGAGACACCACCATGTGAATGGAAAAAAAGTCGTGACTCTAGTCTCGCTGCCTACAGCGTTGCCTAGCTAGGAAACGATGCAATCGTTTCAGAGTGAGATATGAGACTATACAGACGCAGTGAAGCTGTTCTAATAAGCTGTGGGAAGACCGGCATGTGAGTATTCAACGCCGCTGAGACTGCTGTGTAAGTGGAAAAATGTGGCTCTGATCTCGCTGCCTACTGCGTTGCCTGGCTGGGAGACGATGCGATCGTTTCAGAGCGAGATATGAGACTGTACAGACGCGGTGGTGCTGCGTAGCCAAGCTGTGGGAAGACCGTCATGTGAGTATTCAACGCTGAGACTGCGTGTGAGCGGGAAAATGTGGGTCTGATGTCTCTGCGTACTACTTTGCCTGGCTGGGAGACGATGTGATCACTTCAGAGCGAGATGTGAGATTGCCCAGAGGGTGTGGAGCTGTTCAGACGCTGTGGTGAGTATTCAGTGTCGAGACTGCCGTGTGAATAGAGGAATGTGGCTCTATATCAAACTGACACGGGCAGACGGTAAGGTAAACGACAGGTGTTGGCTTCTATAGGCTAGAAAGGGGCTGAAAACGGGCTTCCAGGCCTTCCAAGGTAGTTCAAGAGCAAGCAAACGGTGCGGGAGGCGTGTAGGAGGTATTTCCGTAGCACGAAGAGGTAAAAATGAGCATAATAGGGGTAGGATTGAGCAAAATGGGGAGGAACGGTTTGAATACTTCAACAGATGGCTCAAAGCTTACCACTTACTGCTTCTTCCTAGACTCCTTAGGGATGAGTGTAAGAGATTCTCATTCCAGAAGGCGCAGTAGATGATACTGAACATGTAGAAGGTAGTTTTGTATGTATTCAGCGGTAATAGTGAGCATAAACTGCGAGGACATCTTGTAGACATCGATACGAAATTGAAAACCTACCACCATCATCTCCTGTATTCCCTGTGAAGAGGGTAAGAAACACTCACAGAAGAAGACGATGCTGGTCATGTTTCAGGTAATACTACATGCAGCAAGTCGTAAATTGAGCAGAAGCAAGGAGAATGGCTTGAATACATTGAGGTGTGGCCAAAGACTTACCACCTTCTGCTCCACTCTTCCTCAGTGAAGAGGGTAAGATGTTTTGGCCCCAGAAGGCCCGCATAGCTATGAGGAAGGTCCTTTTGCATATACTGAGGGGTAATAATGAGGGGGCAGCGAGAAACAATGCCTGTATATGTCCTGAAAGCCTTCTAGCTTCTGCTTCTACTCTCTTTGTCGAAGAGGGTAAGATACCCTCACCACGTAGAAGGCAAGCCTCTGAAGGTCTCAGGGACAAAAGAAATACCGTTCTGGACAGTCAGGGAACCAGGCAACTTCTCAAAGAAGCGAAACACGTAGAAGATGAGGCTCTGTATATCTGGACGTGCGGAGGAAACAAAAACTACCACTTTGAACGAGCAGGTGACCAGGTAATTTGTACACCAAGATAAATGGGTACAAGGCGGGATCTATGGACCTTTGAAGGGCAAGAAAGATACCAATTCAGATAATGAGAAGGCCAGGTGATTTCCTCATCCAGTGAAACAGACACACGAGGGCTTCTGGCTGTCTGAGGGGTAAGATATCAAGTTCAACGAGCAGCAGGCGGGGTGACATCTCAATTCAGTAAAGCAGACAGTACTTAGGGTTCTGAAGGGGTGAAGAAATCGGGAAACATCACTTTGGACAGGCAGAAGGCCAAGTAATTTCGATATCAAGCGAGACAGGCGGAAATGGTAAAGGAGACAGCGTGTGAATGCTACCTTTTGCTCCCTCACAAGGCTAATTACAGACCTGGGGGTCTGGAAAACAGCAGAGAAAAGCGCAAGGAACGCACAGGGTAGGAATCACATACTGTGTCATGGGTAAGGAGCCAGGAGAGGTAAGAAATGGCACTCAAACGGCTGATGGCATGGGTGGAGGGTAAGATATGAGGTTGCACAGAGACGGATGGGGCTGTGGAAAAAAGGGGGGTCAGCACGTGATCAGTCACATGATTCATCATTTCATGAATGGAGGGCTCCAGATGGAAAAAGAAGTCACGTCGATCTTTGCACGTGACCAGGGATTTTATGAATGGAGTACTCCAGAGGGCTAACAAGGTCCTAAATCTCCTGAAAAAGTACCTTTTTCTGAACCTACTTTTGATGTTGACGGGTACCCAGCCATCAACAGAGGATCAAATCTCGGCAAAAAGTACCGTTTTGTGCCACCTATGATAAGTATAGAGGGCACCTATCTATTGACATGATGTTACATGTTCAGAAAAAATACCCTTTTGTGCTATTTAAGTTAGGTACGAAGGATACACAGCTGTTAACAGAGTACTAAATCTCCTTAATTGTTACCCTGTTATCCCATAACTGTTAGGTGTGAGGGGCACCCTAGGTACGAACAGAGTACTACGTCTAGCTAAATGTTGTCGTGTTGTCTCATATCTATTAGGTATGAATAGCACCTAAGGTATCAACAGGATATCAAATCCCATCAAGAATTACCATGTTGTCCCATATCTATTAGGTATAAGGGTACCCGGCTATTAAAAGTTACAAGGCGAAGTTGTAAGCCTGTGTTGGCTAACCCAAGCTAGCATTGTGCCACTTTTTTCCCCAGTGTCAATTGTCATCTGCATCGACCTCCCTAGCTCCATCTATCCGTAATTCTGCAGACCGGAGTCCAACCTCATGATCACTATCAGGCGTCACATTGGCATCGTTGATGTTGCAATTGATCAGGTCGTCGATAGTGTCCATTTCCGACATGACGTGGCTGTGGAGAATGATCCATGCCTATCAAGGCTTGAAGCTACACATAGTTCGTCGTGATGAACGCCGACATAGTTCAAGTGAGCGTGCCGTTCAAACAGCCTCATATGCCAAGCCACACTAACCCGATATGGATGTACAGCGATATTTCCATCCGCATCGATGATACCAAGGTATACTGCTGTTTCTGCAGCCTCCAACTATGTTTCTCCCTTCATTACGGCGCTGTGCGCCTGGATTCTGGTCCAAGACCAGCAAGGAGTTTCAAAGGGCCACAAAATTCGGTAAGAATTCGAAGACCACGCCCACAAAGCCGTGGGGGCGCAATGATGTCGCGATAAGTTCTCAGCGCAAGCTAACTACCTCTTACGATAGCCCTCAACCTGGAAGGTCTCCATTTACCTGTCGCTCCTTATCCTATCTTCGATTTTGCAGACCCTGAAGCAATCTCCACCTTAAAGACCATGTCCGATCGCTCTGTCGGCGGATTTTCGACTGCGGACTTAACCCAAAAGCCTGCCGATCCATCGTCGGACCCCTCTTCACCCGCTCACGTTTTGTTCCATGGCAACATCTCCACGAAATTACCCACAGATAGACCGGATATTGTACGGACGGGCTACGCGGCGTGGCGGAACATTGACCGCGGACGAACACTGTTTGGCGAATTGTTCTGGGACGTCGACTCGTACATGTATTTGGCCTTACGGGTAAAGAGTGACGGGAGGAAGTATTTTGTCAATATTCAAACAGATTCGATTGTCGAGTCAGACATACATCAGCACCGACTGTACACAAAGTATCACAAGGGAGCAAACGGGCCTGACGATCCGGGCCAGTGGGAGACGGTTTGGATCAAACTACACGAGTTTGTGAGGACGAATCATGGCGTGGTGACCGAACCACAATCAGAAATGCTACGCCAGAAGGTCAAGAGCTTCGGTATAGGACTCACGGATCGGCAGGCCGGTCCGTTTGAATTGCGGGTGGCAGCGTTATGGGCCACAAACTTGAACGAACGGGGTCAGGTGGACGGCCGAACAGGCTGGGAAGAGGGGGATCAGGGCAGTGCTCGACTGCATGAAGTGACAGAAGAAAAACTGGCGCAGAAGATGGAAGAGAAGCGAAAGATTCCAAAAGTAAAGAGGAGTTTCAGTGAAAGAGTACCTCATTTCGGCAAGGTCGGGACGAACGACTACTCGGCGGTGCGATAACACCCGGACTGTGGCCATCACCATGTCCATCACAACAATTGCTACAACCACCTGTACAATATCATGCCCGTCATATCGGGGGAACGACTATTTGCATAAGCACGAAATTCTGGCTGCATGGGATAAGAATAATAAGCATACCTATTCGTATGCATACATTAGTGCCAAGTGCGCTAGCCTCCACTAGCTTATAATGCGCCCTAGGGCCCTCACCATAGCACTGCACTTGCCTTGCCTGTCACTGACTATTACTACGCGTGCCTGCCGTATTTGGCCCTCATATGACTCGCGTCCGACATTCACTCGCTTCACTTGTTCTCTACCAACCACCAAATTACTCTCCCTACACACTCGCCTTCCATTGACATGGACAAGTAGATCGTCATGTCACATATGAGTCAGCTGTTGTACTGTCTTTCTGCCCACAAAGTCACCTCCGCCCCACCATGAGCAGGTTTTTGACTCCTTCCAAACTGACCGTATTGGCTCTTGGACTTATCTACACTGAAGATTTGGTACCAACATCACAAGCATGTTCAGTCTTGGCCTTTCTCCTCACACAAATTGTACCCTCTGTCAACTCACATGCGACATCAAGTGACAGTTCGCCCTTTCATTTTGAGCCATCGGTTCCAATCTCAGTCTTCGAGTCCGCCCTGTCCAGTCTTCCGTCTGCTCGTCCTGGAAGGACTCTTTACGATTTGCTTCTGAGGAGATTGTGGGCTATCAACTGTTCTGATGCCCTCGATGCCTTCATCACCAATTTGCCACAGCTTCTCAGCAAGACGAGAGAACAAATTCTCCAGGAGCGTGCCACGGGTGAGATTTTGGAGCACCATGGTCGTATCCTTCGTACATCTCCTCTCGGCGCCTTCATCCGTCGCTGTACTCTGGAGTATATGAGATTACAGTTCCAAGACAGCATCAGCTTATGGCATGACTTCATAGCTTACCGAGCTCCAACACGTCAAGCCTTCGAGAAGAAAAATGCCGTCGATGACAGAGCCCCGCTGGATGCCAATTTCACCGATTTGGAAATCGATGGCTCCCACCCTCTAGCCCACATCATGTACGGCAGACTTGCAGAGCTCGATCTTGACGCCCAGACTGCATTCAGCACATACGACGTGGAAAAGTTGATGGAATTTCAGGTTTCAGAAATGCAAAGACTTGGAGGCCGTTTGCCAGATGAGATGAAGGTGCGGCTGAAGCAAATGTCGGACGCCGGACTCGCAGTGCCCACCCTCTCCCATTACCTTGCATTCTTGGATGCATGGCGCGCAGGAGACTACTTTTCCGCAGTTGACAACCTGCATCGGTATTTTGATTACACCATGCAGAATCGAGAGCGAACCTTTTATCAGTATGCGTTGCTCAATCTAGCCATCCTTCAGGCAGACTTTGGCTGCCACGCCGAAGCAATACCAGCAATGCAAGAAGCCATCTCAACCGCCAGGGAGACCAAAGATGTCACGTGTCTCAACTTTTGTATGAGCTGGCTCTATCACTTTGGTCGTTCCTTCTCCACACAAATGAAAGCCATTCGCGAGACTGGCATCTTGGGCAGCGACACAGAGGGTCTTCAGTTTCTCAAGTCCCGGGCCAAGGACTCTGAGATGTGGACTCTCCTCGGCACGTCGCTACTCAGCGAGGCCAAGCTTGGCCTCCAATACGGTGACAGCATCGCCACTGTCTTTGAGAATATCACCAAGGCCGCTCACCTCAATAACGTCAAAGCCACGCAAGGCATAACGGGTCCGACTCTTCTGATCAAAGGCGCAACATTCAGTAGAATCGGAGTAGGACATCTGGGCTGGCTTGGTGGAGAAATATATCTTCAATGTCATGCCAAAAATGCTCCTTTGGACGACGTATTGAAATGTACCTGCAGGAGGGCCACCTTGCTAGCCCAGAGAGGTCGATGGACCCAAGCGGAAGCGGCATTGGAAACCCTTCCAGACAGCGTACTTCGCGTGCTCAAGTTTCAAAACTATTTATCCTTCTTTGCAAATTTACTCAATGTTAGGAGGTTGGTCCATCGGCACAACCTGACCGCTGCGAGTCGCCTCATTGAACGCTTGAAGGGACAAGGTCCACCCGACCCCGAGACTGGATTCTCCATGTCCTTAGTGGAGGTGGAACTGCTATGTCGCCGAGGTATCCTGGATCGAGCTCTTCAGATGGTTGAAAATTTGGCAAAAGGTGCCGCTTTTGAATTCAATGATGTTGCAGTCTATACTCGGCTCATGATCCTCAAGGCACGTATCCTAATCGAGAGTGGTTTTCCACTAAAAGCATTTTCTCTTTCTGTCCGGGCTGCCCAATTGGCATACCACTCGAGACTTCTTCCGCATCTTTGGGAATCCATTGGCCTCGTCGCGCTTGTGCTCATTGAACTATCCGAGTTCACGGCTGCGGCTGACCTCTTGCAGTCAATGATGCCTCAGGTCCTAGAATGTCAGGACTGCGAGCTGGCTGCCATAACCTACTCAGCCTTGGTCGATGCTCAAATGGGTCTGGCGGGACAAGAACAGGACAAGTCGACCAAGCAAAAGGAGCACATCAATCGGGCTTTGGAACATATCGATCATGCATATGTGCAATTTCGATACCTCGAAGATCTCAGAGGTCAACAGGACATGTTGAAGAAGAAAGCTACCATCTTGCATTGGCAAGGTGACCTGCTCCTGGCAAATGATACCGCTACTCAATTTCTCGAAGTGGAAAAGGAATACTCTGCTTCGGGTGTGGGACTATGACCTTGACGAAATGACGATAGCCAAAGTAAATTGAAAGTTCGTGGGTCTTGAATTTAAGCAGATTGACTTTGCATGTGCGATATCAGCAGAGCAGTTGTATTCATTCTTGCTACCCTTGTAACTTCGGCTCTGTGCCACATTCACCGCTGATCGATATGTACACAATGGAATCGACGATTGTTCCATGTCCTCGTCGCTAGCCTCGCTCTAAGCTTGACCTCAAAATCCCTTCCAATTTCAATATGAATGGAGTGGTCTATGTGGCCTTGTCCTTTCGGTGGTAGTTGACCTTGTCATTCCAGAACAAGGTCTTGTCACCATCGCCCCAGAAGAAGTTCTTTGACCGGATATTTTGGTATGGATATTCGACACGCTCTTCCAAGGGTGGGAGATGTTCCCAATGCTCCCAATGTTCATTCCAGAGGTTCCAGGCGTTGATGCTTCCAAGGATCAGGCAGGGAATGACGACACTATGAGACGGAAGGCTTTGATTAGAATATGGATTCTGCAACGAAATACTGTGTGTTTCTGGATATGTCGGGAGAATGGGGTGGTCAGATCATACTAGATTGAGAGTCTCCTCCAAAGGTCTTGAGAAGATATTGATTAGTTAAAAGTTCGTCAAAATAGTCGTACTGGATCAACTAACCACTTGTAGCAGCAGCATGGGCCTTGACGGCAGCTCGTTCGCGGTTGAAAGCATTGTCAGCGGCTCCGACCAGCTTGGAACCGGTGGCAGGGAGCTTCTCGGAGGTGCTGGCGAAGCGTCGCTGGAAGGTGGTTCGAAGGGTAGGAGCACGCAGTTGTTGCGCGAAGCGCAGTCCAACACGTTGGAAGGACATGGTCGGCAAGATTGGATCGGTAGTGGAGAGTACAAAACAAGGAGGCCTCTACACAAGAGTCGTGGTCGACGTCTTGAAGTCGGATGGATGCGCATCTCATCAAAGGAAGCTCTTGTTCAGGCTCGTTCTTGGCAACAGGGTCTCGCCCAATCAAGTCGCCTGCAATCGTATTGTATGTTTTGTGGTGTGAGTCGCCGTATTTTTGGAGGGGAGAAATACGCCTTTCCCAATTCGTAATTATTCTCGCCGCCTTGTGACCTGACCATTTCCACGTGACTTGAATACCACTTCCTCGATACATACAATGCTTCCTTTCACTGGCGAAAGTAAGCCAATTTCTTGTGACAAGTCTGTCTATCAAACACCAAAGATCTCATTCTGGATCACTAAATGCCAAAGGTTCGCATTCAAAGGCCAAAAAGACATTGAATACCCCACGCCAACCTCACTGGATAACGCTTTGAATGGTCTCCGCCATCCGACCTGCGCATTCCCAGTCTGTCTCGATTGACCTCATTGATTTGTAGAAATCTTGCAGAATTCTTCGCGACGAGAGCAGAGTGCTTCTTGACAAGCCTTGATCTCCTTCATCCTCCATTTTTGCCCACACCACGAGTGCACCATAGAACAGAGCGAGAGGATACCAGATTGGAGATACCATGGTCGTAGCATCCGCATTTCCCGTCCCTACGGATCCTTGTGAGTTCCCACAGACTTCCAAAATCTCGATAGCCTTCTGGAAGGCTTCATCACCAAAGTGAATCCCGATTTGATGCGGTGCCCGAGGCCGCGAGACATGGGGTGGCAGTGCTTCGAAGGGCTCTGCCGTGTAGCCGGCCAATGAAGGAACCACATAAATCGCAGGACCACAGGCAAGAAAGAGCCTAGACAGTTCAAGAAGACATCTCATTGATTGGGATTCTGAATGTGATCTTCCAGCTCTCAAGTGATCGCCGAGCTGGAAAGATTTCTCCCATAGTGTCAAAGCCTTCGAAAGCTGTTGGCTTAGTCGAGAGTAGTCTCGGTCTGTCGTGAACGGTACGTATGGATTGGACGGTGTGGCTGAGTACGACGTTGTTGAGTCCACGGTGGAATGTGATCGGGCTGTTTTCGAGATGATGGATTGCTGCAGAGCCATTTTCTGAGAGAGATTGGCTGCTTCTTGACGAACAAATAGAGCACCTGAAGTAAATGGTCCCAGAGCACGTAACAATGTATTAATGGAAGATAGTAAGACAAGAAGAACCAGCAGATGATCATCCGCTGATAGGCTTTGTGGCAAAGGATGCTCTTCAAGGATAAGGCTCTCAGTTATGGTCCTCAAGTCATACTGACCATCCGTGCCCAAACTGGTGGACCATCTTGGATCCACCATTGATGTAGTCTGCAAATGAATTGATTTGATAGTGTCGACTGCGAAGTAGTAGCGCCTGAGCCTACAAAAGCTGGTCAGCCAGATGGCCAGACTATATCATCACATTGTACTCACATAGATATCTCACTGTCGATCAATGCCTTATTGGACGTATCGAGGGATGTGAACCTGAAATCGCGGCGGAAGAGTGTCTGCGGGAGACAGTTATCAGAACATTGGCATCAGGGAGGAAACGGAAAGGTCGCCAAAGCCACGCCTGTGAGGGACATACTGCCATCATGTAGCCGTCTATAGCATTCGTCAGACGCCATCGCTCCAAATCGCTGTGCATGGTGCCACAGGCAACAAGAAGGGTTGCCTGCAAGACGTGGGTTAGCTATGGAACGACATAGGCACCAACATTGGAGACAAGAGGATCTGACCGCAGAGAGCCATTCAATAACCCTGCCCAGGCCATTGTCGACTGACACAGAGGCTGTGACAAGGCTAGTACAGGCGTGCCACAACTGGTCTGCTAACTGACGATGTTCGGGGAGGGCTGATGTAGATGCACCAAATAATGCTTTGCATAGGAGAAGATCAAAAAGCTTCGTGTCAGACCGGGTCGCGATGGTTGGCACGCTGAGGAGGAAGGGGGTTGAGGGAATGACCCTGTCGCAGAATGACGCTACCAGACGGCGGAGGACAGGAAGAGGTGGCAGGTCTTGCAGGTCTGCAAACAGAGGCAGTGGATAATTAAGCGGTGGCTCTGGATTGATAGATGCTTCGGCATCTGGAAGGGTGCAGTCGTCGAGGATAGAACAGCATCCGGGATCCGTGCAATAAGTACTATTGTAGATGAGGGATTGTTTGAAGAATTCCACAAAAGATGTCTCTGGCCGGTCGATTTCCACATGTGAGTCCTGCCGACGGGGATAGTAATCAGCTTTCAGCTTGTAAGCATGTGCCATGATTCAAATGGGGCTGATAGAATTGCGATAGTCAAGCTTACCAAGTAACAGAGTGTGCAAGGTGGTCGGTTCCGTCATTCTCGCTGATGCAACAGAGATCCATGGACTCGAAAGAAGCAGAGTCACATTTTCTATGCAACTGGGATGAGGTCGACGCTGATTCTGACACAGGACGATATAGAATTCAATCGACGTTGTACCTGAGGATGTTCACAGGGGCAGCATCAACCATGTGCGTTCATTCAGTGAAAAGGTCACTACCAGGGCCTAATCCACACCCCTTGACACAGAAATGGAGATAGTGTAGGACTGCATCATCACAACAATCAGTTAGGTCGACGAATCATGGTACATTCTCCTCACTTTCTGGGGAGAAGGCGGCAAGGAAGATTCCCATTGGTTAGGAGAAGCTGAATTGAGGTCTTCCCCGCCCTTCGGCCCCGCCCCCACCCCCGCCCCCGCCATCTCGCTTACCCTGGACTCCAGACAGGGCTACAGTATCGCCAGGATAGGCCTTGCCCTTGCAGATGGCCTAATATGGAGCCGAGACTGTCAATACTCAGCCTTCCACATGACGGCGAAGCAAAAACACTCAAACGATCTTCCACACATGCAGCAATGTGGCGATGGCCGCTACCCAGGGGAATTCTGATGTATTTTCCTGCGAAGAATGTGGCCGTCGTTTCTCCAGGCGTGAGCATCTCCAACGACATGGTCGCATCCGTCCGTCCACCAAACCTACTGTGGTCAGGATTACAAACTAATCCGGCATTTCGTTAGATTCGAAGGAAAAGCCATTTGTGTGTTCGGCTTGCAGCAAGAGATTTGCTCGCCGAGATGTGTACGCCAGACATCTCCGGACTCATGACCTCTCCTTAGATGTTCCCCCAGCAGCCCGTCGAAAGGCTGCCATGGCTTGTGACTCTTGCCATGTTCGAAAAGTCAAATGCAATCCCACTGATGTTCCTTGCCGCCGTTGCAAGCAGTCAGGTGTGCCTTGCACTTTCCTCAGAGGTGGCACAGACCCACAACGCTCAACAACGATTCAACCGGGATCCGCCATGAGTGTCGATATCATGAGTGATCTTGATCTTCCAGGAGCCTCGTCGCTGGTCCAGTCTTTGGTGGGTCTTTTGTGTCGTGACAACTGCTGCTTCTCTTAATTAATTGCCCGACAGTCTCAGACCTCAGACCCTCCTCCCATTAACAATGAGATCGACAACATGGGGATTGATATACTCCTCGAAGCAGTACGAGAGGGTTTGCCAACCGATGGCGTTGCGGCGGGCCCTCTGGTCTCTTCGCTTGATTTTCAATCTCTTGACAACGACACCAATATGAGTCTATCCAGTTATGATCCTTTCCTCATGACCTTCGACGATAACTCCTACCAACTAATGCCACACCCTCGAGAAGACCTGTATCATATCATTGGCGAGGTGAGAACATGTCTACACAGCTTCTGATCGTGCATTCTCTTCTGTGTGGATGCTTTCCTACCATTTACCAAAGGCTTTGTCTAATCCTTTTAAAAGACTTACGTTGCTCCGTCGACCGAGTACGATCTCCCTGCATGGACTGGCTGCCTTGATTCACCAACGCTTGATGTTGACAACCGAGCCGTGCCATCCATGGGAACTCGGTCAAGGATTCCGAACCACGCGAGATCCGATTCAATCGATCAAGCCACAGAAGCCCAACTTCAGAATCGGCTTACCACCGCCTATGCAATGCTACGACTCTATACAACAAGCGAGCGGCCGAACCGTCCACTATCACCTCGATCTGACAGCACACGTGACCACTATCTACAAGAACTAGGACGACTTTCCCCTGTGACGTGCGACCGCCTCATCATCAACACCTTTGTAGGCCTCTTCCAGGTGTATATCGCCCCCACTCTTCCATGTTTCTGTGGTCGGGCTGTAGATAGCTCAACCCCCGAAGAGGTCTATCTGGCTATGGCTGCTATTGGGGGCTTGTATTGTGAGGCTCCAAAGTCGGAGATCATTGCAAAATGGTTATTCCATACAGCTCAGCGAAAACTGCTATCTATGGTAAGACTTTCCGTCTTCAACAACGCAATCCATGTCATAATTGATCTGACTGACATCTATACTTCTTAGTTGCACTCAAGTGCCTCCCATAGCTCGGAGCGTCGCTGGACTTTCATGCAGAGTGTGGGTTCCACTGTCCCACTGTGCTCGGACGAGCTTCTTCTACTTAGATGACTGATATTGATTGTCTGTCTAATACAGTACATCTTGTTAGAAACGTTTGCCTACGTTGGCGCCAACAAAAGAATACTCCTTTTGTTTGAAGTATTCCACAACGATGTTATTCAGGTGAGCCTTTAGTTCTCCCTTATTGGAAGTGATGCTCAAATCTATCAGGCCTTTCGTGCATTCAGGGGTGACATTGACCACAATGGATGCCCTAGCGGAGCTCGTGAATTGTAAGCTACTCCTACATCCATTGAAACTCGCTGATAGTGCCTAGAATTGCCGATACAGTATACTTACTAGAATGCTATCGCGTGGTACTGCTTCAGCAACCTCCCAGCCTCTACCCAGGATCCATCCTAGGCGCTCTCACCAGCAGCAGCTACGGTGCTGAGGATGAAAGACGAAAACTCCTGCGCGCAATGACATCGCATGAGATACAAAATGTCTCCATTAACACCGAGAACATTAGTATCCAGAGTCTTTCCATGCTATCAATTCTCGCATCACATGGTAGACTACTCCCCGGATCGTTACTCGGGCCTTTGAAACTTCAAACGGGCAATACCAATGTCTCTTCCTCAGGCTGGCAACAGGAGTATTTTGAGCTTGCGTTGCAGAGGTGGCGTGATCTTCACACAATTCCTCCCACGTACAATGCCATGTTATTGTTCCATCTCATTCATTTGAGCTTTTATTGTAGCTTCGCAGAGATAGAACGCGAAGCACGGGCATCTTTGGAAACGAAAAGGAGTCGCGAACACCAGGTTTCGGATTCTACACAAAAGAACACGACGAGCGCAAGCCAACTTGCCTCTGCACGGGCTACATTGCAAAAATGTTTCCACACTCAAGAGAACATGGAGAAATCCAGGTGGCATGCTTGTCGAATACTTGACACAGCATCGCATGTTGAGCTTGCCTCATTCTCCAACTCGCACGGGAAAGTCCACCTCAGGCGAGAAGCAAGCAAGGCCAAATATGGGGAGTCCATCTACTTCCCTCATGCGATATACCATTCTGCAATGGTAATGTATTTGTCGACAAACCTCCAAGAGATTCTACCAGGCCTCCATCTGGAGGAGCAACTTGGAGGCATTCGGGTTGCTTCGGCTGCGCCAAAGGCAATGGGCCTCTTGTCTCGCTCTGCCTCTCGCGTGTCTGGGGTTTTCAAGAAAGTACTAGAATCCTTGCAACAGCTGAAATGAACAGGGTCCATAGACTTGACTTAATCAATGCTGGCAATTCTATTACACAAGGCTCGGTGTGAAATCTCATGAGAGCTGATGTTGACGACACCCTATTCGAAGCCCCACCCCGCCTTTCCTAAGGCAACATGCGCCTCGATTTTGAGCACTGCAAACCACAAAGAAAACACCTTCTATTCAGCCTGGTCACAGTCATCACTATCGCAGTCCGACTCTGGGATCATTGATGCCAATGTCAATTGTTGAAGATAATCCTTTCTGTCCTCAAGCTTTGACGAGATTATCCTGGCTGTGTCATTACTCCAATACCGTGATATGTCGGGAAAATCCGTCTCTGTCGAGAATCGAGGCATGATGTGCTGCTTGAAAATGTTGTATAAGCCTTTGGTAGATTTGAGTGCATGAAAAAACCAAAATGAACCAAGGTTCCAGTTCTCCTCCATGATGGCACTTCGACTGACCTCCGATGTGATAAGCCTCTCCTGTTGCGAAAATTCGGTCATGAACTCTTCCTGGATATCGGAAAACCTCTCTAAATTCGCCCCATAAAGTCGATCCAAGTTTTGAGCAGTTAACCAGTAAGGGGCCTTCAACATTTCCATTGGGTGTGAACAAGCCCATTCCAAGTCTACTAGTGAAGTTATCTGCCAGTGCTCGTTGACAAAGATGTTGCTGGATGAAGATCGGTGAGATCAAGAAAAAAGGGGCCGCGTTTCGTCCTATGATTGATAAACTGCGGCAGGACAAATCTTATTAGTCCTATTGCGGACATCTGTCTCCTGCCATCCCTCTCATAGTTCATCGAGTTTGGCTGGCAGAGAAGGCGACTGTCATGGTAGCCGAGAAGATCCAGAGCGTAACTCTCTGTACATTCGTAGGTCCGTAGGCGGGCAATGTTGGTTGGAATGCCTTCATTTTCCAGAACTTGGAGACGTAGGGGTCAACGGGCAGTTTGAGAGTGATATGAATCCCTCGTTGTCAATGGTGAAGTAATCAATACGGGGTTGGGGGATTCTCGCCAGCGAGATCATAATACGAGAGAGATCCTTACATAGGGGTTGCCGCCGTGACGGATCGCCCATATAGGAATCCAACGTCTCAGAGAGCATCTATACATCCTCAATGTACTATAAAAGAAGGTAACCCGTACGAAGAGCAGATATACGATTATCAAGGACGAAAGGCGACGGCAATGGGTATCTGGCTAGTGTGCGAAGTTGATTTGAGCACCATCGTCGAAATCGACATAGTAGGGAAGTGTTTTCAAGAGGTGTGAACTACTCTCAAACTGGATCTAGAGAAATGACATAACCACAATCAGTTTTCTGGATCAAACAGGGTCGATCGGTCACTTGCACAAGCGTGTATGGCTGTCAGGCCAGGTGCAGTCCTTGAGAAGGACTGAGCAGTCGTGATGAGAAGGACGAACAAGGCAGAGCACCCTGATGCCTGGTGAGGCTGGGCCGAAGTTTAGCCTCAGACGCCAGGTCACCTGATTCCTGAGGAAAGCGACATGGCCGAGGCTGGGTGTTTTGTCGCTGTTGAATACCCGTCATAAGCGGGTATATCAGATGGGGGAGGGGCCGAACTCATTATGTTGCTTTCGGCACCGCCATGACTCTCATCAGACGACCAGAATGGTCAAGTTATTTTCAGGCCGAAAGACAAAATGGCAACTATGTCAAGAAGATACGGTAAGTCCAGGAAGATGTCAGCTTCTGCTTTCATTCGCGTTTTCATCAGTAAGGAAGCCTTAATTTAACAATTTAAATCCGCCTTCTCTGCACTGGTCTACCTTACAGGGAGCCCCCATTTGCCGACTTTCATCCTCTTCAATTGAGCCATTACTCACTATGCCTATTGTCAACGGGACCAACCATACCAATGGAGACTCTGTGCCCAGCAGCGCTGGTGGCGAAGCTAGTAAGGTTCTCATTGTCGGAGGAGCAGTTGTCGGCTGTCTCGTGGCCCTTAAGTTAGGCCAGGCGGGTATTAACTCAACCATCATCGAGAAACAGCCTTCAGTCAACGAGAGTCCACGTGCGGTTGGATACTATGGTGCGGCACAGCCGTTCTTGGACGAGGTGGGATTGTACAAGTTGATCCGAGAAGAAGGGTTCATGACACGCGGATTATGTTGGCGAAAAAGGCCAACAGACGATGGCAAAGGTGGCAAAGCATTGGGAGAGATGATCGCCCATCTGCCACTATGCGCACCTGGAGACACCACCTTCGAAGTTGGTGCTGGACTACTGAATCTACCACAGGCCGATCTCAACAAAATCGTGCTGAGGGAGGCTCTGAAGACGGGTCACGTTAGAATACAGTATAATACGGAACTTGTCTCCATCGTCCAAAATAGCGCTGAAGAAGGTGTGGTGGCGGTAGTCGAAGATGTTAAAACCAAAGTGCGGCATGAGATGAAGGCGACTTATCTCGTTGGTGCCGATGGAGCGCGCTCAGAGACCCGAAAAGCTCTTGCCCTTCCATTCCCAGGTCATACCTGGCCAGAGAAACTAATAGCGACGAATGTCATGGTCAAGAATGAGGCTGCACTCGACTGGCAAACTTGGTTCGTATTGGACCGGGTGCATTACACCATTGCCACGCCATTGCAAGACCCCGTGGTCGGAAGCACCACATTATGGAGATATACAATTGCAGCAGACCCTGATGATCCACGTTCAGATGAAGAGCTACTCACTGACGCAAACATTATGCAGCACTATGAGAACGTCATGGCAGGTCCTAGGCCTTTACAGGTGGACATCCAAGCTAGGGCAACGTATCGCATTCACCAACGTCTGGTGCCTACAATGAGAAGGGAGAATTGTCTTCTCGCAGGTGACGCTGCACATGTCAACAACGTAAGTGGCGTTCCTATGTTATGACCGATGTCAGAACCAGCTAATCATGGGGACAGCCTTACGGCGCGATGGGCCTGAATACCGGCATCCTAGACGCAGACGCATTGGCTGAGGCTCTGATCATGGTCATCAATGAGAAGCACCCAGCCTCGATCCTCGACGTCTATTCGGACGAGCGTCGTAAAGTATTCCAGTTCTTTGTGGACCCTACCTCTACCCAGAACAAGTTGCGAGTTCATTCACATCCCGAAGACAGAGCAATCCAAGATGACTGGTTCTTCCGAATGATGAACAACCCAACGCCCAAGCAGTTGAAAGAGTTGGCTAGGCCATATTTTGAGACTTGGAGGACAAATATTAGGGAGCTAGCCAAGTCGATCTAAGTAATTATATGAATCTCTACAGACACCTTTGTGGTCAAACTTCCATTCTGGTAGGTGGGAACGTCCGAGTTTCAAGTTTCCACTCGAGCATGGGTCTTCAACGCGAGTAGATTTCTTGAATAGTGTAAGACGGTGCAAATACAATTCCCATGGTGGTATTCTACATTGGCCGTCGCCACTCCTGGGGCTCTTTGCAACTTTTCATCTCTTCTTTGCCAAAATGTGGCTTGCATATGATTCCGCAACCTTACCAGCAGCATTCTGAGCAGATCTCCCCATATCTTATGTCAACACTCTGTTTGGGTGACATCGAGCGGGATTCCGGCAGCGATCTGTGCTCTAGCTCCGCACAACCAGCCCGCGTTTTAAGTTCGGGCAGGATATGGGGAACCGAAGCCACCTTGAATACGAGATTGATGGGGGACCGCTGCTCACATGAATCTTGCATCACCTGTGAGGTGTGCCGTCGTGTACCCGGATTGAAGAATATCTCTAAATGGAAGACAATTTCACCAGCCTCTGGCTATGCTATCTCATTCCCGTATGCTCTCAGAAGCCAAGGACACAACCAGATTATCGAAATGGAACTCATCAACACAATGGTGTCAATCATAACTTCGGCGCTAGGGAGATATTCTTTGGTATGGCTTGCTGTCCTGTACACTATATTGGTGGTCATCTATCGATTGTGGTTCCACCCCTTGGCCAAATATCCAGGCCCTTTCTTTGCTAAGGTATCAGGACTCTACATCCTGATTGCGGCAATACAATGTCGAGACACGTATACGCGCTATGGGCTGCACCGCAAGTATGGCAAAGTGGTTCGAGTCGGCCCCAACGAGCTTTGCTACGCAGATATCGACTCAATCAAAGACATCTACGGTCAAAGCGCGGAGCCGTGCCTCAAGACCTCATTCTATAATGGTTTCACGTTGACCGGAGCACACTCGGTATTCTCCACGACCAAGCGCTACGAGCATGCCCGTATGCGACGACTAATGTCCAATGGATTATCAGAGCGAGGAGTCCTTCGCTTTCAAGATGATATCATTACTGTGATTGAGCAATTTCTATCCATTCTACACGACAGGTCCAAGGCACGGCCAGGCGATGAAACTCCACCCGTTGAGCTACACGATCTGAGCCATGATCTGTACCGAGATATAATCAGTCTGCTCGGTTTCGGAAAATCGTTTGAAATCCTTGCAACCGGCAAAAGGAATCAGGGCGCCGAGGACATTGACACATATTTCTCTATTTGCCCACTATTTGGCAACTTTCCACTTGGGCGATATCTTCCTTTTGGAATCTTCAAGCAGGCCTATCAAGCACAATCGCGAATTATTGAATTTTCCAAAGCCCGTATCGATGACTATCGACGACGCATTGCAGAGGAAGAGCAGAGGAAGGAGGGCTCTGGAAAGACAGGACGACATATCAACACGACATCAAATGGTCTGCTTCGTAATATGTTGGAAGCAAAGGACGAGGAGACAGGTTCAGCATTCACTGATGAAGAGCTGATTGAAAACACAGTGATTTTCATAGTCGCTGGCAGCGACACCACGGCGACGACCTTGCTGTACGTGATATACGAACTGTGCAAGCGACCCAAGATGCAGAAACGGCTTGAGGATGAAATTCGAGGGGCATTCCCGGACACGTCAATTTTCCCTGACTACGAGATTGTCACGAAGCTAGTAAGTTGTTCCACTCGCTGCTGTGAATCACGAGGTAGGGCTAAGTATCTTCCTTAACCGCAGCCTTACCTCAATACCGTGGTCCAAGAGACGTTGAGACTAAGAGGTCCGATACCGACAACATCACCAAGGGGTTCCCCAGGAAAAACCATTGGGGATGACTTTGTTCCGGCCGGGGTAACGATCAGCAACCTTCCATACAGCACTCATCGTGACCCAGAGGTGTTTCCTGACCCTTTGTCGTTTGAACCTGATCGGTGGGAGGAACCAACGGCTGAGATGAAGGTCATGCATCGACCCTTTAGTTCGGGACCTCGAAACTGCGTAGGGCTGCATCTGGCGCGAGTCCAGCTGTACCTGACCATTGCGGCTTTCTACCAACGATTCGACGTTACGCTGGATCCTTCTACTACGGATGAAATGATGGTCATGAGAGACCAGGGGTTGATGTCTCCTATCGGGAAGAAACTCTGGGTCCGTCTCAAGGCTCGTGGTGGGTAGAGTGGAATGTTAGCAAGCTCAAAACACATAAATCATTCTTGTCGAGTGGACCTGGATAGCTGGATGTGATTGGCCACTTATTTCAATGCATTCGGCGTAGAAACGTTGAAGCTCGAATACTCCACCCTAGCAAGGGCAGCGGGTCTTTAAACCTGATTGAGAGTCCGTTCTCTCAGGTGAACCGGCTTGGCAGACGATCGTATCCAATGAAAACACGTGTAATCATACAAGAGCTATTGTGGTGTGAGTTGCTGTATTAATGTAATGCCATACAACACTTATCCCAATCGGGCATTTTCGAGGTGGGAGCTATTTGCTGAAGTCTTGTGCAAAGCTCCTTGGACCTTTGACTCCCAAGAGAACACCAGGTGCCTCTACATCTCACACAACAACCACACACTCCACTCCCTCCCAACTCGGAACTGCAGCTCCATTCCAAAGGGCTCTGGTCGGCCTGTATCTCAACTCCCAGTGAATATAAGCCCTTGCACGGCCAGCATGTCCGCCAGCATGTTTCGAACGACCGCAACCCGCTCCCTCCCGCGATCCCTCACCCTCGCTCAATCCAGCGTTGTTCGGTCGAACCTGTGCAACAATGTGCTCAGGGCCACTTTGAAGACGTCGGCTCGTCCCGTCAGAGCTTCTAACTTCGTCGCCCTGACCGCGTTCCAACCAGCGCAGAAGTCCATGGTCCGATACGCACACGTCGCGGCCGACTACGATATTAAGAAGGCTGAAGCCGCTTTGGCAGAGCAAAAGATCACCGCAACTCCAGAATCAGTCTCTGCGGTGTCGTCGATTAACCCAGTCGCCAGCGGATCGGCTGACCACGAGCAAGATGTTGATATGATGGCGGGGATTCGAGGTGATTTTGTGAGTCGACTGGCGATATCAAAGTGCTGGCTTTTGGCACCAAGAGCTAACAAACAACCAAGAACACCATCAAGGACACCTTCTCCCTGAAAGAAGTCCCTCGTGAAGCCCTCTACGTCGGCTTGGCCGGTGTTCTTCCCTACCTGGCAACTTCCCTCACGACCGTCTACTTGTCCTTTGATATCCAATATGCCGCACATCACGGCCAGGGATACTTCCTGTCTGGCGAGACTGCTGAGCAGCTTCTGCATCTCATTGAACCCATCCAGCTTGGCTATGGTGCTTCTGTAAGAGACAAGAAGGTTTCACTATCAGAGAACTTGGAAACTAACAGGTTTTAGATCATCTCCTTCCTGGGTGCTATTCACTGGGGTCTGGAATGGGCCAAGTTTGGAGGTGTGCAGGGTTATAACCGATACTCGATGGGTATTCTTGCTACCGCCGTGGCATGGCCGACTCTCCTCCTGTCTGCAGAGGTTGGCCTGATCACACAATTCCTCGCCTTCACTTTCTTGTACTACAATGATGCGAAAGCTGCCCGAGCTGGCTGGGCCCCAGCGTGGTATGGAACATACCGATTTGTGCTGACCTTTGTGGTGGGAGCTTCTATCGTGGCTTCGTTGATCGGACGTGGCCAGATCGCAGATTTGGTGACGGCTCCTGATGCCCCAGCCAACAAATTGAAGATGCTCCGTGCTCAACAACTCGACGAGGTTGGACCAGAGCCCGAGGCCGACGAAGAGGAGGCCGAGGAGGAGGATGAAGAATAGATTAACTGTGAAGGGTTCCAGAAGCTTTAGGTGATTTGATTGGGGGATTTGAAATGAAATTTGCAGCTCCTTCTGAGAGACAGAGAGAAGAGAGAAAAGGCAGCTCGTTGGCCCGTGCACCGAGGCTTACTGTTGTACATACATATCCAAGCAGGAGAAGAGAGAATTCCCGTATTCCTTTGTTCAATTTGGGTCCATCGTGCACTGTAAGTGTGAGGTCTTGGTCACGTAAGTGGCACCGAGAAGAGATCGTCGCCCAGCAATTTTGATCTATGGTTTGGTATCCTGTAATTGGCTAAGGTGATCAGCGATAGGTCAAAGATTTGAGTCTTGACACAAATATTTTGCATAAAACCAGGGGCATGCTAGACCAGAAGCCATAATATCAAACAAGGAATTACTCCCTAGTTAGGTCTATACCATTGCAAAAGGTCAGACGTTCCACCTCGGGGATTTTGGGTACAAATGGGCGACTATTCGGAAAAAACGCCCCGAGGCACATGATTGAGCCCCGAGGCGGCCAACGCGGGCGTCCTTCTGGGCCGAGGGGGCCTTGGCCACTGTTTCTCCGCTGAATGAAGTCTGAATTTTGGTTAAGCGAAAAGCAAAGCCGCTTGGCGCAAGGAGCCTAACTGAGGTATTCAATGCCGCCTGTGACGACTCATCTCCCCCTTTAGGTGCCCCCCACCAATCTCGGAGCCAAAGGGAAGCTTATAGCCCCTGCTGGCAGAGGATCCCCACGTCATTGCCGTTGTTTATGTTGCATCATGCCTCCTCTGCTTTTTTCCCTCGCTCGTGCGACCCCGCGCACATCCAATGACATTTCCAAAATGCGAGGAGGGTGCTCCCGCTTCATGGATCCCAAGAACCGACCTTGACTCCTTCGAGGGCTCGCCATGAGCGGCAGATCTCACCTTGACTGAGTTTCATAGACTAGGTCCCTAGGCGGAGGAAACAAGGCACGCATCGTGTTGAGTTGCTTTAGACTTTAACAACCCGTTCTTCCTCCTCTTCCTCTTCTGCTACGCTGAAGGTAACTTTCATACCTGTATCCATAGTTTGTTTCACATGCTCACCATTGTCTCTATTGCCGTTCCCATCTGGCAGTGGTAATAGCTCTTCCCAACCCATATACTATACTATCCAAACCCCCGAGTCAGCTACTCGACCAGCAAAGGCTGAGAGTGTGCGTCACACCTGGATCAGGACTTTGGCGCGCAAAACATGCAGACATTGCGAAGAATGGTAGGTTGAATACCAGTTCCCAGGTGGATGCTGCTTCAAGAACCACATGAAATACAAGCTTGGGTGCACCTTCCTCCATAGCCATACTGACCGCGGATCATGCGCAGGCAGGTTCCGGTTCCAAAACGAAGAGCTTCGTTGGGTCCATCGATAATGGGACGACAAGTTCTCGATTCCTCATCTTTGACCCGTCTGGAAACCCCGTCGCACAACATCAAATCGAATTTAAGCAGATATATCCCCATTCTGGGTGAGTGGCTTCCCACCTTGTCCTAACGAGGATTGGACTCCCGCTGACTCTTCTCCTCCTTTGCTTCTCAACAGATGGCACGAGCACGACCCCAACGAACTAGTCTCCTCCGTCTCCGAATGCATCGATAAAGCGGTCGCCGACTTCGAGTCGCAAGGCCACTCCATCTCGCAAATCAAAGCCGTAGGCATCACCAATCAACGTGAAACCACATGCGTCTGGGACATCGATACTGGCGAGCCGCTGTACAACTCGATCGTTTGGACCGACACCCGGACCGCGAACATTGTACGAGAACTTAAGAGCCGCGAAGGGGCGGATGGGTTACAAGAGCTCTGCGGCCTACCGCTGTCCACATACCCATCCTCGACCAAACTGCTATGGCTCTTGAAGCATTCCGACAAGGTCAAGAAAGCATATGACGCAGGCAAGCTGGCATTCGGCACCGTCGACAGCTGGCTGGTGTATAAACTGAACGGAGGGCCGGACAAGAACGTCTTCGTGACTGACCCGACCAACGCAAGCCGCACCATGTTTATGAACATCCATAAACTGCAATATGACGATGACCTGATTTCCTTCTTCCAGTTGGATGTCAAGACGCCCAAACTACACCTTGCCAAAATCATCCCTTCGTCGCACGAGTCCGAGTACGGGGTACTGGCCAGCACCAAACTCAAAGGAACCAAGATTACAGGCTGTCTAGGAGACCAGTCTGCGGCATTGGTGGGCCAGTGTGGGTTCACGCCAGGACGGGCCAAAAACACTTACGGGACTGGATGTTTCTTGCTATACAACGTCGGTGAGAAGCCTGTCATCTCCACCCACGGCTTGCTCGCCACGGTGGCGTACGATTTCTCGCCCCAAGGAATAAAGCCCGTCTACGCCCTAGAAGGATCGATCGCCGTCGCAGGCAGCTCGATCCAGTTCCTGAGGAATAACCTGGGCTTCTTCGCCGACAGTGCCAAAGTGTCCGAATTGGCCAGGACCGTGCCGGACAATGGTGGCGTCGTCTTTGTCACGGCTTTCAGTGGTCTATTCGCCCCTTACTGGTACGACGATGTCAAGGGCACTCTATGGGGTATTACCGCCTACACAGAGAAAGGTCATATAGCTCGAGCCACCCTCGAAGCCACCTGTTTCCAGACTAAAGCCATCCTCGACGCTATGGAGAAAGACGCCAAGGTCAAGCTGGAAGAGCTTGCTGTTGATGGAGGAATGAGCAATAGTGATTTGTGCATGCAGGTGAGCATTCATCCCACTCTGACATTTCTTTTCTTCACCATTTGAAAAAGTCTTGATTCGGTTGTCCGCCGGATTTTGGATCCTGTCTCTAAACTAACGAGCAACACAGACACAAGCCGACCTCATCCAGATCCCCGTTGATCGTCCCAAGATGCGCGAGACCACGGCCCTAGGAGCCGCCATCGCCGCTGGCTTTGCTGTCGGAGTGTGGAAGAATTTTGATGACCTCAAAGAGATTAATGCCGATGGGCGCACGTTCTTCAAGCCCAGAATCAGTGAGGAGGCGAGCAGTAAAATGTATAACAAATGGAATAAGGCCGTTGAAATGAGTCGCGGTTGGCAAGACTCTGACGATGAAGAGGATGATGACAAGGATAAGGAAAAGCCAGAGCTGGAGCAGGTTGTCACCAAGGATTGAAATCGATTGTGTATACCAAATATCTATCCTCACTGAGACTTATTTTACAGTAGCTTGTGACGGGTCTCTGTGTGCTGAACAGCTTCTTCAGCACCCTCACTTCGCATTATTTTTGCTTTTCTCTTCAGCTTCGTAAGCCTCAATGCGCGCCTCCCAGTCCTTTCTCATTGATTCCATCTCCTTCCAAATCCCGACTCCAGAAGCAATAAACTGCTCAACGTCTTCCTTGGATGCATCAGTGGCGCCTGATTTACGTCCAACGTGCCCAGCCCACCAAGTATCCTTGAATGGCAGGCCTGAGCCATTGAGACCCCAGCCCTGGACGTCAGTTGGATGGAGGGTGTTGGAACCCAGCCGCGATGTGGCAGATCCCCATTTGATCTCTCCCTTATCGCTACCCGTAGCATCATGTTTGGCGAGCTCGATATCCGAAGCACTGGCCAGTGCTAGCCACGATAGACTCAATGCTCCGTTGTAGCTTGACACATTGGCCCATGGAGACCCGCACCATCGAGCAAGGTAGATTCCTAGTATATAGCCCTGAAACACAATCCAGTAGAGGGCGATGATCGCAGTTGTACAGATTCCTGGGTGAGCCAAGTGAAATATCGGTGACGATAGGTCAGGTCTGGCGACGCGTCCAGCTGATTCTTTCTCTGACAGCGATGGCGATGGCGATGTGGAGAATTCATGGACGTATGCTGCTGTAGCTGGGGTGTCATTAGCTGTGAGGGCAAGGACGTCGGTCAGGCGTTTCGAGTGTTCGTAGGCGGCATCGGTAGTGAGACCTTGATGGTCGTCCGGGTTATAGTGATGAGCTTCAGGCTCGATTGATGAAACCCAGATGATTTTGCCCGGTGAATCAGGCGAGCAGGCTCGAAGTAGTGCCATCACCCAGTGCACAAGTAGATAGTGGCCGAAGACATTGGCACAGAAGACCGCTCCTAAAGGTGGTTCAGGCTGGTCACCTGGTATTTGTCGTGGTGCGACCATTCCTGCCACTCCGATTTTGAATGACGGCCATGTCGTTGCCTGTCTGATCTGCGTCATGACCTTCCAAATCACCACCGGCCAGTTCACGCCGGACCACCCGCCAATACCAGCGTTGAGCACAATTGAGTTTAAGTACGGTATGTCTGAAGCCAGCAAGCGACGAGCCAGTGCCCGCACGGACAGCAGGTTTGTCAGCTCGACGTTCTCTGGACGGAAATGGATTTGACGTGAGGTTTTTCTCGAGCGGCGAGATCGCGCTAGATGGTTCTGTAAGGTCGCTAATGTCTCGCTCCCTTTGCGTGCACTGCGTGTGGTGAAAATAATCGTCAAATCCCCCTCGCCGTTGCGTTGCGAGAGGAAGTCGTCAATGAGTCGGCAGCATACACCTAGTCCGAGGCCACTAGATGAATACAAGGTAACGTCAGAAAACTGTACAGATTCCCCAATGTAGATCAAGATCCACAGTGCTGACTGTCAAACTGTAGATCTATCGGCGGTGTTGCATACCTGTTGGCGCCCGTCACCAAGACGTATTGATCGCGTGGATTCATTGTAGGATGGCCGACGGAGAGTCATAGAGCCCCGAATTTCAAGTCATATTGTGTCAAGGAAGCATGTCAATTGAAAAGTAGAAGGATAACTGGCCTCCCGTGCTCGCCCCTGGTTCCCAACCCTACCACGGTTTTTGGTTTCTTGGTGGCGCGATTCGGATTGTGGAAATTTGTTGACGTTCCACACGGAGGTGGAAGGCGCCCAGGGGGACCTCGGGACCTCTTGCCGTGCGAATTGGACCTGGGCCAGACCCCGGACATTGGTTATGCCGATTCCGATTCACTTATCATCGAGAGCCTTCGTATGGACGAGGACAGGGCTTCCAACGTCCTTCACTACGAGTACTACAATGACCGAATAAAGTCATTTCATTTTGAACATTCGATATCGCATTTCAATCCGTCTATGGAACTCGATGGCCAAAGATCGAGTGTTCTAACCACTTGTCTATGTCTATGATCAACAGTTCTCTCCTCTGTCGCTCTGGACCATGTCGCAGGTGGGTATCTGAAGCAGACGGCTTGTAGAGATACAGTATCTCCAGCCTCTATTGCCGATGCTATTCAACTCAACGCAACGAAACCAGTGCGGACCTTTTGGAACCCACATACCCCCCAAACTCCCAACGTAAAACGCAAGTGAATCATGTTCGTATGGACGTAGATCGGTGCCTTAGACGTGTCAACATCTGTACATCCGTCTTCAAACGCCGATCCGAGATGCTGTGCTATGCAAGCCAACACAAGAGAGCACGACTCGTCATTTTTTAAAGATCGTTAAAACCATCACATGAGTCGTCTACTCGTCCTCATCAGTGAAGACCTCCTCACCACGCTTGCGGCGGGCCATGCGGTCCTTCTTCTTCTTTCTCAGTTCGGACGAGGTCAGCTTCTTGGCTTTCTTGTTGCCCTCGATCTTGTTGCCCATGGCATCGAACTTCTCTTCGTCGTCGTCCTTCTCGGTCAGTCTGGGGCCGCTACCCTGTCCTTGAACCCTGTAAAATTTGTTAGCAAGTTGTGAATGGTAATGTCAAATCAAGATGCTTACCAGTTGTGACCAGAAGGAGTCATCTTTCCGTTCTGCACAGACCAAACTTCTTCCGTCAAGCTTTCAGTGAACTCTGCGTTGTGGGAGATGATGACAACACCACCCTCGAAAGCCTTGAGGGCCTTGGAAAGGGCACCAAGCGAGTCACGATCCAGGTAGTTGGTGGGCTCGTCGAGAACGATCAAATGGGGTCGTTGCCATGTGCAGGCAGCAAGGACAACCTTGACACGCTGGCCTCCGGAAAGACCGCGCATACGGGAGTGAGAGATGAGTTCGGCATCCAGACCGAAGTTAGCACCATGAGCCTCGATCTCCTTTCGGATCAAAGGACGGAATTGACCGCTGGCAAGAGCCTCCTTCTGATCAACCTCAGCAACCATTTTTTGATGGGATGCAAGGATTTCAGATCGGGGAATCCAAGCATTGTCGGCAGTCATCATGGGGGTCCACTTCTCGTTCTTCATGCCAACGTTCTCTCCGAGAGCGAACGAACATTCGTACTCGTACGAGTTCTTGAACTTACGACGAGAGTGGATACCAATAACACGTCGCTGGCTGCCCTCGATCTTGTAGATCTTGTCCATGGCCTTCTCATCGTCTTCAGTGACGATCTTGTTGGCACGATCCATGGTCTCACGATCTTCACCGGTCTGGAAACGCCACTGGATGTATTCCGAGGGAGTCTTGTCCAAATGGTTATCGATGTGAGCAAAAGCGTGCTGCTTGATGTATGCAATACGGATGTTCTCATGCTGGTAGACCTCACCAGTGGTGGGAATCAATTCACCGGTCAAGCAGTTGACCAAGGTAGACTTGCCAGCACCGTTGGGGCCGATGACGGCAATTCTGGAGCCCAGAGACACCTGGAAAGTGATGTCGGAAATTTGAGGCTTCTCGGTACCAGGGTATTGGAATGCCATCTTGCTGACACGCACGATAGCTTTGGCCTTGGTCTTGACACCTTCGAGGAAACCGGGCTCGGGGAACTTGAACTCCAGCTCAGAGGCTCCAAGCTCGAAGTAGGATCGAGCAGAGGGAACTCGCTTAGCGAACTCGGTCAGGTTACCACGGTATCTTCGGAGCTTGAAGCGCTCATAGTGGATGACGTGTTGGATGACATTGTTCAAGAACTTGGAGTCGTGAGACACAATGATGGAAGTGCAGGGGGAGTTGATAAGATATTGTTCAAGCCAGGCAACGTTCTTCACATCCAAATGGTTGGTAGGCTCATCGAGCAGAAGAATATCAGGCTCTTCGAACACGGCACGAGCCAAAGCCAACTTCATCTTCCAGCCACCAGACAGGGAAGTGATGGGGGCTTCGAGTTGCTCCTGCAGGAAACCGAACTCGATCAAGCGAGACTGAACCTCTTCCTTGGGCTTGACGATGTTGACCTGCTCCAGTTTCATCATGGTCCAGCCAATGACAGTCTGTTCAGTATCGGCAGCATCGAGATCGTGCTCGACGAAAACGGTCTTGACTTCATTTTGTTTGGGGAAGCCTTCGACCTGTTCGTTGTTGATGGCACGCATGAGGGTGGACTTGCCAGAACCGTTGGGGCCCAAAAGACCGTATCGCTGACCACGCTTCAAACGCAGGTGAGTTTGATTCAGGAGAATCTTAGCACCATAGGCCAAGTTAAAGGTGCAGTTGCAGAGGTCTTCACCTTCTTCATCGTCGGCTTCAGCCTCGGCCTCCTCTTCGATACCGGGGGAAGCCTTCTTGCGGAGCTGATCAACAACGTTGTGGGCATCATTTTCACCGACGATGGATTTGATGTATTCGACGGTGTTGGCTATCCAATCAGCCGAATCGACGACCTTCTCATCGATGAGCTGGCCAGCAATGGCGGACACGTATTGGATGGTGGCCTCATAAGAGGCAGATTTGTGCTTCTGGTCGATAATGGACTTGAGAATAGGTGAGACGGTGCCAATCTCGCCGGCAGTGGAAATTTGGGGTGCTGTACCGTCCTCCTTGACGGCACCAACACGCTTGAGGGTGTCTAGACCTTGCTTGGTCTTTTCACGAGCTTCGGGGTCAGCCAAATTCTCGTAGTTCTTAGTCAAAGCAGGCATGAGCTTGGGCAAGAAAGCGGCCACAATCTGAGGATCTTCGACCAGCTTGCACATGTTGTCGACAATGACTGCGGACTTTCGCTTGATGGCGGTCTCACGCTCAGCCAGACCACGCTCCAAAAGAGGAACCATGATGGCCAGTGTAGGCTCGTGCACATCAGTGACGAAAGTGGTTGCACCAAGCAAGTGAACGGTTTCAGAAACGTTCTCAGGCTTAGCAATACACTTGATGAGTTCGGGGATAAATCGGTCGATATCCTTGTTCTCAATCAATTTGCAGACCTTCTCCATTGTACCGTAGGCCTTCTTCTTGATTTCAGGCTTGGTATCCCACATGGACTCGGAAACGATGGGAATGAGGGTGGGGACGAGGAAGGCGAGTTGAGTAGGGGCCGTCTCGACAAGAACCTCGATGCAGTCAAGTCCAGTGGCCTTTTCGGGCCATTTCTGGGCTGTGATAATCGAGTTTCGGATGTGAGGAAGGGCGGCCTTGACGGCATTGGGGTTGATTGCCTTGCAAATGGCGAGAGCAGCGCTTTGTGCAGCATTCTTGACGGGCACCATCTTGTCACCCACTGCAGCCAAAGCAAGAGGGAGGAGGGAGATCAAGTATGGCTCAATGGCAGGGGAGACAGTGGAGTGTTCTGCAATGGCTCGGATGCCATCGACAGCTCGCTCTCTGACGAGAGCATCTTTCTTGTTGGCCAGCTGTTTCTTGAAGGTCTCGACGGCCTTTTGGGGCACATCGTGCTCTTCGATAGGGCCGTTCAGGAGGGTGGCCACGTTGATGGAAGCGGCGTTGGCCTCATCTTGAGCCTTTGAGACTGAGAGTTTCTGCAACAACTGATCAAGGGTGGCGAGTGACTGTTTGGTCTCCTTTGCGGAGGTCGCTGGGGTGGAAGTCATGGCGTCAACAGCGGGCATGTCGTGCTGAAAAATGACTCTGGCGTTCAAGTTTGGGGGGGTGGTTGCAAGACGGATTTTGGTGGATGCGTTGATGTGATGATGATGTGAAGAAATTTTCAGCAATGGACTGAAAATAGCGGTGGGTGGGAAACAGGGGAAATGTGCCCACGGACTGCGCTTCACACGCTCGTCTCGCTCTAGATGGCGTCTAGTCTAACGAAAAGAAAGAAGATGCAAGTGCTCTTTGAAGAGAACTGCGATAAAGAGGAGGGATGATGGAGAGGGGAGAGATGAGGGAAGGGATCAAAAAACTGACAAGGCGAAACAGCGGCTGGGGGGGCGGTTTTATTCATCCACGGTGTCCAGGGAAAAAAATTTCGAGCGGAAAAAAGACTGGGGCAAGGACCAAATTGTTAGTGACGAGTCAAGACCCGGCCGTTGTTACCTGGGAATTCACAGGAATCTGAGAGGGTGACAGGTCCGGCCCAGGGCCCTTGGGTCCCTTAGGGCCCAAATGAATTCAGCGGCTAAGAGTCTAGGGCGATTTAGGGCAAAAGGGACAGTCTGCCGAGCTGACCCCACTGGTCCAATTCAGGCAGACCGCCTTCTCCGATCCGACCAAATGCCCACCATTGCCCACCAACTCCCACCCAAGCCCACCGAAACAGAGTTTGGCTGCCTATCGCTGGCCTGTTCTTAGCCACCTCCGACTGCGGGTGGCACGGGTGGCTACGGTCACAATCATGTTCATGGCTCTCTGTCTTGTTACAGCATTCTCATCTTGCACTGTCGATCATTATGGTCAAAGTATTGTTTCTGATGGTTCAGAATCCAATTATCACGCAGCCAGAATTTAGAGGAGCAGGAATTCCTGGGGCAGTGTTTGGTCCAGATTGCACTTTCCATCCAGACATTATTACACCTCAAATCACGCCAGTTATTTTTATCGCCACTCAGCCTTCCCATCTGGACGTCTCCTTAATCAACAATACGCTGGAAGATCCATCTATGTCATTGTTATCCCCGCATACCGTTCAATAGCATTACTATTAATTCACTATTCCTACGTAAAGACTTAGAACTACTCATCACTCGTAACTCCAAGGACACGGTGCAGAACGGCATTCTGGCCTCCCCGAGACCCTCCCTACCTGTAATTCCTCACAATTTTTGCTCACTGCCTACGTGACCTCCGGTCAATACCACATCTCCAGGAAAGAAATCCCTCCTCTTTGAATCTTCCAAGCCCACCACGTCAGAAAACTGGTTGTGGGAGTCCATGCCTGAGTAAGCAGCCACATAGATCCCTGTCGAGAGCCGAGTAATGCATCCCTGTGACTCCTATGGACAATTTCTACCCTATTATTCGTCTGACAAGTGTCAGGCCGGACTCCCTGACTCCTGTCATCCTTTCCCCCTGTTTCGCCATCTTGGTCCGGGAGGGATGACCTGGGGAACAACATCATCCTACCAGTCAAACAATCTGTGGATGTCACTTCTTACTATCGATACCAGATAAGGGGCGCCAGACAGATAAGGCAACTACAGCCACCCAGCCTGGTTTGAACCCCTCGCTGTGTATCAATTAACCACTGTAAGATTCTAATGTCAACTAAAAACCATCTTGAGTCATCATTTGGCACTAGAGCAATGAATTAGACAGCATGTTACAGTCATTTCCCGCCTCGAGTAAATTCCGGAGTCCTCCAACAAAATTTTGAATTGCTGGGGAGGGAACGGAGTTCGAGGCGTCGATCGTGGGAAAACGATGGCATGTGATTGGACTAGAGCATGTCAGAGTTTCGTATCTCTTGGCGCGGGTGCGGGTCTTTCTCGGCGTCGGAAAAACATGTATTCCAGAACCGTAGACCGAACAACTTTAATTTTCTACGGCAAGCGCCGAATCTTGCGGCAGTGCATCAAAGTGAAGTCAAGGCCAGACTGCCAGACTTTGAACTCGATGTTAGGGGCAGGCCCGGTAAGCTTTGCGTTCTTTCGGGTGCACGAGCATTATTAGCTAGGTCGATCCTCATCGCTAGGATCATATGTGCAGTCGCCCAACACCGTTTACGTCCCCATTAAGATTGCCTTCTACACTGGTTTGGCTGGGACTGGTGGATGGATCGTCAAGAGTTGTATATCCAAATTTGTCAGTCCCTGCCAGATACCAGGGACGCTTATGCGAGGTGCCGACCGGGGCATATTGTGTGGAGGACCCATGTCGCCGCCCCCATAGTTCATGCACTGGGAGCCGCTAATACTCTTGAACTCACGGAAATCACGGTATACAACCCAGAGAAAAAGAGAAAAAAATCTTCATTGATCAGTTAATAATATGCTCAAGCCAGATCATTAGGAGTCGTAAGTCTTCGTTCTTTCCTCGATAAATTCCATGCAGACCAATACCTCTTCTGCGAAGTGTGAAGGCGCCGAAACAATTGATCGTCAAGAAGCCCAGATTGATGTCTAGCACAATCGAGGGATCCACTAGTGGCGGTGTCTCCGCCTGCTGTGGTCACTTTCACTGCTGCTGCTGCTACTGCTTGGGCTTCTGCGTCTGCGGCTGCGGCTGCCAGAGCGTTTACGAGAAACGCTGCGGCTTCGATCTCTTTCCCCGCTGACTTCGCGGCTGTCATAGTATGATCCACTTTCTCGGCGCTCTCTTTTCTCTCTCTTCTTTTTCTCGTGTTTCGCTTCAAGTTTGTGCCCTGCATATGCACCGGCGAGGGCCGAGGCGACCGTCACCAGACCATTGCTATGACCGAATTCGTGTCCGGCCCCTACAAGGTCGGATGGTAAGCATTTGGCTGACATGAATGGTTTGGAGACTTACATCCACCAACGGCACCGCCAAGCAACGTTGCCCCAACTGCTTTTCCCTTTTCATGGCTCTTCTTCTCTCCACGCTCCCCTGACCGGTCTCTGGACCGATCTCTGGAAGATTCTCTGTCCCGGGAATAACCTCTTTCTCTTCTTGAGCCTCTGGATCCTCGAGAACTCGGGCGGTCGTAGTATGACTGCTCGTAGTAATTATCGCCACTTCCACGATATTGGGAGGCTGCCAGGGGTCCAGAGTTGCGACGCTCGCGGCCATGGCCGCTATTGTACTCTGTCACCTGCATTCCGGAAGAATTGGGAGAATAAGAGTACTGGTCTTCGCGGGGAGGCAGGTATCCTCCAGAGGTATTCTATCGATCAAGTTAATCGCTAACTCGAAACTGAGATGGTGAATAAGTGCTACCTGGTATGAGGATGAGCCGTGACCGTGGTGCGACTGCTCATACTCTCCTCCTCTCGGAGGCGGCGGATATTGCTGGTATCCAGACCCTGGTGGGGGAGGGAAGGAATTTGGGTTGTAAGACATAGTGTCCTTGGTTTGTTAATGAGGAAGGATGATGGAAAATGCAGTCTGGTCGACGAGTGATATAAGCGGAGCCAGCTGAACGCAAAGAAGTCACGAGGCCAGTCACGATCGACTCCCAGAGAATAAGAAGCGAAAGTAGGCCGAGCGGCCTGGAATGCTTGATGTAGGTGTGAGAACTGTCCTTAGTCATCAGCTGGACACTGTATGGATGGGACTACTTCTGGCTGCGGGGCGAGCGGCATTTACGGCCAGGCCCGGAACTGCCACGCTTGAACTGTATGAGCCACAAATGAGCCCAGGATTTTGCCTACAGTGAGAGGCGAATGTGAACCAGGATATTTGAACAGGTGCAAGTATCAATGACGTAGACACTGGCTAGTGGAACCCCTGCTTATCATAATTCAGGTGTATGTCTGCCATGGTAAACGATGAGCCTGGAGTGCCTGGTTCGAAGTTCCCGTTAAGAAAGAGCCGTTGACCAACTCGCTACAATTACGTCATGGCGGATGGCAGCCCGCACACTCACATATCTGGCTCTTGATTTCACGTGACCCAGGTCACGTTGAGCGGCGGCATATTCTCGGCCATCGCACCTGCGAATTCCCACGTGCACGAGCCTGGTCGAGTCCGGCAGTCTCACCGGCTCAATTCTTTACCCAACATCGCTTCTCGGCACCATCTCGAACAATTTGCTTGCCGTTTTTCCTGATGAGCTTTTATGCTTAAATTTAGTCCCTTTTATGCTGTCTTATCATTCGTTCTGGTCTGAACATTTGTACCATCTCTTCAATCTTCCCCACCATCTATCATACTCCCTCCTGGTTCTTCGCGCTTTAGAAGTCCGAGACCTGATTGAAGGACTCAAGCAGGGGGCGAATATCTCTCAAAATGGATTTTAGATGGCGCATTTCATTGGTAGGCAAAGAATCTGACAGGGCGGAAGTCGGTCCGGGAGCCCATATCAATATCTTGACAGTGACAAGTACCCAACAGATGGAACGTGGCGTCAAAATGCAAAGGTATAAGAAACGGAGATGGCCCAGAGCAAATTCCTAATTCATATGCAACGCCATTCTTGACAATCGCCTCATCTCCTCTCCTTGTCTGTCCAATTTACTACCCTTACCACTTATATTTAGTTTCGCTCAACCGAATACTCAACACTCCTACCATGTCGCAAAGTCCTCAAGACGATGGGCCAGACGGGCATGCCCTTCCCCTGAACCTGGATAGATCAGAGACACGACTCACTCGAGCATCAACGCGGCGCACTCTAGAACGATACGAGACAAGACCTACCCAAGATGCCGCCGATGTCTTGGACTTGCCATATGATATGTTGGGCGAGGAGGCAGACATGGCCGAGTATACGGAAGAAACGGCCGACGGTCTCAAGCCCAAGAGGACTATCTCAAGAGTTAGTGGCAAGGTTGAAGAGCATGAGCTCGTCACATTCAAAATTAATGACCCCGAAAATCCCAAGAATTGGTCAAAGGCATACAGTACGTCCATCTGGTCCACAACGATGTAATTCAGGACTGACTGTCTCTTGCAGAGTGGTACAATACCATGGTGGTAGCTTTCACATGTTTTGTGGTTGCTTTCAATAGCGCCGTCATCACCGCGGATCTTGAGGGCGTCAGTGAGACCTTCAACGTATCGATGGAAGTTGCTCTCTTGTCCATCACCGTCTTTGTCATTGGCTTTGGAGTTGGCCCCCTAGCATTCGCGCCCTTGTCCGAGATGTACGGCCGAAAACCCGTCTACGTTATCACAATTTTCCTCGCAATCATTTTCATAATTCCCTGCGCCGTTGCTCAAAACATTGGCACTCTACTCGTGTGTCGGCTCATTGACGGCATTGCCTTCTCCGCCCCCATGACTCTTGTTGGCGGCACCTTGGCTGACCTATGGAGGAATGAGGAAAGAGGTGTTCCTATGGCATTCTTCTCAGCAGCGCCATTCATTGGTCCTGCAATCGGCCCGCTTGCTGGAGGTTACCTTGGTCAAGCTGCTGGTTGGAGATGGTTATACTGGATCCAGCTCATTCTGGCTGGTGTCTGTGGGCTCCTACTTACGTTCACGGTCCCTGAAACGTACGCACCAGTCATCCTCGACAAGCGAGCAAAAGCCATGCGCAAAGAGACTGGGCAATCGATCTACGTGACAGAAAAGGACCTAGACACTCGACCTCTTGCAGACCGACTCCGAATCATTCTGCTCCGGCCGCTTCAACTGCTCTTCCTGGAGCCTATTGTCCTGTTCGTGAGCCTGTACATGTCTGTCCTGTATGGGTTGCTGTACATGTTCTTCATTGCATACCCTATCGTTTATGTTAAGGGCAAAGGATGGTCGGAAGGCAGTACAGGCTTGATGTTCATACCGCTCGCACTTGGAGTTCTAATGTCAGCCGCACTTTCGCCTTTCATCAACAAGCACTACCTGAGTCTCTGTGCTCGGGCTCCCAACGGCAAGCCCCCGGCAGAAGCACGCCTGATCCCCATGATGTTCTCCTGCTGGTTTATTCCCGTCGGACTCTTCATCTTCGCATGGACATCTTACCCTGACGTCCATTGGATCGGCCCTGCTATTGGAGGATGGCCTGTCGGCTTCGGGTTCATCTTCCTGTACAACTCGGCCAACAACTACCTGGTCGACACTTACCAACATCAAGCCGCAAGTGCGCTTGCAGCAAAGACTTGCATCCGAAGCTTCTGGGGCGCCGCGACGGTTCTTTTCACCGCACAGATGTACGACCGCCTTGGGTACCAGTGGGCCAGCACACTCCTGGCTTTCATCGCCCTGGCGTGTTGTCTGATTCCATACGTTTTCTACTTCAAGGGTGCCGTCATCCGCAAGCATAGTCGCTATGCGTTTGTTGATGACGAACAGGATGATCTGCCGGTTGAAAAGGTGTAGATATCAGATTTGGCATTTGATCTTAAGATAACGACTGGAAGGGTTAGCCAATTCCCACAACCCAGATGAATGAGGCGTTGGTTTTATGTGGCTAAAGTATAGACTCGGAAATAGACTGGATTTGATTCACTGTAACTATATCATGTAATGTATCGAATTTCACCATCACTTTACAAGATCCTTGAATACCTAGGTATCGTACCTTTGGACACCGAACCTTGATAGTGGTCAAGTCACGTGCTAGATGCCTATTTGCCTGCGTCTGCGCCTGCACCTGCGCTTCTTCTCTCCTCCAGTTTTCAAATCTGCTGTACGAGTACTCGTATTATTGAAAATGGCAAAACCACCACTTGAACCTCCGTCCCCTCTATCTTACACCTCCCGCATCTCCTCCACCAGTACCAAGACTGCCACGAGTTACCTATGGGGCATTTTTGAGGAGAATGTGGTGGGACAGCTTGGCCGGGCCTCGGCTCTATGACACTTCGACCACCAGACCCAAGCGCCAAAATGGGTGATATCCAGAGCGAGTAAAAGTGCATTCGTCAACGATGTGGCTGCGCGGGAAATCCCCACTGGGCCCTTTACAGGCCTTGACATCGTACACAGAGACATCCATTCTATGGCTTCCCAGACAGGGCATTACTGGTATCATACCAGGCATACATTCGATGGACAAAAACAAATCCACACTCTGTAGAGATGAAGCATTCTGATGGAGTCAGGAATCTATCCGAGTCCACACATGTCACGCAACTATGTCAGGACTTATTCATCACCTTCGGCTAAGGGCTTGGGCCCTGGATTACGGACAAGGTCCCTGCCCCCCCAAAAGCGAAAAGCCGTGGAGATTTTCCGCTTCGCCTGCCCACGCTGCGGGGACTCCAGACAAATGTTCGGCAGATCAAGGTTTGTCCCTGTGTGACGGCGACGAATGACCATGGAGGTCAATTCAATTTGGCCACTCATCCCGCTCCGATGGGGTCCTAAGGGGACCTACGAACTCGCCCTAAGAAGGTCATGGACCAAATGGTCTTTCAAGCTAAATACCACGGCATGGTACCATTTTCTTCTGCTTCAACTTGTAGGATCGTTTCTGCCACACAAGCCACCGTGACTATTGCCTATCTTTGCTGGTTTGACTCGACGCCCAAGTCCGTGCAAACAAGCAAGCTAGCAAAGAGACGAAACTCGTAATTCCGCAAAACCAAGAGAGTTCGTGCGTACGCCCACCACCATGGGTTCTGTCGGATATCAGGTAGTTGATGAGAAGTACTCCAACCCTCTTATCTCAGAGCGCGCCGTAGATGAACCTCGGCCGTTAAAGGTCATCTTCGTTGGCGCAGGGGTCTCTGGAATACTCGCGGCCATTCGCTATCCAGAATTTGTTCCAAATGTCGAGCTCGCCATATATGAGAAAAACGCTGATGTTGGAGGTACATGGTGGGAGAACAGGTGAGTTGATGGCCATGTCGCCGCCCCTCTGCAAGAGAACCAGTGTTAACACTAGTCAGATATCCCGGTTGCGCTTGTGGTATGTGTCAATGTGCAGATTCATCAGTGACTCAGCAATTCTTACTATGACCTAGATATCCCCGCCCACTCTTATCAGTTGACTTTTGAGTCTTCGGTGGAATGGACCAAGTTCTATGCCGGAGCGCCAGAGATTCTCAAGTACTGGCAAAAGGTTGCGGACAAGTATAATGTCAGGCGATTCATGAACTTCAACCACAAAGTCATTGAGGCCCGCTGGAACGAAGAAACATCGAAATGGCATGTGAAGGTCCAGAAGCTGGGCAGTGACGAAGTCATCGAAGACGTGGGTGACGTCCTTATCACCGGAACTGGTGCCCTTAATGAATGGAAATGGCCCGACATCAAGGGCATTCATGACTTCAAGGGAAAGCTGCTCCACAGTGCGAACTGGGAAACCGATTACGACGTCACGGTATGCGATCGATGTCAAGTCATGTTGATGAAAACCGCGTGAGCTAACGTTTCACCTAGGGCCAAAACATTGCCGTGATTGGTGCAGGCAGCAGTGGAATCCAGATTGTACCAGCGCTGCAATCAAAGGTCAAGTCGATGGACCATTACGTTCGCGGACGGACATGGATTGCTGCATCCTTTGGCTGCGAACTAGTCCGGGAACGAAACAACGGCAAGGATGGCAACTTTGAATACAGCAAAGAAGAAATTGAGGGATGGAAGAAGAACCCCGAAAGCTATGTCGAGTATAGAAAGGCCCTAGAGGTCGGCATGCAAGGAGGATTTGCCGTGACACACACTGGATCCAAAGAACACGAAGGAGCCTGGATCATGTTCAAAGAAGACATGAACAAGCGCCTGGCGAAGAAGCCAGAGATTGCCCAACACCTCATCCCTGAATTTCCTCCTCTTTGCAAACGACTCACTCCTGGACCAGGCTACTTGGAAGCCTTGATAGCTGACAACGTCAACGTGATCCAAGATCGGATAGCCTCCATTGACGCGACTGGAATCATCACCGAAGACGGTGTCCACCGTCCCGTGGAAACTATCGTATGTGCCACCGGCTTCGACACATCATTCCAAGGCCGATTCCCCATCTACGGCCGCGGCGGCATCAACCTTCAGGACCGATACAAGGCCAAGACCGAAACATACCTCAGTGTGGCCGTTGACGGATTCCCCAATTTCTTCCAATCCCTCGGCCCGAACGCTGGCGTCGGCAACGGCAGTCTACTACTCATCGCCGAAGTCGTGGCCGGGTATATTGGACAACTACTGGACAGACTCGCCAATGGCGACATTCGCGCCCTGGAACCCAAGCGAAAACAAGTCGAGAACTTTACCAACTACTGCGACGCATTCTTCAAACGTACCGTCTTCTCCGCCGAGTGCAACAGTTGGTATAAAGCATCTCCTCCAGGCGCTACAGCCGAAGAACGGAAAAACGGTCGTATCACAGCCCTGTGGCCCGGTAGCAGTATGCACGCGATGAAGTGTCTTTCCAAGGTTCGGTTCGAGGACTATGATATGACTTACTATGATGCTAATGAGTTTGGATGGTTTGGCAATGGATGGACCGTGGCGGAACGAACTCACGATGCCGAGGGTTTGAGCTGGTATATCAACAACACGAGATTCGTTCATGACCCGCTGAAGAAAAAGCCTCAAGCGCAGATTGAGGATGGGAAGGTGATTACGAAGAATCAGGACCAGGTTCCCGTGGTGACTAACGGCGATGATACTCATGGTCATAAAATTCCGAATGGAATTGTGGCGACTTGATCGATGATGGTGGCCAGTTAAGATTCCAAGATTCAAGATTCTGTTCTGTGCTGGCGTTTTCGGGTCATATATTCATATATTCATTTTGTATATAGCATCCATGAGTTTTCAATGGAGATACGTATCCTACACATACACACAGAATCTTCTTGAACAGAAACTAGTGACTTGTGGTTGGATTGAATGCTTTTTTTTTCTGACAACGGTCTCCACTACCAAGGAAAGAGAGAGAAACCAGGCCTGGGAAATGGACTGACAAGTGCCTTGAATATCATAGGTAGACTACTGGCTGCGGAATATCAGGCTCGTTCACATGTCGTCAATCTCCATACGGAGTAGTTCCATATTTCCGCCTACTCCGTCTATACGCCAGGACCAACCCAAAGACACCCTCCCCATATCACATCACATCACATCAGATTACTTGTCATCAGGCGTATCTATCATTTTGTACCCTCAAAGGCTAGGTAGTGTACATTTTTACCTCGCCTTGTTTTGCATGCTCTTCCAAACGCAAAAGCCCATCCAACTGACCTAGACCAAGACCAGGACCAAGACCCAGACCGAAAGCATTCCCAAATCCAAGGTCCCTAAGTTTCTCTTTGATGAGGTCACCAGTGCCATAGAGAAGGGCCTTGCGTTTTTCACTACGAATACTTGCCACGGATATATCGTGACTTTGACTGTCACCTGGATCTTGGCCCCACTATTTTAATTTCATGGTCAGTATCCATGCGAAGGAGTGGATATTGCGTAAGACGAATAAGTAGAAGATGAATGGATGGACGGATGGACGGATGGATGGATGGCTGGAGAAGGCCGCGCCTCAACTCACCTCGACGGGGTATGAGTGTGGGTGTGGGTAGTGATCTGGGGCAGATGAAGTCTTGGCACTATCGGGTCTGCAACGGTCGGAAATACCCCCTCCTCCTCTTCCTCCTGATTCTCCTCCTGATTCTCCTAATGCTTCTGTTGTGGATCTTCTTCTCAATCCAGACCCTTTGGCGGTACGAGCCGCGATAATACCAAACCTCTTCTTGCTCACTTCGGGTCTAGTGAACGTATCGGGCTCTTCGTCTATGGTGTCTAAATTGCGGTGGTCCCATGATGTCTGCAGCCGAGGCTGTGACTGTGGCGAGAGTGGTTGACGGTCGCTGGGGTTTGGAAGTAAAGCTAAGGTTTGGGCACCGTCGAGTCCGGGTTCAGTCAAATGGTTTTTGTGTTGACTACTCGTGGGCGTGAGGTGGATGTTTTGATGGACTAGTCCGGAAACAGGCTTGCGGTGGACTTCGATGGCGGAGATGGTGGCGGGGAAAAGGAGTCGTGGTGTTGTCGGAGTGGTGAGTGGAGTTTTTCCCAATTTCCCTGTGTTTGTAGTGGTGGTGGTGGTGGATTCTGGGGTTGATGATTGTTCTTGGTGAAGTCTTCTAGGGAGGCGTGTTTTGCTACTGCTGAAATATCCATCGTTGTGTGATTGTGAGGATGAAGTAACCGGTCGATTGTTGTCGATGCCAATGTCATCCTTCTTCAATTCTTCTTCCTCGGGGTTGTTGTTTTCATCCTTGCTCATAATCCTTGAATTATGCATGCCTGCAACTCCCATTGTCATAGTACGCACCTGTTCACTTTCTTCTTCTTCTTCTTCTGTCCACACTGGAATTGGCGCTCCAACCAAGGTGTCAATCCCACTACTCTCGCCATAAAGCCAATCGAGATACAACCAGAGTGCTCTGGCATTATAATGGTGACTAACAAATGACAGCACACTGGGCCCTAGAGTGCCTCGGATGAATTGACAGACGCGACGGTTCGCATGATTCCAATTGTCAATATGAGCTCTTGAGCTTACGGTTCTACTCGATGGAACATGGTAGTTGAAAGCACCGCGTATGGGTTTTCCATGCCTGACCTTGCCTCGAGTTCCTTGTACTGGGATGCGGCTTTCAACAACCGGTTCTGGCCATCCTCCAAGAATGAGGCCTGTGGTAGCCGGATGACAGAAGAGGAACGGTTTGATACTCGTAAGCCACAAATTGTAGTTGGACTTTCCTACTAACCGGAGCATGAATGGACTGGGCGGAAGATAAGGGATTTGGTAGACTGTGGTTGACGAAGTCGGAATCGGTTTGGGATGAGCCATTGTAGAACGATATGAGTTGTTTTTGAAGCACGAGAACATGCTGCTGCTATGGAAACAGTGGTAAAGATCTGGTTCTGCCATACACGCATTCGTAAGGGGGAACGAGGTGTCCCTTTATGAAATCTCGATATAAACCATCAAAGAACTCTGCGGGCGCTGAAACCCATGATCTCTTTCCTTGGGTAACATTTGAAACCTTTGATCATTTGTCTGCGCAGACCACAGCGTCCACAACTCTCTTGAGTAGTGAAGACTAGATCTTCAAACGAAAACGTCCACATGAACCGATTTGTGGCTGAGACGTGCTCGATGAGTGTCTCACAACAGTCAAAATATAAAATATGCCCACAACTCTCCCCATGTTGTCTAGGCAGCCATTTTATTTCTTTGTAGTGTCTCAGGTCTTGAAATCCTGGATACGAAGACCCATGTCTTCACAAATCTGCTCTACGCTTTGTTGCTTGCCTTGAATTTGCAGGCAGAAGCCCAATCGTTGGAGAAAAGCCATGGCGGAAGGGCCTCGGTTGGGGTATCGATGATGGGTTAGGTAGACAGCTCGACGGAGATAGGACTCGGCGGCAGTATTTTCACCACGGTGCATGTACAGAGTTGCAAGCTGGTCACAGGCCCATGACGAGGTGCCTCCGCTGTTGGAGCCGAGCGGGTCGGCCCTCTCGTTGTCCAATATCCGATGAGCAATAGCCTCTACGGCGAGCTCTTTGCCTTGATCAGAGTAGATTCGGCCAAGTGCGGCGAGTGCTGTCCTGTGTCGCTTCTGCTTGCGCATAGTTTGGCTGTCAACAACGAGCTTCTGGCATAACGTTCGAGCTTTCACAAAATTCTTGCGTTTTCGTAACATGTCGATGCGATCCACCTGGAGCGCGAACAAGGATGGGTTGTCAAACTTTCGACGAGCCTCATAACCTTCTATGATTAATCCCATCATTGGCTCAACCACATGGTCACGAATATCTGCTGTAGCGACCATACTCAGCGCAATCGCCAGAGGGTGGTCTTGGCCAAGAACCTGTCTGGCCATTGACGACACAAAGTCGAGCAGAGAATGCTGTAGATCATTCAATCCCTGCCATGTAGTTGCAAAGTGTAACAGTAGGCAAGAGACCAAGTGGAGTGGTGCCGACATGATCAGCGGCTGTATCATCTGGCAACATCTGTCAAATGCGGTCCAGGCTTCGAGAGACCTGCCTTGTTCCATGTGTTCATAGCCGTGGTATAACTTTAACCAGAATTCGGATGCTTGGTCGATCCGCCGAGCTCTGACCTCGGGGGAGATTGTCTGAGGAAAGCGACGTTCCAATTCCCTGATCTTGAGCGGTCTGAAGGCAATAAAGTGCCAAGATACGGCCTCTCGGGTATGAAAGATGGTCTTCTCCACGGCATGGAAATCGGTTGGCAGGCTTATTGTGCGGGACATTCTTGTTCCATGAGATTGTGTCTCCTCCATCTGGACATCAGGCGCTTCCGGTGTACATGTCGAAGCTTGCCAGAGGCGGGCAGAGGCTAGAGCATTGGGCGGAGAATCTTGTTTGACGTTTGGGTCACTGATTGTGACATCTTCCGGGCTGTGGGAAAGATGTTCTAGGAGTTCGGAGAACCTCTTGTCAGTGCGACAATGTCTCCTGACACGGTCCAGCTTTACAGGCCGGCCTTGGAAAGAGAGGGAGTGGACGTCTTGGCCAGCATCGACAAAGGCTTTTACTCTTCGTGCGATATTCTCTTTATCCTTGGCTTTGTAATTCTTTCGGACCTTCCAATCAGCAATACGTCTTTTGAACATTTTCTCGCTGACCTGGTTAGTGGTGATGGGACGACGTCAATGGAGCAAATGAATCTTACCTTGCATTGAAGCCATGTCTCGACGACAAGATATGTCTGACATCTTTCAGCTTTCGGTTTTCCGAGATATACAAGTGAGTGAAAATATCCTTGACTTCAGCCCATTGGTCTGGTGTTGGACCTATGTTGCGCGACTGAGCGCCTTGTGGTGACTCGGTCATAGTTAAGATGACAGCAGCCAGATCCTCAGGATGAGAGAAGAGACATTAGTCTTATTGACGAATGAAGAGAGATGAGCGGCCCATCCTCAACGTTTTGGACGAGGGGTGGATGGCAGTGCTACAAGAGCAGGCTCTTCAAAGATATATGCCATGACATAAGAGAAGTAGTCCTGACCTGAGGGAGGCTGAGGGCTGCCTTGCACCAGAGTGATTGCATGAAAGACGCATTAGCCCTGGTCCCGTGTGAGGGTTGGAGGGGAAAAGATGTGGGCATTGAGGTCAAAATAATTTTGTCAGACATGGATGCAGTCTGGTCGACACGAGTTGATCAAGCAGCAAACTCGGCGCTTTATCACAAAATGATGGCAGTGGATGTTTTGGTCAGGCAAAAATATATGCAGGTTAACAACGGTGGCTGCGGCTGAGCAAATAGGGAACCAATCTGGTTGCTGCCTAAGAAGGATTGGATGCCTGAGGAATGTCCCTTTTGTCACCAATCAAATCGTTAGCGGCAGATGCGCCTTGTAGCCTTCGATCAGGCTTGCACATGACTTCACTCGAATGGAAAGAATTCATCAATGATTAAGGCTTACGAGAACGAGAACGACAGCGACAGCGGAGGATAATACACCTTACCTGCAAGGGACATGATAGAAACCATGCGAGACACTGATACCTACCTGACGCTGATATAGATTTCCTCAAACACCTACCTTTCTGGTTGCCATACAGTTTAACGGCTAGGATGATTGCTGCCATAATAACCTGACTTCTTAACTATATCCTTGGTAGGACAATTTGACACGTGCATTCTGGCAGTACAGGTCGTTGAAAGCACTGCATGCTAGTGCCGCATGATGTGGCTGGCAGGCAAAGAAGTGCACAATCTGGGGCACACCAGACTCCGTAGCCTCATTCAAGACCGCCGGCTCACCGTGGTGTTGCACGGCATAGATCTGAGCAGCACTGCTATCAAACACTTGAATCCAAGTCTGCAGATGGAGATCGAGCTGCTTCACTGTGACATGACCTTTGATGCAGTCATTCAATGACCATTCCACAAATTGACGGAGGGCTGGATCTAGGTTGTCGAGAACGAGGCTCACTAGCCATCGATCGCATTTGGCAGCCGGTATGTTGGCCATCCAATCTTTGGCAACATACATGTCTGAGACAATGAGTTCAAGCTTGAGCCGCCAGTCGTGGCGCCCCTCAGAGCTATCCGACGGCGAACTATTCATGCGGTTCCGGCCCGCATTCTTTCGGTCAGGGAAGCATATTGCAGCCACGTCCTCGAGCGCGATAGCAAAGTTTTTCACCAGTTGTGTTCTGAACACATCGGTGACATTCTTCTCAAATGCCTCAGTGACAGGCCACCGTTGTCGGAGGACTTCTTCAAGTTTGCCTGGATTGAATAGTTCTTCTTTGAGGCGAGCTGGGTCAGTGATAAGCCAATCGACCAGCACTTCTCGAACTTGTTGAACTTGATGTTGCTTCTGGGCATCCATTGCGACCTGTTGGTCAATCGGGCATTCGACTGTCTCTTCGAAGTACTTGTCCCAGATATGATGCTGGTGGGTGGTGGAGTCTGCCTTCCACGAGTTGTTTGTATTCGCTGCCTTTCCGCCTCCTTTGTAGTGGTTTCGACCACCAGTATTATACGGATGTGTATTGGACCTGTTATCATACACTCGATTGTTATTATGCGAGGGGCCGTTGAAGCGATTATTGTTTTGACGGTAGTTATTTTGGCGGTAGTTGTTTTGTTGAGCATTATTTTGATAATGTCGAGGCTGCTCATTCTGGACATCATTTTGGTTATCATTGTTTCCATGATTAGGTCCCCCATGGCGTGGCTGCTGGTGGTGGTTGCCACGAGCGCCCTGGTTTTTGTTCCCACGTTTGTGCCCCATTTGAGGCGAGGTGCAACTATAAATGTAGAGAGAAGGATTACTCGAGACGACGAGTATAGGAAAGCTGTAAGATTATACTGGATAAGAGTGGTTCAACCGAGACAAGCAGCGAGGCTGCATTAGGCGGGACGTAATAGCTGTACTTAATATGTGCACCCTCACTGTTGCTGACAATGAATCCAGTCTTTCATTGTTTCAGGATCATTGTGTTGGTTACTAGATCATAAAGCCTTTTCAGTAATGTCTTTGTGGTTGCCAATAAAACGGCGTTGACCATAATGAACGACTCGAACGGGCTTTTCATTGGGTAAAGATCTTGCCAGTATCCGGTTTCCGTGTATAGGCAATCGTCATTGTTGATCAAGCCACGGATGGTGTTGAACGTCTGGAGTGTAGTGTTTGGGCTCACATGTGGCATTGTAGCAATGTCAGATTTTTCCTTCGGCTGTCAGCCTCTGTATGCGTGTCAACAGAGCTGTGCCTTGTCGTCCCAGCTTTGCTTTGCCATCTTTTCCCGGGCGTTTTGCTTTCGCCATTGCCCGACGCTCTCTGTCTCTAGCGAGTCTCGCGTCAGCATTGGCCGCAATTTCCGCTCTGCGCTGAGCGCCAACTTCAAGTTCTTTGTGGTAAGAAGATGTTTTGGGTCTAGCGGAGTGTAAATTGTGAGAACTGTTCAAACGATGCTGCTTTTGTCGAGACTTTGGCTCTTCATTGAGCAAGGCCTGGCGCTCTGGATGCAGTTCAAGGGAAGCGGCAGGCGCAGGTGGTGAGTGAGGCTGGGCTGCTTCGCCCGGCTCGGACAGAATTCGTGGGGGGTCTGGCTGAGGATTTTCGTTTTGTGATTGAGCTTTGATCTTCGCGTATGCTTTCTTGACTTTGGCTTTCTGGATTAGATCCTTCTTGATTTTTTGCGCTATAGAAGTCAGTCACGCGTGGCGGGGATCTTGTTGAAGGAGGGTCAAATACTCTTCCGCCGGTAAGTTCCATCAGGTAAATTTGCTGGACCAACCGAGAAGCCTGAAGATTTGGCTCTCTTGGGTCTGTCGGCCGCGACTACGCGATCATCTTCGCGTAGTCGTTTGGGGCTCATTCTGACTGGGCTGGCACGGGGCCAGGCTGTGATTATATCACAGTTGAATACTTAGTGTGACGGTGGGAATAGGCCAGAATCAAGGAGTCCGGAAGGGTCTCGTGTAAATCTAGAAGGTTTGAGGAGTAGTTGATTACCTTGGTTGGAAAGAATTTCAGCAAAGAGTGCGTGAAGGAAAAATGCGGGGAATCAAAGTTGTTATGGAGTTACAGACGACGATGATATTAGTGCGTTAGGTTGGTTTGGTGGTCGTTCCCTGCATCCGCCTGACAGATGAGGCCCATCGGGCTTCGGGCTTTAGGCTTCGTGGCTAGTCTTTCTAGCCCTTTGTGGCCCCGACTCAACCTTGGCTGGCGCAGGCATCTGGCCAAAGAACTTTACTTGATGTCACATGATGGAGCCCGGAGCGATAACGGTTTGCCAGTGGTGGGGGCGACCAATGGGTCTGTCATGCTGGTCATGCTGGTCATGCTTGCCTGGTTATGAGACGAGACGAGACATTTGAGTCATGGGCCCAACCAGCCGCTACTCAACCTCAACTGCACCCGACTTTGACTCACCTTGGACCGTTTCTCAACTCGCCTCATTACTTTTGCTGTATAACTACCCAGACACTCCAGCCATCTGACAACCACTGAAGTCTGTGTTCCTGGGGTCTGAATGGCCATGGAGCCATAAAACATCAACGCCACTCCCTCTTTCTCGCCTCCGGCAATGCCTTTCTCCCACGACCAGTACGACTTGGGCGCTCCTGATCTACCATCTCTGCGGATGCTAGCACCCAGATCACCTCATCGACGACACGGCTCTGGGGAGGATTATGCCCTTTGTCTTTGGCCCTGAGCCCCTCCCAAGCCACCCTTCTAAACGACGTAAACTATCCCATCCTCATCTCGCCATGGCTCGATATGAGGAGCGACATAACTCCGACCCACAAGATGCTGAAACGGGGAAGGACCGGTCTGTCAACACAGACGACTGGTGTGACAACCCCTCTCCGGGAGACACCAAAGACGAACCTGAGATCAGGACAAGTGATCGAGAGGAACTTATCCAATGCATCAAACGAGGTCAACGCCCGACCTGGGTGCCCAAACCTACATTGGAAGCACTGTGTACTGAAGCCAACACCTGGCAACCCCGTTCCACGGGCCTGTTGCATAGCCATGATTCAGAGTCTCAGCCCATTTCTCCATATCCAGTCGCTCAACGTCATGAATCTTCCACCCCAGAACAGCAGACCTCTCCTTGTGCAACCGATTCATTACGCCGGTCCCTGTCTGCTCTCCACACGGGCGATTTTCACAATGCCTATCAACCCATATCAAGCCCTACGACTTTCGATCCACCCATGAACATTTCTCCTCCCATTATGAGGCATGACTACTCCTCACAATATGGGTTTCCTCCTATGTCTAAGAACTTGACAGAAGAGCCTCCTCGACGGTCCAGAGCACCATCGTTGGGAAGTAGCCTCTCCTCGAGCTTCGTCATGCGAGTACCAACGAGCCCTCTTGTAAACTCCATGAACAACCCTTCACTTGATTTTTCACCTAAAGAACCATCCTCAACAGACACCAAGGCTGCGAGAAGAAGGACACTGCCGCCGAATGCATACGGACCATTGCAGGTGTTGCCTATTGAAGATTCAATGCCTCCATTTGGGCGACATTCTTCCGCTACACATCAACTAAATTCCCTCGAAACACATGATATTCATACACCACGCCGTTCTTTGAGTTCGTTCACATATCAACCGACCTCTAGCAACCAGCCTCCCAGCCTGGCGCGTGCTCGCAGACTATCTCTAGCATGCGATGTCTCCCCAAGGCAGCGTGCTTCTCTAGTTGGGTCTTTCGAGGAGTCTATCCTCCGAGGTCGAATGTCCATACCCCCGTCAAAACCATTGGACTTTGTTGCTCAGATTGGAGTAGTTGGAAAAGGAAAGTGCCCGGCCAGTCTCAAGTGTCCCGCACATGTCACCGTTCCTTTTCCAGCAGTCTTCTACAATTACCCAAGCTCAAATGACTCGCGGTCTATTTCTGATGACAATCCCAGTCCTTACGTTGGGGCGATTGATCTAGAGCATAACCTTAAGCCTGCCGAGCCGCATGTTCGTCGCAGAGGCCGGGCTTCGATTTCGTTGCATACCGAAAGCCCGGCCACAGATATCAAGACCTTGGATAACCCCCACACAGGAAGCCAAGATTCTCCTAGCTCTGAGCAGTCGGTCTCACAGCACGTCAAGGTGCCAAACGGTGGCGTGTACAGAGTTCCCCAGGTTGGACAACTACAAGTCATCATCAAAAACCCCAACAAGACAGCTGTGAAACTGTTTCTGGTCCCGTACGACTTGACTGGTATGCCTCCGGGGACGAAAACGTTTGTTCGTCAGCGCAGCTTTTCAACTTCCCCAGCTCTTAACGTGGCTTTGTTGGACAAAAGGATCGTCACCCCATTGCGCGAACGCAACGGTGGGAAGGACATTCTGCGTTATTTGATCCATCTCAAATTTTGTTGCACCTCAAAAGGACGCTTCTATCTTCATGATCAGATCCGTGTCATCTTTGCCAATCGGGTCCCTGACGACAAGGAAAAGCTGAGACACGAAGTGCAACTGCAAGAACCACGATTCAGTCCCTATAAGCCGACGGTGGAAAATGGCTCGCGTAGTCCAAGCATGAACGAGAACAGGTTCAGTCCTTCGCCCACCATGTCACCACCACCTTATGGTGCCCGTGGGCCAATTCTGGATTCCGGTCGAGGCAACTTCGACAACTTTTATGACTCGGCTCTAACCTTCAATCCTCCAACAAATCCAGCGCTTGTGGCCCGCGGACCGGATCTGTCTGCCGATCTCTCGCCCACTAGCTCACAACGTGACGCTTATGCCGAGGGGAATCTGCCACCCACCCCAGGTTTCTTGCCTTCACGATCTTCCCGAAGCTCTCCTGTGTCTTGGACTACCACTGCAAAAGGTGCACCTTCTATAGAGGCAGGCAATGGTCTGATATCCCAGAAGCTTCGCGAGTTCAACGCCAACCGCGCCGCTGGTGACTAGGTGACGTACTTGTTGACAGAGATTTTGTGGATGTAATACAGCGTAACCATGAGATAGACAGACTCTGGAAAGGCTTCAATATGATTCGTTCAAGCTTCGCAACGTTTGTCCGCACTTGACTCTGTATTTGCTTCGAAGCTACAACTCATTAGACTAAAGAGAACATTTCCTTCCCACATCCCCACACTCTCTAATCCTCTAGTTGGCCAAGCCAATTCAACCACCTGACGAAATGATCCCTCGACTTTCTGGAGGCGAGTGACCATTAATTTCATACAGTCAGGTTGCGAAGAACGTCTCCTAAAGAGTGGTTTCCCCGCCTTGTGGATTCAATGTTGGACACTCAGCAAGTCCACACAGTGCAAGTTGGAGGTTTTGAATCCGAATGTCATACTTGGTAATCAGGACTTACCAGGGGGACATCAGCCACGCGAGGGGAAAACTTGGGGGATAAGAAAAGCTTGAGAAGGAAATAATTAAGACTTGGGCCGAGGCGGGCGCAGGCTAAACCCTAACAAGCAGGAAGCTCAAGTGCTGACGACTAACTTGCACCAACTTGGTTGACGGAGGGGCATGATTGCGGCTTTCCAGCCCTTCCAAGTAAGACTCGGGTGCCCCTCGGCCCTTGGGCCCAAGGCCTAACTACCTTATACTGGTTGGGCTGTACTTACCTTAGTGTCCGACCCCAAGCAGAAGGACCCATTGGACTGCGCCTGGAATCGCACAACATCATCGTTCCTCACACCATGCGGCCAAAACCACTCCACTTGGCTCCACGGGGGTCGAGCTTTCCAGGTTATGGCTTGTGGGCTTCCAGGGTGTACGCATAGCATTAGCATGCCTTACGCATACTTGTAAGGAGTGCCACGACCACGACTATTGATTGTCCACTGCCACCAACACTGCCACTGCCACTCCAGTGCTTCTACCTCTCGTGCTCTCCCACCGCCAATGCACCGCACTACAACATTCGTCACCCCCATTCATGCTTGATTGATCTCTTGCACACACTGACAATACGCACTCTCATTTAACACCGCCAGGTTACTGACCTACTGGTTGCTTTCATATCACGCCATTCCCTCCAATCCCACCTCCTGTCGTCCCCTTCGCCTGCTGTCTGTCCGCCAATCCCATCCATGCTCTTCCCGTAGGCATATCTTTCCGCCTCATCCTCCTGCCCAGACGTCGATGACCTGGGGGAGTCGTCCTCGTTGAAGATGCACAAGATCAGCAACTTCACCGGCCAAGCCCGTCATGGATGGGAACGGATGACCCCAGCTGCGTTTGGCATGTCAAGATTTCATCAAGATATGCCAGCGCAGCAACCACTGAGACGTCCACACGGTTCTTCAGCTATCGTTCCACCGGCTTCTACTGATTCAACACCCGTCAATCTTTGCTTCAACGTCCCCTTTGCCTCGAACCTCCCGGGGCCCGACCCCGATGAAATCCTTCATTCGAGCCCTGGCGCTTTACAACGCTGGACTTTCCCAGACGGCACCGCCGAAGATACACCCGTCCACAAGCTACCTGTCCACGTCCAAAATGAGGAAAGGCTCCGATCCTTGTGCACTTACATAAGTGATCAAAGTGCTGGTCGGATCCACGCCACGGTCACGTCCTCCGAACCTAAGGCTGGGCCTGCTCTGCATAGACGATTCCAAGCCTTGGTCACAAATGTCTGCATTTCCGGCGACGGCGAGTTGGTCAATAAAATGAGAGCCAAGGTGCTCAACGAAACGCCAATCATGATGGTAAGCCGTGTAATCCTAAGTCCCAGAACTATTCTAAATCCAAGCAGCGGTCTGCCGTTGTAGACATTGATCCAGACCTGATCCTTGACGGTGCCGAAACCAACATTCGCTCGAGCGTTCTCGATCACATAGACCTATGTGCTAAGTACACCGGCACGGACATTTTTCTCTTGAAACCTCGGAACACAGAGACATCATCACATGGAGCCCTTCACAGTGATGGACTCGATAATGGACTCGACCAACGCTTTCGAGTCAATATCTATGGTGACATGGAAAGCGTCGAGCATGCCAAAACACGTGCCTTGATGATGATCGATCAAATTGTACGACACTTGAACATGATTCCTCTTTGCCTCCACACACACTAACGTCATTTATAGCTCAAACATAAGATTGACATGGTCCGGCTCGAGGTCACAATGCATACTCTGGTTTCAGGCCGCACCGGAAAGAATATCAAGCAAATCGAGTCCGCCACCAAAACAGCCATTTACTTTCCACCTCCTTTCGCAGGTGTCTTTGGATACATTCCCCCACATGCCACACGAAGGTCGGCCGAGGAGATTTTCATCACTGGCGAGACTCAAGAACGGATCAATCAAGCCAAGCAAAAGCTAAAAGAGCTGGTCATGGGTATAAAGCTCTACACAAAGGACGTGGTGGTGTCGCCAAGTAAAATCGACAATATCATTCTTGATCGGCTGGACAAGATGCGCAAGGTTATGGAGATCAACGGCTCCCATGTCCTGTTTCCCCAGCTCGGTAGTCAACGTGGCCTTGTCCGCGTCCAAGGGACAGAAGTACTTCATGTTGAGAGGACTGTAAAGGAGATCATGGCTTTGGTAACCAAACATTTCCTCCCTGAGATCTTGAATGTGACTGACAAATTCCTCTTCAGGCCGGACAGTTCTTCAGTGCTTCCTGGTGGATCATCATGCCAGACCCCAGCCAAGGTCCAAGCCTCCGTGCTCCCTCACCCGACGATATCCGCGTCATGCTGAGCGACATCTGCACCAACTCTGGAGCGGATCTGAGCTTTGAAAAGTTTACCTTCACCATCAACGGTTCCGATGACGCTGTCAAGGCGGCAATGATGGTGATCAACCAGATCCCGTTCATTAAACGAACTCCATACCAAATGCGGGTCAAGATTGAACTTGCCAATGAACACAAGGAGTTTGTTAGCGGCAAAAAAAATGGCAAAATCAACAAGATCATGGGTCAAAGTAGGACAAGCCAATTTGGATCTGATCGTTGTCGACTAACTCGCTCTCATAGGCAATGTTCAAATCATCTTTGACGGTTTCAACGAGTACAACTTTTATATCGACGTGGTAGGCAACCAGTATGAGGCCACGAAGAATGGATTGGATTTGGTTGAACAGGAAATGCCGGCCTCGATTTCGTTCCATGTGCCCGATCAGTATCACAAACGCATCATCGGCATTGGCGGGCAACATATCCAACGGATTATGAAAAAGTATTCAGTGTTTGTCAAATTCTCTAACGCCATGGATCGGGGCAATATGGGCAAGGAAGAAGACGACATCAAGGTCGACAATGTCATTTGCCGCACCCCGGCTCGCAATGCACAGAGTCTGGACCTAGTGAAACAGGAGATCATGGATATGGTGGAGAAAGCTGTAAGCGACCCTATCTCTTGAGTGAAATCTTCGAGTGCTGAACCATCTGCTTTGCCAGGACGCCGAGTTTGTCTCGGAAACTGTCGTGATCAACAGACTCTACCATCGAGAATTGATCGCGCGGTTGACTGACATTGAAGACTTGGAAAAGAAATGGAACTGCAAGATTGACTTTCCAAATACGGAACAAGCCAGTGACGTGGTGACCATCTCTGGGCCTGAGTATCAAGTTCCCCAGGCTGTAGACGCCTTTCTCGGCATGGTTCCCGAAAGCCACGAGATTGCTTTCCAGAAATCACCCGAGCTCGACGCCTTCTTCGCCAATGCCGAACTCTTCAACGACTTTCGGCAGAAGTCAAGAAACCAATACGAAGTGGATGTGCATGCGAATCCGCAGTTGAGCAGCTTGCCCAAGTCGGCGACTGCATCGCTGGAGCGAATCGTGGGCCCTTCGGAGGGCCGACTGGTCCTCACCTACACCAGGAACAACGCCGGCGGGCTCCAGGATGCCATCGACTTCCTCATCACCCAGCTGGTGCCATTTGGGTTGGATGCAACCACGGTCAAAGGGGCCATTCCGCGGCCGAAATCTGATTCTTTCGAGGACTCCTTACCTTTCTTTGACTCGAAGCTTCTACAAAATGCGCCTTCTCTCCATTCTGATTCTCCCACACGACTGAGCTTCGCCGATGGAGAGAGCACACCCGTTTCTGAACGTGCGTCACTCTTTGATCGGCTCCGCAAGCCTGGAAGCATATCGTCCTTCTCATCCTTTATGAGCCGGAAAAATCAGAACAACTCGCCTGGAACTTTCTTCAAGCATGCATCTTCCAATGCAAGCAAAGCCTCTCTCATTAGTATGGAGAGCCGGGAGAGTGGATATCGAAACTTCTGGAACGATAGCGGAGTGAATCTACCCGAAGAGGAGGCGTCTACGTCCGTGAGTGGTGGCTGGCCATCCCGCTTTCACGGAGACAAGCTCTCATTCAGCATGAGCAACATGAATGCTTCTGGTGACAAGACGCCCAAGCATGAACCTCGAGCGAGTTTTGACTCTGGACGACCTCCCACCTCTCACTCCTTTTCTTCCCACCCAGGCCCCATTGGGCCTTTTCATCACGGGCAGAACACAGGCAACTCCAACGGGTCTGTCCCCAATTTGAATCTTCCTTTACGTTAGACTTTTTGATTGAAGTCACTCTTGTCGGAACACGAGCCACGATACCCCATTATCTCTACAGAACCCATGATTATATATTCTTATGTCAAGCGAGATACCCCATTTGATGCAAAACCGAAAAGCAAACAACGTTGGGGGAGGGCAAAGATTGAGCGCCTTCGCAGTTGGATGACTATGAAGAGGCGATGGGTTTGGTTGATTTGTCGGCTTTATTGCTGTATTTTGGGCAGTGCCGGTTCAGAGTGTCTCGAAGGAGAAACACAATGCACTCAATGACATTCTTTTTGACCTTGTCGTATGCCACATCTTTGGAAGATACCCAATCTGACACGACATGCTGTGACAAAGGGGACTTTTGGATTTCCTCGTTTGTCGACGCCAGCAGAAAGCCCAGGATTACGATTGGCGTTGCTGACAGCTATACCTACTCGAAATATAAGACAGTAGCTAGAAAATTCGCATTCTTTACCACCATTCCGCATCGAGATTATTTCATTGTACGCCAATAGTGTTGGATGATCTTTTGTGTCTCCCTAACAAAGGCAGGAGGTACCCAGGTATACTCCCGTGATATGGGGAAGGAGCAGGGAGGTTAGTGAGCGCGCCTAATCAGGAATGGTGCAAGCTCTACCTTGAAACACTAACCCAATTCAGTTAGGCAAATTCTATCCGTCGCGAGTTGGTCGCGTACTCCTCAAGCCTGGCCTGGCCGCATCAGGTGTTGATTCACATCAGGTCGACTTGACTGCGGATCCGCCAACTTGACAAACAACGCCTACACCACACATCGAGTGATGCTAGATTCGTTTCTTTCCAACACTCCAACTAGCCGCCCGCCTTACAACCCAATGCATAATGACCTCTTCCCATGCTAGACTCTCTCGACACCTTTTCAATCAACAATGCCCGATCTTATCCCCCGGATTGGGCAGACAATCGAAACTCAAGATAAACGTGTAGGAATTATCCGCTACATCGGTCCTCTCCATATTGCTGCCGGAGAATGGCTCGGCCTGGAATTGTCCGACAACACTGGCAAAAATGATGGATCCGTTAAAGGCGAACGTTACTTCGACTGTTCGCCTGGCTATGGCATCTTTGTTCGCAAGGAGTCAGCCGTCAAGATTGTCAAGCAACCCCAAACTCAGCCTACCAAACCCAATGGATCCACGGTTACCCCTTCACTATCCAAGTCACGGCCTTCCAGCATTGTCGCTCCAGATGCTGCCAAAAAGAGGCAAAGTCTTATGAGCGGCGGCTCTGGGACTACCGCCGGTTCGCGGCTATCCTTGAAGGTATGAATGACTCTGTCAACGTCATCCCAGCCTACTGACACTCTCGAACAAGTCCCCTACAAAGCCTCCCGCCAAACCCGCACCCCCGTCCGTTAGCTCTACCGCCTCCACTCCTCGTACCGGAACTCCCGCGACCACCGCAAGAACCTCCGACTCCAGTTCAAAGTCCAGATCCAGTATCGGCGGGAGAACGCTCATGGGCCCGCCTTCTACAACGACAAAGTCGGCCACTGTGTCCTCAAACAGACAGTCTATAGGCGGCCCAGTCAAGCAACCTAGCCAAAGGCCCACCTCAATTCAGTCCCGACAATCCCTAGTTGGATCCCGATTATCGCTTTCTGCCAAAGGCTCGGGGCCATCGTCGAAGCCGGAAGTTGCACACGACAGGAGGGATGAGTTGCGATCGCCTTCCATTCAAGAAGAGGACTCTGAGGTTCAAGACACTCAGACAAGTGGAGATGATCATTCAGAACCGATAATACCAAAGCAAGATGAGCCACCGGTGTTCCCCTCTCGTTCGAGGCAGGACACCTTGACTCAAGATAGTGGAAGTGGGGGACACGAAGACCGAGCACGGCAAGCCCATGTCATCAAACAGCTCGAGACAAAGATTCGATCACTGCAGAAACAGAGGCAAGAAGACGAGGCCAAACTCGGCGAAGTTGAGACTCTCCGCCACCAAAGTACAAGATATGAGGGCATAATCCAGGCATTGCAGAAAAAGCTCAAGACTTACCAGCAAGATCACTCAGAATTACAAGCCAAGTACGAGGATGCCGAATCTCGCGCCCAAAGTGGTCCGGATCGAAGTGCTGAGCAAGATTCCGAGTTGGAGTTGGCTAAACTCGACAAGGAACTAGCTGAAGAACGGGCAGAGATAATCGAAGCCGAGCTGGAGGCCCTGAAACTCAAATGCGAAGAACTAGAACTCGAGGCTGAAATTCTGAAAGAGGAAAATCTCGAATTGAGTTCGGTCATGACCCCAGAGGAAAGGGCTGGATCAGGTATTCTTCATGTCGAGCGTGAGAACGAGAGGCTTCGACAAGCCCTTACGATCCTCCGAGATATGTCACTTGAGCGCGAAGCTAATATCAAAGCCGAAAACAAAGAACTACAAGAGAGTTTGGACGAAAAGGCGCTAATTGCGTCGAAGTATGAAGAAACCGCGGCGAAGCTACAACGATCCGAAGAAGCCCTTTCCCATCTACGAGAGCAGTTGGATGCTGTCGACTCGAACGAAGAGATTGTCGAGTCCCTGGCTGCTGAAAGGGACCACAGCCGAGGAATTATTGAGAATCTGAAGCGGCAGATTCAGGACTACGAGGAGCATCTCCAAGTCACTGATGAACTCGAGGCGTTCCATGTCGAGGAAGAGAAACGCCTTCACCATCAGCTGAATGACACAGAATCGATGTTGAATGAACGACAGCGCCAGTTACAAGAACGTCAAAAGGCCATTGAAGATCTTGAATACACCTTGGACAAGTTCAGAGATGTTGTTCAGGTCATGCAGGACGACATTGCTGAACTGCGCCGATCTCGAGAAATCACTGAGCTCGAAGCCCACGAGATGAGTAGCAAGTCAAGGGCGATGATGGACTTGAATCTTCGATTACAAAGTTCAGCTGCAAAGACACAGGTCAAAGTAATTGACATGGAGCTGGGCAAGATGCAGGCAGAACAATCCAAACTGCACTTGGAGATTGTACAATTCTTCGTCCCCGACACCTTCGAGACGGACAAGCAGCCAATAATTGGACTGTTGTCCTTCAAGAGGATCCGTGCGAAGGCGTTATTGTCGAAGACCATTCTGTCGGAGAAGGTCCGAGACAGTCCAGACTTTGCCTTGGACGAGTCGGCGATGATTTTTGCGGTTACGGAGAGGCTGAATCACATTGCTAACCTGTGCGACAAATTTGTTCAATACATGTCGGGCTGTTCTACTGAAAGTTTTATGAAGTTTGGTGGTGCGCCATTCGAACTACAACCAGTTGAACAGGCAGTGACGGCTTGGGTAGAAGCACTGCGTCGGGACGAGCTTGGTCATGGTGGCCCAGAGGACATCCAACGTATGGCAGGTATCCTGGAAGACATGTCGGAGAAGTTGATGACACAGAACCAAGAAACAAAGGCTGCCGAGCTGCTGGCATCGACATCCATGATCGAGATGTATGCGGACAATTTCGCAAGTCAAGTCCATCTCTTATTGAAAGCTACAGAGAGCAAATTGGGTCCACCTACAGAGACCGACGAGGAATCCGTCACATTTGGAAAGAAGTTGGACCAGTTCGCCATCAAAGCTCGGACGGTCAAGTACGTTTCTGGCAAGGTCATTCAAACCCTCGCAGATCTTCGGGCCACGTCCATGTGTCCAGGAGAAGTGTCCTGGAACTTGTTCGCCGAGGCAGAACAGTTGTCAGAATCGCTGTCGGACTTGTTGAGATGTGTCACCAAGGCTGCTTGTGATGATCTGAGCAAGCTGGACCGGAGCGATACACTTACATATTCGAGCCTGACCGAGGTGATGACAATGGCAGCCTCCGCACACGTAACCGCCCAGCAAGCGTCATCTTCAAGATCAGAGGATATCTTCATCACACTCCCTAGGCTTCTGCAAACATTACAGGACAAGGTCGATGTTCTGAATATTAAAGCAGGCGACATCAGCAATGCTTTCGAGTTTGAGAAGTCACCAGCGCCATGGGTTCTTCGCGCAAAGGAAGTCAAGAGCCAGAAAGTCATCTCACAAGACCTACAAGATGAACTGACACGAATGAAACAGAAGATTCAAGAGCAAACGCATCGCATTGGAGACCGAGATAGACTACTCGAAGAACAACAAGTCAAGATCGAGCTGCTTGAATCCAGAGCCAAGGAGACAAAGGCTAGAGATGATGGCGTCAAGGCGATGAGGACCGAGATTGAGAAGTTGCAATCAGAGAAGACCATTGCGGTCGAAGGGTTGCAAGCCCTTCAATCCGAGTATCAGACCCTGGTCCGCAGCCAGGAATTACAGAGGGCAGAGCTGGAATCTCTCAAACACGACCAAACTGCATCAGGTCAAGGCATCGGATCAGGCGTGGTCGATGAATCCGTCTCCCTTCGGTTCAAGGCCGAGGTGGATTTGTTGAAGGTGGAAATCGCCAGTATGGAAGCGGCCATCCGCTTTCTTAAGATGGAGAACCAACAACTCCGTATCCCTGTCAACGAAGCTGGCATGGATCTTGCCCAACATTCATGGCTCGACCCTGACTTGCTCAAACCAAGAGATTCTACCACGCCTGCTGTTCGACAACTCCAGGCCGAAACCAAAGACATGTTTACAGATCTGATGCTACTGGCCAAGAAATCCAAACCCATCAAGCTGAGGCCTAAGACCGTTTCTGGTCAGAAGGAAGATGGCAACAAGATCTCATCATGGCGACCAGAGGCGGAAACTACCTTGTACAAGGTCCTCCGGCAAAAGGAAGATTTGGAACAACTGTACGAGTCAAGATCAGACTTGATTGAACGGGCGAGATTCCTGGCTTCGACAACGCGAAGACGCAAAGGTGCTGGTGGTGTATATGCGTTGCCTCATCCCTTACTGAACGTTGGCAAGCTGGGGAAGAACCCACCAGGGTCTAAACCTGAGTATGGGACTCTTGAACATGACCACGAGTCCAGTGTCGTCGACGGTGTCAGGATTGTCGAGTAAACTAGAGCCAGAGGCCATGTCCGGCCCTTCTTTTCGGGACTGACTGACTGGGGTATGATTTGAGTGATTGATTGAGCGTTTGAGCGACTCCTACTACTACCGACTAAATCGGTTTAGATAAATTTTTCCTGTCGTTTCACTTATAATTGAGTTGCTCTGGCCTGGCCTCACATGGGCCGAGGCGGCCTCACATTCACATTCACATGTACTTATAGAACAAGAAGAAGAAATAATGCTACATGTAGTATGTTCCAGCCGGGACGATGAAAGTTCTTGGTTTTTCTATCAAATGTCTAGAAGTGCAGGTGCAGCTTGAGAGTATTAAAGTGAAAAACGAAAGGGCGAGGTATATCAATTTATGATATGTAAGACATCGACGAAGGTGGTTACTTTGAATTTTGACCTCTGCAAAAATTCAGACTCACCTCTGTATCTAGGCTGGCGTCACGGTATTTATTATAACGTCTTCAGTTTAACTCTCTGCCTTTGCAGCCTGAGAGGCAGTCACAGCATTGCGCCATGATACAATCTTGTCACCGTCAAGTGAAGTCTTGGTCGACTTGTCCTCTTCCTCGCTTTCCGAGTTATCAAAAAGAGTCGTACTAATCCAGGGATGAGATTGAATCTTTCTAGCAGCTTCCAGACCATGGCTTTCGTCGAGCCAAAGGCCGCCGCCATACTCACTATGCCAATTGAAGATATACGAGGTGGCGAGGCTGGATTTCTCTATCGCTTCGCTCCAGTCTTCGACATCAAACCTGAGATTCGTTAAATCGAGATCCAAATGGTCCCGGCTCTGAGCTGAATACTTACGGATATGGTGATCTTTTCTCCTCAGGCAGCCATAGAGTTACGGTTGGGCACTCTATTGATATTGACATGCCTTCATGAGCTTCAGCAACTTGGCCATTGTTTAACACCCAGAAGAGCTTGGCTCGCCGAGGTCGATGATCATGCTTGAGGTGTTCTCTAACCTCTAAGTGTGTATTGGCTGGGATCGTCCTTCCGAAAGGCGGACCGGAGGGAAGAGACTGGGGGACAAACGCCATCACCAGGGCTTCCGCCGGTTGAAATAGTATCATGATCTTGATCTTGGTTAATCTCAGGGTCGTCCATAGTAGGCTAGTAAGAGGGTAATATGATATGAACTGGTAGATCCAGATGGAATGGCATTTGGGGAGTGTATGGAAAGCGAAGCTGATTTGGCTTGAGGCCTTGCAGCGAAGCCATTGTATGGGGTAGGCGGTCTATCATGTGATCTCTACCGCTCTTGTTCCACAGCTGGACGGTATCAGAACGTAAACTTGGATAAGTACAGTATAATGAAGACAGGGGGCCATGGGCAGGCCCACAGACAGCAAAAGCTCGACTGAAAGAGAACGACTTTCTCATATTCTCCAACGACGACGATAACGACAGCGGCAGCTGCAACGACAGTAATGAAAACACAACTATCGATTTAGATTTGTATTATTTTGGGGGTTGTATGAAAGTGAAGAGATACCAGAGAAGGAGAATCCTTAGGCAGGGCAAGTCTTACTGAGGCTGTTATCGACCAAGATGGACAAGGTGCACCAGTGCTTTCGCAGGGTTCTGACATCTGATGGTCTGGCAAGTCAGCGCTTACAATACCTTCTGATGGAGACAGACTTGTTTATCGAAGAAAGAGAATGCGACGAGTAAATTCAGAACATTCCTTGATTGACGCATGGTTCCGGGCGCAATGATACAGGGGCCAGGCAGTGGGGGTATATATTTCGGTGCATTGCATCTGCCAGCATTTGTATTGAAGGCATCTTGCATTGCCCATGTTGCAAATACGAAGCTGTGAAGCTTTGAGGTTTGATGGTTCGAGGGGCCCCTTGGGCACTGGTCCTTGGCACCTTCCCACGAATCGACGAATCGAGTTTATGTATTTACGTCACTAAGTGTGCCAATGGGCAGCCACATTCCAAGTCCTGCCAGGGCAGGTGCGAGTCTTGAGCTTCATCCCCCATCAGGAAGCTGACCTGCGACCGTATCTTGCACCGCCTCAATGAAATTTTCATGATGCTTGCTTTACAAACTCTGATGATTGATGAAACTCAACTAAGATAACATGTGGGATGATGTGATGTGATGTGGAATGCTTATCGTAAGCCCTGCATGTACCAACAAGCAAATGTTGGGCCACATTCATTCGATACCATTGCAATAAATCGCCCCGTTGGCCCATAAAAGGCGGATAGCTATTGACTCCCGTGACCATCTATAGTGCGAAGGATGGATGGAAGTATATATGCCGGGCGGAAGTTGAATAAACGTACACACAGTAGCAGTACAAGGCAGTCCTGGCAATCGGAACTTTTGGCGACAATTAGTATGCACGGAGTACTCCGTAGAGTTGGAAGTGCAAGTATGAGTCCGTGGGAGTCCAGGCTTCAAGGTTCCCCTTGTCCCCAGCAACCGCTCAGTTGATAGATTCTAGTTTCGATATAAAGTATTCGCGGCATGGACCCCCGTACCACTCGGTTGGCCCACCTACTCCGTATGCCTATCCATCCGTGCCCATCCTCCCAATGTCCCCATAACAGCGCCGTGCACCGCATGGCTTTCATCGCTGCCGAGTGTGGCAGTGCCCCCTAGCGTGCTTTGTGAGAGGTTCCTGGGCGTCAAGCTTGTTCCCATCCGTGCCTCGCCGTGCCTATTGCAAGTCTTGTCCATTGCGCTAATGCCCATGACATAGCTAGTCGTGCTCGTTCACTGACATCGCTTTACACCTCATCGATGCTTCCACCAAAAACCCAAACACACTCACACCTCAAACCCCAGAGAATCTACTGTGTGGCTGTCCTTTACCAATCTCAAAACTCTCTCAACTTGTCCCTCTTGAAGCTCTCCTGCCAAGTCATCCGGTTCACCTTGGCATCGCTCTCTTTTCCACTCTTTTCAGGCGCTGTCTCCAGTTTTGGGATCCTCATTTCTTCTCCATCCGACCACAAGCATCGACCCAGACATTTCTTGTGCCACCTCTCTTTGTTCTACATACAATAATCATATGGGTATGTTCCTTTCCTTTTCCTCCTTTCATACACTTGTCCATCCACCGTGTGTACCACGCCGGTTGTGTCACTCGACACTGCACCTTTCCATGTTAATTCCCTCGGGCCCTTGAAGCACCAGCATCCGCACCCCGTGGTCTGCCTCTTCTATACCGCCCCTCTCCTCTGAAAACCGACCGTTCGAGCTAACTCAGAGGACTTCGCCATGTCGGCGACGTCCAACAATATAGCTGCAAGCAAGATACGCAAGAAGTTCACTCTGACTGCCACCGACTCGATGCCTCAAGAACACGGTCTCAACGGCGACGCCGAACCCAACGAGAGGACCAACCTCATCTCCAGACATTTCTCCACCGACTCGGGCACTCCCTACTACAGCCATGACAATGTCCTGATAAGATATCCATTCGCCCTTTTACACACCACCTGGGAAGTCTTGAAGACAAATTATGTCAATGTCCTCCTGGTCTTTGTTCCTATTGGAATCCTCTCTGGCGTCCTGAGCTGGTCACCAGTCGCCCAATTTTGTCTCAATTTTGTCGCCATCGTCCCTCTGGCCTCCCTCCTCGCTTTCGCGACCGAGGAACTCGCCGTTCCACTCGGACAAACACTCGGTGGTCTGCTAAATGCCACTTTTGGAAATGCCGTTGAACTCATTGTAAGTGCGATCCCATCTTATTTGAACCCTTGGCCAATCCCTAACCAATTCTCTTCAGGTCAGCATCATCGCTCTACGAGCAAACGAAATTCGCATCGTACAAGCTTCTATGCTCGGCAGCATCTTGTCCAATATCCTCCTCGTCCTCGGCTGCTGTTTCTTCGCTGGTGGTATGAATCACTCAGAGCAGAGTTTCAACTCCACTGTCGCATCCACCATGTCTTCCCTGATGACCGTCGCAACCTCCTCCCTCATCATCCCTGCGACCTTGTACGCCGTCATGGACAAGAGCGATGCTCAAGAGGATAACATCATGATCCTCTCCCGCGGCACATCCATCATTCTCCTCCTCATCTATGTTGCCTACCTGTACTTCCAGCTTAAATCACATGCACACTTGTTTGACGACGCCGAGGCTCAAGAGCAAGAAGGCGTCGAGGCCGAGGTTCTAGGCCCCTGGGCTGCCGGTTTCGCCCTCGTCTTTGTCACCGTCCTGGTCGCCATATGCGCAGAATACCTGGTCGACAGCATCGACTCCATCGTCGAAGAGGCCCACATCAGCAAGACTTTCATCGGTTTGATCCTGATTCCTATTGTTGGAAACGCCGCAGAGCACGTCACCGCCGTCATTGTAGCCTGGAAGAACAAGATGGATCTGGCCATTGGTGTCGCCATTGGCTCCAGCTTGCAGATTGCTCTGTTTGTCACTCCCTTTCTGGTTGTCCTTGGCTGGATCATGGATCGACCCATGACCTTGCATTTCGAGACCTTTGAAACCGTTTCATTCTTCCTCGCCTCTCTGGTTGTTGTCTTGTTGATTCAAGATGGCAAATCAAATTACCTCGAAGGCCTCCTGTGCTTGGGCATGTACTTCATCATTGCTCTGGCATTCTACGTCCTACCCGACGACTTATCCGGTGGACTTGGCTTTGGAGGCTTTTCGTTTGGTGGCCAAGGCTCAAACTAGACATCTTTCCTGTTGAAGATCGCAGGCTTGATTGATATGATCTCAAGACGAGATCCCCCCCAACACTCATCCTTTATGTGACTTCTTTTGTCTTCCTTTGATCGACCGTGTTTTCCTTCTGGGCCAGCTTGATCACGTATGTTCGAGGCTGTGGACAAAAGGGGATTCTTGTAAAAAATTTACAGGCACTTGCGTTGGGCGTTCGGAATGTCAAGCACATTTTACTCTCGGCTAGTTATGGATCGAACAGTGTCAGTCGTACGGTCTTAGAGCACCAACTCTTCATATATGTACAAATTGTTTTCATAAAAAATGTCAACAGCTACCTAGGTACTAATTTCCCTACCAAAAGGTGATAGGTCCTTCCAGTCCGAATGAATGCCTGTTGAAATCCATGCTACCATGGAGGTAAACAATTTCGACGTCATGACCAACAACGATGCGGAGATATCACGTGACAGTATCTTGGCAGCAACCTCTCCTCCAGCTTTTGATTCAACTGCGTACATCTTTCGAAGACGAAGCAATCGAAAAGCCACATTCCCACACCAATGCCTCCACGACTCTCCTTATCTACGGTCCGGTCAGTGGCCTACCGGACCAAATCTTCCATTCCTCAAAAGCGATTCGCACAATCCACGTCCCAGCAACGATTCGCCAGTGACGACGCCTCCAAGAAGCAACCCGCAACCACCGAAGTAGGATCCAACTTCAAAGGAGCGACCCAGAACCCCATGCCACATGTATCTGAGGAACAAGCCGCAATAGACAAAATTACCGGGGAGACGCCTCCGGACATTGAACAAGGAACACCCGTGCAGGAGGTAAGTAGAAACACATCTTGGATTATTCGGCCGATGATGAAGTCACCTCGATTTCTAACGTCTCCCCAGATCCTTGCTCGCGACAAGGAAGCGCAAAAGAACGCACCCGATGTATTGAAACAAGACCTCAAGAACAAGACTCCATCTGGATCTAGATCATATTCCACCAGTGCACGTAGGTCCGCCTCGACCGAACTGGCGCAATTCGAAACCACACAGGCGGTCGGACTCGAATACCCCGATGCAGGACTGGGACATAAATTCCCTTTGCCAGATGTGTCCACGTGGACGAAGCAGAATCATCTCAAACACCGCTATGACCCCGTGCTCACACAGTTTACAAAGATGATCATGAGGGATGGCAAACTGAGTAAAGCACAACGGGTATGTATACCAACCATCTTGTGAAAAGTCCCTCCCAATAACCCACTCGCTCAATTCTATATCCCTCTATATATCTCGAACCAACCACTAACCATCCCCCTTTCACCTCACAGACCATGGCCGACATGCTCGACATTTTACGAACCAGCCCATCGCCACAAGCCAGCAAACTAGTCAGCCCGATTCCACAAGAAACCCTCTCCCTATCGCCTCTCCAATACCTAACATCGACCATCGACAGCGTCGCTCCATTGGTCAAAGTCAAGCAAATCAAGGGTCAATTGGGAGGTGGTCGATCCATGCCCGTACCACAGCCTCTTCACATTAAGCAACGACGCCGAGCCGCCATTAAATGGATTCTCGATGCTGCTGAACGTCGTCGCGACGTCACACTTGCCGAGCGTATTGCAAAGGAAGTTATCAATATTGCCGAGGGCAAGAGTGGCGCTTGGGATCGTCGCACTTTACTTCATAAAATGGCAATTGTCAACCGTATGAATATTCGTATCGGTTCAAAGGGTGGACGGAGAGTCTAGTCGAGTCTAAAGTCTGAGAGCTGGGGCTTGGTGCTCGGTCTGTCATCAAAATCATCATCATAAGCAACAGCAGCAGCATCGTAACATATATATCTGTACAAAATACACAATACCCAAACCATCTACCTTTTCGGCAATCAATCCCCCACCCTTAGGTCGAGGAAGAAGACATGTCCACCGAAGAACCACCATCACCATCACCATCACCCAAATCCATCCCATCCATCTCCCTCGCCAACCACGTACTTGGCGTCGTTGGTGCAGCAGCAGGACTTGTATTGACATGACCGTCTCTCACATCAAGTTCGTGTTCATCCAGTTCATCCGCCCTTCCCATAACTTCCTCCCTTATCTTTTCTTTCCGCCATTTCTCTACCAGATCTTCTGTTCTGGCAATGGCGCGTTCCAGGGCGGCTTCACTTAGACATGCTATTCGAGCGGCTTCTGCGTAGAGGGTTCGGTGGATGTCAGAATATGATGACCTCTCCGTTGATGTTTTAGCGGTTTGGTTCTTGGGATCAGGTAATTCTCCAGGCTGGTTGGGATTGGATGGAGCGACGGTTGCAGCGACAACGGGTGGAGGAAGATGAAGTGGATGGAGAGACGATTGTACTTCCATGATACGCTGTTCTAGGAGTGCAGTACGCTGAGCTTCCAGTAGAGAATCTTGTTCTTGCAGTGATGCGTGGTCTGTAGCTCGGGTTGAATCAAGATCTTCTAATGGGAATAGGTTGAGAATCGTTTGGTCCACGCTATTCACATTCTCCTGCTCTGATGTCTGGGAACGGAATGAATCTTGCCTATTGTTGTTGGGTCCCGACTGATCACCTTCAGCGCCCACGATGCTCGCGGTCTGTTCTGTCCATGTTCGTTGAAACCAGTCCATATATTGATCGAGCTGACCCCCTGTCATGGTTAGGACGTCTCGTTCTGTGATATTAATCTCCGATCCTGGCTTGAGCCGCGTGCCATTAATTGTCTCGAGTTGATGCATAGCAGTATCGAAAGTTGTCTTTGCATGTTGCCAAGCATCCCAGTTCATTCGAAACATAGTGTTTGAAGTGGTAGCTGGAATGTCGTGTCGTTTCTCGGATGCTGGTTTCAATGGAAACAGGATTTCCGTCGCGGCAATCGTCATTGAAATGGCCTGGGCTTCGGGATAGGACGTGGCAGCACGTCGCGGCTGGCCTTGTACATTGCGTCGATTTTCCTCGTCGTCATGGTATGACAACGTAAAGCCTAAGATCCTCCCGAGCTGTCTAGCCAGACTGTAAACTTCGATCGGCAATGCCATTTCACGGATGTAGTGCATGAGGAGGAGATTCTGGTTCAGGCATGGTGTCTCCATACCGAAATAAGTATGGAACATCTTGGACCGGCGATAGACTGCAAGCTGTAAAGTGTCGGGTGATGGAATGCCCAGTGGATCGAACGAGTGGTGGTATTCGCTTGGTAGACGAGAACGCATGTCAGGAGGGATATGACGAATTGCACGGATATATGGAATGGTAGAGTTGGTGAGCCAGGTGTGTAAGGTTTGCAGAGGGAGGAATTGGCGGAGGAGAAGGGTTGAGAGATATACCAAGACGACCGTATCGATTAATGTCGGTCCATGGTAATCCTTTTTGGCGACGGTTGAATGTTCGTCGTTGTCGGTCTCTGCTCCAGATGTTGCATGAGGATCAGAGTCACTGTCCTGATTTGCTTCTTGATCTGGACCAGAGAAGGATGCCAAAGGGTCATGAAGACGCGCTTCAAGCTTGTCAAGCCACAAGGTCCATAGATCGCGAACAACTGTCTAGTTGATTTCAGTACTTGGCTTGTGCATACGCAATATGTCGCGGACGAACTCACCCATAACTCTGGCGGGAGGGCCTTCTGATGGACTAAGATATAGCATTGTTTCCAAAGGATCAACTGCCATGCCTGCAGGTAGAGTTGATGTGCCTTGGCTCCTCGTAGAACTAAATGAAATGGAACAAGTCAGAGAGAACCAGGTTGCAACATCCTGACGTGCTGAAGACAACTCAAGGCTGGATAGATCCCACCTTTGGAGATTCTGGTCTTGGACTTAATTTCCTTTTTCTTGAAAAGTCTCCCCTGGCGGCCGAAATCTGCATCGTCTTCTGCAGTGGCAATGCCCCGTTCCTGGTCATGGCCGTTGGCGCAGTATGTCCTGCCATCGTCCTCGAGCGTAAAGTCTGTGGAACCACATTGGTTGCAGGCGTCCTCCTCATTCATGGTGGCAGGAACGTATTGGTTGAAGGGTTATCTGGCGGCTCAACAATCATCTTGATGCAGACGAGTTTTAGGATTCCGCGATCATCTCATTGACTGATTTTAGTCCTGATCAGCTATGGTGCTGAAATAGTTGTATGTTGCTGGGGGCAGACTATGGACGAGGTTCTGTAAATAAAATTTGAACCAATCGCTGGGCGGATAATTTAAACAGAGCGGGAAGGATCTTGGTAGTCAATCCATACTACACTATTACGGAAACATGGCACAGGAATTGCTTTAAATTTCGTCTAACAGTTTTCAAAAATGCTCAAGGCTACCCATGATCATGACTGTATTTGAAAAATTGCTTTTGGAGCTTGGAGACCCAATTGGAGGGGAATCTTGATCTCTGCTTCTAGAGGCAAAATCCGAATCAGGTCGTAGGCCCCTTGTTTGGCAAAGGCAACTAACCCCAACAGGATGGGCAGTTGACATGTCTCGACGTTGTATTGCTCGTTAACCGTAGATACATCATGCATGAAGGGTTCATCGTGGCAAAGCCGGCCATGAACATTTTCACGTTGATTTATTTGGGAGCCTCCTTGGCATCGATGGCAGCCTCCTCACCCATGGCAGTCAAGACGATGACATCTGGAAAATTTATCAGCAACTGGTGTTCGCAGCCTTGGTTCTGTTTGGCTTACTGGTGTCCTTCTCGTCGATGCGGAAAAGCTTCTCAATCTTTTCACCAACCTCACCATCAGGGACCTTGACATCATCCTTGGTGCTACCATCGTCGGACATGAGGGACAAGAAACCATCGTCGGTGATATCAAGCTTGTACAGAGTTAGCCAACATGTTTCTTACGGGGGTTTAAAAGATCTTCTCACCAATTGATATTCACGACGAGAGACGTTGGGGACCTCCATGTTGTGGGTGGATGGGGAAAGATCTTCCAACTTCTTGCCGGTGAAGATATCGATGGCGACCAAGTGAACTTTGGCGTGACCGTGCTTTCCAGTCTTGGAAGTGGACATGTCAACGATCTTGCATGGACGACCCTTGATGACAACATGACCGTTCTTTCTCAAGGCGGAACATTGCATGGGAAAGGTGGCCGAGGCGCCGGCGTCGGCGGACTCGAAGGTATGCTCATGCTAGAGGAGAAGAAAGTCAGCACGGATAATATGAACCAAAACAAGTCTGAGCAACAAAATCAAAGTGATGGAGGAGTTTTGGATGAGTGCGCAAGTCAGAGCGCACCCTCCAAGGCGGGGAAATTTTGAAGCAGGAGAACGTAAAAAGGGACCAAACTAACCTGGGAGTCGTCCGCCATGGTGATGGTTGGATGGAAGATTAGAAGAAGAGGTTAGATGATTAAGAGATGAAAGAGCAGAGGAGAGGTGACTGAAACGTCGAGTGGTGGGTGGAGGGATAGAAATAAAGAGAAGGACTGTTGCTTGGAGAAATTGTAATGAGGGAGGGAGTGGTGGTGGTGGCGGCGGGCAGCAATAGCAGCACGAGTGGGTGTAGGAGGGCGAGTGGGTGCAGGTCTGCAAGGGCCCAAGGACGAGAACAGGTGCAAATGTCGTGTGTGTGCTGGAGCCGCCGCCCGGCTGGAATCTTTGGGGTTTGTGGGCCAGGCCTACTTTGTGCTGTCAAGTGTGTACATGGCCCAGGCACTACCTGAAGGACCGCTGCTATGAGTTGCCTCACCCAAGGAAAACTGTCAAACGCCTACGGCTATAGGGCCAGTCAAGCCCTGCAAAGGTCAAAGACCAGAGTGGGATTCAGAGTCAGCCACCACTCACACTCATTCCGTGCAAGAAGCGGGGTGCAAAACGAAAAAAATCCTGTGTGGATTTCAAATGACTCGAAAGACTGAGCCACCCACATTAGAGACCACTGATTCCGCGATGCTACTGGCAAAACATTTTGTCATTACATCTCCTCTGTGTGCCTGCAGATTGAGCAATCTTGGCACATACTTCTTGATCGAACCAAGTCACGTGGAAAGATCCCAATAATTCAGCCTTGCAGATTCGAGCTAACCCTGATTAAGTCGGGCGATCTGTTACGTTGTCACGTCCATCACAGCCTCGTCCATTGACTACAGTATTATTATTGCTACAAGTCACCGACACTGCTACTGCACCACTACAACTCAGTTGCGTCTTGGCTACATCATCGCCCGGGCCAATTTTGGCCAGAGAATCGTTCAAGCATGATATTATAACTCCAACTCGCTCTCGCAGCCCGTCGCCAATATGTGGCTCGACCGTCTGACAGGCCCTGTCACTCCCAGCGGCTCCCTTACTCCCTCACGCCCATACTCGCCCTCTCCACGCAAGAACTCCAATCTTGCTGCTCCTCAACGGCCTGGATTGAGTGTCTATAACCCAGCAAGATCCTCATCATCCTTGGATCTCAGCGCCAATACCTCTACCACCTCCCTTGTCCCATCGACCAGAGCCGTCACAAATGGCTCTTCCCTCCGCTTTGAACAACGACCACCACCGGATGTGCCGGACCCCCTGAAGGTGTTACGGAGTATCTTGGGAAGCGCCGAAGACGACTCCGCTGTAGACAAACCAAAAAAGAGGAAATCCCGTACTGTGAATATCGATTTTCAAGGACGAAGTCTAGAAGAATATGCCCAGCAAACGCTGTCAACAGTAGAACCTACCAACCTGTCTGTGGCGGCCCCTGGTCCCAACGCCACCGAGAACAGACAGAAGTACCAGGATTTCCACACGTCCATTGTCGACTGTGATCAAGTCCTTCAAAATGTCGAGACATATCTCACCAATTTCAAAGCTGAACTTGGTCAAGTTTCGGCCGAGATTGAGAACCTTCAGGCTCGTTCCATCCAGCTGAACGCGAAACTAGACAATCGCCGCAATGTCGAGAAACTGTTGGGCCCCGCTGTGGAGGAAGTCAGTCTGTCGCCCATCACTGTTCGGTCTATAGCAGATGGACCCATCGACGACAACTTCATCAAAGCACTCCATGAAGTTGAAGCCCGCTCTCTCCTGATAGACGCCAAGGAAAAGGAGGCAGATAACGTTCGGGCACTACAGGATTTAAAGCCTCTTCTGGACGATCTAAAATCCAAAGCCATTGAGCGCATCCGCGATTACGTTGTCGCCCAAATCAAAGCGCTACGATCACCCAATATCAATGCTCAAGTCATTCAGCAACAGACACTGCTGAAGTACAAAGACCTCTATGCTTTCTTGGCTCGTCATCACAGCATATTGGCAGACGAGATTGCCCAGGCCTATGTCAACACCATGAAGTGGTACTATACCAGCAACTTCTCCCGCTACCAGCAAGCCCTATCCTCACTGAAACTGCACATATTCGACCAGCACGACTTGCTTGGCCCTGAGGTTGCCCCTGCACGTAGAACCGTGCTAGGTGCCTCCAAGCCGAATGTGCCACCCCATGACTCCTTCAACCTTGGAAAACGTGAAGATGTGCTCAAATCAAAGACCGACAATGCTTTGCCTGCTTATCTTGCCGAAGACAGCAAATCAACCCACTACCACTATATGGAAATCCCATTCCGCAACTTCAACCTCGCCCTCATCGACAATGTTTCAGCCGAATATTCTGTCTGCACCGAATTGTTCTCCGCCACGTCATCCTACCAACAAATCTCGAAACGTGTCACGGAAATCTTCGAACCAACATTCGCCATGGGCCACGCTCTTACCAAACAATTGATCGACACCTCCAACGACGGTCCAGGAGTTCTCTTATGTGTGCGACTGAACCAGCATTCAGCCTTCGAACTACAAAGACGCAAAGTCCCCGTTGCCGACAACTACATCAACTACACCAATATCCTTTTATGGCCACGCTTCCAAATGATCATGGACCTACACATTGAATCGCTGAAGAAGGTCCCTGTCTCAACCGCTCGTGGAGCAGCAGCTGCGTTCTCGCTAGTGGGCGGCTCTTCTCCCGACCCTTCTAGATCCTCCTTGGCGCCTCATGTGGTGACGCAGCAATTTGGCCAATTCCTTCATAGTATCCTCGCTCTCTCTGCTGAAGCTGGAGACGACGAACCGATTTCCAAAAGTCTCGGCCGATTAAGGTCTGAGTACGAGACTTTAATGGGGAAACTATCCAAAGGAGCTGGTAACGATGCGGGCAAAAAGTCAAAATTCTTGTACAATAACTATAGTCTGATCTTGACTATTATCAGCGACACGAAGGGAAGGTTGGCCGAGGAACAAAAGGAACACTTTGGAGTCTTGCTTAAAGATCTCAAGGCACGATAGTTATAGCACCAATTGAAATCAATCAATTGCTTCAAGGAGGGTTGTTCAATCAGGAATACTTTCATTTCTTCTGATCTTGGTCGGAGATGTTTCATTCGCCCCCTTTCTCCTCCGCTAGCCCGCAGTATAAAACATACTGTGTTTTCTATATATTGACCATTGTCCGTAGTCACGGCCTCTACATCTGACTCAATCCCAGCATGGACATAACCTGCCCTAACTCTCCAACCGCATCCTTAACCAACTCTTTCGCCTCATGTCTCGAAAATCCACATTGCAAAGGTACAACCCCATCTCTTTGCGCCCTGGTGTATATCCACACCGGTCCACTTTGATCATCAACTCTACTGCGCAACCAATGTGCCCGAGCCGACAACAACAAGTCATCACCGACCTTTTCCCGCAATTCACCCATTTCTTCATATGCAAACGGATCACTTTCCGTACCTGGCATGTCGAGACCGAATCCCATGATCGCGCGTTCTGTCGAGTCGGGGTATATTTCTTGCAATTCTGTATCGAGAGGTTGATATGCAATGCCGTACCCGCTGCAGACATACTCGTATACCCAATAAATATAGGTTTGGCAGTGTTGGTTGAGAAGTTGTATCTGTTCGGACTCGGGGAAGGATTCAGTGAGGAGTGAGAATGCAGTGGCGGCATATGCGACGAGGTTGACGAGGCGGGCAACCAGGAGATGGTCTTGGGAGAACGCATCGTCGAAGTTGCAAGGACGGTGGTAAAGAGTGCGGAAGACGGCATGGAGAGTCATTGAGATCCATCGGCTGAGACCTTGCATTGCTTCGATGTTGTCGAAGTCGACTCGTTCTGGAATGTTGTTCATCAGATGCTTGCTCAGGTCAATGATTGGAAGTGATTGCGCCAGTACTGGGGTATTCGACCCAAAAGCCCGAGAGATGAATTCCGGAAATACCGTTTGCAGAAAGAACAGTGGGATATTGGTGTTCCTACTCGTGACATCATTTCCATCGAGTTGATCGTGTCTGGTCGCACCGAACAATTCAATGCCGGTCGAGAATAGACACTCCGTGTTATGGTAAGCGCAACTCGATTCCACAGCTGATCGAAATCCCTCTATTGCAATGTTGGAGATTCTCGTGGCTGTAATATCTTGCCCAGCAACAAACAGCCTTGTGAAGAGACCCCATGCTGCAGATCCCTTTTCTGTCTGGTCGAGAAGGTCAGACGATGAGAAGAAAGGATCCAATTCAAACCCAGGAATCTTGTATGCCGACATTTCAAGAACGATACTATTGATCATGATTGTGTACTCTGGTTTGTCCTTGCCGGGAAGCTTCTCCCAAGTTCTTCTCATTGTATTTTGGATGCCTCTCAGTAGCCTAAGTCCTTCGGATTTAGAAAGCATGCCGGAGGTGCTAGTATTGCTGCTGACCGAGAGTTGGTATATCTGGCGAATGATGTGTCGGGTGATACTGAGCCGGCTGTTGATCAAGCTATCCTTGGTGAAATGATGACTGTCAACTCCAGTTTCTGTCAGCTTTTCTTGCAAGCTGGCAAAATCAAGAGTGGATGGCACTACTTGAAACAATCGCGAAGTGAGCAAAGTCTCGAATTTGACTTCATTCGATGCCCCGAGAATTCCATTAAGCCATTGTTGAAACACATACAAGTGATCGATTTCTGCAAGAAAATCCGGTCGAATCAATGCCTTGCTAAGGAAGAGGATGTTGCAATCTCGAGATGTATCCGAGGGGCCCATTTGGTCGAAGGAGGACATGGAAGCTGGACTTATGTAGCTGTCCCAGAAGGTACACTTCCCATCAACCATCGACGATGCTAGAAGGTACCATGTCTCCATCATTGCTCTGAGGGTTTCGTCTTTGGGCCGCGGCGAACAGTTGTAAATATTGCTGATCAGGTTTTGCAGAATCGGGTGCAACTCTCGATTGAGGTGAGACTTGCTGGCATCGGGCGATTTCTTCAAGTAAGCAGTAGTGATATTGAAGACTTCTATGGTCACATCCTCTGGCGTCAATTGATTGCCGCTTTGAACCATAAGTCCGCAGATGTCAGTAAGAGGGAATTCCAGGGCAAAGAGGCGGGCTTGCTGTTCGTTGACACAGATGTCAATCGCCCTGACCCAGGTTTGAATGATCTTGCAGATGTGGACGCTGGCACTCTTGCGGTTGATTTGGTGAATTTGCTTTTCTTCATCACTGACGTCGCCATGGCCGAGGGGTATTGATCGCCACTTTTCTGTGATCTGTAACAACATTTTCCGAATCCATTGACCCAGAGCCGAGTACTCTTCATCAGAGCCACCCTGAATGACAAGTGACCGGCTTATATTTGCCCAACAATTCAGGACTTGATCACAAACTGCCTGATGGGATTCATCGAATGCAACAAGGCTTTGAATGTTGGTAATTGGCGGTCGATGGCCTCGAGGAGCATAATGGTACATCGTTGAAAAGAGGTTGTAGCGATTTGCCATCGCGGTTAGGTCTTGATAAGTTAACGATTGCTCCTCGTTAACATTGAAGACATTATTCGGGAGTAGGCTGAAGATCAAGGATTGCTTGCGCGATACAAGCTTTCTCAGGGCTTTATGATCATTGACATCGGCATATTGAAAGCTCAGAGCCAGAGCAATGAGTTTCAGAAAGATGTGGAAGTCAGGCTCACCCGACTCTAGAACGATCTGGGACGCTGAAACCTGTTGGGCGAGGAATGGAGGATTGAGAGTATCGACTGCTGTGCCATTTGCGGCAAAGAAGTTCTGCATATTTCTATCCCCATAATGTTTGAGAAGCTTCTTGATCAACTGGTCGCATGAGCTGCGTCCAAAGGCATGAAAAAGCACGAACGTCCACCGAAAGACAAAGGATCCCAATTTAGCCAAGTGTCGAAGGTGACTTGTTTGTTTGGTCTTAGCCTTGGGTTTACCCACCTGCAATTCAATGTTCGAGAACTGTTTGAGAAAATCGGACAGAGCATTTTGGAGAGCTGTGAGGCCAGCCGTGTTTGGAGTGATTACCGAGACATTCTCTGACTTCTGTTCTTGCAACGAATTTTGAATTGGGCAAACAAGACCATTGATGAGGATTGCATACACAAGTCTTATCGCTGGACGGTTATCGACGTGCTCAATGTGGCGAGACAAGAGTTTCTCCAAGTATTTGTCCCAGAAGTGATGGTCACTGAGCTGATGGACAACAAAGATTGTCTCGACTTCATTCGAGACATCCCTAGTCGATTGTGAATTAAGTCTGATTGGACTAAGGATGTGGTCGAATAGGGGTTTGATCGACTTTGTGGCGAGAGAAATCGACAAAACACGATCTACCAGATGATCGTAGACACCCTGAATTTCCAGTGACAGGCTCAAATTCAAGTGGGCCAGACTGACAAGTCTCTTAACTTGGTAGCACAGAACCACTAGGCGAATGAGCAACGGGAGCATTTGCGGCATCAGTTTCTCGTCCTCCGCACTGCAAGTTGCTTTGCTTTCGAGAACATGTCGAAATCGTACGAAATTGTTGATCATCGTGGTGGCAAAGTCTCCCAGGTCCTCAGAGCCCTCGAACCATAGGAAGGCGTGAATCCACTCAATGAAACCATCCAGAGATTGTACCCATTGGGAGATATTGCTTGGATGATGCCCAGAGAGTTGAGACGTTCCGGCATTTGAACTGACCATTCCTGCATCTGCGGATGTGTGTTGTCCGATCTTTGAGAAAAGATCGACCACTAAGTCGCGATTCTTTGCGGAAGCCTTCCACAGTCCCAAAGATACCGGTTGAGGCATATGTGGCATGAGAAGACTTATCTGCTTCTCATTTGGCTCAAAATATCGATCCAGGCGGGTCATGGAGGTGATTATCGAATGGACAACGGGTCCATTCAAATGACCAGGCAAAGTGGCTCTGTCCACTATACTCATGATCTCTTGTCCAGGTACCATATTTGTCAGTTGATCAAGTCTATCGTAATCGAAATCGACTTCTTCAATCCCTGCTGCAATGCGGTCGTCGATAGCAGGATGGGGCAGGGCCTCTTCGACTAGCTGGCCCATCATAGCCTGGCGCTGCTCGAGTGCAAGTGGTTGTCGTTTTCTAAACAAGAGTAAGCAAAGATTCATTGAATGGAGACCAGGAATTGACTTGCCTTGGTTGTCGCTTCGTAGCCTTAGCTGAGTCGTGGTTTGAAGCGATCTGATGTGCGGCCAAAGACTGAACTGGCTGCGCCCCTGGTGCTCTTGTAACAAGTCGTGGTAGTGTAGCCTTTGAAGTCAGGGCAGGTCGAACGCCCAGTGGGTTAGATATCGATCGAGGCCGGTCTCGAATCGTCGATTCTTCTGAGTGAGATCCTGGTCGGGGACGGAAATAATCCCTCAATACAGGTCGGCGAGTTGCAGCTTGGATGGACCTACGAGCTTCGATAGATTGCTTCTGATGTTGGTATACACGCTTCAGCGTCTGGGTAGTCAACTGCTTCAATGAAACCAACTCAGTGTTATCGTTGGAACCATCTGTCACACCAATACTAGAGCTCTGTTGTCGCTGTGCAGGCGCAGCTCGAACGAGTGTCCCGTCCCGAGGAGTTGCAACAGCATATTTCTTGCCATGAAGAGTTTTCCAACCACGCATGGCCCTGTTGACATCATGTGTGTCCTGTACTGTCGCAAGCTTGAAAAACTTCTTGGTTGAATCCTGAGTATGAGACTGCCGAGAAGTCCTTTTGCCGCTTCTGGCCGCTATCTTCAGATATCGTGGAACAATATGTTCCGAAAAGCCTGGAGCGTCCAGCAGAGACAGTTGAGCCTGCTTCTGAACCATCTTTTGCTTCTTTCGGCTCCCTGTCGTACTTGACGAATTCTTTAGTCTGCCTTTAGCGCCATTCGACACTTTATCCGGCTGGTATCTGCTAGATCTTTCACGTGTGTCAATGTCGTGACTTTGCCAAACTCCCGGTATTTGCTGCTGTCTTTTCTTCTTCGTTTCTCCTCCTTGTCGATGTGGACCATATTGAGACCTAGTTCGGGGTGGCAACATATGATCGATACTGTTGTCTTCCATAATATCGTCTAGGACCAAGTCAGGAGCAATGCCCCAAGGGGTCTCATCAACAATCTCTACCGACTGTGATGAGTCATCGTCCTCTGATGTGTCCAGCTGCGAGTCGTCGAAAACTGGACGCGTGGAATGCTGGGTGGCTCTAGCAAGCGAAGAGCTAGGAAGACGTTGCGCTATTCCTCTCTCAATCCCTCCTTTCTCAAGAGATCTAGGTTGTTCGGATATGGTGGTCTTTCCTTTCTGTTGTTGTCGGTCTAATTTAAGCCAGGAGGCTGGTAGCACGCCTTTAATCCTGCGTTGGAACATCCGCACACTCTTAGGAGGTCGTTCGTCAGAATCAGTGGAAGAACCCGTTGATTCTGACGAAGCATCATTGACAACCACCACCTCCACCTCTGACGTCTCTAAAGAATCAGGTTGCGGCCGTTTTCTGTTCGGTTTATCAGAGGACAAGAATGGCGACGGTAGGAGGGAAGGGGATCGGCCAGCTTCATTAAACTCATCACCAGGCGCGACATCTCCTGGGGAGGAAAGACCGCCGCGAGATCTTGGAGGGGATGGTGGGATCTGAAGGGGTCTTCTCGGAATCTTAGGTCTGACCGATGGTTCTTCTCCATCGCTTGGGAGGTCAAATACTTGATAACCGTTAGGTACGGGTTGTGACTGCAAATTTGGCTTGCGGGCTTTAGCTTTCTTGGGTCGTTGTAGTTGTTTGGCCAGGTTCCTGGTATCGTTTTTCAAGAGATCCGCCAGGTCGGGGAGCTCAGCACCGAGGTCGAAGTCTGGAAGCCTGGGGCGAACATTCCTCCTGCCACTTATGGGGGACTGAGACTCATCCTCTTCGCCAAGCTGGATTGGACTTGAAGAGAGAACCTGAGGCGGGATTTCGAGACTCTCGCTGCCCTGAAATGTCTCCGTTTCCTGAGACTCTTCGCCGGTGGCCAATTGCGGTTCGTTGTCTCCAGAAGGTTGCATGTATCGCAGAGGTCTAAGTCCTCTGGACTTCCAATCTCGTTGATATTGCGCAGCTTCGAGTGCATAAGGGTGTAACTGAATCGGAGCTCGAGCACGAAGTGAGCGTCGAGCTGCCGCAAGTTCGAGGCTTTGGGTGGAAAGAGACGAAAATCCATCATCTCTGTCAAGTGAGAATGAAGGCAACACGATGCTAACATTCGGCTGTTTGGGCGGGCTTGAAATCGATGATGGGGGAGACGAAAGCGGGCTATCGCTGTCATCCTCGAAATTCTGCAACCCGATAACTTCCTGGACAACTTGCAAGCCTTTGTTCAATTCGGCCTCTAGAAGAGATGCTGTTGTGCTTGGGGACTGCAAAATGGCATTGGTCTTGCCTGATTGATCTGAATTAGTCTTGTGCTTGGAAGGACGGTTGGACTCTGAGGAAAAATCGTTTTCAACTTCGATGCCGAGGGACCGTTGATTTGAACTCTCAACAGTTTCGAGAGGGAACGAAGGACCAACATTGTCGGGGTCTACCTGGTCTGTCCTTTCCAACTCGTTTCTTGATTTTGGTAACGACGTTTTTGGTGAATCAGATTGACTCTTATGGTGGCGCTGTTCGTCAGACTCTGTGATTGCCACCTCATCTTCTTCGTCGTCAGAGTCGGGGACATATCCCCTATCTCGCCAACTGACCATCTCTGCCCCATGGTATGAAAAAATAGCCACACTTTTGGATGTCTTCAGTTGTTGACTATCAAGTTTGTCAGTCGCGTTAAGTGGCACAAGACGCGTGCGCCTAGACCCACCTCTACGGCGGAGTAAATGTACTACGGAGAAGTACGTTCTCTGCTCATGCAGAACTTTTTCTTTGATGGCGATGACATTCATGCAGCTCCATCGCTTCAGTGTATACAGTCCAGACCTTTTGTGAAGGAGTAAATTGTCGACAGCAACTCAAAAAGATGAGAGGCCGGCTCACTGGCCTCGTGCTGGTTGTTGGATTTGGGATCGCAAATGGTACAAGCATATCGTCCTCTCGTGCATCCAATGTTATTAACTTGAGTCAAGGCTACATGACCTTCCAGCCCGCTTTCGAGGAGTTGGAAATGGAGAAGCGGAAAAAACGCGAGTGAGAGCTGTCCCCTATTTTCTTGCAAGGCAAATGCTAACTATAACGTGTCCCCAGGCAGCTCGAAGCCGCAGACCTAGGGCCCAACATGGTCGAGATCACCCAGTCTTCATCGCAATCCACACCTCGTCTGAAGAAAGAAGGATGAAATACCGGGCAAGATACTGTTGGGAAGTGAGGAACTGAAGAGTTCCATCTTCAAAGAAGCAGACTTCCGGCGTTGGACAGCATGCAACAACAGTCGACTCTTCCGCCAAGGGCCCAACAGCTTCGCAAGAGCATCATCAGTGACCCTATCACCCAGACAGACAAAGGCCATGCGCTGTCAGTCCGTCGTGCCATCTCACAAGATTCTTAGCCCTTGTCGGCCAGGTCGTGGTCATGTGAGACCATCTCTGGTTCGATATTGGAAAGAAAGACCCGATCAGAATTACATGTTGCTGGAAAGAATGCTCGTAAATTGGACCTCACGAGTGGCTATTCCATGTCAATTATGCTACGGAAATACATATACCGTCACTGGTCATGTCTCCTCATTCTTGGGGATGAACCCTTGTAGCAGCTAAACAGGGGTTTGCTCAGTCAACTTCTTGGATCAGACTTCCGTTGCTTGGGGGCAGGGGTGGGCCGAAGTAGCGACCGGCTTTCTTTCCCAGCCATTCCTCTGGAACTCCGAGCTTGATGCCATCTCTCGAGCTGATCCATCTGGTATACACGGGGTTGGCATTGGGAGCAGCACTGTCGTAATCGAATGGCGAAGCGGCTGCCGCTGCCGCTGCAGCTAGAGTTTCTGGTTTGGGCGCGGCTCCTCTGGCTTTCGAGACTTGGGGTTTGAGCTGAAAATATCATAGTCAGTAAAGGGGGTACCGATACCGACAGAGTGGTCCTACCAGTCTGTTCAAAGCAGCAGTCTTCTCTTCTTGGACTTTCCGCTTCGTAAGCTCCTTCCTCTTTCTAGCGTGTTCATCCTTTCTCATAGCTTTCTCTTCGTCGGTGAAGAACTGGCAGACTCTTGTCAGTATCAATAGTCGCAAGTCCTAGTGGACTGCTTACCTTGCGCTGCTGCGGAGCCATGTCGAGAGACAATAGCGCATTAGCGTCTTCTTCCCGGCGTCTCTGCCTCTTAGTCATCCGACTGATATCGGGAGTGGCAGAACCTGAGGCAGGCGTGCCATCACTGTCGCTATCCAAGTCGTCGTCGTCATCGTCAACTTCGACCTCGTCTCCGTCTCCAAGTCCTTCTTCCTCGGCCTCAGCGTCCTCGTCTTCGCCTTCAGCATCTTCGCCATTAAGGTTTGTAGCGTCCTCGTCCTCTTCGCTAAGTTCCGATGAACCTTCCACTTCTTCATCATCCGGATCGTCCTCCATTTCCTGATCTTCGACAGATTTGACAGGTCCAACATTTGCAGGAGTTACCACAAGTTTAGATTTGGTGCTTGAAGGGTCGGATCTAGCGGGTGGCTTGAGAGTGATTTTGGGGGCTTTAGGTTGGGGTGCTCGCTTTGATGGAGGGGCAGGGGGTGCTTCTTCCATTTCCACGTCTTCGTCATCATCAGTACCACCCTCAGGTTCAGCACCTAGTTCGTCGAAATCATTCTGAGCCATTTCCTCGTCTTCGTCGTCATCTTCTTCGTCGTCTTCCTCATCTTCTTCTTCGTCCTCCTCGTCCTCCTCATCTTCTTCTTCGTCGTCATCATCATCAACGTCGCTTGGCACCTCGGCGTATCTTGGTTTCGATGCTTGAGAGGAGGCTTGACGAGGAGCCGAGGCAGCGAGAGCCTGTCGGCGAGTGCTTCTTGGACCATCAAGAACCTTGCCACCACCGAGCACGTCATGGAGTGACTCGACTTCGTTCGCACGCATAACTTCCCGTAGCTTGCTTGGAGGTGCTTTGACCGTCAATTTCAGGCTTTGCCTCCGATCATCATAAGCGCCGGAATTCCGCTGGACTGATGCAGGACCATTTGAGTGTTCTCCCCTTCGGGGTCGTGAAGAGGCTGTGCCGGTGTTGGGCGATGAACTGCGTCTGCGATTAGCAACTCTTCTCTTTTGCTTTGATGATTTGCGGTAGCGCAGGGTTATAAATGACATGATGGCGACTGAGGTGAAGACCTAGACAAACGCGACCTCGCTGGGCACAGGGTCGTTCTTGCCTGGGGACGGGATGGTTTGGAACAACAAGAACAAGGCAGAAGGAGCAGATCTGAATCAGATGCATTCAAAGATCCAAGTTTGGAGAGGCGACAATCTGCTGACTGCAAAAATTCGCAGTTGGTGATCAGGTCAACTCTGGAGTTGTTGTCATGTGCTCCAAGGAGTCAAAAGCCAGCCCAGTGTACATCTCTCAGGGAATCGCGTTCTTCTGCCTGGGGTCACACTGAAACCAGACTCTTCCATGCCATTCCGGAAGGTGAAGAATTAAAGATAAAACAAGACCGGGCCACTCACTCATATCTGCCACCTCTGCGCATTGAATCAGCTCTCCGAGGATCATAGTCTTCACCACTTCCTAGATCAGAGTCGTCGGAAAATTCGTCTGTAACATCACTGATTTGCCGTCGCACGCGGCGGCTTCTATCTGTCATTTCTCCAAGCTGCTATTGGAGATTCTGCTGCCTAGCTTCGGACAGGGCTATACTCCGCGTCCTAGCCGGTCACGTTCAGATTTTTGGTTGTAGGGAGATCGTGTTGAAGTCTTTCAAATGGTCCCAAATGGCTTTTCGTGTGAAGTTCAACAGGTAAGGATGTCAGACAGGGGTCTAGAAGCTCGAAAATGATGAATATCACAAACCAGCTTTTCACAGATCAGTAAAATCCCTGACGAGAAAGTGAGTACGCGATAATGTCTGTCCTTCTTGGTGTTTTGTGGCGTTCACTCCCGGCTTCAGCCACTTTGTGGCTGCTCAACAGTTTTGCGTATACGAGCTTAATACTCCTCTGTAAGATCTTTGCCTTGGAACCTCGGCTCATACTCATCGCATTCAATTCCTGTCTGGACGACACATCTGTGATATTCATTCATCTTCTCGTCCTTTACTTGCACACACCGAGCTATTAGACCATGGCGGACAACCGATCGAGAAGAGGCGCCTCCATCCCAGCCTGGCAGCAAAACTATCAGCCCAACAAAGACCCATCTCCTTCAACTGCGCAGCCAGCAACTGAAGAGCGTCCGGCCACCGCGACCACGCCCGCGACCAGCACAACCGCATCAGAACCCGAAGCCTCCTCTGACCTTTCATTGCTTGAACAAGCCAAGAGATTCCTTGAAGACGAGTCAATAAAGAACGCTTCTAGAGAGAAGAAGGTCGCCTTCCTCGAAACCAAGGGTGTTTCATCAGATACGATAAATGCGCTCCTTGACTCAGAGCCTGTCAGCTCGTCCACTTCATCCCAGGATGAGGGAATCTCAGATTTGAAAACCATCCACGACAGCGCTCAAACACCAAGCGCAAAATCATCTACTCCCTCAACACAGGCTGCAGCCACAAGTACTACCGCCTCTCGGCCTTCCATACCTCCAGCATCAACCTCAACTGCCACAGTCCATCCCAGACGAGACATCCCTCCAATCATTACATACCCAGAATTCCTCCTCAAACCACAGAAGCCACCACCGCTCGTAACGGTCGACAGACTGACATACGCAGCCTATGCACTCGCCGGCATCTCCGCTGTAACCTACGGGGCCAGCAAGTTCATCATCCAACCGATGCTCCAAACGCTCACCGAAGCAAGACAAGAGCTAGCCTCAACCACACAAGCCGACCTCGAGAAACTCAACAGCAAGCTTGAAAGTGTCGTCTCTCACGTCCCCTACATTCCACCCAGCGGAAGCGTCCTTCTCTCCAAACAATCGCAAAAAGACGACCTCGACGAAACCTCCTCTCTTGACTCCGACCCAACCGAACTCTTCCATCGCGACATCGCCACCCAAACATCCCCTCGCCCTTCGCGCTCTAATTCTCTCCACTCTTCAGATTCTCAATCCGGCCTACCAGCCTCAAACCCTACCCTGGCCCAATCCACTCGTCTGGAAGCTCTCCACTCCAGCCTCAACACACTATTGACATCCACCAACACCCATTTCAGTCAAGATCGGTTCCTAGAATCCATCACCGCTTTCAAAGGAACCCTGGACAAGATTGATCAGAGCTATAATCCCTTCATGTACGATTATACATCTACCATTGGTGTGGATGATAAGAGTAAATCTCAGGGAAAGAAAGATACGGAGATCAACAAGTTCAAGGCCGAGATTAGAAGTCTGAAGGGTGCTTTCTTGAGTAGTCGCAATTTCCCTACCGCGAGACCTGCACAGCCTTTTGCGATTCCTGGACGGTGAAGGAATTCACCTTCGAAATTGGTGATTGAAGGAATTACGGGGGTTTGGTTGTATAGAGACTACAGCGCCGCGGAGAAATGTTGACAACAGAGAATGTGTTATGCTAGGATGATGAAGAGGTCATGTACCAAAGAACTGGTCATCTCTAAACAGACCCAAAATACCATTTCTACTGCTTTTTGGAATCGTTGACAATCGATAATGACGTAGAAATTTGATGCTTGACCTACGCATGAGGAAAGATAAAGAGCCGGTGTTATGTCACGTCACGTCGTGCACTGGTTCAAAACGAGTCATTGTCATTGCATTTCTTACTCTCGTCCATGTAGGTATATAGGTATTCGTGTGTGTGTTCGTATGCTTGTTACAAGCTGCTCGGCTCTCACGTACACATCATCTACATCATCCACCCGTCACTCTCTTCAATTGATTGTCTTTGGTGCTGCAACGCTCAAAATTCATTCTCGCCTTTAGCGTTAGCGCAGTCTCAGTGCCTCGTCTGAAAAATTCTAAGGCGTCGCCTTGCACATGCCAATCAAGCGTTTGACGCCCACCATCCAGTTTCCGCATTCTTCCACTTTGTTCGTGTGCACATCCATCTGGATCTCAGAAGCTCTTTGGAAATCACGGTTCTGCAAAGCCATAGAGAGCTCAAGGATTTGGCCAACTGTGTCGGGCTTGAGCAGGTCTTCGTTGTTGAGATGGTCAAACAGAATATCGAGACGCTTCTCCGTGTCCAACACCTGCGGCTTGAACGACGCGGGCGCTCGAGCTTTCACTCGTGCCATCTCGGTAGAGAGAATCTCGACAATTGGTTGTGCGTGAGCTGGAATATGGCTACGATCGCCTTTGGCTGCGGGAGATATTGTTAGCAATGAATATCATCCTCGTATGACATATCACACTTACGATATTTGCGTGCTGGTGGCGCGGCCTTTTTAGTCTCCGACCCAGCGGTGTCGGGTCTGCCTGGAGGCGGCGCTGATCCAGTGGTTGGCGGGGGGCCTGAGGTGAATTGTTGAGTGGGGGTAGGCAATGATGGGCTGGCTGCCGGTTGTGGGACCTGCGATGTCGGTGATGGTCCGTATGGGCTTGGTCGAGCCTGCGCTGGCTGCTGTGTTGGTGCATAGGGATTGGAAGGTGGCGGAGGTGCTTGGAAAGACGACTGTTGAGGCGGAGGAGCAATGCTTGGTCGCCCTGTTGGGACTGCTGAAGTCTGGGTTCCTGGCGCCGGAGCATATCGATTGGGCGCAGAAGGTCCATGAGAGGGCGGGGCAGTAAATGGAGAAGCACCGCGTGCGATTGGCGGCGACATGACGTTCTGACCAATACTTGGCGACGGCGCCTGTGCTGGAGATGGTGCATATGGATTTGTAGCTGACGGCGGGCGTTCTGGCTGGATCGGTCCGCCTGCTAAGGGAGAAGTTACTCTCGGGGGAGCCCCAGCCTTTGGCGGAGGTGGAAGCGGCGTTCTAGCCTTTGGGGGGCCGAACGAGGACGCTGGCGGCGGTGGTGGTCCAGGCTGAGGAATCTGGTTGAATGAATTGTTCACAGGCTGCGAAGCCACCCCTGGGGTGCCTCGACGCGATGTTGGGGGTTTCACAAAGCCTTCTGGGATATCGTTCCAATTGGTCATATTTCTATCCTGGGATGGAGGAGGGATGGCTGGCGACTGGGTGAATCGTGGAGGTGGAGGAATGGAGGTCGCCTGGGGTCCATATTGAGGAGGAGGGCCCGCTCTCATTTGCTGTGGCGGTTGGTAGCCTCCTTGGGGGGCATATGGGTTAACGGGAGCTTGATTTGACATGGGCGGCGCATACGGGTTTGTGGACTGCTGAGGCTGGGCCAGTCCACCAAAAGCAGGAGCTGCAGGTTGAGGGGGTGGTGCTGAGAAGCTGGACGTTGGAGGCTGGTATGAACCCGCTTGCGGGAGCTGTTTGTGTCGGATGGGGGTTGTGCTGGTGAGCGATGCTGCTGCTGCTGCTGGAGCAGTGGGCTTCTTGCTCGATTGTTGAACCCGGCTTCGAGCAACATCTGCCCCAGGGTAGGCTTGTGGCAAAAGGTCAAGATAACGTTTTGCCGCTTCCAATTGGCCTGATCCTGCTACGATGTCGGCATACTCCAGGTATTTGCTGTAAAGATCTTCCAGCTTCCAGTCTCCAGTCTTGGATAGTTCGGTGTCTTGGAAGCCGACAACTTTGCGGAAGATAGTCACCTTCTCGATGAGGTCCTGAAGGCCACGGGCATGGAGCGAAAATGCAGAGGAGGCATTTCCTTCCGTTGCACCAGCCTCTTCGTGCTCCTTCAGCTCTCGAATCCAGATAGCAACGACCTTCTCCAGCTTTGAACCGGCCAAGAAACAGAAAGAGGCATCTTGGCGACCAACACCAGCCAAGTCGTCAAGCTGTTCCTCGATTCTGTCACCAAGGGCCTCACACAGATCAGGGAACTCCTTTTCGTCTGCGAAGGTGCAAAGAGTTGCCATGACCTCTTTCCAGTTCGACAGGTCTGCATTATGAACAGTATCCCACAGATTCTTGCCGACAACCGAAGCTAGGAGTCTTAGGTAGTTGGGTCCACTGCCCTGCTTTGCCAGGTAAGCCTCCTGTGCCTTTTTGATGCATGCTTCGCCGCCACAGATCGCAATCATGAAAGAGTCTGCAATTCTGTCCTCCTTGAGACTGATGTCGAGAGCCTTGTCAAACTGACCCAGAATCAAGGCTTTTGTGATCGCTTTGTCGGCTTCCGATTCTTGGCCTGTATATATCTGGAATGGATTGTTGGTCTTGGTGCCCTTGGTCGCAGCCAGTTCAGCGAGGAAATCGCCATCAGCATCGCTAGCAAAGATTGATTGAAATCTTTTGTGGGATTTGTTGGAGCCATTGACTGATTCTGCTGGGGCGGGAGCAGAAGGTTCATCCTCGACTCCATTTGTAGCATCCACAGCTTGGTCATCAAAACCGAGATATTTAACAAGCTCCTTCCTTGGGTTTGCCGAGACCAATGTCTCGATGACCTTCCAGTTAGCCTTTTCTTCTTCTGTTTTTGCAACTGCGACTCTTTGCTCAAAAAGTGCGGTCAGCTCGCCCGATTGTATGGCCTTCTCGAAGGTTTCGGTAGCAGTTCCAACATCTGAATCGACCTCGAACTTGCTGATGCTGACTTTGGAAACACGAGATTTTCCCGGCTCTGCCTGTTTGACAGATACAATGCGTCCACCGAAGCCGAAGGATACGGATGCAGTGCGTTCCATCCACTTTGGGGCCTTTGGCAGAGTGAAAGATGACCCCTGAGGCTGTACCTGCGCCTTGGAAAAGAAGTCTTCGTCTCCAGCAGTCTGGCTCTGGTCAGATTGATCATTGCTGGGGTTGGTGTTTTGTAAAGACTGAACTTGGAGCTTTCCATCAAACGATGCTGTAGCGAACAGGTTAGGATTATGGGGATTGAATCGTGTCTGGAAGGTCCAGTTGGTGACGACTGGGTAGTCGCCGTATGCCTGTCCGCTCTGAGGATTCCAGAGGATGGTCCTATTATCCTTGCCACACGATAACAAGAGATCGTTATCCTGGGGACACCATGAGACGGACAGGACGCCCGAATCATGACCTCTCAAGATCTTCTCGGGCGCATTTGAGTTCCGCAAATCCCACACCAAGATGACGGGTTCTTGGTCTAAAGGTACAGCGGTGATGAGTCTTGTGGGCTTTTCAGGATCCCAAGCAACAGCACTGGCTGGTTTCCGTTGGTAGTTGTTGAGCGTCAAGCTCTCTTTCCTTGTCTTCATATCCCATACTGTGACAAAACCACCGGAGCTTCCGGTCACCAAGATGTTGGAGACTTTTTTATTCCAATCCAAGCAATCAATGTCATCTGCTCGTGCAGCGGTACTCCCAAGCCTGATTGGGGAATTGGCTTGATTCAAATCTGTGATGAACAATTCGCCTTTTGCACCACCTGTGGCAAGGATATTTTGGATCTTTGGATTAAACTGCAGGGTCTTGATGGCGCCAGTATGGACTTTGTTGTAGAGCAATGAAGAGTCGGAAGCTGATGTCGCAACTTTATCGGCGTCCCAAACGCCCAAGGAACCATTGTCGAAGGCACCTGCAATAATTCCTCGCTTGCGCCCTTCTTGAGCAGACCAAGCAATGTCATGAAAGCTGATGTATGTCAGATGGGAGTATCAAGTTGAATCATGGAAACATACCCTGTTTCTGTGGGAAGCGCAACGGTAGGTTGCAGCTCCTGCCCTTGCTGGTGGTTGTCCAACCCAAGATCCCACAATTCGAGGCTGGTGTCATTGCTGAAGTCAACATCTACAGCACCAGATTTTGTGCCCGTAGCAATCCATGGCGATGTGGCATCGGGACTCCATGCAAAGGCAGCCGTGCGCGGTATCTCGCGAACGCGTACCATTACGGCGTTGGCTGATGGGAGGTGTGATCAGGAGGACTCGAGGAATGACAGAGGGGAGCAGGAACGCATTCAGTGACGGGCAAAATATGAGCATCAAACAAAGTCGAGGAAAACGATGGACGTAGGCGCGAATGCAGTTCTCAACAGGCTGTCCTCTGTAGGATCGAGACAGGATCGCCTGGTCGAAAGGGAATGTATGTAGCAATTATATTGGGCATGGGCAATGAATGGGGTGCAACTATAATATTGCAGTGCCCGCAAATCGGCCAAGTGTCATCGCTCCTGAATTGCTTATGATTCAAGCATTGAAGCAACATGGGGAACCGACTTCAGCCGCATGACTCATGAAACTCTCAATATTTTCACGTGATATCTTTCTATGGTTTTGCCTCAACCCTCAGTCTTTCTTTCACCACGGCAGCGACACGACAATCACTACTCCAAGGGCGAGTGAAAAGAACAATCATGTCAGAGGGTGCAGGCCGCCCCAACAGCACCATATATGTTGGAGGCTTGGACACTACACTGGTAACGGCAGCCACACTTTCCGAGGCCTTTATTCCATTTGGCGAAATTTCTGATATCAGTCTCCCCAAACCGGAAGCACCATCATCGACAGAGCTCCATCGGGGATTTGGTTATGTGGAATTCGAAGACCCGCAAGATGCTAAAGAGGCAATCGATAACATGGACCAGAGTGAATTGTACGGGCGAGTGATCAAGGTTGCGATGGCGAAGCCCGACAAACGAGAGACCGGAGAGGTTGGTCTTGGTAGCATGACTGCTATTTGGGAGCAGGTAAGTCATTAAGGACTGCAGGACTACGATCATTTGTTGACATGTTTTCAGGAAGGTTATCTGGCCAAGTACAATGATGCGGCAAACGAGGACCGAGCGGCGGTAGAACAGTCGAAAGGCGACAAGACAGCAGATCCAATGCATGGTTTGGAAGGTTTGGACGTTGCAGGACCAAAGCCCGAGTGAGAAAGGCCATTACAATTACCAAAGACCCACGAATACGAGTAGGACTGAGGTAGTCCATTCTTGTGCATGACCATCATCCAAGCTGAAGCTGTTGCTCACTCCGCAATTGATGGAATGACGAGGCTCAAATACCATAATACTGATTGGTCAAATCGACGGCCAACAGGACCGCACTCTGGAATTATCGCAAGAAGGTGATCGTGCGGATGGCAGCGAGAAGGCCCCAAAAGACTTGTTGGGATGGGGGATTAGTGATGACTCGCGCAAGCAACCTCTAGGTCTCGCGCATTTTCATCGTAATTGAGAGCAGCCAGGTCACAAACAAGACATGAGGAACAGTTGAAATTGATTGATACCTATGTACACATTTGCAGATTGGCAATTTCTTGCATTCCAATATGATGGTTTGCTCGGCAGTCTGAGGATTCGAAACCACTGATTTGATGCATACAAATTTCCCATCGCTGCTCAGTACCTGCGCCCTTGGATGTTTCACTTTGATATGAGCCTAGATTTCCTAATGAGCAGGCTTGGGGGGGTTCTTATGCAGACGCAATGTCTTGTCGGTCAAGAGCTTTCGTGTCATGGCGAAGGTGGCCGCGGCGAGAGCGAAGCTGGGGCGTGTGTGAGCTTGGATCAGGTTGAAGGATGGGAGCTGGATCAAACATACAGGATGACCACTCCGAGTGGGAGCAATTCCGGGGGGATTTTCTTGAGAGTTCGGATTCTTTGGGTGATGGTGTGCGCTATAGGTATTGATGTTTAGTTCGGGGATGGGGGTAAGTCCTTGATCGATCAGAGCATACCGCTGTGTTCCTCTTCCTGTTGCAATTGTCAGCAAGCCGTCCTTCAAAGCCCAAATCCAGACATACCTTAGCTCTCAACATGGCCCTTGAATTGTGGAAGGGCCTGGCCTGTCGGAAAGTGGCCTGACGCATAGCTGGCTGGCGCAGAGCGGCCGCCCGGAGGGGCTGCAGGCGCAGGAGCCTTGCAGTGTTCATGTTGGTAGTAAAAGGATATCGAATGAGTGGAGATCAAGGTGTAAACACCAGTCAAAGGAGTGTTGAGATCCAGGTGATTGAAGGGCAGAAGTGATGTAGTGCCTTTGTTGTAGGAGAAATGGGCCTGCGGATGGGAAAGCTCCCACTGCAGACGAGCTAACGCCAATCACAGTCATTCTGATCACCACAGCTGCGATCCCCGCCAAGTTGCCCGCCTCGGCCCACTGACCAGCTGCCCAGTTGCATGTAGCCTACCAGATTTCATTAAACATCTCAAATAGAAGATGTGTATACGGAGTACTACTGTGGTATGAGTAGATCATGCCCATCGTGCCATCCCTTTCAGATAAAGTACACGCCACTTTTAGCTGGCATCCTACCTCCACCCGGCATCTGCTCACAACACTAGTAATAATAACGATCATGGACAATTGGTGCAAGTGCGGATCGGAATAATGTTTCTGCATGTAAAAGAACATTAATGGTTCGACCATTATTACGATGGGAAAGGCACCATGACTACCAACCGCTACATGATTCTATCATCAGATGACTGGGGAAATGACTGCAGGGGATGCCCTACCAGACTGGGTCTGAGCCTTGTTTGTGAAAGGGCGGACGGGTGTGCTGTACACTGGGCGTAGACCACTGATGAGTGTTGTTGAGCTTGATAGGGGCGTGTGTTGTCCAACAGGCTTGTAATAATGGACGTGGGAGTTTTCACTGGATATGCATTCGAGCTATGATTGTTAGAATGATTGATCACTGTACTTTCTGCATGAGTTACAAGCCTGAGAGCATTCACCCAAGACGGTTCACAAACAACAAGACAAAGAGACTTGCACCGGCGAGGATGATCATCCTTGTCGAAACCGGACAATGTTGAACAGAGGATTGTCAAGAGCATGGGTTGGTTCACTCCCACGACTACTTAAAAGCATATTTGTACTAGGCAAGCCTGACACTCAGTTGTACGACTCCTGGTATCCCAAAATATCACAGAGTAGGAGTACTCATTCTAATCATTTCTGACTGATCGCGTGCCTTCTTTTTGGGTGCCAGTTCCTCAAAATGTGATGGATAAATCTCCCACGAGTTGCGGCTCCAGATCAACTAAACAAGTAATTATTGTTACCTAGAAGAAGCAGGCTTACCGGCGCCATGTTGCCTAAGAAAACGTGGCTCGCGGGACATCTGGGGGGCAATGACGGCTAAATTGCCCAGGATTCAGCCCCTATGGCCCCTATCATAACCCCCACTCCAATAGCAGGGTGCCAATAATCTCCACCCTCGGAGACTGAACCGCGATTCGCACCGCAGAACAAACGAGGCGAGGCGCCTCAACTGCATCTGCATATGTCGATTCCGAGTCCTTCAACAACTGGCGTCTTTTATCGCTAGAATACCTGTCCTTCTTGTTGTCCTTCATAGCTATCGCGACAAACCATTGAAACACCACATTGTCGCTGCTCAAGACTCATTACTACATCCCCTCCTTGCGACTTCCATTCCAGTTTCCAGTCACTCCTTTGTACCAATATTGGTAAGCAATTTCCTCCGCGCAGTGTCTTCACGCCTACCATCCACATCATCGCGAACCGGCCAACGTCTGCCCAACACCCCCAACGTGACCAAGTTCACATCGTCACATCTTCACTTAACCACTCATATGTAATTTGACTCATGCTAATCTGTCACTCCCTTTCAGCGCTGGAACGCCTGTTTATGTCTTGTCCAACAATTCTGCCACGACTCACGACTGCCTACGGCTTCTTCTCTACCCATTCCCATTTCCCTCCCACTATCTTCCGCGAGAGTCCCGCACGCAGTAGCCTCTATTAATCACGCCAACATACGCCGGTCAAGATGTTTTGGCGCTTTGGAGGCTACTCCAACATCTCGACCATCGACACTTTACTAGACAAGCCCGATGTCAAGCTCGAAGACCTGCTTGAAGATCCCGATCTCGCACAGGAACTCAAGTCCCACCACACCAAATTAATCGAATTTCTAAGAGACGAGAATAATCTCCATTCCCTGCTTCACTATGTTGTGGCCCCCGGACCCTCCGTGGAGTCGGAGGATGATGACTTTGAAGAGAAAGACAAAGCCTCACAGCCCACCGAAGACGACGACGACGAGACCGAAAAGCTTCCAGACGAAGAGCAAGAGAAGGCCGAGAAAAGACGCTTGAAATTTGCCTTCATGGCATGTGAAATTCTTTCGTCTGAGACTTGGTCCATTACTGAATCTTTGATGTCAAATACCCCATATCTTACCGAGTTTTGGGAGTTCATGCGATTGCCTGCGCCATTGGACCCTCTTCAGGCCGGCTACTTCACCAAAGTCAATGAGAACCTACTCGAGAAGAAAACAGAGGAGATGCTCGACTTTTTCAAGTCTCTTCCTGGCATTGTCCCGGCCATGTTACAGCATGTAGACTGTCCCATGGTCATGGATCTACTCTTGAAGATTATAAGTTTGGAAAAGTCCGATGGTGGAATGGGAATTGTCGATTGGTTGCACGGCCAGGACCTGATCCCTATGCTAGTCGCCAACCTTGCCCCCGAGTGCAACTCTTCCACCCAAACTTCCGCTGGTGATTTCCTCAAGGCCATCATTACCATCTCGGCAAACGCTGCTCAGAACGAGCAGTCTTGCATTGGGCCCAACTCTCTGACTCGTCAATTGGTATCAGAAAAGTCTATCACTCAACTTGTCTCGTACATGCTCCAGGGCGGAAACCCTCTGACAGTCGGCGTTGGCATTGTCATTGAGGTGATCCGAAAGAACAATTCCGATTATGATCCGGACCAAGGCCACCACCAGGACACACCACCTACCAATCATGATCCTATCTACCTGGGAACGCTATTACGCCTCTTTGCTCAAAATGTTCCGAATTTCATGGATCTCATTCTCAGCTCCAAACACACAGTCACCAAAGGCGAAGAGATGAGTGTAGTTGAAAGAGGTCATCTCAAGTCTGCCTGGGGTACTCAAATCGAGCCCCTTGGGTTCGACAGATTCAAGACTTGCGAGCTGATGGCAGAGCTCCTTCACTGCAGCAACATGGGCCTGCTGAACGAGCGAGGAAGTGAGGAATATATTCGAGAGCGAGATGCAGAACGGGAGCTTTTACGTGCTCAAGGTGCTTTTGCGTCTCCCAAGCAATCTGACGACTCGACCATTGATATTTCAGCCGCTTCGTCGAGGTTTGAAAATGCATTCACGCCCTCTGTCACAGCATCGACCGAGGAACTCCGCATCGCCAATAACATTGAAGAAGATGGTTTCGAGAAGGTCGCAGTGTCGGAGGCATTGGACACTTCGCCAAGGGTCCTAAAGTCCCAGCGTGACCTTGTCGACGAGCCATTATCACCCACACATCCTAAGGATCGGTCAATTCCCACCATCGAGTTGGATGAAACCGTCCGCCGTCTCAGCCTCGATGCCCCTGAAGACATTGATATGACTTCACCGCCGGCTGAACCTGAAGCAAGCACTTCAAGCTCAGACCGTGATGCAGCTCCCAACACACCCGAAAAGCTCACGTCTTTTTCCAATAGTCAGGACCCGGACAGAACTCCTACTGCTAACAGCCCGGAACTACTATCAAGCCCTACAGTGATGAGGAATGTATCGGAGGATGCAGCTCAAAGCACCCAGCTAGAAGGAGATTCATTCCAGACTGCCCAGGATGATTCGACCCAGGTGATTCAACTAACACGCACGGGTGAGGACGAAACTCCGGTGGTTGGCGACTATCTCAAGATGATGTTTGTCGAGCACAGAGTCGTGCCGACTATCCTGGTGAGTGCATCTCATCGTTATACCATGCGTTCTAATTTTGGCTGCAGAGTTTCTTTTTCCGGTTTCCATGGAACAATTTCTTGCATAATGTCGTGTATGATGTGGTGCAACAGGTGTTCAACGGCCCGATGGACCGAGGTCACAATAGATATCTTGCATTTGATCTCTTTGAAACCGGGAATATCACCGACGAAATCATCGAGGGTCAACGCCGAAGTGATGAAGCACAAGAAACCAAGAACATGCGCTTAGGGTACATGGGACATCTCACGCTGGTGGCAGAAGAAGTTGTCAAATTCGGCGAACGCCACCCTCGCGAGTTGCTTTCCCCCACCGTGCAGGATTGCATTTACTCTCAGGTGTGGGAGGACTATGTGACAAAGACATTGGCAGAAACCCGAGAACGAGATAATGCTATTCTCGGTGGTTTCCGACCTGACAATGGACTAGGTCCTCGGCAAGCAGTGCTGAATGCCGTGAACGCGGGACAAGGCTTTGGCGGGTCCAGTGGATTGGCGGGAGTCGGACTTGGTGGCGGTCAACATGCTTTGGATAGCATAGATCTGTCCAATAACGGAAGTGCGACCAGTGCAGGATATACCTCTGCAGGGTCTCTTTCGAGTGGCTTTGGCAGTTCGTCGGACGATGAGGATGAAGAAATGGACGATGCAGAGGATGACGAACACGGGAGAACTGTTGCTCAAATGTCCTCTGCAGAGACCGATCTTGCATCGGAGAATGTGAGTTCGACCAGTACAATGCGGCGCTTTTTTGTTTTTTAGGCTAATAAACTGGCATCACAGTCGGATCAGCCAGTGCCATTACTGCCACCTCCTCCAGCACCACTTAACATTGAGCCGTCACGTGCACGCAGGCGACTGGCCGACCGTTTAGCGAGACGGAAGCAGCAAGATGCAGACGCCGGATCAACCACAGCCGAGTTCGGTTCGGAAGCCGACGATCCATTCGCTGCCTTTGGGAATCGTGACGGACAAGATGCGTCTGATCCATTCTCATTGGACGAAGAAGAACAAGACATCACCAGCTTTGGCAAGCGAAGCAATGTTCAGTCGAGCTCGCAGTCATCTAACGACCACCATGCGTTTTCCGTGAGCCGGGGCTTGGCCAGTCTTTTCTCTTCAGGGTCTGGCCGAGGCCATTCCAACAACGATGATCTCGATGAATCTTTGGATGATTCGTCATCTGAAGGATCTGGGTCAGACATGGACCCAGAAAATCCTCCCCTCGAAGCGAGGAGAAGCCTCGAGCGACGGCCCCTTGATGTGGACGACGATGAAGAAATGGGAGAAATGGTTGGGCCCACGGAAGACAGTAGCAACAGCTCCGACGAGGAAGTGTTGAGTCCGATGGAGAGGGAGAAATTGGGAGCGCCGTTTGGGATGAGCGATGCGGATGAGCAGGGCTCTGAATTCTCCGGCCAAGCCGACAATGACGACGATGACGACGACGATAGTGATCAATTGGTTGAGATTGCCATGCCAGCAAACTCGAAGAGAAGATCACGAGGTTGAGTCTAGGAGACTGGAGCTGGTGCAAAGCATATTATGGTGTGACGAGGTTGATGAGGTTGATGAGGTGTATGTAAGGCTGAGAGAATAACCCCCAACGCAGCACAAGAAGTCCTGGAACCGACGATACCAACCCAACCTACCTATTGGGGACGACAAGGACGAAAACGAGACAAGGCATAGTAGTGGAAGGGGAGGTGGGTGTAATGACGACCATAAATGGGAATGGAATGGGAATGGGAATGGGATTCCCTTTCCCACTGTACAAACACCACACCTTTTTGATACCCATACAAAGACAGGCTTTCGACATGGACATTGACATGGACATGCACAGAGAGCATCTATCAATTTTCCCAGCTGCGAGTATCCTCGAGAGCCACGGACTCGGGGGAAATTGGGATGAGAGTTTGAACCAATAATTTAAACCCTTGTCTTCGTTCCAGACGATGATAGTATTGTCTACTAGTAGGATACTAGCTACAGGATGTTTTATAGGTCCCATGTAGAGATTATCTCCAATGAGATGAGGTAGCTACGGTAGTTAGTGAGAGGGGAGTGGAGATTCCTTATGATTCATAAAAAACATTGCCCCTGTGAATCTCGGAATATAAATCATAGAATCATGAGGAGGTTCGAATACCGAGTACCGAGCATCAAGTCACGAATATTGCTTTCTAGACACCACAACCACAGAAAGCTAGGATTCAATCTTTAATCATTATCAACATGGTATACAATGTATTAAGAATCCCTTGATGCATTTAACTTCCATATGTGCTACTCCAACATTATCACTTATCTCTATAGCTTTTCGTCACCGTCATCGACATGGCATATATAGAAAAGCAGACCTAGAAACACGTTTCAATCACAATGGCTCGGGTAACCAACAATCCCAAACGAAGACCATTATGACTACGAAGGTCCTCCAGCCTTAGCACCCGCTTCTTCAGTCTCAGTCTCAGGACTCAACGCCCTAACCAAACGCGACAATTCCTGAACATGTTTCTTCAACTCACGAATCTCGACAATATCAGCATCGACATCGACAATTGGTTTCGAAGCCTCGACTTTCGCATCCCAACCATCACTGACAAGGTCAAGTTCCTCATCTAATTCCTCCCATTCCTCAATCGTATCGTCATCCTCATCGCCACGTTTCCGATTGTCTCTCACGGACTGAGCGTCTCGTGCTTCAAATGCCGCGGTGATGAGTAGGAGAGGAGCGTAGATGATTCCCATGACATAGTGGTTAAGACGTTCGTAATGCGAAGGGTTCATCCACCATTCGAAAGGGAGGATCAGGCAGAATAATTCGATTAGATTAAAAGGGGCAATGAAGACGTTTTCGTCCGGAGCTCGTACGAATTGCATGGTCTTTTGTGCGAACATGGCCATGTATTCGTCGACTGCGTTTTCGGTGATGTCTTCGTATGCGGAGTTGTATAGTGCGATGAGGATGTTGAGGAGGATTACCATGACTACAAATGTGAAGATGTAGTAGAGGATTAATCCGAATGGATGGGCGTAGTCGTCGAAGCCGTCGAATTCAGGTGATTGCATTACCGAATTTGCCATGGCTGTGATGATAAATGATGTAATTGAGTCGTTACCTTCGGCTTGGTTGAGTCCGATGAATGCCTGCAGAAAGCCGACGCAGACGACGATCAAAAGAGCGAAAAAGATAAGTGATTCGCGCATCATGACTTTTAGAACCACTAGCATGGCGCCGAAGAACCGGAATGTGTCGAGATATAGAAGGAGCCGAGCCCAGAACATGGGTGCTGAAAAGGCAAAGATGTGGTAGCCCAGTTTATTGAGCTCCTGTCTTCGAGCATTGTCTTCATCCGACGAATGCCCAAGTGCGATCATGCGGATGACGAACGATGCAGTCAAGAGTGAGTATAGCGTCAGGTGAAACGCATTCCAGAATCCGAAATACCAGCGTCCGACTTTCCAGAATTTGGCGATTTCGTCACAGATGAAGCCTGCAGTCATGAGGTAGAGAATTCCCTCGACGATGTCGAGATCTCCATCTTCATTGACGGTGTTGACCGCGCCAGTGAATAGAGCGAGATAGATGAAGGAAATGCTGATGTGAACGGCATTCTGGTATATCGGAGCTCTCATCCGATCTGGGTTGAAGTGTGCCCAATAGTTGGTATTGTCTCGTTCCTTGTAAAAGACGAAAGTACCCGCGTTCTTATCATCTTGAACGATCCAGCCTCGCCAGAGATACTTAATGCACTTTTGATAGCCTGATGATCCGATGATGGTTAAGGCGTGGAGGTCCACTGCTCTTTCAATGACGTTGGTTGGTGTGGTCTCGCTTCCTCCACGTAGAACGGAATATCTCTGGAGGAGGACCTCTTTCATCAGATATTCTTGGTTTTCTTCTCCTTCGATGATGCGTTTGGCAATTATCTCGCATGCAACGGCGCGTACGTCGTGTAAGTCGGCATCCCATAGCTCTAGGGTGGCTTGTCTTTTGAACCAGCGTTTGCACACCAATAGCCCATATACAACGCAGGCGGCATACTCAGTGCCTCCAGCTTCTTTGGCCGTAGCGACGACTTTGGGAGTGATGACGCCGCTGTTGGCTGCTGTGACCTTGTCCTCGGGCAATTCGATGGAGATGACTTGTTCGATCTGGTATTTCAATCGGATGGCTACCTTGGTCACTTCTTTGGCAGGGAATGCCGAGGGTGGGATGTCGGAGGTGTGACGAGGGAGGACTTGTTGCGGTTAGCATGGCTGGAGAGTCTCGAGGAGTGGATATATCGAGATCGAGGTACGCACGTCTTTGTATTTCATCCTGGAGATGGGGATTGTCTCGTCCGTCACGAGAACCAAATAACTGGCTCCATTTCACCATCTTTGGTGGACTCTCTGCGAGCGTCCTGTTGCTGTTGAGGTAAGTGGTTGAAGAGGGAACGAGGAGACGACGACGACAGCAACACTAGAAGCTACGACAATGCCAGTGAGCATCAAAATTTCATTTAGAGAGTGAGGCAGGACCTGAGAAACTGTCCCAAGAAGTTGGAAGAAACCTGGAATTCACCTTCAGTAGAAACCTACCTCTGTAGCTACGCATCTTGACTGGAGCTACACCAACAGATCAGCGCCAGCGCCAGTGAAGAGAGTTTGTTCTGCTTGATGCCGCCTGTAAAGTGACGCAAAAGCAAGGTCGAGGGCGCCAAAAGTCACTGTCAAATGCCGAACTGAGTCAAGTGGAAAAAGCTGCCCGGGGGCATCATGGGCCCAAATGCTTAACAAGCTCACCACTAAACTTCGTCAAGCTGACCTGCGCGGGGTTTAAGCTTTAACTAAGCGGTCAGATCTCTGTGTGTTTCAACCACCAATCGATCGCAAGTCTCAGACTACGAGCATAGTGTGGTTCTCGTATGTCTGTCTGATTTATACTCAATGTAAACAGGTCATGGTCGTCTTTGGACATATGTTTTAGTCTAATGGGACTATCTTGGTTGACCGAGTCTTGATAGAGCAAGACTATGCTTGGTCTGGCTGCGCGCTGCTTGCCTCCACATGAAACAGGTCAAGAATGGCTCAAATATGGATGCTGTGTGATACTTGAATCATCCCCCATACCTTTTCTGGCTCAGTGAGACGGTCCCAACTCTCTATCGCTGTGTACAGATGGTGAAGCCTGTCCCTGGTTGCAAGTCCCCGTCAAATGTATGGGAACCTCACCAGCGCCAAAATGAACGCCAGTTTCCACACATGTCGACGTTCATATTCATACTCATGCAATTTCTGGACCTTCATCACTCTCGCTGAGATCTTCATCACCACTGACTTCTTCATTCTCCTTGGCTCTCTTGTCCATCAATGCCTGGAGTTCAGCATCATCATGCTCTGTGACAGCCTTTGGCGCCATCTTGACCACACATGCTCCTCCTGACCCACTAATCTCCTCGTCAATATCTTTGATCGCCTGCTCCAGTAGTTGGATGCCCTGAGCCTTGTCGAGACACTGGCTGGTGAGAACGTAATGTGGAGGAGAAACCAGCTTGACCTTGACCTGGGTATCTGGTGTGTTGTTGGCCTCAGCCTTGCGGAGGGCTTCTTTGACTGCATCGATTCCATCATACTTGAAACAAGTCACTTCGACGTCGGCACGGACTTTGGTGGGGTGAGGTGTCAATTTCTTTCCAATGTATTGCTGGAACTCCTCCTTGACAACATCGTTGGGGAATGTGACGTCGTTCCACACATCCGGGTTGGTAATGGACAGTTTGAAAGCATCGTTGGCGTGGCCGTATTTTCGGTTGAGGGGCCATCCAATGTCTTCGTATAGTTTGAGTATTGGCGTCTTTGTCTTTTCGGCAACGTGTCGCATGATCGAGTGGACCGACTTGCTCTTGTTGTATCTCTCTTCGCAGCGAACGATATCTTCGGCTGATACTCTTCGTTTGGACAGATCGATATAACCCTTCTCTTTGTCTACTCGAAGAACAACCACCACTTCGTTACGGCCAATTCGAATGAGCTTTTGGATACTTCGGATACGTCTTCGAGACAATTCGGAGAGTAGGATCATTCCATCGATGTTGTCGTACTCGAGTAGTTTGACATAGGCACCCATCTCTGCTATCTTTACCGAGAGTCAGCACTCAACCATCAGACAAAGCAGACCATGCTCGCTCCATATGTAGCCATCTTACCTGCTTGACGTTGACCATGACGAAACTTTCGATCTCTGGGTATTTTTCTTCATAGAAGCGACAATTTGTGAGAGAGTCGGGGTCCGACATGATGGCGGTAGGCGCAGCGGCGCGTGGAAGGGTTTGGTGTAGGTGACCTTGGGAACAGATGAACCAAAGATGGATAGGGAGTGATTTTTGGTCAGTGAGATGGCTCAAGAGTCACAATGGAGCCTGCACGTAAGGATGCTATACCGGCTTGTCTGTGGCGGCGCGCACTTTTTGCCCACCACTTGAACCCCACTGACTGACAATTTCACAATGCCAAGAATCCCTCCTCTTCCAGCGAAGTGCAAATGATGACACGCAGTTTGCACTCTCACACTATATGTTCCGCTGGGCTTTCGACGTCATTGTCGCTGGACATTCTCCCCAATGCTGATTGGTTGCTCGGCATCGTCTTCTTCATCCTGCGATTCTCTCCATCCGATCGACTTACGTTTTCATTTCCTTACCGGGCTACTCTCGATTCCTGTCAACCTGTCGTCTCATCACGCGTGTGCAAAAACCTTGCCCAGCTATTTCTACTCTTCTGGCAGTCTCGAAGCCGCATTTATTAGCCATCTGAGCATCGTTGGGGACTTTGTTGGTCCTGTTTATGTATTGGAATTCCTTGACTCAATGGTTGTCATCTATACGCACCGCACCCTCCATGTATTCGCTCCACCAAACTCGCAGCCATGACCAACCCAACTCCGCACTCGTCCTCTTCTTCCTCCGCTCGTGTTAGCCCTCCGCTCGCTCCCCATGTTCCTCCCGCACATAGTCGAAAACAAAGTCAACATGTTCCATCTATACCTAGTCGTCTGCGAGAAAACGTCGTCATGTCCCCCGAAGAGACAATGGCCAGATCCATCTCGGCTGAACACCTGGCTGGCCCTACCCGACTGAACCTGTCTCCTCCTGCTCTACAGCCACACCAAAATACTCCCACGATCATTGAGCCTGAGCCAAGCAAGTTGTCAGACTTGGAGAATGAGTCAATCACTGTGGAGATTGACGAGCCCTCTACCCAAGAGGTTAATGCCACAACGAGTTTATTGGGCAACTACAACCATCATAATCGCGCGTGTGGCTTACGGAATTGCAACCATGGCACCTTCTCGCCTCGTGCCCCTTCCATTAGGAGTACCTATAGCAGCCTTGACAGTTCGGTCCAATTCGGTGGCAGATATGGAGCCACTATTGGAGACGATGGCGGCCCAAGAGACATATCTCACGGCATCCTCGGCGACGCCGTGGCAGATTCTCTTACGGGAAATAAAGGCTCCAGCACCACCAGATGGCTGGCACATAAACATGGCATCAACAGTCCTCGATTCATGTACTTTTCATATTACTTTCCCTTTGTCAAGTGGGTGAGACAGTATCGTTGGTCATGGCTGAAAGGAGACCTGATCGCTGCCTTGACTATGGCTTCCTTCTATATTCCAATGGCTTTGTCCTATGCTTCTAACCTGGGCCACATACCACCAATCAATGGTCTTTATTCCTTCGTCTTCAGCCCTCTGATATATGCCTTGTTGGGAACTTGTCCCCAAATGGTCGTTGGACCTGAGGCTGCAGGATCGTTACTTGTGGGGAGTGTGGTTAAAAGTTCCATCGAGTCTGGGGGGTCGGGCGATGATGACAATGTCCTCAATGCCCAGATTGCAGGGGTTGTGACTGGTATTGCTGGAGCGGTGATTTTCGTCGCTGGCCTCAGCCGACTAGGGTTTTTGGACAGTGTTCTGAGTCGACCTTTTCTCCGTGGCTTCATCAGTGCCATTGGCTTTGTCATTTTCGTTGACCAGCTAATTCCTGAGCTGGGTCTGGCTCATGAGGCTAAGGAAGATGGCGACGTTGCACATGGTAGTAGTGCTCAAAAATTGGTTTTCCTGGCCCGAAATATTTCTAAATCACACGGCTTGACAGCCGCTGTATCATTTACGAGTTTTGCCGTCATTATGGTATTCAGGTCAGTCTTCTTTACCCATTTGTGATTGGCTGCATGGACTGACAATAGAATCAGAACTTTGAAACGAAAGCTTCAACCACGCTTTCCCTCTGTCGCATACTTTCCAGATCGTTTTACTGTGGTATTCTTGGGAGCTGTTCTTACCTGGGCTTTTGGGTGGGATAAACAGGGGTTGGATATTCTCGGAAAGATCGAATCAACATCGGGAACAAAGGCGATCCCCTTCCAATGGCCATTTACATTCCGCCATATGAAACATATCGATTCAGCATTGAGCACGTCGTTTTTGATCGCTCTTCTTGGATTCTTCGAGTCGTCCGTGGCCGCAAAAAGCTTGGGCGAAGGCACCCATGGTCTGCATGGCATGAGCTTGAGCGCCAATCGAGAATTGATCGCATTGGGCGCGGCCAACATTGTCGGAGGATGTTTCATGGCCCTTCCCGCATTCGGTGGCTATGGTAGGAGTAAGGTGAATGCAGCAACTGGTGGGACAACACCCATGAGCAGTATCCTCCTCTCCATCCTCACCCTCATCTGCGTCTTTTTCGTGGTACCATACTTCTACTACATCCCTAAAGGGGTTCTTTCAGCCATGATCTCGGTGGTTGCATATTCGCTCATTGAAGAATGTCCGCATGACATCAAGTTTTTCTTCAAGATCCGGGGCTGGACGGAGTTGTCACTGATGTCCATCATCTTCCTGGCCACAGTCTTTTATTCGCTCTCTACAGGAATAGCGTTGGGTGTTGGCTTGTCACTCCTCCAGCTGATCCGCCATGCCACCAAACCACGAATTCAGATTCTAGGAAAGATTCCTGGCACTCATGAATTCGAAAATGCGGAGCTGTCGCCTGAGAACATTGAATATATCGAAGGCGTTCTTATCGTCAAGATCCCCGAGCCACTGACCTTTGCAAACACAGGCGAGCTCAAGAATAGATTGCGACGGCTGGAGCAGTATGGGACTAATGCTGCTCATCCCTCATTACCACGGGTCAGACACGAAGAAAACAACCGGAACATCATTTTCGATGTCCATGGCGTTACCCAGATCGATGGGTCCGGCACGCAGGTTTTCACAGAAATCGTGGAGGAATATGTCAAGAGGGGCATAAGGGTGTTCTTTTGTCGAATACCTCACCGACGAAGCCAAGTCTTCCAAGCATTTGAACGGAGTGGCATCGTAGAACTATGTGGTGGAAGACGAAGATTTGTCGGCAGCGTGGACGAAGCATTGAGGGCGTCTGAAGCTGAAGACTTGGAAGAATACTTTGGCGAACGCCTTCGCGGCCATGAGCGAGAAACTCAATGGTAAGTATCAGGGAGTATAAATTATCAGTATTCTGAGCGAAATGAAACTTTTTGACGATATCATTCAACTGATCTTGCGACTCTGTTGCTGAAATAAAGGGGCGCACTTTTGTCCTTTTGCCAGACTTGACACGTGCCGCCACTTCTTCCACCATTTTTCTCTTCTCTCCCTCTTGTGTCTTCATATCCCTTACTACCTATACCCCCAGTGATGCCACAACAATGAACTTTCGATGCTTCGCCGTTCTCATTTCTGTCCTCCAACTATGGCTCACAACCGCCACTGGTCATGGACTCCATCTTCCCCTCTATCGAAGAGGAGGTCGCTTCTTGAGACGCCAGGCTGCCAATCTTACTTACCTCGACGATATCATGCACCAAGTCGAAGCCCGATATTCCCTGACCCATCGTCAAATCGAGGGAAATCATCTTATACGACAGTGGCGTATGAAAGAGCAGGAAGCCGAGGACGAGAATGATGAGAATTTGATCGATGTTGCTGGATATGATAATCGATGGTGAAGTTTTCTTCAGGTTTATAAGGAGATACATGGCTTTTAACTCTAGTTGTCTGTGGTAGGTTCACACAGATAGAAATTGGCGAGCCCCGTCAGAAAATCGAGGTCGAGATCGATATGTTGAATCCGGATTTCTACACCATTGCCACCAGTAGTGGTATGGGGTCGAGGTATGATCCTACGGCTTCGATTACTCACGGTCTGTCCCTTTTCCAATGTTCCAGAGGATGGAGCATATCCCGCTATTGAAACAAAAAAACAAAACTGAGACCAGAACCAGTCCCCAACGACGATACCGTCCATTCGATCTGTAAAAGCCCAAGCGACATCTTCCACTTCCCAACCCACGACAGCTCCTCCTCCTTCTCGTCCCTCCGCCTCACATTCCCAATCTGCACGCCCTCCAAAGCATCACGCCAATCCCTCTCCCGCAGTGGCACCGTGCTCGGCCTCTCCCCACCATCCTCCCTCTCCCGCCTCACCTCATCGCCCCTCCTCTCTCAACTCCACACTGCCGGCCTGATCACCGAAAAGATCTTCTCCATCACACTCCTGGATGCTGAATCCGGAATCCTCAGCCTCGGCGGGACCATTGCACGTGAAGTCGAAATAGCCAAATTACGCAGTACAATCGAATTAGAGCATTTCGGCGATCCGATCGCTTCACCACAGTGGGTGGCTGAGCAGGTTGATGGACAGATGGAACAGACGATGCCCTCCGAGCCGGAGATGAAGTGGGATGAGCATTTCAAATGGATGGATGTTAGGGGTGCGAAAGGGTGGTGGACGGGGCTTATGGCCGGAGTGTGGGTTAATGGAGTGAAGGTATGTTACTTATTTCTTATTTCATCATTTCAGTCTTGATATCCAATGATCAAACAGATACTGACTGGTCTATTTGCACACAGATCCTCAAATCTCAACCTATACTCCTCGACCTGAATAGTCCATTCATCATTGCACCTACACTGGCTACTACACATCTATACAGTGCCATATCTGGGTCACACCCACTGACTTACAACCAAACACAACTTCCTCATCATGACGCAGCAAAATTCTACACCTATCCATGCTTGAATCCACCTGTCATTATACTCGAGCTGGGAGGATGGATGTTTCCACTTCCTACGGGTCACGGCGTGTTGACTAATTGGGATGCAATGCATGGTCCGGATGGAGGGGGTTTTAGTCTTGGGAAGAAGGATACTCATAGCCATAGCCACCATGAGGATGATGATGAGGATGATGATGATGACAAGAGGGGTGGAGGTAGTGGTAGTGGTTTCTGTGTGGGGAATATTGTTGGCCGGTATGTTGATCCATTGTCTCACGTGGAGAGAGAGCAAAAGAAACAACAGTTCTCTGATAGTGGTCCTGGTCTTGCCGATACATGGGTTTTGGGCGAACCTGTGTTCAGAGGACTAGGGGTGGTGTTTGACATAGAGAGAGATAGGGTCGGGTTTCGTACGTACTAACCTAAGTACCTAGGTAGATAGGTGTGTAATGATATGGATTTGTTGATTGCTGAGTTGACCTTTTTGGTTGATGTGAAATAAAATCAATACACACATATACATGTCTTGCAGAGTCGAATGCATTTACATACAAGAATAACATGACTTTGTCATAGAATCTCAAATCTCATAACCCAACGCCAATTTGATTTCTATCTGTATGCAGCTAAAGACACGGGAAGAATGGCGAGAAAAAGTGTAACATCACTCACACTCACACTCGCACTGACAGGTCCTGATTGACCATCTATCTATCTACGCTTAGCAGGTGCCTGACTGTTGGCAACGCCTCTCTTTTTCTCAATCTCGGCAATTCTCTCTTGCTCGGCCTTTTCCATGGCCGCTTTCCTTCTTTGATCGTCTCTTGCAACTTGATCGGGTCTCTTGTTGGCAATATCTTTTGGTCGAAAGTCGCTGAACATGTGTTTGAAGACTTGTTCCACCACCCAACAGCCGCAGAAGTCGATGATCATCAACGAGGTGAGTGTCCATTTGAATTCGCTTGAAAATGGAACGAGACGGAGTTTGTCGTTCAGTTCAGGAATGAACTCGGTGCTGCCTGCGAATGCGACGAATGAACAAGCGAGAAGTCCCCAGTACATTCCGCGGTTCTCGCGGATGCTTTCACGGAATGGGCGGCCTTGATAATTGATGGCAAAGGTGGAAACTTGCTGGATCAGCTGCATCAGGTAGACGGCGCTGTTGAGAAGCGATGGCTCGAATTCGCCCTCAAGGTCAACTTCATCTGAAGGTGGTACAAGTGAGTACACGACATTGGAGAGATAGATCAAAGTTCCACAATGAATGGCGAATTGAGCTAGGACCGAGCCAAGAATGTAGGCATTGAGAATGTTGGGTTGTGGTCGTTCTCGTGATAGAGCTTCGACAGGTCTGGCCCGAGAGATGGATAAGAAACAAACCGACATGAGCATTCCAGAAATGGTCACTTGACCGTCACCGAATTTGATACCGGAAAGATAGATGACCGATAAACTGTAAGCACTGATAAGACAGTTTAGGGCAAGAATCTTGTACATCTGAATTGTTGCAACGAGTGTACATCTGCCTTGTCGAATGATGTTGGGGATGGCAATAACATTGGCCAGCTTGCTCGTAAATGGTGCAGCAGCTGATGCGTCGCCGAGTTTGATGGTTGGTGGTTCATTATCATCGAGTTCGTTTTCCATCATTGTTGCCGTGAATTTGTCTGCCCATCCAGCGGCTTTCTGAGACGCTTCTTGTTGTCGGCGTTGTTGAGGGGTCAAATTGGCATTGGATTGCTGCAGTGCAGCAGCGCCGGGAGAGGTGATGGTCTCAATGACACCATTTTCACCTTCTCCATTCTCAAGCTTGATTCCTCGCCGCTCAGCAAGAGCTTTGACAGCTTTCTCGTAGTGAGGGTTACTCGGCCCTTGAGGGTAAAGATGCGCAATTCCGACAGGAACGGGTGGAGCTGGCTGGTTGAATCTTTTCATCATCGCAACTTGCTTCTCGTAGATCTCTTTCATCTTTGTTGTCCTGAAATGTTCGCCAATGCGATTGAGATCATCCTGAGAGCCGTTAAGCAAGGCAACACCAATGTGAGCTTGTTTGAGAGCGCCAACGTCGTTGGTACCATCACCACACATGAGTGTTGTGTAGCCCAAGTCCTTGAGACCGATCAAGATCTCTTCCTTTTGTTTGGGCGAAACTCGAGCATACACCCAGGTGTAGCGAAGTAGCTGAAGGAAACCGACCTGTCCAGTGAACTTGGTCAGGGCATAGCCTGTTACACAGAGATCCTTTGAATCTAGAATCTTTGGATCGAGCTCTTTTGTTGGGTCCACAGGAATGATAGTCTTCTCATCGACACTTCTCCAGACCAATTTGGTGCCAGAGTCGTCATGCTCGGGGGCGTCAAGAATCAAGGTATCACGATCGACAATCTCAACCTGTCTGGCAACGTGAACAGCAGTAAGAGGATTATCACCAGTGATCATGACAACGCGATGACTGCTTTCGTTGAGCATCTGCACTGCCTTGATGGCGTCTTCCTTGAGAGGAGTCTGCAAGACCAAGAAGCCGGCGAAGTGAAGTTGACTTTCGACTTCTTCTCGTTTGAGATCGTTGATGCGCTTCTGGCCAAGCTCTGCTTCTGTCGAAAGGTACTTGTAGGCAAGAGCGAGAACTCTGGCACCGTTTCGGGTGAAGTATTTAAAGGTTTCTTCGTAGTGAGGCGGGGGTGAAACAAGCATCTTTTGAATGGTTTCCGGTGCACCCTTGACACCAACGTAAGTACCTTTGACTTTGCGTCCGGTGGATGGGTCAGTGACAGCAACATAGGCGACGGAACTCTGGCGTTTCAGTGCAGATGAGAATTGGAAACGACGCTTGATCTGGACAATATGTGAAGCCCCGGCAGTGGAGAAGGGCTTTGGTTTCTTGGACTTTGGCGGTGGTGTGCTGATCAAGATGTCGTTATGTCCAAGGGTCCAGTTGAGAGCAGTCAAAGTGGCCTTTTCCATAGGATCTCCGACGATATCTCCTTCATCCAATTTGACAAGAGCATGAGCAGTGGCCAAGACAAGAGTGGTATGAATGCTAACTTCGGGAACTTTGGTAATGGTAGACTGTGCACCATCAGCTTCGGCCTGCACACCAGACTTTCCAAGTCCTAGACCGGCGATTCCTTCAACAACCAAGTCCTCGCCAGTCAGTGTGCCAGTTTTATCGAAACAGGCAACATCGACACGGCCGGCGAATGGGATGCGGAAGGGCTCCGTACAAAAGATTGCAAACTTGCTCAAGGCTGCAAGACTGGTGTTGACAGCTAATGAAAGTTCCATCGGTAGTTCGGGTGGTACGACACTGGTGACAATCAAGATGCAGTCTAGGAGTAGCTTGGATCGTTTTCGGTTGTTTTTGACGCCCTCTTGCCAGACGTAGCCAGACGCTGCAAGTGCGAAAACAAGCAGGAATAGGATGAACCACAGAGCCTCGGCGTTGTTGGCTGAGACACGTTCTGTCGAGAAGATCATGGTTCGTACGAGACTACCCTGGCTCGTCTCAAAACCTGTCTTGGTGACAATAGCAAGGGCACCTTTGTCCGGAGGAGGTCGGACACCAGATTTGAGAAGAGAGGTGGGGTCAGAAGAATCTTCACCTGTTGGAGGATGGGTGATCTGAAGGACCTTGGTGCCACCGTAAACAAAAGCACCTTTGTCGATACCCTCAGGGTCAATTCGGCTATCTCCTGGGCGAAGCAAGACTGATTCTTTTAGCAGTGGGGTACTTTCACCAGACAACATGGCCTCGTTAACAATGGCAGTTCCCTCGATGAGTAGCATATCGCAGGCAACACCAGAGTCTTCGTTGGTCCGACCCAGGGAGACGAGATCGCCAGGGAGCAGTTTGTCACTCTTGATCTCAATCCATTTCTTGACACGGTAGACCCAGATGTCGTAAGGCTTAATGCCCATGCCTCGAAATTCGGTTAGAGTGCGCTGTCTTTGCCAAACGACGGTGCTTTCAAATGCGACCAGCATGAACAAGGTGAACAAGGAATAGTACCAATAGTCATCCAGTAGCCATAGACCGACACAAAATACCTGGAAGATGAAGAAGGGAGCGACCGCGTGCTCCTTCCAGAGTTCGACGAATCCAGGAACGGGAATGTCAAAGGTATTATCGCCATAATGTTTTTGAACCTTTTCGACGTCTTTCTCGGTGGACAAGCCTTGACTCTGTTGGAAGTCTCGCAGGAAAGGTTTTTCATCTGCGTCCAATGCATAAGCCAAAGTGGCAAACGTGCCTTTGTCTGGATTATAAAGGAATCTTCTCTTCTGAAACAAGAAGGAAATTCTGCCATCTTCTTCCCGCTCAAGTTTGACAATAGCGGGAGAGCCCGAGTTGACGATAGGGATGACCTTGATCAATTCAGCATCCTGGACCCTGCTGGCTTTTGAGGTTGTGAAAGCGGTCCTGATGTTGACGTTCCATTTGGTGGCCAGCCAGGCTAAGGACTGAAGAGTGGTGATGGTGGCCACCCAGACAAATGTCCATTCTTGACCGTCAATGTATTCGTCATAGCGATCTTCGTCGAGATAGAAGGCGAGGAAGATAGGCCAGAGTATCGTGAATGGCCATACATAGGTCTTGAGATATATGGGAAGAGGATTGTGTAGGCTGGCAGACAGCACTTGGTCGTTATCCACAAGTTTCGCACTAGAAGCAAGTCAGTGATTGATATGGGTATAGACGGGGAGGGACATACGAAGTCGTCGCCATGATGAGCGTCAATGAAGAGCTCAGCGATAGAAAGACGAACGAGGCGAAAGATTTATCACTCCGGAGGCGGAGGCGACGGCGACGAGTGCATGAACAGGGTGTCCTTGACTGCTCAGAGTAAGTTGGCGCAATTTACAAATTAGTCTTGATCCGAGATGCACGATGATGGAAACAGGCGAGAGTCGGATCAACCATGTTCCGGCCACTGATCGCACTTGCCACAAAAGTGCATATCCAGGCAGTCGGTGGCTTGGCGCGGCTAAGCCATTTTTGACTCATTTGATATCTCAAACCCTTGTTCGTGACTTTGTTGGGAGTCAGTCATTCCTCATACCCAGAGTGACAGAAGAACAACTAACGATACGCTCAGCCGTGGGTAGATAGCAACTCGCTTCCACCGCGGCTTCTTTTGCTGAATAAAGAAACCAACTGTGAGTCCATATTTGGTCTGACCGACCGACACTCAATCCACCTCATTTCATCTCACGTGCTTTGCAGCCTCAGTGGGGCTGAAACCGGTTCAACATGGCGGAAAATACGGAAGCCAGCAAGAGCCTGCCGGAGAGAGTCAAGGACAAGGTTGAAGGTCTTGTCGCAGAGGCAAAGCCCAAGAAGGAAAAACCCCCCAAACAACCCAAAGCACCGAAAGAGCCAAAGCCTCCACAGGCCAAAGCCCCCAAACCAGCCAAATCAGAGCCAGCAGCTCCCCTGGACCCCGAGGCCATGTTCAAAGAAGGATGGCTTGCTGCGGTGAGGAAAGAACGAGCAGCGGACGAAAGCGTCGTCACTCGATTTCCTCCCGAGCCCAATGGATACCTCCACATCGGACACAGTAAAGCCATCGCCATCAATTTTGGGTTCGCCAAGTTCTGGGGAGGAAAGTGCAATCTGAGATACGACGACACGAACCCCGAAGCGGAGGAAGAAGTCTACTTCACCGCCATCGAAGATATTGTTCGGTGGCTTGGTTTTGACCCCGCTGCCATCACATATTCTAGTGACTGTTTTGATCGGTTGTACGAGTTGGCAGAGAAGCTCATCACCCTTGATGGAGCTTACGTGTGTCACTGTACCGATGAACAGCTAAAGGATCAACGAGGCGGGACTGATGTGAAGAACAAGCATGAACGATATGCTTGCCCTCACCGAGATCGACCAATTGAGGAGTCTTTGACCGAGTTTCGAGCGATGAGAGACGGCAAGTACAAGCCTCGAGAAGCCTTTCTGCGCATGAAACAAGATCTCACCGACGGAAACCCACAGATGTGGGATCTTGTCGCCTACCGTATTTTGGAGAAACCCCACCATCGAACTGGAGATAAGTGGAGGATTTACCCGACATACGACTTTACGCATTCTCTCTGTGACAGTTTTGAAGGGATCACACACTCTCTGTGCACTACAGAATTCATTCTCTCCCGAGTGTCATATGAATGGCTCAACAACAAGGTGGATGTTCCTCACAAGCCTATGCAAAGAGAATACGGCCGTCTCAATGTGACGGGCACTGTTCTCTCGAAACGAAAGATCAAGAAATTGGTGGATGACAAGATCGTCGATGGCTGGGATGATCCAAGACTGTACACTCTCGTGGCCTTGCGTCGAAGAGGTATCCCACCTGGTGCCATTCTGTCATTTGTCAACGAACTCGGAGTGACCACAGCCAAGATCAACATTCAAATCGTTCGCTTTGAGCAATCGGTTCGAAAATATCTGGAACAAACGGTCCCTCGATTGATGGTTGTGCTGGACCCAGTGCCCGTGATTCTCGATGATCTGCCTGATGATCATTATGAGGAGTTTGAAAATGCCTTTGGACCCAAAGATGTGGACATGGGGTCACACAAGCTTCCATTTACAAAGACAGTCTACATCGAAAGAGATGATTTCCGAGAGGTTGATAGCAAGGATTTTTTCCGAATGGCACCAGGAAAGCCTGTCGGACTCCTCAAGGTGCCATATCCGATAATTGCCACCAGCTTCAAGAAAGACGAGACTACTGGACTGGTGACGGAAATTCATGCCAAGTTCGACAAACCAGCGGAAGGAGAGAAGGTCAAAAAGCCAAAAGCCTATATTCAATGGGTTGCTAAATCCCCGGAACATAATTCGCCCATTCCAGTTGAGGCTCGAGTGTTCGGGCCCCTCTTCAAATCGGATAATCCTGACGCCGTGGAACCCAACTTCCTAGCAGATCTACGTGACGACAGCCTGAAGGTTTATCCCGATGCGGTGGCAGAGGTGGGCCTTAAGGAAGTCCGGGAGCGAGCACCATGGCCTGAAGAAGCTGGTGAGACCAAAACGAAAGCTGGGTTTGAGTCGGTCAGATTTCAAGCCATGAGAACTGGATACTTCTGCCTGGACAAGGACACGGAAACCGGTGGGAAGATTGTGCTGAATCGGATTGTTGCTCTGAAGGAGGATACCGGAAAAGCAGCCTAAGGTAGTGGCCGTTGTTCGTGATAGGGAGGACCTTTCGATTAGCTAGCTAAATGATAGACATGATATTATGGACTAAAGACCATCACATGTGGAAGTGATGTCAAATCAACCTTAGCCTTGTGAATGTCACAGAGCATCACTACTTAGGGAAGGTCTGCCGCATAGTTGGCCCCGATTGTTATGAGGGTAACACGTGACCAAGGCTGACCAGTGGTAGACGATGACAACTATCAAGAGCAAGTATACAAGAGGTACACAACGTGGCTGCAACACGGAAGAGAATGCATCTGTACGGATCAAGAAAACCCCGATTTCAATGTTAACCGTAAGGCTGTCGACTCAGGGTACTTATACCACCTCGTTGCCAGCACAAAGTCCTGACCTTTTTCTCCTGTTTAGTTTTATCTCTTAGTATTCTGCTGTCTATAAATCAGGTTCACCCTGACGTTTTGTACGAGCCGCAACACATAAAGGGGGATTTTAACATGAACTCAGGAAGTTTCCTGGTGTTAACAACAAGAATATAAGGATCCCTGAGATCACAACGAGTATAACAATTTCTTTAGTTGTTCAGGTAATCCATATAGAATAGCAAAGATGAGTGACCTTGTCCAGGACATGAAGTTACAGGTTATTTCATGGCGGTAGAGAATTAAAGGGGCGGACTCCTTAACGTAGTAGGGTAGACTACAGACTATGTGGCGTGACGTATACGAAGGGCGAAGGATGTCAGAGAGAGGATACTTTAAAAGGAAGAGAGGGGAAGAGGGTTCTTATAGGCCTTGAAAGCTGCGGCGAGCTAAGACTATAACTATATCCGAAACGGTAGTGTCAGCGGATTTCCCGGCAATAACTGTACAGTTACTGAGAGTTACAGTCGCAGTTCCCTCTCTGCTGTCCTCCGACCGATGCCAGCCAACCCCGTCTTACTGTGCGTGTGATCTGTTCCAGCGTACCCAGCATGGAGCACGACGACATCTAGTTCCTTGGACGCAGATACCTCAAGAGGAATCGAAAGGCTCAAATCTCCTTCGGTGACGTCTTCTGAGCCATGAAGATGGCCGTTGACGTATACACCCCAGGTACCCGCAGGTAGATTCCGGATCATTGGTACGATCTTGTGCTGCATGCCATCCCATCCCTTCAGGGTTATGATCATGGCAGCCTTATCTTCCAGCCACTGGCCGCGCAGGAAATCCACCCCTTGTGACAGATCCACATTATCGATATAGGGGGTGCGGGCGAGATGCTCTCTCGTCCATGGCTTCTCGAACATGATCTTCTGCCCATCGTGAACATTGAGACGTGCATACCCGATGCCGCTATTGCTGGTGTAAGGATCCATGCAAGTGAAGTTCTCCACTCCATACTCTCTCGTTCTTTGATAGAATAGACCTCCATTGTCCCAGATCGGGTTCAGGTGTTCGTCAGCATATTCCAGCAAGGCCGAGAGATATTCTTCTTTCCCAAGCTCGCTGAGCCATTGAAGCACCATACCAAAAGTGGGAGCCTCGACAATCTGACTATGGATCGGTCGGTTCTCTGCTTTAGCAGTGGCCACAGCTTCTGCCACGGTGGCAGCAGAGTCGTAATCGTGCTCGTCAGGGCTTTCTTCGACGAGCCTTCGAATTTTATTGCCAACATGGAATGTCTGCAGGCGAATCTGACCGTCAATCTTGGTGATGTGGCCGCGCTTCTGTTTCTCGAACAACGAGTACACAAACTCGGAGTTCCAGGCATTCATGAAGGCCCCGTTCCATGCGGAGCCCGTGACTCCCTGAGAAGCAATGGTTTGGTCTTGCTGAACCATCCACATGTGTGCAATCAGACCCGTGGGGCCTATCATACCCTTCTTCTCCCATGCGGCAAGATACTTGGGAAGGAATTTGTCCAATACATTCGTTCCGTGACGCTTATCATTGAGCCCAATGGCGATCAAGGGGAACTGATTGCAGATGACGAAAACCACATTGGGCTCGCAGCATGCCCCCAGGAACTGGTTCTTTTCCATCTCCTTCACGATGACATCTTGGAGGGTCTGTGTCGAATATTTGTATTTCTCCGATTCGCCCCAGAATTGAGGCGCCCAGTCAAAAACGACGGAATCCGGCTTTTCAAACTCGTCGTCGTCGAAAAGCATGGCATAAAAACTCAGCATCAGTAGCAAATGTCCACTATACATGATATTTTCTCGGACCACAGGATCTGCCCACGGCTTGCGCGGCTCTTTCAGGTCGGGATTCAGAATTGTGCCAGATTGAGAGGTGTTGTACCAATAGCCCCAGACGTCACGTAGGAGCATTTTCTGGATGAAACGCCGCATCATCGGCTTGAAAACCGACCGCAGTGCCGGAAGACGATGGTAATGTGCCACGCTGGCTGCATATACCAAATTGGCGAGCTGATAGCGGTAGGCGTCCATAGACTCTTGGAGCGCATCTTCGGACCAGAGATGATTCCAGCAACTATCGGGCAAGCTGGCCAAGTTGTGAAAGTGTCGGATATGGCCAGCCTGCTTACCATTTAGCTTGGGACTGGACTGGACGTCAATGGGGAGCAGAGACGGAAAGGTCGTAATGGAACCCATGGCGGATATGGGTTTGTACACTCGTGAAATGAAAGAAGGTAGACGTTCGAGAAAATCCTGCAATGCAGCATCGGCTGTCCCTGAAGGCTTGAAGTGACTCACCGCTCTATATACCGGTTTGAAGCAGTAGCCTTACTCATGGCTGAGGGGTCCGGCGTCACCCAAGTCGTTGCCCTCGCAAGCATTTCGAGAGCGCCTTTCCCCATAATTTAGACATACACCGGAGTTCCTGTGCTCGCATATTCTCTGCCGATGGGCCTCGGCCGTCAGTGCAAGGTGCAAGGTGCAAGTGTGGGTAACAGATAGTTGGCCGTCGGTGAAGAACATATGAGCACAGGAACTCCGGTGTTCAACTAAATAGGAACGGGCAATGTGCAATCCGATCCATCCTCGAAACCCCTTTATGTCTGGAGCAAAATCCACCAATACTCAGATTCGCACCCCGATTCCGAGACACATGGCTAGAGACTCCACCTTTTCAAACCGTACTGGCAAAGCATTTTTGCACTTTGCCAAACCTTGCCTGCTCCCAGAGTCTTCACCTGCACCGACCTGTGTCACCGGGGTACACTACTGTTTACTCTTGGGACGGAATTCCGGCTGCTTTGTGCGGGGATGAATCCGGGGTCTTTGTCGAGAGTGCCAGGAGTCATCCCGGGGCGAACCCATGCAGCGAGCATAAAACATATTCTTCGTGAAGCCATGTGTTGGAAACTTGATCAACTTTAGTCTGCAAGTTTCGACACCGGGGCAGGAAAGACAGCACAAAGACAAGAGTTATCATGGGTGACACCGAGAATGCGTATAAGCGCAGCAACAAGCGAACATTAGGATTCTGCCTGTTGGTGGGGAGTTTGGCCTTTCTATATGGCATGGTCATAGGCCAGACCTCGGGCTTCATCGCAATTCCAAGGTGAGTATCTGGCCGGTGTGGCCTGTCCGGCCTGTCCTCTTCCCTCCAACGAGACGAGACTTACGGTGTCAACAAGATACAACTTCGACTTTGGGGTCTACAACGAAGCTGCTGGGACGAATGTGCTCAGCGCGCCCCAGATCTCGGGCCTCTCCGGAACTACGTTGGCATCGGCAGCCGTTTCTGCGGGATTTGCTGGAACCATTGGTACCAGATGGGGTCGCAAGATTGGCCTCGTGGTCGCCGCTGTATCATACATCACTGGCGTCCTTATCCAGGTCGTCGCGACCAGCTATGCCACTCTGATTGTTGGCAAGGTCGCAAATGGGTTTGGCATCGGCTTTGCTGCCAACTTTGTCATTCCCTACTGGGCAGAGACAGCTCCAGTATCCAGGAGAGGATCGATCATCGTCATGTACCAGGCTCTAATCAATCTTGCGCAATTCGTCGGCCAGTGCACTGTCAGAGGCAGTTCCGAGTTGACCACTCGCTGGGCCTACAGAGGACCACTCATGACCGAGTTCCTTCCACCTATAATTCTTCTTTGCGGGATATATTGGGTCCCGGAGAGCCCTAGTCAGTATAATAGTCCAGTCCTATTTATTAACTATCTTATTGTTGAACAGGATGGTATGCGTCTCGGGGCAAGACTGAAAATGCATACGAATCAATGCGCCGCTTGAGGGGACCAACATATCCTGTGTCCGAAGTCGATGCAGAAGTCGACGAAATCATCGCCATGCTCGAGGTGGAGAAAGAGTTGGAGGGCGCGGCCAGGTGGTCAGACTGTTTCAAAGGGACAGATCTCAGAAGAACCTTGCTGAGTATCTTTACCCTCTTATGTCAAGAGTTTTCTGGAATTGCATTTGTCTCCGGGTGAGTTTCCGAATTATAGACTACAGATACAGCCCATACCGACACCACACTTAGCCGGGCTAATGCTTTTCAGATATGGAACTTACTTCTTCACCCTTTCGGGAGTCACCGACCCGTTCACTATCACTGTGATCTCGGGCATGTGTGGTCTAGCGGGCTCTCTGACTTCGTTCTTCCTTATCAGGTATGTCGGACGGCGGTATATCCTTATCGGGGGCACGATCGTCCAAACCATCTCCATGTTCACGTTTGCAATCGTGGGAGTCGCTTCTCCCGGGAGCGGGCCAGCATCCAGATGCATTGCGGCGTTCGTCTGCATATTCATCTTCTCCTACGGTGCGACATGGGGTCCGTTGTCTTTCGTCCTCTTGGGCGAGCTTCCATCGACCAAGTTGCGATCGAAGACGGTTGCATTATCGACTTCCGTCGGGTGGAGTTTCAACTTACTTATCCTCGTCGGCATGCCGTACCTACTCAATCCCTCATATGTCATGCTTGGTCCACGAGTTGGGTTCATTTTCGGAGCAACTCAGATCTTAAGCCTTATCTTTGGTGTCTTCTTCTTGCCGGAGACAAAGGATCGCACTCTCGAGGAAATCGATGAAATGTTCATGAATGTGAGTTCCATGTTGCGATGGGAGCTGAGAGAAGTGGAGCATCTATCGCTAACTGTCTTTGTAGAAAGTATCGGCGTGGGGCTTCCGAAAATATAAGAGCACCAAGACTGTTCAGGGTATCAGTGTGGCAACCGGCATTCTGAGTGATAAGCAGCAACAGATGATAGTCCAAGTCGAGAATGCGAGTTAAACTCGTCAGATCCGGAGGATATGTAGAGGAGGAAGAGTTGGATGAGCAGATTCGCCGTGAATACTCAATGGGCTGCAGTGCCTCGATTTATCTATAAAGTCTTCATCTCCCTGGGGTTCAGCTCTCTAGAAGAGAGAGTCAGGAAGAAATGATCCATCTAGAGGTAATAAGATTGGAGGCACCTGCCCAGCCCAACTGGGGGTAGTCACGACTGTAGCAAGTGACAAATCCGAACTTTACACGAATTGTGCACAGTGAAGAGCATGTTTCGAACAGGTTGGCTGCCCCTTTGAACATTTATCATCATGGTTGGGATTGGATTATCCGTTTGATGGCGTTGTAGAGCGTATCTTTGATTCCCCAGGCGGACATATTGGCGAGGAGATCTGCTGTTTGGTCCAGCGCTTGCCGGGCGCCGTTGGTAGTATAGACGTCCGTGATACCGTGCATTCTGACCACGCAGGGAACGCCATACTCAATCCAATCTCGTACCACCAGAGCTTCCGGCGCGTCTGGAGCGCCGTGCCAATCAAGGTTGCACACGGGTAAGGGGCCGGAAAAGCTGCTGCTCGTGGCTTGCACCAGATAATCAGCGGTCTCTATGGTCGATAGGATCCAAATCCCGACGCCACCGTGGAATGCGTCATAAGGTTCTTGTGGATGGTTAGAGGGGTATCTTCGCGTAAGGTCCAGTAGCTGTGCACAAGTAAACATGAGAGTACGAGCATCTTTGGGGTTCTCCTTGGTCCACTCCAAAATCTGTTGGCGGGCTGGACCTGCTGCCACTCCATCCTGCCAAAGCATACCCATCATATCACATACCAATGCCGCTTTCGCTAGCCCGCGGGAGGCGGCAACTAGTTTCAGCATCCGGATTGTCGTCTCGTCGTGGTGGTGCTGACCAACGAAGAAGGGATAGCTGTGAGTGGGTGACACAAAATTGTCCATGATCTCCAGGAGCTGTTCCTGTCCCTTCATCAAAACGTCATACGTGAGCAGATATCTCGCTCCTTGGTGCGATGTCGCCTCTTTGTAGTCCCAGATCATTCTACTAAGAGCAGTCAAGATGAGACATCGAACATAATCATCTTCATATGTAGACCGCGCCACGGCTGGAGTTTGCATGACCGTACCAATGCAAGCTGTAAAATTCTGTGAAGGGGGCCATGCTCCCGTCCAAGGATGCAATGCTGCCCAGGCTTGCTCTGTCTCGGCTTTCCAGTGCCTGCTCCGGCATGGAAGGTCCATCCTGAGGTCAGTTAGGGATAAATACGGTTGGGCGTTTCGCATCGTAGCGGAAGAAGCATCGTATGCCTGAAGGTTCCTGGATTAGAGAATCTGAAAACGAAGAGCTATTGACATCGAACTGACATATATGGCCCAAGCAAGTCTTCGAGATCTCTCCCGACGGATCCAGGCAGCCCAACCGCTTTCGTCCTCCGTCGTTGTTGAGGGTGTTCTGCGGTTATTGTCAAAAAGCCCTGTATTGCGAGCTTGGTTGACCAAAGCACCTCGATTGGATTCGGCCAGTTCATAGAGACGCTTACTACCGCTTGAGAAGCCATAGATTGAGTTCAAAAGCTGTGCCGAAAGATAGGAGTCCGTTCTTGTAGTACGTGGGTCGTTCTCTGCCTTATTTCAACCTCAGCGGGAGAGCTGACGACCCTGGCATTGGGGGGACTCAAACTGACCATGTATGCGAGCAGTCGTCGGCCAAATTCCGACAAAGTAATAGAGAACGCTCTTGCTCCCTCCAGATCTGTGAAGCAAGCTCCAATTGCACACAATATGACGGAAAGCGCTGGATCGCTGGCAGGATCGAACGTCGGACGATGGATTATCGGCACCCACTAGCACAAATCTTGATGAGAAGAGCACAGTGAGCAAGCATCGAGTTACTGGACGGACTTACCTTGTCGAAATGGGCAAAGTAGAGGTCGATACAGTGATCCAATTTCTCGCTAGAAGGTAACAAAGGTGGGGTGACAAGAGGCCAGACTTGCCGCTCGAAAGGGATTGTCAAGGTGTCTGTCAATTTTGATATGCCGTTAGGCCCAAGCCGAGGGAGAGAGAAGTAACGGGACATCGATTGACGACTCTTTTGGTCACCCAGGGGAGGCAATGTGAGATTTGGCGCTTTGGAGGCTGACCATCGCATCGGATAACGCTCTTCTTGAACTCCGTGACGGCCAGCCTCTAGCACGGCCAACTTTTCGAGAGGCGAGCACCCGGATTCAGAAGAGTTGACACCACTTTGTCCAGCCATGGTGTTGCGCTCTCGTCGGCCACTGGCGTCCGCCATGTCATTCATTGGCATTATTCCGGTCCATTGTGACTCTGGAGCAGATGGGTTCCACAACTGGAGACCGTCCAAGCCTTCCCCAAAGGTCCAATCCAAGTGCGTTGGCAGCAGTTGGAAGAATGGGTCCAAGTAGTTGGGCTCTGCAGACATGCCTGGAAGCATATCAAGGGTATTCAAGCCCAACACAGTTCCTGGCGTGTCTTCCATTCCATCCTGTTGCGTGGGAGTCTCCAAGGGGTCTGACGAGATGGTTGATGGAAAAGCCGGCGGCTCGTCGGTCAAAGGCTCGCGTTCATATTGACATATTCGATCACGCCGGATACATGACGAGCATTTTGGAGTCTCACCCAGACACCGCATCTTAGATCTACTCGCAGAAGAGGCACTCAGCATTTGAATTTCTTGGTCAGATGCACACAGGCCGTACCTTTGACAAGCCACGCATGCCTTCTTCCTAGACCAGGATCCGGCCCGATCGTGGTGGTGGGTTTGGAGATGTCGTCGGAGCGTGAATCTGGAGATGGATCAGTGATCAATACTCGACTGTCCAGGAGGCCGACGCATTCTTACGAGCGCGAGAACGATTTGTCACATTTTCCACATCTAATACTGCCACCAGCAGACGGGCTTCCGGTCTCTAGCCTGACTGCCATAAGTATTTGGAATCGGCGGTGAAAGCACGACTTGTAGCGACCTTATAGACCTCGGAGTGGGGCAGAGATCCATATTCCATCCCACCACAAGAGAGCAGGCGAGGCTGGCCGTGGCGATATTTCTTCAGCTTGCAGATGGCCGCAGTAGATGATTCAAACCGGGGAATATTGATCTCTAGGATGCATTAATCATCCGGGATAAAGAAAGAGATGAAGGGACATATACAAGGGCCGTGATGGTAGCACCATCGACTCCGAGGCCCCTCTCAAGTGGACCGAGGTCAAGCGCGAAGGTTTAAAGTAGTCAAAAAAGCTTGCCGCCGCGTCAAGGCTATGACCCAATGCTTAAGGAGCCTTTCTATGTATTCCTGTGAGGACTTCAACTATAGGCCTCGGCGCTAAGAGGAGACCGAGGCTACCTTAGGCTCCTCGTTCTTAACTCTACACGATTCGTATAGTGGGGAGCACTATAGCTATATGCTATCCTTCTCCTGTCTCGTCCTTACCGCGATAGCCTAGTATTTGGCTCACTATTCTTAGTCCTGCACGATTTGTGTCGAGGGAGGAACAGTGGTTATGAGGAGTCTCTCTCCTCTGATTCATGACAACAGAGCATCAGACGTGGAAGAGATGTTGAATCAGTCTCAGCCTTGTGCAAGTCACGAGGGTTGTGATGACTAAGCAGATCTTGCAATCGCCTCCACGCAGGCAGTTGCAGTCGGAGTTACAGTCGCAGTTGCCTCTCCACTGTGCTCCGCCCAAAGCCAGCCAACCTCAACCTCGTCTTGGTGCCATGCCACCATCATACATCCAAGGATCTTTGCCTTCTCTCCATGCCTCGCTCAGAATGCAGTGCGGCTTCCTAGGCGGGCCAACTCTTTCCAATTGCCAGGTTTGATGGAAGTCTACCTGTATTGCAATGTCAGGGCGCACCATCGGTGGAGGTCGAGTCATTGGAAGCGGTAGATCACTTGGACCACCCCCTCCACCGCCAAAGTCCTCCTCCCCTTTGCCTACTCATGTTCTCTCTCCCTCGCCCTCGAACCTCTCTCTAGACACTACCGTCAGTGGTGCCTCGACACCTCCATCTTCGGATCCTCAGGATATCGCCTCAAGAGTTTCTCTCGACAATGGAGGCTCTCATCTTACCCACGCAGCGGCTGCTGCAGGCGGCCGTCTAGTCTGTCCTATTTGCAATGAGGAGATGGTCACATTGCTACAATTGAATCGACATTTGGACGATGCTCACAAGGAAATCGAAGAGGAGCAACAGGATGAAGTCAAAGACTGGTTCAAACAACAAATGGTCAAGGCCAAGAAGTTCCAACCCCTCGCCGTCCTGAACCAGAAATTAAAAGGCCTCGAGGTCTTCGAGTCCAACCATGATATCGCTCGGAGTACCACCCCTACTCCTCGGAACCATTCTTCCACCAGAGAGGTACAGGATGTGAGGGTTTCAAGTACGCCTCCGCCTCCGCCAGCCAAACCAGCCGTCCCAGTTATCGACCCCGATGACATTATTCAAAAAGACCATTGGCAACGGAGAACAGGATTTGACTCTTGCTCTGACCCCACATGTGAAAAAAGGCTGGGAAGTACCACTACTGGTATTGTCAATTGCCGTAGTTGTGGCAAGCTGTTCTGCGATGAACATACAATGTACCAAATGAAGTTGTCTAGATCGGCTCAACATGAACCTGTGCGAGGTTTGTGGTACCGAGTATGCGAGACTTGCTACAAGAGTCGAGAAGGCTACAATGACCGCCATGGTCTAGAGCGAGATCGGCTAAGTGCCTTCAACACTATTCGCCAGGCCAGGACTGCTGAACGTCAAAGGGAGGTCTCAAGGTTGGAGAAGAGATTGACGCGACTGACACAATTGCTGGCAAATCCGCCAGAAGAAGTTCCTCAACAACTCAACAAAAGATGGTCACTATCATGGGGTCAGAATGACCCTAGAAAGGCTCTGGAACAGACCATTGTGGCCTGGCAAAATGATGTGGATGTTCCTCGTTGTCCCTACTGCCAACAGGACTTTAGCCAGTACACTTTTCGTCGACACCACTGTCGAACATGTGGAAAGGTGGTCTGTGGAGACCCAGCCACTGCATGTTCGATCTTGTTGCCTCTGACCGTCGAAAACAGTATGTACTCAGTTCCCATCTTTTTTCTGTTTTCTCCTCGCTGATGTTCACCACAGCTAACATACATGGTTCCCCAACAGAAAAATCCCCTACCGAGACCATCGCACTTGATATAAGACTATGCAAAGATTGCAATCACACCATATTCTCTCATCGCGACTTTCAAGCAACCTTGGCATCCTCTTCAGTCGCAGCTTTCACCCGGTCATATGGTAACCTTCTGCAATTTGAAAGAGGCATTCGACTGCTACTGCCGAAATTTCAGAAACTCCTTCAGGCTCTCCAAGATCCCGATCGTCCGCCGACCTCGTCACAACTAGCTGACGCTTCTCGAACACGGAAACGTCTCATGGATTCATTCACACAGTACGACACTGCTGCCCGTCGTATCCGCGATATGCCCAGCACCTCACCAACACAACTCAAACTCCAGAAGGCCATTTATCAAAATGCATCTCAATTCCTCCATCTCCACATGCTCCCGCTCAAGACACTACCTAAAATACTCAAACACGCCACACCACATGGCGCTCATGCAATAGGACCAAAGATTGATTCTGCCAACCCACGCTCTGCCCTTGCAGTCCTCAATCCGAGCCACATTCGACATGACAGTTCCTCCAACCTGTCAGTGGCATCGTTTAGCTCAAGCCGTGTCTCGGAACTGGAGGCAGAGGAGAAGTCGTTACGAGAGCGACTCATCGTCCTCGAAGAGCAGAAGTTTATGGTTCAAGAAATGATTGCTGATGCTAACAAACGGAGGAAGTTCGATGAAGTTGCTGCACTAGCAGGGAATGTGGAGGACTTGAGCACCGAGATCGACAGCGTGCAGAAGTTGGTGGACAATCTGAAAAGCGAATTTGAAGGTGTGTATGCCTCTGGAGGGGGCTTAGGAAGCGGTGTGAACAGTCCTCAGCGTCTACCCAGCGACGTGGGTCCTCGAGCGGCCGGCAAGATGAAGATTGTTGACAATGGTTGATCAATCCACTTGATCGAGAGGGTATCCGTCATACCCTGTTGAGCAGCCACCTATAAAGTTTGGCATACTGATGTTCCATCCATTGGCAAGTACCGGGAGGCGACATATTTGCTCACTTGGAATCGTGGCAAAGTATGCCGCAGCAGATCCGAACATTACGACAAAAACAGCATTCACGGACTGTGAGCACCGGCAATGACTGTTGGGAATGAACCCTATTCAAAGACTAGGAGAGATAGAATCCATAGGCGTCACAACAAGGAATAAATCATGAAGAGGCGGTCATATGGCGGACCTTATGCAATATGTGGTATCTCAGGTATTTAGAAGCATCAATCACGAATCCCATTATCGTAATGAATATATATATCGTAACCTCATCAAAGCTTCAGTTCCCGCAAGTATTACGTCAACATCTCGTCTTTCCTTCACTCTGCATTCTGTCTACCAGCTTCCCTTAACATTTCTCTCAAAAGGGTATAGTTAGCCTTCCGAACCATGTTGTTTTCATCATAAATATCATCAGACTCATGAGGATCATGGCCCAAGTCGTCTCGATCATGCTCACACATCTCCATCGCCTTGGCCGAGAACTTCAATCGTCCTTCACTGGATATAGCGTAGGCAGCTGACATTATGCGAGAGAGACGCATTGGCGGAATAGGAGGTGGAGCGACACTTTCGTCTGCTGCCTCCTTCGATTCTTTTTCAGACATATTCTCCTGTAAGTCAGGTCTGCGATTCTCTTTCCCGACATCGTCGTGACTCTTGTTCTCAGTCGTCATAGCCTTCTGAGTCAGCGGTAATTTCAACCCCGTTCGATTCTCGATCCATGCCGCCACGACAGCCATGATTTTCCTTTCGTTGCCATCACCATCACCATCAGAATCTTCCCTCCTATTCTGATTCTGATTCTCATTCAAAGCAATCAACAAAGTCTCACTCGGAAGCTCAACATCCAAACTCTTGAGTTTCGGCGCCACAGGCGGAGCGAATGAAATCGTCATACGTAGAGTCCCGAAGATGGATTTGAAGTTGGCGCTTCTCGGTGTTGCATGTAGACTGTTGTCTCCTGAGTCGTCGCCGCCGTCGTATGCATGTCTTGTGAGTTCCTGGTATGTCGATGACATATATGTTTCGAGTGTATGTTGTAAGAATTGAGCGGATGGTTTCAGGGGTGTGATACATGTTTCGGGGATGGAGAATGTTGTGTCGAGATAGGTGGTTAGGGATTTGTAGGTTGAGGGGTTGCATTTGGCGAGGAGGAGGATGGCGTTGGTGTTGGTGACTGATTGGGCTTCTTGGATATGGCTTCCAGTTCGATTTCGTGGGGATGATCTCGTTGTTCGAGCTTTTTTCGTCGTTGAAGGAGAATCTAGTGGAGAGGTTGTTGTGTTTGTTGTCGTTAAGAGCACGAATCGATAAGTCGTCTTGTCGTAGATCATATTAATGACCACCCCCGTAAGATATTCACCCGTTGAGTCATTATCATCATCATCAGCATCGTGATATACATCCCCTCGCAAAAGTCCGCCACCACCACCACCATATTTCCGCTTCTGACCTGTCCTAGCAGAGGAACTTGGCTCTTGTTGCTGTCTCGGTTTCTTTCGCGTCGCTCCAATATCTGATTCCAAAGTCAAAGAAGACGTCATCGAACGGAGACGCGACCAAGTACACATCCTCAACCCACCAATCTTATCCTTCTCTTCTTGTTCTTCATATCGTGGTCGTTTACGAGCAAGAGATTGGCGGAATGCATAGGTATGTTTTTCGAGGATTTCTGTGTCAGAAACTGTGTTTGTCAATGGTGTTGATGATGGTAGTGATGGGTTGAGGAGGGTGAGTAATCCGTTGGTGGGGGAGGAGATGGTATAGAGATTCCAGGATGTGTCGTAAAGAAGATTGTCCATGGTGATGGCGGATGTGGATGTGGAGGTTGAGTTTATTGTCGGTCGTTGAGCATGGTGAGTTTCAACTTTTCCTGGGAATTTGTTGATGCAATTGATGTTGAGGATATGATAGTTTGCAACATCAGCGAGACGCGGCGCGGCGCGTGAGGGGAGATTGGGATGGGAGAATCTTTTGGCGCGTAAGCACGTGACTTGGCTTCAAAATGATGTCGATCGAGTTCGTTCTTCAGTACAAACGATGGAAGAAGGGAATCAACCAAGCGTCTGACCACTACTCACGCCCTTCCATTGACACTATCTATGACTCAACAGCACAAAATCTAAATTCTATCTCATACATACGACACAGCCGCATAATATCACTCATAAATGGTTGCCGTGGACCGAGGCAAGTGGCTTACGGTTCTTTTGTCTCAAGGCTTACGGACCCTTGGACCAGGTGCTTACGGACCCCGCATAATCGGATCCCCCTGTCGTAATCCCTCCGACTTTTGCAGCCTTGTCATAATTTTGGGTGTCTTTGGAGATGGGAAATATGATGGTTCGATGGTTTGACCAATTTATTGCTATTGATTGTTATGCCGAGATGACGCTATGTCATGTCTTGCTTATGTTGGAACGGCCGAAAGATGGATGGGTCAGAGGTATATATATGCGGGTGATGTCCCAGTGGATTGAGGAAATAGATCAGATCAGATCAGAACAACAGAATAAGAGAGGCAACTTCAAAGAAAAGATTGTCTACTATTTATACTACTTTATCCTCTCAAGTACAAAACAAAACCAATTCATCACCATCAATATGTCTACCTCTCAAACCCACGACGCCAGCACCCTCCGCGCCAATATCCCTGACAGCATCCCTCCCGACGTCCCCATCGTCATGGTCAACTTGCTACGCTACCACAAACAAGCCCAATATCCAGCTGACTCTGCCTGGGCCAAGGATTCCATCTCCGGTATCGAAGCATATCAAAATCGTTACGTGCCTACATTCCGCAAATTAGCCACTGAAGCAGGTGGATTCGAAATCGTGTATCTGGGTATTCCGCAGGCGACACTCGTTGGCGCAGTGGGATTCAAGGACGAGGGTGTTGACGTGGATAATTGGGATACGGTGGGAATAATCAAGTATCCCAGTATTGAGGTATTTAAGCGGATGGTGGAATCCGATGTGTATAAGGAGGCGGCGTTGCCGCATAGGAATGCAGGGATTGCGGATTGGAGATTGTGGGTGACGACGGAGAGACAGATTTGATATCAACCTTGAGTTGCAATGGTATCAAGAGGTCGGGATGACCCTTCTTGGGACCATAAGATGATTTGATCATTGAAATCATAGAGTTGGAATTGTCACTGTCTTTTACTGGAAATAGCACAAGAAATCTTGATTTGATATTCTGTTCATCATCATAATACATCTATGTGATAGTCATGAATCATTCTAATATATCATTTCGCATCATGGCGGCATTCCGCATTGTCACATGTGCTCGTCCCAGGAAAAGCTCAAACAGAAAACAGCAGATCAAAACAGAGCAGCGTTGAATGCAAGTTTGTGAAAAAGAAGCTCATTTCCGAAGTCTCCTTACGATTGGTCTGATCAGTCGATTGTCGGCTTGATACGCAGCAGAATTTGAAGCCTCTGCCTCATCAACCTCAATGAGAGAATTTCCATCCTGAGATGGGTGTGTGACAGGTAACCCACCGGGACGAGGAATGCTACCGTGGAGTGAGGACCAGGCAAAGGCTTCGGAATAGCTTTGGCATAGAAATGATAAAGGCTGATTGTCATCGCTCCAATCTTGGTGAGTGTCCTGCTCGGGCAGACTGTTCAGACTCTGTGAGCTGTTTTGACGACTTCCAGTGTGGTGAAGAAGAGGAGGCGATAGATGGGATTTCTGGTTTGGAGGAGTAGTGGGGTTGGCTACGAAAACACGGCCATCTGGAACGGTGACTTGCTCGATTGCTGGCTTGCGCAGCTCGAGATAGGCGAGAAAATTGGCAGTTGAGATGGCGCCATGCGTCCGTAGGGAAAGAACGTCTAGTCCTGCGGTGCCCAAAACCGAACCGCTATTTTTGGAATTGGGGAGGATCTCAAAGAGATTATCCAGCCAGTAGAAATCCTCAACACTTTTCAGCTTGAGACTGGCACAGTGCTCCAGGATCAAAACGGTCAATCTGGCGATTCGCGGGACATCTCGATTATGATTTTGAGAATTGTAGTAGAGTCCTAGCCACTCGACAAATTCTTGATCAACTCCTGTGACATTGCGAAAAGCCAACTGCTTCAGATTTGGGTTGTTCTGAATCCACCGCCTGAGTTGAACCGAGGTGATGCCTACCCTTGCGAGAGTCAGGCTCTCCAAATTTCGAAGGGAGAGATTTGCGGCATGGTCGGCGCCAAGACCGGCGAGTGAGTTCCAGATGGGACTCCCTTTGAGAAAGACTGATGAAGCCCAGTAGTGGGCGGGTAAGCAAGTGTCATGGATGTATGGATGGAAAAAGTTGAGGTTCAAGTGACGCAGATGTGGAAGAGAAGTGGCGAGTATTCTCGTAAGGGCTGGAGAGGACAAATGATAGAGGTGAAGGGTCAAAGTTTGGAGACTTGATAGAGCAGGAGTCGAGAGGACTTTGCAAGCAAGAGCGTTTTGAAGAGTAAAAAGTTGATCTCGATAATCGGCTGGACTGATATTCAGGTCATTGGATCTTTTTGCATTCTTTGACAACTCAGCAGCAGGGGATTGGATCTTTGAAGTCACAATGACCTGATCCAAGGCGCATGATTGGCCGACCGAGTCGGAGATGTCCAAGTCGTCGAGAGATAGAGAATTCAAGAAAGCCAAGACGCCATAGATACGCCGAGGAAGAACAGCGAGGTGTAGTGTGTGGAGGGCGGAGGTGGATATGCGATGATAACGCTTGGAGGCCTGAGAAAAGGACAGCAGCGAAGAAATAGGAAGGTATTCAAGGATTTGATGGAGGATCTCTGGAGGAAGTGAAGCCAACGAAAGAGGACGAGAGGACGGATCCATGTCCTGGCGTGTCTGGGTCATCAAGACATGGAGAATATGAGATACAGAGAGCTTATAGAAACCAAGAAGTGGAAGAAGGATGGATTATCAATACTCAAGTGGGCAAGGGAGGTGGGTAGCGGCAAGAAGCGGTTCAAAAGTGAAACTCAAAACACGACGAGAATGCGAGGGGGGTGTGGACAGGGTGTGGGAGATGAGAGCGAGAAGAGGAGGAGTTTAGGGCAGCATTGGGCATGGTGGCATGGTGGCTCTCGCAGATGACATGAAGCACATCATGGACCTGTCTCCAAACCTTGTAATGAGCTAGGGTGTTGTGGATTCTGGAGTAACCGTATAGCGGATTTCGAGGACAATAGAAATGCACTCGTGGGTGATGATTATTTGATGGGAGGAGCACGAGGAAGAAGCAGGGGAGAAAGTGAGGACCCAAACTGCTGGGACCAACATGGTTGAGGTCCACTTTCGCAGGATGCAGAGAGTGACCAGGGTGTCCTTGGATCGATGGATCCATAGGTCGAGCTGATGGTTGGACATGGCTGATGAACTAGGGACGGGCGGAGAGGAAAACGTGCCCAGGGTTGACGGCACAAGGAACCGAGCCGTGTCCGCGCAAGACGATTGGAGAATGTAGTCGAACAATAGTTGAACACATGCTGTAAAGAAAGACTTTATAAATTCAAGTAGAGGAGTATGTAGGAAACCATGCAGGTTAGAGAGGAGGTAGAATTCTGGATAGAGAGAACTACAGACTGTACCTGCACTCACATTCAACTATAGGGGAAGAAATTCGAATGAAAAATAAAAGCCGAGTCGAGAAAGAGCGGCAGATACGGCAGATGCGGCAGAAAGGGACGCGGAAATTAAGACAAAAAGACAAACTTTGTAGCAGTTGAGATAATCGGATTTATTGCGATGCGAAGAGAATCAAATTCAAGTGCCGGGCAAAGCGAGACCGCCACTCGCCCACTGCATGCATGACATGAGAATGACACCAGAGACTTGGGTCGCTTAGAGAGTCACCCGCTATGGGGCCGATGGCCATGGGGGCTGATGGGTAAAAGAATAGTTAGAGTGTGGGCCGAGGCAGCTGATTCAGGCCTGGGCTTGGCGATTCTGGAGCCTAGAGCATTAAAAGCCTGGAAGTCGGTTAGGCACACCTAAGTGCCTAGGTCAGGTAGTCACCTAACCACCGACCCGAGGGCCTGTCACCCACTTACGAGTATAAACAGATCATCCACGCCAATTAGGCTAAGAAATTCCAACCACTTGTAACTGTACGCTATAAACATCCGGCTTCAGCCCCAACTGTCACTTCTTGATCTTGACTCGAGTCATGTGCAGTACATAAACACACTGAAGCACGTGTAAATGTTGATATGCAAAGACCCGTCACAGCTTGTCCATTGTTCATCTGCCCAATCCAATGCTGATGCACCCATGTCCAAATGATGCCACTGTCAGCACATGTTCACCTGATCTAGATCATTGTCACACGCCGGTCAAACAAAAGACAGGATATCTACAACAATCTCCGTCCATAAGTGAAGAGTGACGACGAGAGTAACGCCACAATCACCCCGTGCCTACCGTCGATCCCCCAGAATCGCTCTTTCCTCCAGATCCAATGCATTCATAGGTACTTTTGGCAGGCACGCCTTTCCCCAATCCAGCAAGTGCCCCTGTCAAAATGTCCAAAGCTTCATCTCCTCTCAACTCCCCCGTGACTCCATCTTCATCTTTGACCATCTTCTTCTCTCCCTTTGCCAATTTCCCTATCCATGTGCCTCGACCCTCGGAATTGTTCATGTCACCTGTGTGCACCTCTATCCGGCTATCGCCAAGATACCACGAAAGTTATTGACATTGTCCCCTTTTGGTGAGTCCTAAAATACGTGTGTGCTACAGTCTTTTGGCCAATTGTCCCACATCCAGACCAAGCATATCGGACACCATCATCTTCCAATCCCATTCACAAATCCAACCAGATGTCTTCCACTTCAGGCGGCTGACTCGTCCATGCAGGCACTCTCTCGTTACACCCAATTTCAGCCTCGCTACCCATGCTACCATCGCCCCTTGCAAACCCTTGTCCCTTGATCTGAATCACCCTTGCACATCCTTCTGCCACCTGCTTGAGTTGTCGCTTTCGTGCAGCTGTCACCCGGCTCAAGTGGGCTCGCCATGCTCGTTGGATCGTCATCACCGCTCTCCCTGTCTGGGATGGTCCAAGCAATCTCGAGCTCAGAAAGGCCAATGCTGCGATCACAAAGTCACGATCAAACACGTGCCCACCCTGGGCCAATGTCTCGGTCTGCGAAAATAAGCGTCCAAATTCATCGCTGCATCCGAGACGTTTCAGCCGATCCGAGAGCTTCATCGTGGCAGACCCCTTGCCATTGCTCGCCAAGTGTGGCTCGTACTCATCCACGATGGCTTGAAAGACCCGTCCGTCAGCAAAGCTCGTCGTCAGATTCACGACCGAGATACCCCTGCTGCTGCCGATCGCTTGTGCCCAAATTTGGAGCATAATCTTGTATCTTGCGTACCCTTCTTCCTCGTCCAACTGGTCCAAGAGTTCCCCATCGACCTTTACATTTTCCGTTCGACACAATCGCTTGATCTCTCTCTCCACGTCTTTCCAGTTCACTAGGCCACCCAGACCCCATTTACTGGTGAGCCCCCAAAGCAGCCTGACTGTCTTCTCGCGGAATCCGTCAACCAGGTCACCTGCTTTGATATCGTGTACAAGGTCACTCACTCCCTTGACTCCCTGCAAGGCGCTAAGTGCAATTTGCACATTGTACAACTTGGTTGCTCGTCCAACGCATGGAAATTTGAGGTGCTGGGACAAGGGCCAGTCGCGTTGACCTTCGGTCAAAGATAACGACTCTCCAGAAGGTAAGACAACCGTTGTCGTCGAGTTCGGGTCCTGGCGATGTTCATCAAGTCGTGACGCAGACGGATACAATAAAATCTCCACCAATCTTGTCAGCCGTACACCATCTCTCAGATCAACTGCAATATTGTCAATTGGGTACACGTATTCTTCGAGCGGGTACTGAGAGTGGTGCACAGCAAAGCTAATGTGGCTGAGCGCTCGCAATGGATCTCCTGCACTGGGGTTCAGCATCTGGAATAAGGCTATCACAACCTCAGATGACGTCTTGTAGGGAGAGGCGCTTTGAAATAAGCAGCCGCTGAAAAGCTGTGATTCGCGTGACTTGATAGAGTCAAGGACATTGATCAACATCAAGCTGCGGAGAATGGTTCGATGGTAAGACCAAGAGTTGTTGTCGCTCGAGTTTACTTCTGGTCGGCCGTCCTCGTTTCGTATGAGAAAGGTCTCGATGAACCGCTGCAGTATTCTTCTCTGGGCCTTTTCACCGTCGTTGCTGCTCCTCCGCGACGAAGATGAATCCCGACTAGTACGGATACAGCGTCGCCCTATCACCACTTCTAGTCCCGCTCGTAAACAGCTCAGGTCATAAGTATCGAGCCACAAGTCGTTAAACGCCCTGCGTCTTCCCAGATCCGAGTACAGTCTTGACGAAGATTTTAGATTCTCGGATGACACACTGAGTGCACCATATAACAAAGCCCCTTGAAGTCGCTTGTACAAGGTTGCGTTCTCCACATCTCCATACATGTCGAGAAGTCGAATTCTGAGCATCTCTTCGTCACATGTTCCAGCTTCGGGCGAAGACGCTCCAAACAGGTTGTTGATCAACTGCGTTATGGCGATTTCCTGATGTCCTAACCAGTTGTCTTCGTATAACGATGGCGTGACAATGTCTTCGGCCAGGAGCGGATATTCGTCAAAGGTTATCTCTTGCTTGATCGTTGGCATCACAAATCTTGTTGGAACTGGAGGTTTCTTCTGGTTGGGTTCGTGGTTGACTTGCTCAGATATCCGCGGCGGACTCTGCTTTGGCCTCATGGCATTCTGTGCTGTGACGGGTCGGAGGCCTGAGTTCCATATCGGCTTCGATCTCACTTTCGATCTGCCGTTATCTGCCGTCGTCTCGTTTGTGGAGCTGGCTGTAGAGCCATAGCATCTGGAAATTGTCGAAGCGTTTGGGTTATGCATGAATCGACCATGGTCCCTGGACGGGGCTGAAATGTCCATAATGGGCTTCTCAACAGTTGTTCGTTTTATGATCGAGCATCTTCTGCTATCTCTGGCTTCAGTCTTGCAGCCGAGTCCCGGAGGGACATTCTCTTTCCCATCACCTTGGCCAATCTTGTCCGCCGTCTGCACAGGTGCCTGAAGAGGCGCACTGATTGCATTCAGAGGACCTCTCTTTGGCGAAAGACCCATTGGGGAGGCACGTGGGCCTCTGCTTCTCTCGCCAGTCTGTCTCTCTTCGCGCATTGACGCATTTTTCGCAATATCAGCTGCGACAATTGACCGCCTTAATGCCTTGACTCGGGGTTGTGGTACAACGTCAACAGATTCGTCGAGACGGTCCATCGCAACGTTGATCAGCCCTCGTTTAGGTGACCCAGGCAACATCGATCGTCTTGGACCTCTCTTCTTGATCATCTGCGCCGCAATTCCAGTAAAGTTACATTCACTCTGGGTATTTTTGGCAAGGTCTCTCGTGTCGAGATCCTTTATCGGCGAGAAGATGCCCATGTACATGGAAGGCATGGTGGTGTCATCGTTGGGGATATATATGGTACCTCTTCGCGCTGGTTTCAGAATCGTCGATATATTGGTCATCGCAGTAGTCTCGTCCTCTGGAATACCCGGGATAAGGTCAGTATGGTGTTGAGACATTGTATTGCTGACAGGCCTCCTAGGCAACCGCGCAAGACCATCATTTGGCAAAGAAAAATTACTCTTCACTTCCGTCTCTCCTGACGGAAAACCATGTCCCACTGCAAAAGTCGTCGCAAAGGTCACTCCCTTGACCGGCCTGATCGGCCGCTGAGGTGGTTTGGAAATCAGATCACGTCGACCATCATTCCGAACCGGCCCATGAACATTTCTGTTGTTGTGCTGTGATTCGAGATCAGCTTGTTCCGCCGTCGTATCTTCGAATATGGGAATCCCAGAACCAACACCACCTCCCACACGCTGCCGAGTTGGTCTCTGTGTATTCTGTATCGGTCTCCTCGGCTTTACACCCGTTAAGGAATTTCTGAATGCGCTGGTGAATTCAATGTTTGCTGTTGAATCGCCATCACCGTTAATACTGGCAATACTCTGGATTGAATCTCGTCTCCAATTGTGGCTGTGGCTCTGGGGTCCGGATACTGGACATGGTGTATGTGAGGGAAGGACTGTTCGGTACATTATTGTCGATTCGATGGGAATGGGCGATGGAGTCTTGTTCAGTGGATGGGTGCATGAATAGATGTTCAAATCGAATCTTGTAGAGGCATTGAAAAACGCATGGAGGATAGGATAGGACAGGACAGGACAGGTTAGGGCGTATGTTGGGAGGGTTTGGTCGATACTTGCTCCGAGGACACGACGATGAAGTCAATGTCGACGTCTGTTGTCTTGCGTGGTATGGTATGGTATGGTGTGGTTTGAGGTAAGTTTTTGGGTATGTGCGTGGTGTTAAAAACGTCAATCTATTGCACCTTCACCGGTATTCGCTGCTCCGATGCATTCACTGCTTGGGTCGTATGTACGGAGTATGTATGCGTTATTATTACGTCGGATCGACCCAGACTCCAACGGAAAGTTTCATGGTAGTACTCCGTAGAGAGAGAGAGAGAAAGAGAGATGGTGCCCGTTTGTGATAGCCGTTGTCAGGGCAACGCTCAAAAAGTCGCTTGGTTCGATTGGTTCGGAGCGTTTGGAAGTGACAGTGACAGTTGGTCTTGGCGTTGGGGGTGGAAGAATCGCGGCAACACGTCAAGGCATGAATGATTTTCAAGATTCCATCAGATACAGGTTCATATCTTAATCATGAATCTAATCTCATTGTCAATTTGATTCTAGACCAAATGTATCAAGACAAAACACCATCTTACTGTAACGCCATTCCATGCATCACATAATACCCAGTCATGCTACCCGCCATGCTCTCTTATCATGTATACATAAACATTTGAACCTCGGACGCTCCAAATAGGCATATTCCTTTTCACACCCCTTTACTAGTTTACAATTCATCTTTGGATGGGAAATGCCAATCCCATGATCGAGGAGGAACCGGTAAACCAAGCCAGAAACTCCATAATCGGTTGAGCTCCATGACTGCAATGCCTGAAAACTTGAATGGCATTTCCCACCAGGTTCGGAGAACCATAAAGTATGTCCGCCATACCAAGTTCCATTCGGTTTTGATCTCTTCCCATACCGACCTTGATGGAGGAGGGGGCTTTTTATATGATATATCCTCATCCTGTCCGTCGTCATCAGATATGCTTTTCTCTTCTGGTTGGGCTTTTGAGCCTGGTGTTGGTGTTGCAGGAAGTGGATCATCAGAATAAAGGACGCTATGATCTCCGGTATTGAGAGCGTACCGAAACCGTTGAATGGCGTTCAAACTGTGGCTCACCCGACCAAGAGTATTGACCAGAGCAACAAGTTCAGTCCTTCGGAGGTGAGGATTCTCGCCGTTCTTTGTTTCGTCATATTCAAAAAGAATCTTCAAGGCGGCCCCATAACCCGCAGTCTGGACCTTACCCCACAGACGACACTTGTCGCAACCGACGCAGTCCATGAGGCGTGAGACATTTCGAAATCGGTTTCTGAAATCGTCTTTGAGGTCGATGACTGAGGGGTCCTGGAACATAAGAGACTCATCAAACGTGTTGCCGCTGGCTGCAGCCCGGTCGGCCAGCTCAAGCACCTTTTGTTTTGTTTCAAAGTCTTGTTGCACATCTCCAGAACAGAAAGTATAGGTCTCGAGATGTTTTCTCACCTTGGCAATGGCTCTGGTGAGAATGGCATAATTGAAGTAGACGTTGGAAACACGCTCGGGAAATCCATGGAGACGTTGCTTGTAGCATTCCAAATTTCGGACCCATTCTCCTGTGGATTGGTTGAAGAATTCCCAACACAGATGGGTAGAGATGGACGCATGCATGCCACTGACGATACGATAGAATGCTCGTTGTTCAAGACACTCGTCGTCCAAGGGGTACAAATCATCCGCGGTGTCTACATTTTGTCGACCATATTCTTGAAAGACATTCCTGAGATTTTGAGCCGCCTCCAGGGGTTTGGATCGAAGAGAGGCATGTTGAGGGGATTTTGCCGAGAAGCAGTTCTCTTTGTAAATGGACTCCCAGACCTGACGAGCGCCCATGCCCGAGTAGCCAGTATATCTTTCGGTATTGTTGACCAGACTGACATAGTCACCTTTTGCAGCTGCGCCTTCATCCTCAGCCACACAGTAATCTCGCTGATCACACTCATCGTCGTCTTCAAGGACACAACTCTCATCAACACCTTCGCCCAACTGATACTGCAAAGGACGATCTTTGGGCCTTTCTCGTCGAATAGCCCTAGGAGGGTGTTTGGCATGAGCACCCTCGAGTTTACTCAACTCTTCTGCTCGCCAGATCAGAGGAATGTCGCTTTCATCCTCTATAGTTTCGACGGCACAGGCACGATTGCCGCACATGGAGTTCTCATCACTCCAGAAGGGACAAACTTTATTGTACAGGTTGAGGCGATAATAGGCAAAGAAATCGGTATGTTGTGTCAAATCCTCCAAAGCGGGGGCCAACTGGGTATTTAGTTTCTCAAGATCAGAATATGAAGTACAGGCGTCGGAGACGATGGAATTGGGATCGATAGCGCATTGTGGTTCGGCTCGTACACATCGAGGGTTTAGGAAGAGGTGGAAGGCCAGGAAGAATCGAGAGGCATGTTGTAAGCGCATGCTGGCGAACACTTGATGGATGGTGATGGTTGTTTAGGGTTATAGGAGGGCAGAAGTCGAGAAAATCATACCACGGCTGTACAAGAGGTCAAACGAATGTTGGAGGATGCAGAAGAGTAGAACGATTGAGTGAGAGAGAGGGCTGTGTTGATATAAAGTTGTCGTGTTGGGTGTGAACAGACTGGCCACTCAGTAATCATGGGCTGACGTCCTGGTTGGAATTCGCCGCTGGAGACGAAGAAATGCGGACGTCGGACGGACAAGGACAAGGAAGGAGCAAACGGGGGGGAGAAGATTCTGACACGGCAGGAGCGGCTGACAGGGTTCAGGGAGTCAGGGTCCTTCCTTCCTTCTGTCTTTGACTCTTTCGGAGGAATAAAATATCCGATGCCGGGTGCCTGGCAATGTGCAACTGATGGCAACCACGACTGTAAGTTAAGACACATATACTCACACCTTCCTCGTCTACACGCCTGGTATTATGCGTATGTACATACGTGGCTTCAGTGTGTCATTTCTTCATTTTAGGTCACTAGAATTCATTCTGCATCTGTCTGACCATGCAATCAAAAGACATGCCATGTATCACACCATCCCGTATCGAGTTATATAAATATAGATCGCTAATAGCTAAATCCAACTCCTCACGCCACCCATTTTCACCTCACCGTCTCCAATCACCAGTCAATCCTTCGCTGTGCTGCTACACCCACGTGTCTGGCCGCATTAACATTGCCTGTCCCTGGCATTGGCGCCATTTTGCTCGACATCCTCAATCCTTTGTTAAACCCGAGTTTCTTGTCCAGGCTTTCAAAAGGCTTGGGTCCCTCTTCCTTCTTGACCACCCACTTGCTAGTTCCAAGCACATTGTCCATTTCCATCACCGGTGGAAGCTTGAGATATACCCATCCGTCTTCTCGCTCCTCAGCTTCAAAGGTTGCGATCGACATGCTTGTATCCGAACATGATCCAGCACCGGCATCTTTCTTCTCAAAGTCCACCTCTCCATTGAGTTGGAAGTTTCTCTTGTGATAGGGACAGCTGACGTATAGTTTGCTGTCCTTGCAGTCTGCCGACTTGGTTTCTCCGACCAATCCGTCTGACAGGCCAAAGGTTCGTTTATGGGGACACATCTGTTGACTCGCATAGTATTTGCCCTTAAGTTTGAACACTGCCAGTTGTGTGTCGCCTCGAATCACGCTTTGAGACGATCCTGTCTCCACGTCGCTGAATTTCTTGGCCTCTACGATGGGTTGCCATGTCAGGCTGGTCCATCTCGTGCCCTTGAAATCATCATTCACCGTGGTCGAAGGCCAGTACGCAGGTCTGTGTTGACCTCGTTCCTCCACCTTCTCCACTGCAGGCTCTTGGTTTTCAGTCGAGTTAGCAAATTGTTCAAATGCCTTGCGTTTTTCCGGGTCGTTCAATGTCTCGGTCCATTCGCAAAAGAATGTTCCTACAAGCTCTTGCATCTGCTTTTCGAGTTCTGCGCAAATGCCCAGCTTGTCTTCCAGGATCACTTCGCGAAGGTATTGAATTCCTCCAGGAAGGTTCTCAACCCACCGCGCTGTTCTCTGTAGCTTGTCCGCCGTTCGAATATAGAACATGAGGTATCGATCCAAGATAGGAACGACATCATCTGGAGGCACATCTTTGGCAAGGAGCTCAGAATGACGAGGTGTTGCTCCACCGTTGCCGCCAACAAACAGGTTGAACCCCTTTTCAGTTGCGATCAACCCAAAGTCCTTGTTCTGAGCTTCCGCACATTCTCGCACACATCCAGAGACACCGCCCTTGATCTTGTGCGGTCCTCTGATGGACTTGTATCTCTCCTCGAGACGAATCGCCAGCCCCACCGAGTCTCCAATTCCGAATCGACACCATGTCGTTCCCACACAAGACTTGACGGTCCGAAGAGATTTGGCGTAGGCGTGCCCTGACTCCATACCACCAGCCACGAGCTCACTCCAGATGTTGAGTAAATCTTGCTTCTTAGCTCCAAACAGGTCGATACGTTGCCCACCAGTAATCTTGGTGTATAAGCCATACTTTTTGGCCACTTGACCAATGATGATCAACTTATCGGCGCTGATTTCACCCCCAGCAATACGAGGCACCACCGAAAATGTCCCGTTGCGCTGAATGTTGGCAAGATACCGATCATTGGTGTCTTGTAACCCACGATGAGGCTTATCAATGATATGCTTGTTGAACATGCTAGCCAAGATAGATCCAATTGCCGGCTTGCAAAGCTCACAGCCGAGACTGTCTGGTGTGTTACCAACATTGGCCATGACCTCTCCAAAGCTCTGCAGCTTTTTGACGTAGATGATGTTGAAGAGATCAGCTCGGGAGAATGGAATGTGCGAACACAGATGATTCGTCACCTCATTGCCCATGTCCTTCATCGACTTGTTGAAGATGGACTGGACTAGAGGCATGCAGCCACCACAACCGGTTCCGGCCTTGGTGCAAGATTTGATCTCACCAATGGTTTTACACGATCCATCCTTGACGGCGTTGGCAACATCTCCCTTGGTGACGTTATGACACGAGCAGATCTGCGTGTCGTCGGAAAGATCGTTTCCGTCGTCCTCGCCTTCTTTGGATGCGCCGATGATGAATTGAGAAGGTGGCACGTCCAGTGCTTTCTTGTTCTTGACCATAGGTACCAATTTGACGTAGTCTTTGGTGTCGCCAATCATCATGCCTCCAAGCAGATATTTACCGTCCAGCGTGAAGAGATACTTCTTGTAAACTGCTTGGAACGGATCTTTGTAGGTCAGAGCCTTGACTGCTGGAGGGGGTGGTCCATTAGTCAGGGATTTGACTTGATCTTGTCCCGCCGTGGCAGCCTTCTTCTCCCCTCGCTTGACGTGTCTGACAGGGAGGTCCTTGGGCCCGTCTCTGTCAGCAAAGAAATCCCCAAAGCTGGCCACCTCGACGCCGAGCAACTTCAGCTTTGTACTGAGGTCAGGCGTCTTGAACTTGCGAGGACTGTGTGCCTTGGCCTGCGTGAGATTGAAAGAAAGAACGTCCGCTTGCTCAACACCAGGCGCGATAAGACCAAATGTCTGGGCCTGCCAGCTCGCACATTCGCCAATGGCATAAATGTTGGGGTCGCTGGTCCGGAGATCGTCGTCGACGGTGATGCCGCCACCTCTATCGGCACATTTGAGCCCTGCCTTGCGAGCAAGCTCATCTCTGGCTTTGATACCAATGGCAAACATGATGCAAGTGCAGTCCATCTGCTCACCATCCTCAAATACCACGCCACTGACGGCATTGTTATCGTCTGTGAGGATCTTGCCCACTCGCTTGCTCAGCATCACGTCTAGGCCCAGGTTTCGTACCAGTTCTACCACCATACCGCCGGCATCGCCGTCGAGTTGCCGGGAGAGAACCCATCGATTTCTCTCAATCAGCTTGACTTTTTCGAATTCCTCAAGGTCCATCATGGCCTTTGCGGCTTCAAGACCCAGTAGACCTCCACCGACCACACACCCAGTTGTCCCTTTGACAGTTGCCGAGAACTGGATGAGTTTCTGGAGATCTTCAATCGTTCGGTACACAAACACTCCTTTAGCATCGTGGCCTGGTGTGTGCCTTGGAAGTAAGGCGTCTGATCCAGTCGCGAGGACCAGAATATCGTACGAGACCGTCTCGCCGCTGGAAGTAACCACTACTTTTTCCGTTGGCTTGATTTCAGTCACGAGTGTGTTGAGGTGGTAGTTGAGAGATCCCTCTGGATGTCCATGGTACCAAGTTTCGGGGTTGAGGTAAAGTGACTCGACCTGTCGATGTTGGAAGAAACTAGTCAAACCAACTCGATTATATGCAAGGTGTTCCTCCTCTCCAATCACCACAATCTCGTATTCTCTCCGCTTCGCATCGAGTTTGAGTAGCTTCTCACTGCAGCACCAGGGATCAGATATGTGTCCTGTAATTCTTTCTCAGGCCTTGTTGACCGGATCAGTACTTACACGAATGCTATGCCCACCATCCCCAAGCCCACAACGACGATCTTCTTGCGCTGGGCGGGAGTTGCAGGGACATCTCCTTCAGCCTCGGCACCTTTTGGTGTGGCACTGATGGCCATGCCTGGCGATGAAGTGGCCCACGACATTTTCCAAATGTGTCACAAGATTGACTTGAGAATGCTGATCGGGGAGCCAGCGGGCAAGATACTCAGATGATACTTCACCGCTGCATATCAAGCAGGTAGACTTTTCGAACTTTCACAACCAGTAGGACTCGAGGGTAGTCTTGTTCAAAGGTTCTTGCAGGTGTTGTGTGATGATGAAGGAAACACAATCAAGTTCATCACAAAAGGAGCAGTGTAGTCAATAAGCAGAGGCAACTAGCATTGAAAACGAAGAACCAAAAATCAGAAAAACAAGAACACTTCCGCACTGGAAATCTGAGGAGAATCAAACCTGACGCCATCTGTACCATCTATGGTGCTCCGCGGGAAAGCAGTGACGGTTGAGATGAATCCATAGCCAACAAAGTTCATCAATGGTCGCTTATCGGCGGTACAGTCAATGCTCTGGAGAAAGCACATCCGATCGACTCATACGGTGCAGTGTACGAGATGAACAAAACGGACCCCCGCAGGACTTCAAGCACGGAACCGGGGGGTTTCATCATCATGATCGACCAATAGATAACGAGGAATTGTCATTTCTCTGATGCCACACAGGCAAACCCGTGTCTGGCGCGGAGAACCGAGAACCCCTATCTGGGCGAAATAGGCTGGAATGGCAAGTATTGAGAGCCTGGACGACATGTCAACAAGGAGGTTTCTCCACGGCTTAGACGGCTTGCAGTGTGATCGACGGCCTAGAAGCACGCCCGGACAAGAGATAGGCACATAGGAATGGGTTTGGGAGTAGAGATAAGACACAAAGTGAATATGTCATGGTGGATTCATGTGGATGAGAGGAAATCCCATGATAACGATGGCTTGGCATTGATCGTACCTTCCCAGTGGTTGATTTTTCAGGGTAATTGTATTGTCACACATTTTGATTAATCTTGAAATGACCAAAACTCCTTGATTTGATGCTTTCCTCGGAGATACCTTCACATCTTGGGATTTTCCACTTTTGCTCGCACTTTGAGTCATCATACCAATTTCTGGTCTCTTGTGTATACGTATCTCTACAGTCCATCAAAGTAGTCATAAATACTTCCCATTTTGACGCCAAGAATCATCGTGAACATCCCTTCAAACTCCATCGAAGCCCTATTGCTTGCATAGTTCCAAGTCTCGTGAATCATTCGAATTCTGTCCCTCTAGAAAAACATTAATTGTTCGTCTTTCCAGCCCTGCTCAAGTAGAGCCTGGTGCATTGACTTCTCCATCTCCTCAGGCCCACAGAGTAAGATCAATGTATCGTCGTCTCTCGTACAGTTAGCTTGTACCAATTGTCCGGTAATGCGACCGCGAAGGCCTGTCCATTCGTCATTGGCTTTGGTCAGGGTGTGCAAAACCTTGCATCGATGTTGGTTCCCTGCCTCCAGTTGATCAAGGTCTTCTTTGCATAGAATATCTTCAACCAGCCGGTTGCCATCAAACACGGTGCACTGTGTGGTGTCCTCGGGGTCTCGAATCACCGCACGAAACACCTGGTAGATGGGAGTAATGCCGCTGCCTCCACAGATCATGACAAATGACTTGATCTTTCGTTCTTTGTTTTGAACCAGGCATCGGCCTCTACCGAGATATTCGAACTTGCCTATAGGTCCCTTCATCTCAATGAAATGTCCAATGGGAAGAGAGTCCATTGCCATGGACATCTTCCCACCAGCCACCCCTTTGTCCGCAAAGTACACCTTGACCAGCATGTCCATGAATCCCTTGTCATTGATCTCTGAAATTGGTGTGTAGCTGCGAATGATGGTTTCTCGTGTGGCGGGGTCCTTGAGTCGAACCATAAGATGTTGCCCGACAGGAAGTCCAAGTCGCTGTTCAGCATGTTCCAATTTGTATGTGAATATCCGCGTGTCCCAGGAGACAATCTTCTTGCCGTGAAGGATTGCCTTCTTCCAAGCCTTAGAGTGTAGGAATAATTCAGAATCCCCAGTAGACTGCACAGCCTCAACATCACCCGCAGATAGGGCCGACTTTGCAGCCTCATCCAGTGACCCGATGTGATAAGTTGGCATCATGGCTTTGGCAGTCTCACTATGGATGGCCATGAACTCCTCCGTGCAGTCTAGCCCAGCTGCTGATATGATACTTTGTGCTCCACCAGGATGCCCTTCCAAGAAGTCGGTGCCATTGTACACCTCGCCATTCACCACAAACCAGGGTTGTTCTGCGCCATCGTGCTTTCTAAGTTCATCAATCGTAATTGCCTTTTTCAAGTCTTCTTTGACCATTGAGATCTCTTTGACCGGCTCAGCCGAGGGGGCAACACTGGCTTCACCTTCCAACTTCTCGCCCCAGAAACCATTGGCGAGGTTTCCCCCAGCCTTCTTCACCCGCTCCATCCAGCCACCGGGTATCAATGCCGGCTGTGTTGGATGCTCGAAGCGAAGGAACTCGCCCTCTCGGGTGATGGTCACTCGAAACCATGGATTGTTCATCATCCCCAGGACCGACCAATACATATCTCTTGGTTGCACATTCATGCTTTCATCCATGGCACGCACAAAGATGTCCTTGGAGGTTGCAAGATCTGCTGTGGAGAGGTCAATGGACCAGAAGCACCAACAAAAGCACGTCTCTCGCCATGACATATCGAGTCGGCCGCCAAAGAGGTCTTTCTCCACCTCACGGTACCGATCTTCTGCATATTCGACATTGGCCAGTCTCCACGTCGCACCTTTGTCCAAGGAAATCTCGACCCTGGTGATCCGTCTCCCGCCTCCACTGTAGGCATACCCTTTGGCTCGGTAGGTTTCAGGGGCATTCGTCAGACACAATTGTTCATCGTGTTGAGGATAACAGGTGGCTGAGTTGGGGCTGAGATCATAAATGGCATATCTCTCATCTGTCCACCATTTCGAGTTGTTTGCTGACTCTTCTGGTGAGACCATGGTTGGAAGCACCCGATTGTCGTAGATGTGATACCAATTGTCACTTGGAGCCTCGGTGACGATAAGCTTTTTGAGCCACTTCACTGATCGACCGCCGATCTGGCCGGGGATTACAACCCGTAGAGGCTTTCCATGATCGGGTCTCAACATCTCACCGTTCATCTTGTATGAAAGCATGAATCCACGATTCTCGTCCATGACCCAATTCAACTTGACCGACGTCCCATAGAAGCCATTTGGCAACAAGTCTGCCCCTTCCATACAGACGTATTTGGCTTTTCGTTTTGGCTTCGCCTTCTTGATCACTTCGGACATGATCACGCCAGTGAACAGCGCCGTTGAGAGTCCAGCCGCTCCCCAGGAGAACCCTTTACTCTTTCGAACCATGTTTTGTTCCTTGCGGCGATTTCCTGCGCATACTAACGTGATTGGGCAAGTTACTTGCTCATATTCGGTCATAAGTTCCCGTAAAGTAATCTTGATGGGGTTTTCAACTAGTCCCTCGACAGACAATTCCCAGTCAGGGATATCTTCGTCTCTGACCTGAGGTACTGCCCCATGATTTCGGACGTAAAATAATTCAGGGCTGGTGAGGAAGCCTTCATCGAACAGAGCTGTCAATGGTGCCTCGACATTAAAAGGGTGTACACCAGTCAGTCGAATCAGCCTCGGATCTCGAGGTACATGGCTGTCAGGAGTTTTCAGGTCGATATCAAGAGTTTTTGTGGGGATGGTTGTGGGAGGAGGCAAAGGAATGTCTACACCGTCATCGTCTGATGTTGAACAATTGTCGTCTGTGGCAGGGGGTGACGGAGGTAGTTTTTCTTGGGCTGTATGTTGATTTTTGCTCTCATCATGTTCTAGTCCAGTTCGTGAACCTACGGCCACTGCTGGAGTGAGGACTTCCATCTTGTCGCCAGGCTAATTTCACGCAAAATCGAAGATCTGGAAAGAGGAAAGATGAAGCACGAACATGTGCCAGGTTATGCAACATGTCAATGAGGAGGATATTGAGCAGGCTCAACTTGAAGAAGTACCAAGTCCACTATCAAAATGTGTGGACACCTACCGGGGAAATTGGAGCGATCGCCACCACATGCATGGGTGCCATGACGAAGCCCTTTCGATCTATGCCTCAGTATTGGCCCATGAGGCACGATCTGGAATGCATCGAGTCCATGTCAGAGTAATGAAGATCCGCGGGGTTACTAGAAAACAACGCAGTGTTTTTAATGCGAGGAAATGTTGTGGCTTCTCCTTATCTTTGGGCCTGATCTTGTACGACCCGAAATGGACTAGTCTCGTTTTGCTGTAAAATTCAATACAGAATACTTTTGTCACACAAGACAGACATGACAGCGAATCTGTGGGACGCTCACGGACGATCAAGTTCCAGTTGTCATGAGCACCGTAAGTCAATATGAACCTGGCTCATGGTTTTGCATATCATCCGGTGTCATCGGATATTTGAACCACATTCTGTGTATGAGGAATCTGTGCGACGGTCGGTCGTTGCCAGTCTCCCAACCCGAGTAAAGTGGTGGATACATAGTAGCGGAAAGACCCGATTCTCGTACCGCACAATAATGGATCGGAGCAATACACGTAAGGGTGAAGAGTCTTTTGTAAACTCCCCACTGAGCCTGTTGATGTTGCCCACTACTGCCAAAGAAATGGGAACAAGACACCAAAACCCCAGGCATGGTCACGTGACAGTCATCTGGAAACCTCCTGCTTCAATGCTCCGTAGTACAACTGGGGATCATACAGCCCATCGATTGCATTAATCATTTGCACGTGACGTGGGGCATCTCCAAACTTTTTCTCCTACTGCATGAACTTTTTTGAGGGAACCGGTGAGTCTTCATTCGATCTCTACACACCTACAACCCTTCTCTACCCGCCACAAGTCATCCCAGAGCCGCAACTGGCTCTTCCTCATCCGCCATGCCTCAGAACGAATATATCGAGCGGTGGACGAAGCAGCACGGCAAGCGTCTGGACCACGATGAGAGAGTACGAAAGCGAGAGGCTCGAGAAGGCCATGCTCAATCAGAAAAGGCGCAGAACCTGCGAGGTCTGAGAGCGAAATTGCACCAGAAGAAACGACATGCCGAAAAGATCCAGATGAAAAAGGCCATCAAGGCCCAAGAAGAGAAAGATGTCAAGTCCGCCACACCCAACGATCCTTCATCCCAACCTTTGCCCAACTACCTCCTGGACCGATCCCAGGCCAACAATGCCAAGGCACTTTCGAGTGCAATCAAGAACAAGCGAGCTGAAAAGGCGGCCAAGTTCTCTGTGCCATTACCCAAGGTCAAAGGCATCAGTGAAGAGGAGATGTTCAAGGTGGTCAAGACGGGCAAGAAAACTGCAAAGAAGGGATGGAAGAGAATGATTACACAACCCACCTTTGTGGGACCAGATTTCACTCGAAGACCTGTGAAATATGAAAGATTTATCCGACCTATGGGTCTTCGATACAAGAAGGCCAATGTCACTCATCCTGAGTTGGGTGTCACCGTGCAGTTGCCCATTATCAGCGTCAAGAAGAACCCACAAAACCCTCTGTATACACAGCTGGGCGTATTGACCAAGGGAACCGTCATCGAAGTCAATGTTTCGGAACTTGGATTGGTCACGACTGGAGGTAAAGTGGTTTGGGGAAAGTATGCTCAAGTCACCAACGATCCCAGCCGTGATGGATGCCTCAATGCAGTTTTACTCGTCTGATCTGCGAAGATACCGATCGGCAAAATAACACAGAAACCCACCCCTCACACCAATACTCATTAGAAAAGACTACGACCACATCAGGGGGTTACACGACATCAATCCACAGAATCCATCATAGCTCCTCGGCAAATATCGAATGGTCAGAATATCCCATAGCCTTGACAGTGATCTTGGCACTCTGCAACACCCTGCCTTTGAGACTGAGCGTTTGACCTGGTTTTTCGACTATCCCAGCGAAGAAACACAATCAGCATTGACAATCTGAACAAAAAAGTCAGCAAGGACTAGACCTTAACTTACAAACATTGGTGATCTGGGCAAAGACGCCATATGTGGCTTTGAAATCAAATCTCTTCAAGCGTTGCCAAATCTGCAAGACGGTATCTGGAGGCAAAGGGATGTAATTGGGAATACTCCACAAGAACTGGTACGAGACAGTGTCTTGTCTCTTCCCGGGGTCTGGGTTATGACCCGACGCCACGGCGAATATCGTGTCTGCGACGAAAAGGGTCGGGACATCGGTATTGGGCACGGCCGAATGCAGGACCATACTACCGGGAAAGTGGCCACCGCATATTGCAGCGGTGATGCCGGGGAGTAGTTCGGTGTACGGGTCTTTGAGGAGTTTGAGATTGGCTGTCGAAACGTCCTTTCGATTCGCCCATACTGAGTCCACTTCGGTCATGTAGACAGGGCATTTAAATGTCGTTGACCAGTCGGCCCATGTTCTAGATGAGATGTCAGCACGTGGCAGATTGGAGGGAGAACAAAGAACTAGAAGAGAGAAGTCGTCATGTTCATCATGACCATGACTGACTTGTCATCCAGGACAACCAACTTACGTGTAGAAATGAGGATGAGAAATGACGATAAATTCCAACCCGCCGAGTTCAGTGATCTGTTGAATGTACAAGCATTAGCGATAGGTACCTACTCACAGCAAAGCGTGTCTCCAAGTAGATAGATATCACAAAACTTGTTCCATCTGACGACAATGCACCATTCACACATGTATACATGTATACATATGTAGATATGTGTCTATACATACATACCTTATCAACCGTCCTCTGATCCAACAACGCAACCAAATCCCAGAGGACATTTCCATGAGGTGTTTGAATTAAACAAGCGCGTTGCCCGATGGCAAACTAAATGGTAAGATATGTTCGTGTCAGTGAAGCGTCGAACCAGAATTAATGCATAGGTATATATCTATGTATTCAAAGTGTACGTACCTTCGGCTCAGTATGGATTTCAATGACCTTTGAATCCTTTTCGTTTCGTTCAAATACATTCTCGTATTTGCCTTCGCTTTTCAATCGGCCCAGAGTTGTGAATGATTGCCCTGTTGGGGGGATGAATTGTCGAGGATCCTATTTTTATATGGAAATTTGTGAGTTGGGTAAGAGAAATAACAACTGGAAAATAAGATGATACATATATATATCAATTCTTTTATATAATCATGGGTGTGATGCTTGTTATATATAACCAAACCTCAAAATAAACAAGACATAACTCACCTCACAGATTCGACATTCAGACTTCCCAACACTCTCATCCACATCATATTGTGCGCCACAAGTGTTGCAGAGCAGAAGATTATCCGTTGTGGTTAGGGTATATTTTGGAGACATGATGGGCTGGGTGTGTGAAGTATGTATGACACAATTAATATGAACTCTTTCTGGAGACAACGACCAATATCAATTCCTCACTCGATCGATCGGTCCGCGATGATGATGTCTCGCCAGTAGGTATTTAATTCTATTCACGGATTCAGAGACAGAATCCGAGGTCAATGAGGTGTCAAGGTCAAAGGTGGAGTAGTATACGGGAAACAGTATTTATAGTCTGGTGGCATTCGGGCCATGAGTGGGGTAGAAGTCAACTTCGACTTAACTACAAGACAAGGTAATAAGCCTGCCGGTTTGTGCCGTCATCTTGAGTCTTGACGGAAACAATCTATGTTTATCATCATCCACTGCGTTTACTGAGATCTGAGGGATTGGGTAGTCCAACCATTCAGACTGCTGACTTCTGAATTCTCGCACGCCATCTCTCATCCTTCATCTTATCACATATACAAACTCGCGGTAAACACCACATCTCGACGAATCATCTCTCGAGCCTTCTCCATCTTCTGATACAGGCCCGGATCACCTATCAACCTCGCTGCACTCATCACCTCGCGACATGTCTCGTCCAACCTCGTCACCACTCGTACAATCGTTCCCTCCATCACATCGGTGAGGTCGGTGATATTCTTGAATGACATGCCCCGTGCCCATTCATACACGACTTCGACGAGCCCAAATCTTGGTCGAGACACAAAATCATTGGCATCATCGGATGAAAGGATGACTTGATGTAGAATCTGATAGTGATTAACTTTCTCCGCGATCTCGATGATGGCTTCTTTGCCACGAGTCAACCCTTCACTGAGCTGGGGTTCACTGTCAGTCTTTTCCTGGAATACAAAGGCAGACAGTAGAGCGACAATCTCTTCTGGTTCGTATCTGTTACGGTAATCAGTATTGTCAACAACAACGGTACACATCACCAAAACTTACGATGCAAGCACGTTCTCCAATATGAGCTCCGTCAGCACAAGTTCGTCAGCTGAATGTATTTCGCATGCCACTTTGCCCTTGAGCTGAATTCGTAAATGCTCATCGACAAAGCCGAGATCTTTCAGAACTTCAACCCTCTGTTGGTAATCCGGCAGCAATGAAAGATTCTGATCAGACATGAGCAATTTGAGTGACTCGATGTTTTCCTGGATTAGCCATTCGTCATGCTGCATCCCGTAGTGCTTGATGAAGTTGGGACACTGCAAGCATTGCCCATTTTGAGCAATGTCGGCCATCTTGTTTCGTTCAATTAAAAGATCCCGAACTCCCAAGTCGTTAACTCGATCCCACTTCTGCTCTTGCCAGGCCGCCGATGCCCAGTTCGAGTAAAGCTGTACAAAGTCTTGCTCCGCCCATTGCTTCTGCACTGTATCTGAGTTTAGTAACGACCGCAAATCAACCTGTAAATTGTAAGTACTACCTTCTCCAATTTTGATGTACCAATCGTGGCCTCTGACCTTGACAATCTCCTGGGTAACACATTCCACATCGTCCACCAAAACCTGAGAAACGGCAGTTTTCACGCTGGCTGCATCCGCAGGGAGCGGTGCGAACATCGTGCGAAAAGCTGGTAGGTACGGCAACAGGTCTTGAGTGGACCGCTTGGAGTCGATGTCCGAGATGACGAGAACCCGAAGGTAAGGACTTGGACCCCGTCGTGGCCCGTCGTCAAGTAAGACCCCGACTTTGCGAATCCCATGCTAGAGGCGATTAGCTCTGCTCAAGACTCTTCATACAAGACTTGAATTACCTCTTTGAAGACAATCAATCTCCTTGCAGACCAGAGACGACGACCAATCGGTGAGGACAAGAGACGCATATGAAGCTCTTTTGTTAGCTTTTCAAACACCATTGCTGCTTCATGGCACGCCTTCAGATCGATATCACATATATTACATGGCTCTCTTTTGATCTTGTCGAGGTTTTCCTGAGATAGGGCCACCTGCTTTTCATGTTGTGGAAGAAGTGCCTGGGTGGCGTTCTCTGAAAAGCTCCGCTTGATGATCTCCTCAATTTTCAATGCTTCGACTCGCATCAAGTTCAAGATCATGTTGTAATGCAGCCGGAATTGACTGCGAAGCTTGGTGGAAGGGCCAGTGATCATCTGACTCAGTTCTCCCGCTGGTGGAGCTTCTGTCTTGCCTGGTGCGACGATAATGACGGTACCTACAGTGTCAAGACCTCTCCGCCCTGCACGACCCGCCATTTGCGTGTATTCACCAGGTAAAAGGTTGCGGAATTCCCTTCCGTCATGTTTCCGGTAGCCAGAGAAAACAACCGTTCGTGTTGGGAGATTCAAACCCATGGCAAAAGTTTCGGTCGCGAAGAGGACCTTGACGAGCGTCTTTGCGAAGAGAATCTCCACAATCTCCTTCACAATTGGTAACAGACCTCCATGATGGACTGCCACACCACGACTCAGCATTTCTTTTAATCGATTGATTTGAGGAAGCTTCCGATCTTCGGGTTTCAGCCTCGCAATCGACTTCTCAATCGTCATATGAATTGCACTCTTCTCGACTGCGGTGCAAAAGTCTTGGTTAGACAGGGAGTCGGCATTTTCCTCCGTCCTCTTTTTGGAAAAGACGAAGATGCAGGCGGGCAGGAGGTTTTCCTTTCGAAGGTACTGCACGAGGTGGACCCAGATGTTTCGGTCTTGGTTTGCGGTTGTTCGACCACCACCACGACCAGTTCTTGCGATATTTCCTTGACCACGGTTGGCCGGTTGACCACGGCCCCGTTGTTGCGCACCGCCTCGTTGGCTTCCACCACGCTGCTGCTGACCCCGACCTCCTCGAGGGTTGTTGCCGCCTCCTCGAGCAGGTGCTTGCTGTTCGATGGCTTTCTGCTCTTTAACTTTGTCCAGCCCTGACAAGATGTCATTTGCATCTTTCCAGCCTTTGGCGAGAAACCTCTTTTCCGAATCCACGATCTTGTGCATGTCCTTCCCAGCCCACAGATAATGTTCAAGGGGAACAGGCCTCTTTGGAGTGGAAATTACATAGATGTCTTTCTTTTTTGTGCGGCCGACCCACGACGCAAACTCATAGGTATTGGGCACAGTGGCTGACAACAGGATCAGAGTGACATGCTCAGGGAGCAGAATGATGACCTCTTCCCATACAACACCACGTTCGATGTCATTGACATAATGCACCTCGTCGAAGATGACAAACTCGACGTCTCGTATCAGATCAGCTCCACGATACAGCATACTTCTTAGAATTTCCGTGGTCATGATGAGGCACCTAGCCTCGGGGTTGATCTGGACATCGCCAGTCAAAATGCCCACATCACTGCCAAAGACCTCCTTGAAGTCTCGAAATTTCTGATTGGACAGGGCCTTGATGGGGGACGTGTAAATGGCCTTCGTCATGTGCTTGGCAGCCAACGCAATGGCATATTCTGCGACCACAGTTTTACCAGCAGACGTGTGAGCAGCGACAAAGACCGAGTCACGATTCTCTAGATGATAGACAGCCTCTTTTTGAAAAGTGTCCAACTCGAAAGGCCAGGTGCGTGCCATATCGGGGACCAATTCGGCAAAGTTGGGAATTTCTTTGTCAATATCAACGACGTGCGCCCATTCTCTGCCCGATTTCCTGCTGGATGAGGCGAGGAGTGGGCCTCGAGCCTCGAGCGAAGGGAATTCAATAGGGAGTAAATCATCCAAGTCTGTGTCTTCGTCCTCTGTGTCACTGTCAGATGCCTCTTCGCTCAAATTCGAAGAAGTCTGGCCATTGATCGTGGCAGGCTGCTCGGAACTGGGGTCATTGAGGATGTCGGTCTCGTCGAGGACTTGCTCCACTTCAATAATGTTATCTGCCGCCTCTTCTAACTTTTTCTCTGGCAGCTTCATGCCTCGTGAGAAGCCTGGTGGAATCTCAAGTAGGCCATCGACTGTGCCAAAGTTGATGATTTTATAGAGTGCACTTCCCTTCTGGCGAGTGCTGTGTTCCGCCAAGAGGGCAGCATCATCTTCATAGGCTTGAATTGCATCGACACCGTCCAGACCACCAGGAGCAAAAGGGTAGAACCCCGCAGCACCACGTACGAAATCAGCTCGTCCAGCAGGTTTCCGCAGGATCGAGGTCGAATTTTTGGCAGTGGCGCTGGAGGCTGGTACAGTGACTTGTTCATAGCCGGTGACCCGTCCTTCAAGACCTTGGCGAGTAAAGCGGGTGACAGTTCTTGTCTGTGGAGGTGCCAATTGACAGAGCTCAGTGTAGTTTGGAGTTTGGTAGTCCCATCTCTGTTGCAGTTTGTTGAGCCATTGAGGACTGAAGGTGGTCGGAGGCTTGAGGAATTCACGCTCCAAGTCTGCCTTGATCTTCTCCGTCGACTGCATGATTTGGTAGTCGAACTTGGGCCGCAAGAGATGACCTACGTAGACATTAGCGATGAATCTGGTTGTTAGAAACCAAAGGAGGTGTGTTGTTTATGTCAATCCGAGGATATGAGGCGTCATTAGTTCATCGAGTGAATTCAGGCCTGTGGTTGTGTAGTGGATTAATGAAATGAAGGAATTATATCACGACAGCGGATGTTCTTCTGCCAAGCATCAAGGCGGGCCCTTGTCAACCAGTAATGTTCATGCATTTGACAGTCGCTCTTGCCTTTCAGAGTTCTTACCATCGACGCGTCCTTCAGCGACAACGACGACGGATCCTCAGCCTCGACTCGTTTACTACGACGACAACTACCAGGACAACAATACCGTCTTATGTCTGTTTCATTCATCATGAAAAGATTCTATCAAAAGGTCGTTTAGACCATCTGCGACTAGAGCACTTGCCAAGTATCCTAAGATTGTTCGATGGCATAACATCTTGACTGATTTTCCTGGACCAGCGACCAAGACATCAATGCCAGATACGATACAAGACACGCTACAAGGACCATGAGAGAATTCTCGTGCTCAACAAGTCAATGATCAAACCCCCGGAACCCCAGCGCAACATGAGCGCTCCAGTTTCCGCTAAGCAGGCATTTGCTTTTCCCAAACTAAAAGTCAGGCACAAGACTCCTGTGCAGACTGACCGATTTGTATTTTACGACATCAAGTTCTATCCTTTTCAAGAACCTTTCGATGATGATGAGCCCGTGTTCGCCATGGTCAGCCCCAAGACGGTGCAGATCGGGCGGGTGTCACTAAAGGCTAAATCTACCGTAACAATGATCCACGAGATGATCGATAAACAGGAAGAAGATGATCCAAAGTCTCTTGGGTTGAATTCGTGTTCTTGGTGCTACATCAATCCCAGCGAACCGTTGTTGGTTGTCGCAGGTAACTCCGGGCAAGTCAAAGTTATTGACGTCGTTGCTGGGAAAATCATCGACTCCTTGACTGGACACGGGTATGGGACTATCAATGACATTGCAACCCACCCCATATATCCCTGGATCGTGGCTACAGGGTCAATGGATCGAAGTGTGCGCATTTGGGATCTTCGTCGACGTAACAACAAGTATCAGTCGCCTACCATCATCATCTGTGGCCAGTCGACAGGCCATATGGAAGGGGTGCTGACCCTGACTTGGCATGCAACGGGTCGTTATCTACTCACTGGGGGACACGACCATCGAATATGTGTGTGGACCATACCGGACCTCGACGACGATTCCACCTTCTGGCGCGACATTTCTCCCGCTTATAGGAAACGGAGTTCTCATGAGGTCTTGACAATCCACTATCCCCACTTTGTCACTTCTGCTATCCATGGCAATTTTGTCGACTGTGTTCGCTTTTGGGGGGACCTTATCATCTCCAAAGCCTCGGACGAGCACAAAATCGTACTATGGAAGATTACAGGCTTTGATTCGAGACAAGAACCACCAAGCACTCACACTGCACCGAAAACGGAAGAACATTTTAACACCCGCAATGGCTTCATCAGACGAGCCATTGTAGCCGACGACGGAGGAGTAGTTACTATTGAAGTGGCCAAACACTTTGAAAATGCCGAGCTCTACGATCGATTGTTGACGTTTGACAACCCCAAAAGCGAGCATTTCTATATGCGATTTGGGTTGTTGTCCCCGTCACCCATTCATCCCCACCTCCACACAATGCTTGCAGCAGCTAGCAATCTATCTGAAATCAGATTCTGGGATCTTGAAAGAATGTCCCTGGGCCGTGCCGCCGACGAGGATAATCACCCAAGCCATGGAACTAAGAGGAAATTTGGCAAAGGAGTTCCACGTCCAGTGAGAGTGCAAGATCGAGCTAGCCGGCTGAGTGGTACTCCGATAGAGAAGGACTCATCCATGTCAGGGACGACCAAGGACGGCTCTCCAGCGTGGCCTCGTCAGAGTTCGACCGAGGCGACGAGTGAAATGTCTGACAGAGCATCCCCCTTACCAGCAGGACCACCAGTACCCAGAAAGGATCGAGAAAAGTATCCCGTGCACGACCCAACAATTTTGCAAAAGGCGCACGCCAAACATTCACTGATTGATCTCCAGTTTAAGAACCAGGCATTTAGTGGAAGATCGGTTGATTGGAGTCCCTGTGGGCAGTGGTGCATTGTGGTGGGGGAAAGTCAAGGAGAACACGGGGGAATAGGAGCATTTGCTGTTTTTCACCGGGCCTTGACGCCGGTCTAGCTGGTTCTCATGATGTCTGGGAGACGAGCCACAGAATCTCGGAACGAGGGATCGTGAATTAATACTTGAATTCAGCAGAAAGAGCCGTAACGAGTTTATATATATGACAGAAGGATGATGGGGATTTGACTTTCCGGAACATGTGAGCATGGCCCAGGCATGGCCCAGGCGTGCACAGGCGGACCAGGACGCAGCCAGTCAAACATTTTAGTTAAGAGCAGAGACCTAAAAGAAACCCTGTAATGCCCATTCAGTCCCCGTGCCGGAGCGCCCAAACTTAAAAACCCTTACCCTTTACTCCAAATGGCCCCCGTCGCACCCCCGTCGGCCCCTGCCAATGCCCTCGGCCCCTGTTTGGCCTGCAGATAAACAAAGTCAGCCCCTCAGACGCATTTCCCCCTCGCTATCCACGCTTGACAACCAGCGCACGCGACCTGCCAATTCGCGCCACGAGACACTGTCTAACATGACCACTGTCATTGTTCGAGTCAATGGTGCTAAATCAAACAATGATCACCCCTGCTCAGGATGCTACCGCGTCGTCGAGTCAGCAGCAGAAGTTCATGAGGTATAGATCTGTCCGGAAGTCGAAATCAACAGATGCGACCAACGATTCACTGCCTCCTCCTGCGGTTCCACCTCTCCCTGTATCTGCAAATCAGACGTCGATCACTCGGGTGCCTTCAAGATATCATCGCAAGGTCAAGCCTGCCATAGAGACAGAACACTCTTTCCCAGCTGCGGTTGCGCAAAATCCATCCCCAGTGTCACCCATCCAGCGAGCGCCATCCTATGGCTCAAGCCCCGTCCAAGCGACGGGACCTTCTACATGGGGTCAGACAAGCGACAGTTCCAGATATGAGGCGAGGGCCCAGACCAGCCAGTGGTCAAGCCAATCGCACGCGCAAAGTCAAGGAGGTGAAAGAGGAGGACCACCGCCTGCCTATGAACCACCCCGAAGGTCCTACGAAGCAGCGAGAGAGGAGGCCCGTCTCATACTAGAAGGACAGACTGATCGGGCAAAAGATTTGCGAGAACAAGAAACCCGGCGTCAACGACGAGACCAACGAGCGCATCAAGAGAATCCGGCTGGTCGAGGGCTTGTTGATTCTACCCCACAGGCGCATCAGACCAGTAGAAGCAGAGACCGTCAAATCACCGAGAGTTCAGATCAAAAGACCAGAGAACGTTCCACATCCAAGTCGCGTCGGCTGATTATGGCAGGGGCAAGGGCCCTGCGAGGGACGAAGAAGCATCAGAGGACATTATCAGCCATTGAACCTCAGAATCAAGATACAAATCAGAGTCATTATGATGGCGTGAGTCGCGACAAGAATGGCCATCGTAAGAGTGCTCCAAGCACCGGTATGCCTGCCTATGATGCACCTATATCAGCCGTGAATTCAGGTGAGAGACGGGTCACTGTCAAATACAAGGATCAGACAGTCAATCTCCCAGTCACGCCATCCACTACGTGCAAAGAGATTCTTTATTCTGCCTCGACAATCATATCAGGATCCATTGACGCACATAGAGCGGTCTTGTTGGAGTCATTTCATCAGCTCGGACTGGAACGCCCTTTGCGACGGTACGAGAGAATACGAGATGTGTTGAATTCGTGGGACAACGACACCCAGCACCATCTGGTCGTCATGGATGAAGTAGACTGTGCAGCGCCTGGCCTCAACGCTGCTGATGCACCCAGTCATGAGCCGTATGGGGCGAACGTACAAGTGTATCATTCATCAAAACCCGGGAAATGGGACAAGCGATGGGTGAAACTGTGGGAGAACGGACAGGTCAGTGTGTCCAAGCACGAAAGTGGTATTGACGGCATCAACATCTGCCATTTGTCAGATTTCGACGTATACACACCTACCACCAAACAGATCAAGAAGATCACGCCGCCTAAAAAGTTCTGCTTTGCGCTCAAAAGTCAAGAAAAGTCATCGATGTTTCTGAATGGGCAGAATTTTGCCCATTTTTTCTGTACCAAGGAGAAGGAGGTGGCGGACAGATGGTATCATGCCGTTCATTCGTGGCGAAGTTGGTATCTAGTGTGCATGCTGGGAGAAGGTATCAGTCCAACAAGAACATCTGGGATGAATTCATCACATGCTCGACCTAGCACCAATACCTCGACCGAAGCCTCACCATATGTATTTGGGTCTTTCAAGCCTCTGAACTTTGATGTGAACACGTCTAGACCTGATATGGAACGGAGGGGAGACTACTCGTCATCAAAACACTCGTCTCGAGAGATGGTTCCCAGACCGTTGATCGAACAAGTTGGCGGTGGTTCAAGCGTGGAAATGCAAAGACGAATGTCAGTCAGAGGAGGTAATCCGGCTGCCCATTCATCCAGGGAGTTTCCACCTCGCCCAGGGTCAGAAGACACTGTTTTCAAAGCATCAGAAGATTCAGATTCAGGTCCTTTCACTGGGACGGGCCTGTTGGCTCGCAGTGGCACGCAACGATCACAGGGAGGTCGGCGTTCTGGACGAGGAGTGTCAGGGGTGGCAGGGAGACCTTTGGTTGAGTTGGAAGCCACCAGTGAGTTTGCGGATGGTAGTTTACTTCGAAAGATGGAAGTGATTGCAGCGCAACAGGGTGGAATGGGTCCTAAGATTGACAGGAATAAACGGAGAGAAATCACTGCGCGAGTTGGCGAGGGGTTCTAGAATGGGTGATTTTGTGTGCATGTCTGGGGGCATTGAGCAGGACTAGGATGAGGATGATCAAGACGAGGTGAAATGAGATTAGAGGATACGACTATGATACTGGAGATGAGCAATGCCATGGATGAACTCGAACTGTCTGAGGATTTCGCGTCTGAGACTCAACTAGAGTTTAAGCATAGAATGTCACCTGGGTGGCCTGCCCCGGCCTAGAGACATGGTTAAGCCAGTGCCTGAGGGCGACATATTTAGGGTTCAAGGGAAAGCCTGTAGGTAAAGCAAGGTGCGCCGTAAAATGAGGACAATCCCTACACGGGCCCTAAAATTGGTCTCCGCTTGGATTTTCCGTTTGTTGTGGGTGGGAAAGCCTCCAACAGATCTGCTGCCACCCACAAGTCCCTTTACAATTCGAGAACCAAACAGGAAACAAATTCCTACTGGGACGATGGTGGAACACTGGACCGCCATGACATCAGTTTTACTTTCAAAGACTTCTCAGAGATTCAAGAAATTCTCAGATTCGCCTTTTGGGCGTCATCCAGTGGCTCACAATTCCAATCTGCCCCTCTTTTTCATCCTTGGAATTTCCAGTTGTGCGGTTCCTCTACTGTATCAGCTTCAAAGCATTCATCCGTGATTCCCTTTCGTGCCTGTCCACATTCAACTGGCAGTCTGAAAGAACTGAGAACCTAATTAATGATAATAATAACAATAACAACGCCCCTGCATGCCGATCGTGATCATCATTCTCTCATCTTGGTTAGGGACTCTGGGATTTGACCCAGGCTCCAGTAATTCCAACTGTACGGGACTACGAAGTACTTTGACAGTACCTACTTTGCTCTAGGTCTTCACCCACTGATTTTTTTCACTGCGTTCCAATACGTTGTTGAGTTAAGAGAGGCCAGTGGATTGCATTATTATTTACACTGTATTGTGGTTCATTGTCAATCACCTTCACCTTCACCCACTCACCCACCTTTGGACCCAACGTCCCTTCACCGACCCCTCGCCTCTAGCTCTGACCGCGCCCTCTTCCCCCTCCAACATCCACCCACCTTCTCGACGCGATCGCGCTTCACGCTTATCTTGACATAGCTGGTCATCTGCCCTCTATCCTAGGCATACATATGTACCTAGCCTCGTCAGCTGTCAGCCTTGAGTTTCACTGATCTTGATCTTGCTTGCTGTCACGAGAACACCCCTCAGCACATCAGACGCGAAAGTACGAACACACATCACATCACACCCAACGACTTGATAAGAACCTGCTTGACCAGGACAATTTGTCCTTGGGCATTTATCTCATTCACACGTTGACTTTCTCCTCTGCTCCCCTCTCCAACATCCACACTTCACTCAACAACCCTCCCATCTTGCCCACCATGGCATCTACCTCCTCTCCCTACTCAGACTCGACCTTATATCTCTACACATCCCTCACCGCGGGATCCTCACACATCATCACCGCCACGTCGCGCATGGAAACAATCCTAAAAGCCAACAAGATCCCTTTCCGCGCCGTCGACTGTGCCACAGATGAGAAAGCCCGCATGTTATGGGGGCGACGATCAAAAGGAAGAAAGCTACCTGGTTTGGTCAAATTCGGGAGTATCATTGGTGTATGTGTGCCCTTCCAAACCCCCTGGCACAGCTATATTGACTGACACGAATACAGGATCTCGAACAAATCGAAGAATGGAATGAATACGGAGAACTGAAAGAGCAAATCGCGGAAGCCGACGAGTTCGGTTCTCTGGGTTCCAGTACAGCAAATGCGACTCTTGCTCCAGAACCTCCCATCAGCACCACCAATGCCTCGACACCGCAACGATCGGGTCCTCCCTCTCGAGCATCGTCTGAAACTCGTCATATCTCCATCGCAGAGCCGTCCAAGGACAAAGAAGCTACTAAACCGGCAGAATCGTCTCTGAACCAGACTATTCGTCAACTCGGTGCTGAAGCGGCCGCCAAAGCCGGACAGAAAAAGGCTGCTGCCACCGCCGCCGCCGTCACATCTGCATCCTCCTCGACTACAACCCCAACAACCGCCGCCAAAGTCCCTACTAAATCTCCCTCCACCACCGATCAAATCCCCGTTCCTGCAGCGACCAAACTCTCCGCCGATGCGGCCGTTGATTCAGGAGAAGGCGTCGCCGCCGTGACAGCAGCGAAGATCCCATCACAACTTGCCGCCGAAGGTGCAAAGAGAACCTCAGTGGACAAGATTGCAGAAACGGAAAACACAACCACGACAACGTCAGACCCATCATTGAAATCTCCCACCGACGAGACCACTCCATCTACATCTACATCTACATCTACACCAACATCAACAGAAGAACAACTCCTCAACCTCCGTCGCTCCAGCAGCGTGACCAAAACCAAGACTAAACTCAGTGAATCAACCCCGGCAGCCGAAAGCAACACCATACTCGCCACATCGAGTGATTCCATCACGGACACTACTACCGAAACAGCAACAGCAGAACCAACAAAATCACCATCATCATCGGCATCGCCACCGGCAGTTGGACCCGGATCAAGTCCAACAACATCACTCTCCCCTCCACCTCGAAAACATCGCGGAAGTGATGTTGTGGATGCGGATGTAGAGGAGATTAGAGCCATGGAGAAGAAGTTGAGTATCCAAGAAGAAGACGAGGAAGAGGATGAAGAGGATGAGAAGGAGAAGGCGAAGGCGAAGGCGAAAGCAGATCTTCAGGGAGAGGAGTCTGAAGCTAAAATCACAGCTACCGACAAACTCGAAGATTCTGTCACCACCAAAGGCGAGCGATGATACATACTTCAAATTTCAGCTGCAAAGGATGATTCAAATGGCTGGGGTTAGTGTTGGGGGATTGAGTAGAGGATGGATAATTGAACCCGAGGTGGGAGTTGGGACCTGGAGATGGGTTTGGGGAGTATATGGGTCTATGTGGATGTAGGTGTGGGTGTACTTAAGTAGGTACGAGTAAGGGAGTGGGTGTCGTGTGTGTGCGCGTGGAATATCAAACACCTGGCTCTGACACTCCTAGGTTTATACCATGGAAATTGACATTGACTCCCATGAGGGAGGTCACATGACTGGGATGGATCCAAGTATCATATATTCAAATCGCGATCGATGCACGAGGTATCAATATAGTACCAATATGTCCAGCCATTCATGGCCTCGTCCACAATGACTCCACCAAAGCAGCGAATGAATATTTCATTATTCAGATCCAGCTTTTCCAACAGGTGCATACATATTCAACATCCAAAAACATGTCACTGTGGCTATATATGGGTATTTTGTGGAGTAGCCTCCTTTAAGTGTTGATTCCTTCCACCACTCCTTCGCATGTCCTGTAGATCCCACAGCCTACGTTTTGGTCGGACACACACACAACTTTTCATTTCTCCCATTCCAAACAAAGACTCATCTACAGACGAGATCTGACCTCGTCAGCAGGTCCTTGCCAACCAGCGTCATAGGCAATCAATTCAGCAGCACGCTCGCCCACGGCAAGAACAGTCAACATGGGGTTGATGGTGGTCATGGCTGGGAAAACGCCGGCGTCAGCAATGCGGACACCCTTGAGTCCCTTGACCTTGAGTTTGGCATCAACAACTGCCAACTTGTCCGAGTCGACATCGCCCATCTTGGTCGTTCCAGCCGGGTGATAGACGGTGTGGGCGACACGTCGGGCGTACTCGGACAGTTCCTCGTCGGTGTTGACTTTGGGTCCCGGTGCGACCTCACGCTTGATCCAGTCCTTGAACGGCGCCTGTTGTGCGATCTTGCGGGCCGCCCGCAGTCCAAACACAAACGTCGCAGCGTCATAACCCTCTGGATCGGTGAAGTACTGGAAGTCCAGCGCTGGTTTGACGCTCGGATCTGCCGAGGTCAGGTACAGACGTCCACGTGATCGCGGTCGTGGGATATTCGGCGTCATGCAGAATGCGTCAATCGGGCTATCGTAGCCGAGTCGGGTCGTGTTGAGAGTGAAGGGGATCTGGTAGCAGTGCATCATGACATCGGCAATGTCGCCGTCTGGTAGAGCCTTCGGGTTGAAGATTGGGGATGGGGTTTTGGCCGCAGCATTTGGCGGTTGACGTCGTAGGAAGATGCCTGCATCAGAGTCCATGGTCGTTTGATTCGGGGGGACTGGCTTGTTCAGCTCAAAGATGATGATGGTCTCGGGGTGGTCAAGCAGGTTTTCGCCAACACCAGGAATGTCTTTGACCACGGGGATTGACAGAGAAGTCAATTGTTGCTTGGGACCCAGCCCGGATAGCAGCATCAGTCGGGGAGTGTCAACAGCGCCGGCGCAAAGAATGGTCTCAGTCTTGGCGGTCAAGGTTCGGGTCTCGCCTGATTGCAGCTTGAGGGTGACTCCCGTGACGGTGTCGCCGCCCTTGACATTGATCTTGGACACCCAAGCATTGGTCAAGATGGTCAGGTTGGGTCGCTTCTCGTCGCCCCGCAGAATCGGGTGAATGTAGGCGACCGAGGCGCTGGACCGCCGTCCATCATCCGGATTGTAGCTGACGGAAAAGAAACCGACACCGGGTCGCAGGGCTCCTTTTGTGGAGATCTCTTGATTGAAGTCGTGAATGACGGGAATATCCATGGCTGTACTACAAGATTCAACCCAGTCCTTGCACAGCTGATTGCGGTGTCGCGCATGAACGGGTTGGACGGTGTTGCGCAACTTGTTGAGAACCCTCATCATGGTTGGGAATGTCCAGCCTTCAGCACCGAGTGATTCCCAAATCTTGCAATCGTACTCGAATGGACGGAATGAAATCAATGTATTGTGGCTGGAACATCCGCCCAGGACTTTGGCGCGGGAGTGGCGGATATGGGAATTTCCTGAATAGACATGGTCAGGCATGTGTCTACCATGGTGGATGGATCAATCGTGGTCGAGACAATTGATAGAGAAGAATACTATACCATTGGGCTGTTCGGTGGTGCCATAGTCGTAGTCAAGTTCTCCTCCGAGGAGATTGAGCCACTGTTTGAGGTCGAGGACTCGATCATCCATGAAATCACTGGGTCCAGCCTCAATCAAGAGGGTCTTCTTGTTGGGAAGATACTCTGCGAGACGAGAGGCAATGACACAGCCCTTTTACCAAGAAGTCGAGGTCAGTATTGTGTGTTGTTTCGGAAGTGGGGTTGGACAGGTTTCTGGGTCGAAATCGAAGACCAGTATACTGGAATGATGATGAGGAAGGACGGTGAATATGACTTACCGCTGTGCCTCCTCCGACAATAACGTAGTCAAAGCTGTCGACATCAGTCGGACTGAGTTGGGTAGTTGTGGCCATGATCAAAGAGCACTCTTATGATCTGCAACACCAGGATTTGTCTTGTTTAGATGTGATTATAGCCCAAAGCTGACAAGAACAAGGACGTCTTTTGAGGAATGGAGGCAATGGAGAATTTGAAGTAACGAAACAAACAGGCAAAGTTGTCAGGTCAAGGATTTGTCGAAGAAAATCCACAGGACGTACTCCGTAAGTATATGATACTAGGGTCAGCCCACCTACACATGGGCCAGTAAATGTAACAGGGGATCGGGTGGAGCGAGAGGAGGTGGAGGAGGAGGATTAGCAGCGGCAGTACCGAAATGGTGGAGCCATGCAGATAGCTTCATGGGAGGAGTAAGGTGGAGGAGGATGAGCAAGCTGTCTGGTGGTGAATCTTAGGGAATCTGTAAAGTGTGAGCAAGGGCGTGGCTTCAAAGCACGAGGGTGACGCCGCCTAAGGTGACTGTTGGCGAGTTGGTGGCGGGCATGATTGACCTGCATGGGGCAAAAATTGAGTTGGAATCCGATCTGAGCTTTGCAAAATATTGGCTGCTTAGTGGGATGGGACCAATTGAGTGGACCATGATGACATCTTAGCTGGGTCCATGCACCTCTAGAGGCTCGAGTACGTCTGGGCTTGGTGATGGCCTAGGGATTGGAGACTGGGGCTATCCTGTAGGTTGAGTTCGAGCACAGAGGGGTTTGATGCATGGTCCAGTCGGGTCAGGCTGGTCGTATCGTGTCGAGTTTAGGGTTAGGGGTTTGGAAGCCGTGGTGGGTTAGACTGTACTAACTGCATATCAAGGGCATGGGTAGGAGCTGTCTGCTCGCTTCGTTGATACGAATTCTGAACTGCGATAGTGTCGAGTTTGAGTTGGTGAGACATGGAAAGAGATGAGATGAAGATTTGTGATGACCATATCAGGTAGGAGCCACCTACGAAGTGCAATGCAGCTGCCAATGTGTCTCGATTGTTCATAGGAAGGCACCAACCAACATCAAAGGAGGCAGTTGCGATGCAGCACATCATAGACTGTGCGATAATACTGAGGTACCTACCTATCTGATTCTTCACTGAACCTCAGGCCTGGACTAAATCTACCTAAACGAACTAGCTTCATCACAAGACAATGTTTAAACCGACTGCTTCAAGAAGCCTTTATCTCCATCGGCGGGGCAAAGAAGCCTGGGAGCTGCTCGAACACTATCTACGTAGATTATCATCATATCTGCTTGTCTAATTCTTCACTGGAATTGGAAAAGACACGCGGACATTGAACGGAGAAAGACGAGGAAGGTTATAGGTAGGTCTAGCCGAAGATCAAGGTAAGGATGCCGACGCTGGTGTGAAGGGGGTGATGCTTGTCTACGACGTTCTGAGCATGTCCTGTATCTAATAAGGGCCGAGGGGCCATTAAAGACCTAGGCATATCGCCCCGAGCAGGCGTGCATGGCCAAGTACAGCCAATCCACCCAGGGTAATTAGGAACCAACTCTGCATGTCATACCGTATTTTGCCTTTTGGTTGATCATTCAGGTAAGAAGAAGACAGGACAGAAAAAACCTCGTGTCTGGGATTGACTCAGACCAATTATTGCACAGACACAAGAAAACCTCTGGGCTCCCTCGGGCTTGAGCCCCTCATTGCGCATGCCTAGCGTAGTAGCGTAAAAGTAGCGTCCTTATACCTAAAAGACGCCCGGCCCACACCAAGAAACAATTAGAGGCGTGGGAGGCAACTTTTGTCAATCTCAAAGCCAACTCCATCAGTCATCGCCAGCTCAATGACACTCGTCTCACTGTCACTACACACACACTCTCATTACCTAGTAAGAAACAGATTCAAGTAACAGCAGCAAGCGACACGACTTGTTTGAATCGCACTACACTGGCATCAAAGCGACGAGAAAACCTCGACTGACCCCTCATCTGAAGAAACCATTACCCCAAGAAGATATACCTGAAGAGGGCACCTTTGACGTCGTCTCTCTCGATCAGAGAACAGCCTCATCGCACCACGTGGAACCTTTGAAATATCAAGACCCAGAAACACCGCTGATAACAATGTCTCTCCCTCTCCCAGATCGCCATACATTCTACGCTGGACGTCCCCAACCATCATCCACGTCATCCGGGACATTCCAGTCAATTGACCCATCGACCGCTCAACCAGTATGCAGCATCCACACATCGTCCACTTCATCAATAGACTCAGCAATTTCTGCTGCCAAATCAGCATTCCCATCATGGTCGAGTACTCCGCCCATTGAAAGATCCCGGATCTTGCTCAAAGCAGTCTCCCTACTTCGAGCTCGCAACGATGAGCTGGCACGGATCGAGACGATCGATACGGGAAAGCCGTTCTCGGAGACTTCGACTGTCGACGTCGTGACGGGTGCCGACGTTCTCGAATACTTCGCCAACTTGGTGGCCTCGGGGGGTTTGAACGGCGAGGCTTTCCGACTACGAGACTCCGCATGGGTGTACACAACCAATGAGCCCTTGGGTGTGTGCGCCGGCATTGGAGCCTGGAACTATCCCATCCAGATTGCGTTGTGGAAGTCGGCGCCCTGTCTTTCCGCTGGCAACACCATGGTCTACAAACCGTCCGAAGTCACGCCATTGCACGCCCAGTTCTTGGCCCAGATTTACCGCGAAGCCGGCCTCCCCGACGGAGTTTTCAACGTCGTATACGGAGCAGGCGAAGTCGGTGGCTATCTGACCAAGCACCCAGACATTGCCAAGGTCAGTTTCACCGGCCAGGTCTCGACCGGACGCAAGGTCGCCGGTGCAGCCGCTGGCGAGATGAAATACGTCACCATGGAATTAGGAGGGAAAAGTCCTGTCATCGTCCTGCCCGACGCAAATGTCGAGCAAGCCGTTGATGGTGCCATGATGGCCAATTTCTTCAGCACAGGGCAAGTCTGCACCAACGGCACCAGGGTCTTTATCCCGGCAGCGATGAAATCAGCGTTTGAGAAAACATTACTCTCCAAAATCAAGTATATTCGTGCAGGAGACTTGGCTGATCCAAACACCAATTTTGGTCCGCTAGTCAGTAAGTTACATTACGAGAAAGTGGTCAGCTATATCCGACACGGCACCGACAAGGACAAGGCGCGATTACTGTGTGGAGGACCAGGTCAACCGTCAAATCTTCCATCGAATTTGAAGAATGGGTTCTGGGTGACGCCAACCGTCTTCACTGACTGTACTGATGAGATGAAGATCGTCAAGGAAGAGATCTTTGGCCCTGTGATGACGATTCTGACCTACACGAACCTCGACGAAGCAGTACGACGGGCCAACAACACGGAGCTAGGTCTCGCTGCCGGTGTCTTTGGAAAGGATATCAATGAGGCCCACCGTGTCATCAAGCAATTGCAAGCTGGCATCACTTGGGTCAACACCTGGGGTGAAAGTCCTGCTGAAATGGCTGTCGGTGGATGGAAGCAGAGCGGCGTGGGCGTGGAAAATGGTCGTAAAGGTCTCGAGGCTTGGGTCCGCAATAAAAGCACTTTGGTTGAGATGGGAGGCGAGGTGCCCACTGTCTTCACGGAACCAATCACTTCGAAACTGTAGCATACTGCGATGATGGTAATGAGAACAAACATGTAGTAAACAAATAGGAAATTCCATGGTTGTATTCCTACCGTTGTAGGCTCGGTATAGTTTTGTATTCAATTTCAAAGAGTCAAGAATGGGACATCAGATGCTTGTGTTGGAATAGTCAATTTAGGCCATGGTCTTTAGCTTTCCAGGACGCCGTGCTCCAAACAGGATGAAAGGAAGTAGAAAAGAGAAGAAAGATCTGTGTCCAATGCCAGTTCATGCGGCAAATGTCGACACCCGTGATCCCATGCGGTCGAAGATGAAATCGTCGATCTTCCGGTCATTGAGACCAATCGCCGAATCGACCAATCTCGATGACATGCTGTCGGGTGTCAATTCTCCGTCGTCTTGATCCACTGGTTCATTCTTGTCCGTATCGATCTTGAGTTGTTTCAAGGCTCCTCGCCAGTTGTCGAGTCGGTTCTGCGCATGCTGTGTGGTTGCTGCTGCTGTTGTTTCGCCGTTTTCTTGTCGTAGTGAGACTTGTTCAACGCTCTTGAAGTACTGTAGAGGGCATCTGACTTAGCGATTGTACTTGACCATGGACTCGCTTACTCTCACCTTGACTGTCTTGACCTGTAATTCATCCGTTGCTGCATCGTCGCATACTACGACGGCTGACTCGTGCATCTGAAGACAACTGGCCGTCCACATCTGGCTGACTCCTCCTTCAATGGTTTTCTGTAGAGCCGTGGCTTTGTTGGCGCCAAGGATAATGAGAATTACTTCTCTCGCATCCATCACCGTCTGCACTCCCACCGTCAAAGCTTGTTTGGGGACTTGATTGAGGTCACCGCCGAAGAATCGTGAGTTGGCTCGAATGGTGTCTTCGGCTAGTGTCTTGACTCTGGTGCGCGACTTCAGTGATGAGCCTGGCTCGTTGAACGCAATGTGGCCATCAGGTCCAATGCCACCAAGGAATAGATCAATACCACCCGCCTCTTTGATTTTGCGCTCATAGGCAGCACACTCGGCAGCCAAATCAGGGGCATTTCCGTTGAGAAGGTTGACATTGGCAGGATTGATGTCGACGTGGGCGAAGAAATGTTTGTACATGAAGCTGTGGTATGATTCAGGATGGTCTTCAGCCAAGGCCACATACTCGTCCATGTTGAAGGTTACGACATTGGCGAACGACACCTCTCCATGTTTGTATGCCTGGACAAGATACCTGTATATCAATTCGGGGCTGCTCCCTGTAGGAAGGCCAAGGACGAAGGGACGGTCGGCTGTTGGCGCAAAGGCGTTGATGCGACGGATGATGTGGTTCGCGGCATAGCTAGAGGCGCCATCTGCGCTGTCACGGATAATGACCTTCATGTTGATGGATTTTGAGTAGGTTTAGTACGATAAAAAGAGTACAAACTGCGTGGAAACAAGAAGGCTGAGAGGAAATCCGGACGAAGCAAGCACACTTCAGGGTCTATTTGGGAGATAATCATAGGTGACCAACCGTTGACGTAGGGTTTCATTCATTGTTGGGTCAGACCCCAGGCAGCATACTGTGGGAGTACTGACCTAAACATACCATGCGGAGAAGGCCATGTCGTCGCCTATATGAGGGTAACATGAGAGAAATTGTACTGGGGCAGGTGATTTGTAACGGTGTAGGTTTAGGTACCATCCAACCATTTCAGGGCTACCCGGGGCATGGAAGAGCTGCCAGCGTCATAAGCCTGATGGAGGGGTCGACCATGGTGATCCCCGTCGTTTATCAGTAAAAGATCATGATAGTATGAGTGGCTGATAACGTCCATGGTCTCGACGTGGCGAATCTGATGCGAAGAAAAATGGGATAGGAACGCATGGGAAGGTATCTCACAGTATCCCGTGTGCCTTCCTTTAGTCGTTGGTTAGTCACTTGCAACGGAAGGTACGGATACAACAGAAAGTGATATCACGTGATTGCCAGGGTAATGTTGCAGCAGCCTGACCAGCTTCTGACTGACCAGGAAAGAGCGTACAAAGAGTGAGTGTAACGGTAGGGAAGGTGCAAGATATGGTTGGGCCTTACTGGTCTGTTCTTTCCCTCAACCCTCCAACCATCCAACCAGCGTCCAGATTTCCTCCCACAAGCTTTGTGCCTTCCCGCTCTGGGTGGCAGGGTGCCATTCTCCCAATTCTGCTGCCATTTTCCTCTCTTTTCTTCGCCCTCTCGACACAATCCCACACCACACACCCACACACACCCACACCCATACCCTCGAGAGAGCCCCGTCGAACTACCAGACACGAAATCGACACCGGCCCGTCCAAATACTACCCAACCCAACATTGCGACGTCCAACTCCATCAAATGCAACATTGTCTCGTTTCCACTTTATCCTCCCACGCACGTACGAGCACGCACCGACCGCTACCTCCTGTTTTGCCCTAGCTGGCCAGTCAGTGCCAGCCTCATCTGTCTGCCTCACCTGACCTAGCCTGACCTCCGTCTCTGGCCGTTGATTCAACCTCGTGTCTAGCCACCCCCGATGCCACCCCCATCCCACTGTTGAGTCTCGGATCATGACGAATTCTTGACCGAACCAGTACCGACTCTCCCTTCTCCTCGTCTCCTCGTCACGGTTGACTCTCTTTCTCTCCATCCAATCATTGCTGCATGACTTGGTCCAGCGCCCTCAACCATCATGGCCACCAATGGGGACCTCGGTTCCCGGTGGGATGACACCAGGTGGGCTCAATTCCCCATCCCTGAACTGACAAGGTTTCCCCATATTGACTCGTGATTCTCTATACAGGCAGCTTGGCCAGCTGTTTATGATGGGCTTCGACGGTGCTTCTGTTACTGATCAAGTCAAGACTCTCATCGAAAAGTATCACGTAGGCTCTATATTACTCAAAGCTCAGAATCTCAAATGTGCTGCTCCCTTGTCCTTGTTTTTGAATTGTCTATCTTGGACTCGCCGTTAACCCCCTGGACGTCTTCCTTGTACTGATATTGTCATCCAACAGCTGCTGAACAGGCGACAAAACTCATCCTCGACCTGCAGACTTTGGCTCGCCAGGCAGGCCATCCCGTTCCCCTGCTCATCGCCTTGGACCAGGAGAACGGAGGTGTCAACAGTCTTTACGATGAAACTCATATCCGCCAGTTCCCCAGTGCCATGGGTGTCGCCGCCACAGGCAATAAGCGACTTGCCAAAGAAATTGCACGCGCGACAGCCCAGGAATTACACGCCTGTGGCATCAATTGGATTCTCGGCCCCGTCCTCGATGTCCTCACAAATGCGCGCAATCAACCTCTCGGTGTGAGGTCCATTGGTGTCGATCCCCAGGAAGTCTCGGCATACGGTCTCGAGTGTATCAAAGGCTATCAAGAGGGTGGCCTCGCCACCTGTGGTAAACACTTTCCTTCTTACGGCAACCTTGAATTCTTTGGAGTCCCTGATGATGTCCCCACCATCACTGATTCCCTCGAAAACCTCAGCCAAAGTGCTCTAGTCCCATTTCAAACCGCCATATCACACGGGCTAGATGCCATGATGGTCGGTGGTGTTGCAATGGCATCGACTCAACTTAATGTCATGCATGCCTGTCTGTCCGAGCAGATTGTCCGAGATCTTCTGCGCAACGAGATGCACTTTGACGGAGTGGTCGTCTCTGAGTGTCTTGAGATGGAGGCTCTTAGTCGGAATATTGGTATCAGCAATGGAACCCTCATGGCTTTCAAAGCAGGCTGTGATTTGATTCTCACATGCAGAACACTATCTGTGCAAGAAGACGCTATCAACGGACTCAAGCTGGCTATCGAAAACTGCACCATCGATGGCCTTCGCATCAAAGAATCGCTCCAAAGAGTTCTCAAAATGAAAGCCCGATACACCTCTTGGGAAAAGGCCTTTTCTCCTCCCGGTATCGAGAAGTTGAACCGGCTACGACCAATACACACTAGCCTCTCGACTGCTGCATATGGCAAATCCATCAGCGTCGTTCGAGATGATAATCAATATCTCCCCCTCACACGCGTCATCAACCCCGAAGAAGAGCTACTCTTATTAACCCCACTCGTCAAACCTCTGCCCGCCTCTGCCTTGTTCCACCATATCCAGGAAGAGTATTCAGCACTTTCCTCCTTCACCGCCCGAAGTCCAAGTGTAGATACAAATACTTCCGTCATGAGTGGTGAACAGGTCTTCCGAGAGCTGGGCAAGAACATGGCAAAGTATCGAAGGGGCAAGTTATCACACACTTCATATACGGCCAATGGAGTCCGACCATTGCACGAGAATCTGTTGAGCAGAGCAGGCGCCGTCGTCATTGTCACTGCAGACGCTGGACGCAACAAGTACCAGAACGCATTTGCAAAGCACATCTCCATGCTGTGCAAGCTGGCTGTCGGTCCAAACGGAGCCCCCAAACCCAAACCCTGCGTTGTTGTCGCTGTCAGCTCACCATTTGATTTCGCATCCGACTCCGCGATTGGAACCTACGTGTGCACATACGACTTCACAGACACCGCTCTGCTTGCACTCGTCAAGGTCCTCTATGGCGAGCTCAGTTCTGCTGGTACTCTTCCGGGCTCACTCGTCCAGAAACCTCAGACATCCCATTCGCGCCAACACTGGCTCGTTGAGGGCTTCAATGAAGATCGCGATCGGACCGCTCTCGAGTTTCTCCTCGAACAATGTCGTGCAGAGCCGTCTATCCATGCCAGTCTCCTCCGAGACACTACTACAAACACCTTTCTTCTTCGCGATCCTAACGTAGAAGAGGCCCATTTTGTGGTAAGAAATAGCAGCACTAAAGAGTTGTTTGGCTTTTGTACCACATATTTCAATAAGAACAGCGGTGTGGGCCATCTCGGTGCCATCATCGTCGACCCTGCCCGCAGGCGTTTATCAATCGGACACTCGTTGCACGATCGAGCCGTACGCGCGCTCCTGCAGAGAAAGGGCATCCTTAAATTCCAGTTGGGAGTGAGGTATCCAAGTCTCTACTTGGGCATCCCCCGTATTGACCCAGTCGAGTCTCGAAATCTTCGTCAATGGTTTGCAAAACTCGGATGGAACATTTCACTCTCTACATCGGTTTTCACCATGACCCTCCAGAACCTCCCAAGCTGGTCGCCGCCCGAAGGCCTTGCTCAGTCACTGGCTAAGACGGAGGTTAAATATGATTTGGTTTATGGACAGGAGTATGCGGACGCAATCCTGGATCACCTCACAAGATCTGCTCGACTCGACGTCCAAGGACTGTACACCGCCGCGCTTGCACACAAAGACCACGCAGGCATCATCCGCGCAAAACTGGTCAGCGATCAGTCAATCTTGGCCAGCATTCTTGTTCTGAAGCCAGGCTTCAAAGGCGCAGAGCATATTTCGTCCTGGACGCGTGGGACCGGTATGTGTTGCATTTCGTCCCCAGTCATATCAACCAAATATGGCGATCGCGTTTCTCTTTTCAAAGGGATTCTATTATTGGCATTGAAGCACTTCAGAAAACAGTCGGCTCCAGCCATCATCTTGGATTATGTAAGTTATTGTGCCTAACGTTCTCGAGGGCTTATACTGACACGAGCAGGCACGCGAGGATGTGACGACCGAGGCTTTGACCGCCTTGGGCTTCAACACCGAGATTAGTTTCGATGAAATTATCAGCGATCCCTCTCACTGGACCATGATGTCCCAAGGCTGATACCCAGGACTGAATTTCTCACAAATATCCAATGAGATTATCATGAAATAATGGTAAATCCGCAATTCGTCACAAATCATTCCATTCGACCTGCCAGCCGTCCGCTCCTGTCTTGGCACTTGCCTGGACGATGTCTCGCCTGGTTTTCACGCCCGACGAAGCTGTGTGAGCAGCGCAAGACTAAGATGTCCACATTTCGGCTCTTCTACCATTTATGATACGAACTATTGAGCACTGAGAATATTTCGATTGGGTCATAGGCGTCATCAATGCTGGAAGACTCTGAAGATCTGTGTTAAGTCACGTGCCAATTACCGAATCTCGGATATTAGTGAATCATTCGCACATTTCACCCGGATAATGAGACTTTGGGTATCAATTCGGCATCTACAATTCATACAACTTAATACATGGACATTTACTCGGAAATTGGGAGCTCCCCATACCCCACACATGCCTTTGCATGCGTGGGGTATGGGGAGCTCTAAACGCCGAATACCGTCCACGAAGCCTGGGGCTGTCGATCGGGCAGGAAGGTATCCGCAACCCGCCTATGTTTGCGACAATCAGTGCTGTCGATGAAAAAGGCAACATCGCCTTGTTGCTTGAGGTTACTCGGAACTCACAACAGATTCGCATCTCAAAAATGGCCAACCAGATCAAAGAAGTAGTCATTGTCGGAGCGGGTCCAACCGGGTTGACATTGGCGCTATTACTCGCCAAACGTGCAGTGAAGGTGCACGTTTTAGAATCACTCGAACAAGTCGACCAACGTCCAAGAGGAGTTGCATATGGAACTCCTGCAGTTAGGTACGGTCGAAGATCACCAACCACGGAGTATTCTAACGTTAGGACTTAGGGTTTTGGGAAGAGCAGGTGTCCTGGACGAAATTCGTGCTCAGACCTTTGATATTCGAAACATGTCGTGGAGAGATATCAACGGTCAATATCTAGCGGGGTTGGAAGGGCTCGCAGAAAATGAGAATCCAGACCGATTTTGCCTCTTTCCCGTACACAAACTATCAAATCTATTGTTGGAACACGGCCGAACACAACCCTTGATATCTGTGCACTTTTCACATAAGGTAGTCGGTGCCAACCAAGATGCGAACGGTGCTTGGGTTGAGGTCGAAGCCAACGGCACAACCACGACATTTCGAGGTGATTATGTTATTGGCTGTGACGGCGCTGCGAGTGGTGTTCGGAAGGCCCTCTACGGCGACGAGTATCCTGGGTTTACGTGGCAGAAACAGCTAATCGCCACAAATGTAATATGTCCGACAGCAGTACGCAAGATATCGCTGACAGACTCATAGGTGCGGTATAATGTCGACCAGTTCAAGTGGAGCGACCTTCAATGGATCGTAGACCCCAAGCACTGGGGCGTGGTCTGCAGACTCGAGGATGGAGGAATTTGGAGGATAGCCTACGGCGAAGAGCTCGGGTACTCGAACGAAGAGTTAAGAGAGCGTCTGGCCATGAAATTCAAAGAGTTCCTCCCAGGTCGTCCAAATCCGGAAGATTACGAGGTTTTGAGATTCAGTCCCTTTGTCATGCATCAGAGATGTGTTGAGAAGATGCGACAGGGGAAGATCCTACTTTGTGGTGATGCAGCGCACCTCTGCAACCCTATGTATGTACTACTCGCCCACCGCAATACCAATGTTCTAACGATCATACAAGGGGTGGACTCGGACTGACAGGCGGCTTGTCTGATATTGGAAGCTTGGTCGACTGTTTCTATGGACTTATCGACGGCAAAACCGATGACTCCATCTTGGACAAGTGGGATGAAGTGCGCAGAAACATCTACAACGAATACATCAGCCCTCTGTCAACCATGAACTTAGAACGACTCTTCAAGGACCCTTGCGAGGTGAAAGCCAATGATCCGTTCTTCAAGCTAATGGACCAAGCGACCAAGGACCCAAACCTTGCAAAAGATTTGCAGATGGTAAGCGCATCCCTTTAGTACTTGGAAAACGCAGTGTCTGATATCATGCAGCAAGAGATGATCATCGGACATGACATGACTCAATATTTTGCAAAGGAATACAAGTAGATATGACCCATGTGAAGATTCCAATAGAAGGTGTTTCCACCCGTTTGGGGTCATACTGAAATGTTCTGATCCGTCGAGTAATGGTCCCAAAAGTCTGCCATCGTTGTCAGGTAGAATACTGAAGTTGCATTCCCACGTATAGCCACCCTATCACCATCTCTCAACACTCTTGAGACAATCAAGAACTATATATCATATTCCACACGTCTTTCAAAATATGTTGCCTCAGTGCTTTGAGAATTTCGGCGCCCTCCTGCTTAATGGAGCAACGCGGAACATCATAAATGATCGCTCCGAAGGCTTGCCCGAGTTCCGCCATCGTTGTTCGTTAACAGAACCCCTTGCTGCATCAGAGTACATGTGATAGATTCCGCATTTCGCCAGGAACACTTGATACATTTCATATCCATAAAAAGAATTCAAAGCCAGATTGCTTACTCTCCCATCAGTTCAAATCTAGCCAGCTGAGAAATATGCCCAACTTTGACAAATTCGATGGAAAGGTGCTCTCCCCCTCCACATTCGCTCATGTCGTTCTACGGACAGGAGATTTAAACCGAATGAGGGACTTCTACACGACATTCCTAGGTGGTCGAGTTGCCCATGCCAACGACATCCTCTGTTTCATCACCTACGACGAAGAGCACCACCGAGTGGCTCTGATCGAGGTTCCTGGCACAGCACCAAAAGTCAACACGAGTTGTGGTCTTGAACATGTCGCTTATACCTATCCCACCCTGGATGATCTACTACTAGCATATCGTCAACGACTGAAACTAGGGATTCGTCCTTTCTGGTGCGTCAACCACGGGCCCACGACGAGCATTTACTACAAGGACCCCGATGGCAATATGCTTGAGACCCAGGTGGACAACTTCGATACCGTCGAGGCTACTGATGAGTTCATGAAGGGCTTCCTTTTTAAAGAAAACCGTTGGTCTCTGAATTCCTTGCACCATTCGTGCAGCTAACAATTTTTCTCTAAAGCCGTCGGAACCGATTTTGATCCTGAGGATCTGATAACAAGAATCAACAATGGTGAGAGCGATAGGGACTTGAAGAGACGGATCGAAATTGGACCGAGAGTTTTGACTGCGGATACAATGGCTTGAATCTAATGGAGCACATCCCCCATCCCCGTCACCCCAAACCCATTTCTCGTGTCTGACGCTCAGAAGTAACGAATCAGAGAGGAGGCCACAAAGATTGCTTGTCTTTCGGACTTCGGTTACTTCTCAACTCCGCGGCATTATCGAGATTGCCGAACTCCGCAATATTTCTCCCGCCATAGCAATGGCATTCGCCCTTGGTCCAAGTCGAAGGCAATCCATTCCAATAGGCGACAATGAATCGCTTCTTCTTTGTAGATCTTTCTCTATTTCACTTTGACCCTGGGCCGTCTCTACTTGGCAGTGCGCATGCAGTTTGTAGACTAGCCATCCTCGGTTCCACCTGGAGTCTGGGGTAATGGGTTGAGAACCTGGGGATTGATTACATTTTTGCCCATGAGGGTCGTTCTGTAGAAACTTCTTTTTCTTTTACCTACAAGCTTCTCATCCCGCGTCTGTGTCACAATGGCAAATCCGAGAGCCGTACCCAACAGCCCACGGGCTTGCAGTTACTGTCGCATTCGAAAGGTCAAATGCGATGGCTCCGTCAGGTGTAGCAACTGCGTTACGCATGAAAAGGAATGCTATTATCCGCCATCTCAGAGAGGAAAGCACAATAAGACAAGGTTAAGGAGTAATCTGGAGGATCGTCTATCGAGGATGGAAGCTCTCATCAACACGACAGCCCTCGAGCGGTCCTCCAAGACTTCAGTCCAGGTCACTGACACAAATCAGTCTCCAGGCACAAGCAAAATCCACCAACAGACTCCCAATCTAACATCAATGTCCCCACCTCGATTTACACCGCAAAATTTGATGACTTTCGATCCATCGACTGTAGAAGAGAGTGTTACAGTGGATGCTCAACCTGCGCCCGTACTAGAAACGTCCTGGGAGATGGAACCTGTTGCACCAATCTTGACTCCTACAACGTGGACTGCCGCCCCAGGTACAATTTCTTCGGCTTTCTCTGTCGATGAACACAACTTGGGAGAAACAGAACATAGCGACGATGCGCATCAGGAGGACTGCAGTTTTCCGTCTCAAACTCGGATATGGGAGCATCACGGTGAGTTTAAACTTCGTCACTCTCTCTGTCGTCATGGACAAGATGCCCTGGATGTCATTGATACCAGCTTAAAGCAACGATGGTTTGCGAATGAACGTAATGAACTAACGTAATATCTCATTCCAGGCCCCGGGTCCTGGCTCTCATTATGCTCTGAACCTGGCGTCGCCTGGGTCAGAGAACGGACAGGGGGCGCGGATTTCGGTTCCACGGCAGCGAAACTGACTCCTGCGTGGAACAGAAGATGGAAATTCGGCGGACTGGCCAATCGCTCTCGCAGCGAGGAGCCTACGGCTGAAATCGCCTGGAAGTACACAGCAGCGTACTTTGACCACTGCTTCGAAGCTGTCTTTGGAGTGGTCTATCGACCCGAGTTCGAAGCTCGACTCCACGCCCACTTCCAAAACAGCGCGCCCTCGTCCACAGACGACGTGGCATGGTACGCGCTACGCAACACCGTCTATGCGGCAGGCTGTCGACAGATTCTGTTGAAAGATGACATTACATCGTACGCAGATGCACAGGCAGAAGCTTCTCGATATTTCGAAAATGCGCTCTCGGTACATACTGACTTGATTTACGGTCCTTCTGGCCTTGAGGCCATCCGGGCACTAGTAGCTATGACTTTCTACGCCGAGTCAGCCGCCAACGAAGGCTTCGAGTATATGATGTGCGCTAATGCCGTGCGACTGGCTCAAGCAAAAGGATTACATCGCCAGCCATCACGGTCATTAAACCTCCCCGAAAACGAAGTCTTGCACCTGAACTGGCTCTTCTGGGCAATCTTCTGTCTCGAAAAGCAAATCGCCTTCCGATCTGGCCGACCATCCGCAATTGACGACGATAACGTGAGTTGTGAACTTCCCAATCATGCTCCGCCAGGAAGCACAATCGACGTACCGTTCTTCAGACACGCAGTCGGTATGGGCAAGGTGGCGACGCAACTAGCTCATCGTCTCTGCTCAGTTACAGCACTGCGACAAAGCCCACTGGCCTTCATTGAAGCTGCCAACGACATCGGCCAACAAATTGAAGTGTGGCGGCAAAGTTTGGGTCAAGATTTTCAAACTCCAGGAAAAGCCATCAACGTCAAGTCACTACGGCCCAATATGAAAGCGCTGCATGTCATATACCTGCAATTCATGTACTACTCTGCCATTCAATCAGCCTATGCGATCTTTTCATTCCCTTGGGTGGCATCAATCCTCGGCATTGAGAAAAGTCAAACCTTCCAGGAAGAAGCCGCCATCAAATCCCTGAAGGTTGCCGATGCCGCACGAAACAACATTTTAATCGCAAAGGCCATGGATTTAGACGCCGCTCTTCCTCAATGGGCATCATTCTACTTTCCTATGGCCGGCCTGACGAATTTGTTCGTGTTTCTCCTAAGTCGTCCAACATTGCCATCTGCTCAAGCAGATGTCGTGCTATTGGACGTGGCAGCAGGACAATTCAGTCATATGGCGTACCTGACGTCTTCTGAGAAGGGCTCTGGATTCACGAGAGAAATCTGCCAATTGGCACGCAACGCGGTGGAAAGGTCACGACGTAAGCTTCGAGATGGAGTTCTGTCTCCTCAGTTGACAAATACGGGGGATTGGAGACCGGAGGAGACTATGTTGCCCAGGGTAAGATACTGAACCATTGATTTATTGTTGCTTGAAAGGAGATTAATGCTGACTTTATCCCTCTAGCCTGAGCCTTTTGATGCCGACCACTTTGACTTGGAAGGCTGGAATGTCTATTCGACGGTGTTGATTGATGGAATGTTAACCGACGAAGATTTATGGCAATTTCCTGCCGAGTGATTCAGGTTGGCTTTTCGAGGGATATGGATATCCAACTCAGTGAACCGAAAAAAAAAACACTCACTATAGTCACGCGGTTCCTAGTGAAGAACCTCAACGTCATTCTCCGAGAAGATGACATGGAAATCGTAGAGTTTTTATCTTACGACCACTTCTAGCTCACCACGCGATTTTTCGCGAAAACACAAGGATGTGCATATTACAAAGTAAAGCATCTTTTTTGCAGTGATCTGATATTGTACAACGGTTGAGCCAAAGGTAGATCCTCGGTTGTACACTACGTAGCAGTGCCGAGACTGGTAGAGGAAGCTGTCCAACAAGCCAAAAGGATCAACAGAGATAGGAATCATTAGAATGTCACTTATGCACGTTGCCCACTTTGAACGTCCACCGTGCTTCAAGACTGGCTTTTCCTTCGGATAATACTGTCTGTCTGACCTTACTCCTCGCTAGGTTTCCATTTCAGGCAGAGAGTCGCCGAAGAGCATCTGGACTTCCACCCTTTCAACAGCATGGTAACTCGGGGGTGAGATTCACCAGATCTACCACCACCATCGACCTTAACTCCCACGTCTCATCAGAATCATATTTAGAAGCTATGATCTATGGAAACCCTTCTCGACAGAAGTATTCTTTGTCGTATTCTTCGTCGTACTCCTACTCCGCAAATTTCCATAGCGGACTTCGGTAAAGTGAGGTTCGCCGTTCTAACAACCATTGTTTCCGGGAAAGAGCGCCGGAGATGGGACACCAGATCTTAGAGCACCTAAGTCTGGAACTGAGATGATGATGATCATGATGATGGTGGGTTGAACAATAAGTGCATCTCTTCTGTCAAGACTTGACCAGACAAAACAAAATGCAGGGCGCCCTCAGTCGCAGCTCAGCGTAAGAAAGACAGAAAGAACTATCACACGACCTCGAGATAGACCATAGCATCTAAGTCGTTTTTGCCTGCAATGCTGCCGATTTCCTTTCTGGCCTTCTTGAGCCTCGCTTTTGCTGTTTATTACTGGTTGACCAAGCCAACGAGACCTAAAGGCGTACAGGAGTTACCTGGTCCTCGAGGTAAGTCATGATAGCCTCTTCAGGGGTCATTTCTCTACCCCTTACCACGTTGAACACCATACTGAGGTCCAATAGGGCTACCCATTCTCGGAAATCTCTTCGACTTCCCAAGAACCTTCGCGTGGATCAAGTTCAAGGAATGGAGCCACCAATATGGCCCAATATTCCAGGTCAACCTCCTGGGCAACACCGTCATCGTTGTATCCGAGCAACACATCGCCGACGAATTACTCACCACAAGAGGGGCAAACTACTCTGACCGCGGTGCCCTGCACATGCTTGCACTGAATACCGGTGGTGGTGATTTAGTGGGAGCTCCTCAAAATGATTATTGGCGAAGAGGACGGAAATTCGCTACTGCTATGACTGTTGCATCTATGGCAACGCAGTGGGAACCATTCTTGACACATGAAGTGAAGAAGATGGTAATGAACCTAGTCAAAGATACTTCGAAATATGAGTTTTGGTTTGAAAGGGTGTCTACTGTCGTGGCTATCAGGCAAGGGTTTGGAAAGACTTTGGTGAACGATGATGATGTCGAGCACCATACGGAGATGATCATGGCTCATAATCGGATGATTGGTAAGTCGCATTGTCAGGATTGTCGTTCACAACCATCCTGACTCAGTATACAGAAAAAGTCGGCGCTCCTGGAGCATACATGGTCGACGTCATTCCGCAATTGATGTATCTCCCCGAGTCCATCGCTCCATTCAAGCAAGAAGCAAAACAGACCTACGCCAGAGACTCAGCCTATTTCTATGGCCTCGTCCAAGAAGCAATCGAAAAACACAAGAATGGAATATCCGAACAACCGAAATCCTTCTCTCGATGCTGGGTGGAAAAAGAAGACCGATGGGGATTATCTTTCCATGAAGCTGCGTATGTCATGGGTACATTATTTGGAGGCGGGTCAGGCACGACATCTGGAAGCATGAGATCATTTTGCCTCGCTATGTGTCACCATCCTGAATGGATGCCAAAGTTGAACGATGAACTCGATGCTGTCGTTGGTTCTGACAGACTTCCCACGTTCCAAGATTATCCCAATTTGCACCTGGTTCGAGCCCTGGTCAAAGAGACTCTACGATGGAGACCGGTCGTACCAGCTAGTGCGTTAAACTGATACATCGTTCTATCTTTCAGAGCTAGATGCTAATTTGGTATACAGATGTCCCTCACCGCGTCGCGAAAGACGACGTCTATCAAGGCTATCACATCCCCAAAGGCGCCCTAATCTGGGCCAACCAATGGGCAATCCACCGAGATCCAAATTTATATCCCGACGGGGACTCATTCAATCCGGATCGATGGCTGAATCCGAAATTCCCTACCTTCAAGGAACCATTAGCACAATATCCCAATATAAAACGCTTTTCGGCATTTGGATTTGGTCGTCGGATTTGTCCCGGATTTGAGATGGCTGAGCGGTCCATGTTTATCCAAATCGCCATGTTGGGTTGGGCATGTCAGATTGCTAAGAAGGTCGTTAATGGAGTGGAGGTGCCGGTGGCTTATTATGATTACACTACAGGAGGTCAGAGTTTTCCCAAGCCGTTTGTGTTTGAGGTCAAGTCAAGGGATGCGAGGAGGATGGAGATGTTGAATGAAAGTTGGGAGCAGGGATTGAAGGAATTTAAAGATTGATTGTGGACATGAGTACGACACTAAGCATATGGAAATCATAAGATAGACAAGAAAGAAATGCTACGTGCCATGTTGGCATTAGAAAAGTGATCCAAGGGGATCAACATGTAAATGGGTACATGCAACCTTCAATCACCCATAGTGTAGTATCGTTGAACCATCAAATCTTGAGATCCTGCTGAGCCTAGTTCACTTGATGTCCCCTTTCGACTTTTGTTCCTCGAAGAAACAATCTTCTTTCTCCAACTCAACGCTGCCCGGATGCCTGTTTTCCTACCCGTATGACCCCCAACCTTGATTCCCCAATTCCCCGCACCAGAGCGGGACGGAGCCAATTGGGGGAGACTATTTCCCCCGGCCCACGGGATTTCCATTTCGGGAATACTAGATTTCATGCCGCGACCCCTAAAGGCCCACTGAATTAAGTGTCATCCTTCACCGTTGCGGTGGTGGGAACCGCATTGCCGACGGTACGAATCCTTTGTCATTCGGTTCATCAGCCGAAGTGACGAGTTTCTTTCGTTGGATTTGTCCAAAGATGGCAATACAACAACGATCAAAAAGACCTCGTCGCAAGCGTCTGATTTCCATTCTCAGGGTAGTAGGTAGCTAGCTAGCACACTCAGCAAGATGGCAACAAGCATTGGATTCATTGGTGAGTGTCGATATCTTTGGCTTCTGTGAAACAAGCTCATAGAATGTGTCTCAGGATTGGGAAATATGGGCTATCGTATGGCCGGGAACGTACGTACGAAAATGGACCCCACGTCGACGTTACACGTCCTCGATATCGATAAATCGGTATGCGATAGATTCATCAACGAGTTTGGTTCTTTCGGACCCATTAAGATTGGAAAGTCCGCAAAAGATATTGCACAAAGCTCGTCGACGATAATCTCAATGCTGCCGATGGACAAGCACGTTAGCTCAGTTTACCTGGACCCGGTGAATGGCATCATCGCGGCAGAACCCAACCCTAATCGATTGGCACTCGAATGCAGTACCATCAGCGTCTCTACAGCACAAGCTGTAGGAAAAGAGATCATGGACGCTGGTGTTGCGCACTACGTCGACACACCCGTTTCTGGAGGGATAATGGGCGCTGGGGCTGGCACATTATCTTTTTTCTGCGGCTATGCTGGTCCAGCAGATAGGGACGACATGACGAAACGTATCAAATCCATCTTGGATTATATGGGAGCCTCTGAGAGGATCAACTTCTGTGGAAAGTTGGGCAACGGTCTGGTCAGCAAGATCGTCAATAATTATATTGGTCTGAGTAATCTTGTCATCGCCAGCGAAGGACTTTCATTTGGGCTTCGTCATGGCGTGGATATTCACACTTTGCAGCAATGTATCAAAGGATCTTCAGGAGATTCATGGATCTTGAACAATACGTCGCCTGCTCCTGGAGCCATACCAAAATCTCCTGCGAGCAATGGATTCCGGCCGGGGTTTACCAATGCCCTATGTATAAAGGATCTCACCCTTGGTGTCGAGGCTGCGAAGGAAGTGGGCATACCAACGAAAATGGGCGAGTTGGCCATTGCGAGGTACAAGCAGAGCCAGGATGATCCACGGACTTCTGTAAGTCATAAGAGACATCTCCTACGGCTTGATTATAGGTCGATCACCATGCTAACTATTTTCTCAAGGGTCTCGACTGCAGTTCCGTCTGGCTTCATATCAACGATCAAGTCGATGCCTTTGCCAACTCTCAGCCAAACGGACATTGAGTGCCGGAGGACTTGCCGTTCTTGAAGAATTGTCAAATTACTCTTAAGTTCAATGGGCATGGAGATTAGAAGCTTGATCCTCGAATTTAGCAATACTCAACAATTTTCATGCTCAAGTAGGTACCTATCTAGCTACTTGCGATTGTAGCATTTGCATAGACAATGGGCAGGCCAGGCCCTGAATGTCATAGCAAGGCGTACAACAAGTTCAATACATGAATGAATCCATGATCCAGATGCCATTATCTATATTGTAGATGCTCTGAAGGTTGTTTCTATCTCCTCTTCACAGATCTCACTGCAGATATTTGAGTCGCATTTCCTATGAGGTCAAAGCGCATTTTTCATGTCTCGTCGTTCGATCATCTCACAATAGTCGTATCCAAATTGGCGAGATCCCTTGATCCAGTCACGCCTTTGTATCGGCATAGACATCATCTTTCACCTGATCATACCACTCAATCCCGCCGAACGAAACCGCTTCATGTACCATGATACTCGACTTATCTGCACCATGCCAATGAATCCCACCAGCAGGACACCAAATCACATCGCCAGCAGATATGCGCCTTGGCTTCTCTCCTTGATCACAAACCCAACCAGCCCCCGCCAGAACTCTCAGATACTGGCCCCTTTCGTGCTTGTGCCAGTTTGTGCATGATCCAGGCAGGAAAGTTACATTGGCCGCCGTGCAGTCGACACCAGCTTGCATGAGAATAGGGTCTAGCCACACTTCTCCTGTGAAACTGCCGAGAACTTTTGGTCCGTTGATTGTGTCTTTCCCTGCCCTACCGTGAGGGACTAACGTAGACAAGGGAGGTTTTTCGCTCGTGTCTCGTTTCTTGCGAGCGGAGATGGCAGGGTCGAGGTATCCGGATGCCATTTTTGGGAAAATTCCGGTTGTAGACTTGTAATTGGATGCACTGCGCGAATTGGGAATGGATGGCAGCAGAGGAACTGTGTCACAAGACTCACTACTTACTACCGCATTCCATGCTTTAAGTATTATGGCATGCTCTAAATGTAAATTAATTCTCCGCGGGTCGGCTTGAAGGCTACTGGTCATATTTGCCTTCCTTGCCGATGCCCGATCCTCGGCTCTGCAGAGAGATTCAAGGGGATGAGGGGTCTTGGTAGCTCTTGTCGTCATCTTGCAGCAGTAGCCTCAGATGGTACGAACGGCAATTGATTGTCGAAATCACTAAGCACAACGGCTGGCACTCTTCCATCCCCCCGACGAAATTCAGGGATCCATTCGAATCAAAATTAGAGTTTCCTCTACCGAGACCCGTCGGTAGCAACCGTGCTTTGAGAGCCGCAATCGTCGGTAAATATATACCGAACGGGCCGCCAATCAGAACGTGGATGTTCTAAAGTCATACAATGTAGAAGTATCAAACTACTGTGAGATGCTGATCAGCGCTCTATGTACCATCCCAGATCGTTCTTCGGATCTAATTCATAATCCGTAAATCCGTTGCCCATGAAATTCCACCTATTCTTATTTCGGTACTCAATGTCAAAGTCCTCGGGCCTGAGCTCGCTGATCAATTGACGATATAGCAATGCACTCCCTCTAATCAAATTGGTCAGCACTCTGTCATGGTAGGCGAAGTAGTGAACACTTACCCAAAGGCAGCAATATTTCTTCCGTGGACGGAATTTCTCTTGAACCAGCTAGAACAACTGTCGGACCAAATCAGGGTATCGTGGACACGATCTTCGTATTCAACCAATTCCTTGATGACATCAGTCTTCGGTGTAACGGACTTGATATCTTCCTGCGCGATCTTCTTGATCCATTTCAACATATAGTCTCCCGACCAGTTGATGGCTTCCACTAGTGATCCATGGGCCACGACAGCGTTTGGACCGAGAAAGATGAAGTAGTTGGGCATATCCTTTGACGCGATCGATAGATATGCAGTTGGGTCAACTTCGTAGTCCTCCTGGATATCAGTGCCGTTGCGGCCTACCATATGCCAGGAAGGTTTCAAGGAAACATCGAAGCCTGTAGCACATGCCAAAACGTCTACCTTCCAGGTTCGACCATCTGCTGTTGAGACCGAGTCCTCAGTCACCTTGGTCACTCCTTCTGTGACGAGTTCGACGTTGGATTTTTGTAAGGCTTCGAGATATCCTGTCGCGGGAGTTATACGTCGGCAAGCGAGACCCCACTTTGGGATCAGCTTCTCGCATAGCACAGGGTCGTGGTTGAGCTTCTCCGCCATTTGCTTTTGTGCGATTTCGGTGATGGCTTTGTTCTCTGCTGATCCCTTGATGAACTGGATTTTGACTCTTAGTGGGTCTCTGAAAATCATTGAGGATGTTGATACTTACACGTCGAAATCCAACATTGATATGATGGATGATGGTACTTCGGTACTTCCGGTGGAATGCTGGATCATCCTTAAATCGTTGCTTCTCTTCCTCAGTGTACGCTGGGTTCTCGGTGGGATCGTCTTTGCCTAACAACATAGCTGGTGCAAATGGGGTGTAGACATAGTTGGGTGATTTCTGGAAGCACACCAACTTGGTGCCTGGTGCTTCTGCGAGTTTAGGAACAATTTGCACTCCTGAGGAGCCGTTACCGATCACGGCAATGGTCTTGTTAGAGTAGTCATAGCTCTCATCCCATGATGCAGAATGTGTCTTCAAGCCTTTGAAGTTTTCAAATCCTTCGATTTTGGGCCATTTCCACTTGCTATCATTGATAGGTAAGTATACTGCTTCACTGCACCTGCCAAATGCTTGACTTACTTGAGAACGCCTTGGCCATTTATGAGAATATCTGCGTATTCTGTGAACGTTGTCCCATTGTGCTCAACAGTAACCAGCCACTGTCCTCGGTCTTCCTGCCAAATCGTTTCGACCACCCTGTGATTGAGCCTCACATCGCGGTCAAGGTTCCATTTCTTCGTCCTCTCCTTGAGATAGTCATGAATCTGAGGACCTGTTGCGTAGAAGTGACTCCAATCTGTTTTTGGATCGAATGGGAAAGCCTACTGGATTAGCTACCGCATTCACGGTCGATAGTTAGTGGAGCAACTCACATATATGTGCGCCGGAACGTCGCATTGTACTCCGGGGTATCGATTAACGAGCCAGGTGCCTCCAATATCGCTCCTCACTTCGTATATCTTATGCGTGACAAAGTCCTGGAATTCAGGCTGTTGATGCTGTAATTTGTGTGCCAGGATAAGCGCACTAAAACCAGCACCAATTGTCACGATGTTGAGTTTCCGTCGTGGTGTGAAGGCATTGAGATCGTCTACTCTCGGAAGATCTTGGGGGCGGGGTTCGATAAATTCTCCCATGATGTCCACAACTCTAAATGAAACGTCTGGTGAGGAATGAAGGTGGGACCTTGAATGTCTTGCAGTAAACAATCTGTATCTCTCACGTTGATGCAATTATTCATTGAAGTCAGTCAAGCCTGTCTTTCTTCGTCAGGCCTAATTGTCTTCTCTTATATTATGATATGATTTCCAAACAAATCTGTCTCCCGATCAGTACCCAGAACCCCTTGAAGGTGTTGCCAGTATGGAGGTGGCGATGTGCCGAAGGTGAAGAGTGACCAAAGGCTGACGGCCCGGTACAACGAATGGTCTTCAAGGCACCGCCGAGCCTCCCGTCCTGCCGGGGAACCGAGGCGCGGATTCTCATCTCATGTTGGCACACCTCGTGTCCTGTAATGTACCGACCACCTTGCAAGGTACTATCTAGGCACATCAGGTAAGGCAGGTAACTTTGGTATCTGATTTGGTCCTTCTCTACGCCCGAAAGTGACGCTCCAATTCTCCGCACTTTGACCAACGGCCCTGGGGAAACCATCAGTAGCAGCACTTATCCACGGAGGATATCAAAGCGATAGATCCTAGATCTCCACATCAGATGATGAAGTGTTGATTGGGATGCGATGTCATGAGATCAAACGATTAGCTTGGGACAAGTTTGACTAGCCGAATCATGCCCGTGACATTGGTTTGAGGCGGCATTGGCAGAGGGAGGGCCTTCGGCACGGCGGTACTGTAGCAACCAAAGTCTGCTCGGCACAAGATCGTTGATACTGCTAAGTAATTGAGGAGTCAATTACGCTCTCAAACAACAAGGAAAAGCATCCAAGGCTAATGACAGCGATAGATCAAGGATCGAGAAGGTAACTTAGCTGCTGCAATAGTGGAAAAGGTTGTCACTAGAAATCAGGATTCTTATTCCACATCTTTCCACAATCATTTCCAGGATGGTCACGACTCAATGCGATGGGGACAATGAAAGTGGTGCTCCAGTATTGTTGAGGATCATCTAAGGGACTGACATGGCTGAGGGGCTGGCCATTCTCTCTGTGATGAAGTCTCTGTCCTATGCTAAGCTAGGTATCTCTAAGAGAGAGAGAGAGAGGATGAAAATGACTGAGGAGTAGGCAGGCCAGTCCAGCTGGCCCCTGCCTACTCCGGCTCTTGCTCCTTCCTCAGCAACTGCCTCCTTTCCGGCAGGAACGGCCTGACACCCTCCACATGATCCAAGGAATGGTTCTGATCATCCCCTTTGAGAGAGCACAGATCTTCGACATGGTGGTTCTCCCAGCTCAATTAGCAAATACTCAGAGATTATACCTCATACAAGCTCTTGGAAGCAACAACATTTCTGAAGAAAAACATGAATTGATATTGCCATGCTCTAAGTCCTCCGGTCGGAGCCGCGAACATATCGACTGCGGTCAAAGGCTGCTCGAAAAGCAACGAGAGAACGACACACTCAAGATCATTGGATCTGCTAGACTCCAATGAAAAGGCTACTTTGAGTTAGAAATGTAATTTTTGCCATGAGGAATGACCGACCTAACAAATGCTCTCGCTTCGATATGGGAGCTCCTGGTTGGAACATCACAGCATTATCCGGGGCGAGACTACGGAACTCGGTGTTTGGTCAGCCAGCAAGTCTACTGCTATCGCGCTGAACAGCACGTTCGGTGACAGCGAATTTAAACAGGAGCCACATGAGCCGATCGGAGAATGAGCCGATGTGTAGTTGATGAAAATGATACTCTCAAACAAACATACCCTAGAGACCCCGGGTTTTGGCGCGCGCTTCCCCAGACCCCGAACTCCGCAGGTGGCGGTTATCATGTCATAAAATTGCTGCTCAGGCAAAGCCGTAATAATCTTGTCATTCAGCGTATTATCTCAATCCAGTCATCATGTCTGCGATAGTCACTGCTTACGTGAGAGACGCACTCACTAAAGCGAATGGTTTTACCATTGCTTTGGTGTGTACAGCACTTCCCTTGGTATGCTTGGTCGTGTCATTCATCTACCGCCTATACTTCCACCCACTTGCGAGGTATCCAGGCCCTTTTCTGGCCAAACTTACAGAGCTCTATGCTCTATCTCTCTCATTCAACAGGTCACGGTCCTTCAAGCACTATGAACTCATCAAGAAGTACGGGAGCCCGTTGAGGATCAGGCCCAACGAGTTACTTTTTGCCGACATGAAAGCCTGGTCAGACATCTATGGCCAACATTCAAACCCTTGTGCTAAGGAGCCAATTTTCAACAATCCATTCACTGTCGCGGGAGCAACGAATCTTTTGAATGCCACTAATAAAACAAAACATGCCCGTCTACGGCGACTTGTTTCCCATAGCTTTTCTCTGCAAGGAATACTGGACTCGGAGGAACTTTTGTCGTCAAGGTGGAATCATTCGTGCAACAAGCATTCGGCAAGGCTGAGAATAACAAACCTGTGGAGATCTACCAGAAGATCCACGAACACTACTTTGACATAATCAGCCAGTTGAGTTGTGGCAAGACCTTTGACTCTCTGACAACCAAGACCGCCACTTCGTACCATGATGTGGACCATTTCATTGATGTAGTCCCCATCACCTCCCTATTCCCCTTTATGAGGAAACTGCCATTGAACTTTATCCGAGAAGGATACCAGGGAGTCGCGCGGCTCGAGAGCTTTAGCCGCGAGTCGTTGACAGAGTTTATTGGAGACTTTGGGAAGCAAGACCCGGATGATGCGCAGGGACGATTCCTGAGGAACCTGACTACCGCGACGGATGCAGAAACTGGAAGTAAGCTCGCGTTGGACGAGCTTGTGGAGAATGTTATTATTTTCCTTGTCGCAGGGAGCGGGACTATTGCAGTAACTACCACATACTTCACCTGGGAGCTTGGAAGACGCCCCGAGGTTCACAAGAAGGTAGCCGAGGAAATCAGAGTCGCGTTCCCAGATCCTCAGATCTTCCCAACGTTTGAGGAAGCTTCGAAACTAGTAAGTCCACTAAATTGCCGCAATGGAAGAGAAGGATCATCACCCATTAACACCATCACTTTAGCCGTACTTAAGTGCGGTCATTGAAGAGACCTTGCGACTATGGGCCCCCCTTAATGTTGAGATGCCCAGACTCTCACCCGGACGACTGTTGGGAGGCCACTACATTCCAAAGGACACCATCGTATCGATCAGCTCATACTCGACTGCCCGTGATCCTGAGGTATTTGCCGACCCTGAGGCCTTTATTCCAGAGCGATGGTTACAAGCAACACCAGAAATGAGGGCAATGTCGAGACCGTTCAGTGCAGGTCCACGAAATTGCGTCGGGAAGCACCTTGCTGAGGTTAATTTGGCTCTGACATTGACTCGCGTTTTTCAACTCTATGACTTGACTGTCGATCCTCTCATCACAGAAGAGATGATGAGGCCGTTGGACCGTTGTGCATTGGAGCCACGTGGAGGGAAGCACTTTGTTCGAGCTAGACGAGTGCATTCTTGATGAAGCCAGAGTGTGCACGATGAGATTATCTTGACCTTGAACGATATGTGCGATGATAGCTTGTGCAAAGAACACCTTCACGACATTGCATGATACTACTTCTTGAGTGCTCATCGACATAAGCTCGTTTGAATATCGAAATAGACTTTCATCCAACCTGAAGCCCTATACTACTCGTCATGTCCCAATTAGATCTCTGGAACCGATTCGCCAAATCAGCCCCTACTCTCATTCGGCAAGCAAGCATTCCCGTACGGAGATGCAGTAGCGGCCGCGGATCTGGACTTGGATCGTCGTATTTGAGAAGAGGAGTCGGCGACTTGCTCGGTCCGCACCTGTTGACAGTGTCCAGGATCATCCAAACCGATGATATTAGCTTACGAATTTCAAAAACAGGCTTCATCGTTACTTACATCCCGACAAAGTGGACGAAAAAGCAATCGAGAACAATCTTGTTCCTTGGCCATCGTATATAGCCAGTAGAGCAAAGAAAGGATGAAATGTGAATTGTGGACGTCACATCATCACCGAAACGAAACGATGACATCTACAACAATCCAGAAGGATGGGTCCCTTGGGATGAGACCTCGAGAGCCTCGACGCTTCATCACAACGAACAACGGAGAAGGGAAAGCAGTGTTCTCCAGCACACTTTCAGAGACACCGCCTTCCCGTGACGCCGGGGGTGGAATGAAAATCGCCTTCTGCTACGGGACAAATCAGACACCTCCAGACTTTACCAACGAAGGTGACATCGGCACGTACCAACATCTCATTGACAATCCGCCAGGGATCATCATCCCCAATGGATGTGTCGCGCGGCTGGTGGATCTCCCACCTGGCTATCAGAGTGCAATGCATCGTACTATCTCTCTAAACTACAATTTTGTTGTGCAGGGCGAGGTGGAACTTATACTCGACTCTGGAGAGACACGTCTCTTGCAACCAGGGGATATGGCCGTGCAGAGAGCAGTCAATCATGCCTGGAGGAACACCAGTCCTACTCAATGGGCTCGATTGACCGCGTTCGCAATTCCAGCCATTCCAGATCAGAGTTCGGGTCTTAGTGAGGAGGGGACAGACCAGTTGTAGACTGGCCTATAATACGAAAAAGGATGACAGCAGTAGTAGCAGAAATGGACAAGACCTCTTGGTATTCATAGTACTAGCTGTTGGATTCATGCCCTTAGGTTGTCTTTCTAGTTTCCCGGATGTTAACAATGGCCATTGTATCCTCAACCCTGCCGCAAAGCTTGAAACCCTGGAGAAGAATTTTAACGCGAGAAGTGCCAGGGCACCATCTTTCCGCGCTAAAAGTATGTGAGGTCACCTCGAGAATCAGGTCAAACTAGACGGTCTGTCGAACTTTCTCGCCGTAAAGGGCTTCTTCACTCTCTGCCGGGGCGTCGATTTGTTGATTGAAGTTCTCCTTGATATCCTTGATGCATAAAGCAGCTGGAAGAAGTGGGTCAGCAAGTAATCTTTGCAGTAATAATGGGTTCCGCCACATACTGAGGGCTCCTGCACCCGAAAGAGCTGCTGCGGTGATCCAAACATTTCGAAATGATCCTAGGTAGGCACTGTTCATTCCTGTCACAGCGGCTTGAATGGTTTCAGGTGTTGCGCCCGGGACATCTGCCAGTGATTCCATATCGTGCGCGACCAGGGCATGAATCAGATCAGGGAGAGAGCTGGTGGGGAGGCCGAGAGGGATCACTGCGTTGGCGATTCTCTCAGGCAGCAACGTCGATAGCCTTGACGAGAAAATACTGATACCTGTACCCACTTAGTTGACTGCCCACGCAGTTCGCAAATGGAACTGAAATAGGTGGAGAGACGGTACTCACAGATTGCCGTGCCGATTGTTGCTCCTACTCCGCGCGAGGCGGCCATTAATCCACTCGTGGTAGAACTAGCATCAGATAAGTATGTCATATCGATGAAAAAGGAAAAGAGATGCGAATAAAACTCACATGAGATCTGGAGGGGCACTGAATTGAGCTGCCGCAATAAGAGCGTTCAGACTGCATGCAAGCCCTGCGCCAAAGAAGACGGGGAAACCCCAAACTGATCGATTGCTGTTCAACGTCGTCGTTGCCATACAGATGTAGAATATAGTGAAGAACATAAATCCGGCGGCAGCGACAAATTTCAGCTGTTTGAATCTGTAGCAGATCATGGCTGCTGCAATACAGGCAAATATGTATGCGATGAAGGAGACTGAAAAGTTGACTCCAATAAGAATAGGTCTAGTCACATAGAGTACGCTGACTTGAAAGGCCAGGAAGTTGTTGGCGGCCTAGTGACAGATCAGTATGCGGATAGCTCTTTGGGTAAATGAATGCTTACAACAAAAGCTATTGACCTGTTAGCGTTTTGAGCATTATCACGAGCATTGGGAAAAAAGGCTTACCGAGTCCCTCCAGAAAGATACCAATAAGGGCCACAGCGAGATTACGATCCTGGCTAGAGACAGTCAGTCCCATTGTTCGATAAAGGCCCGAGTAATCGACTCTTACGCGAAGAGATGGTGGTTCATCATGCCATCAGTCTTGAATTTCCACTCGTATACGCTGAATACTGCTAGGAGGACGATCGAAATGCACAGCGGGGCTAGAACGTGTGCAGTATCGTAAGGATCTAGATTAACAAACCGTAAGTAAACATTTCTTTAAAGATAGTGGACAGTAAAAAGGAGCCACGTACAGGGATTGTTGGCCCAAGAGAACGCAATACAGAGTAAAGTGAGACCAGTGCCCAGGAGTGCGCCGCCGATCCAATCCAACTGCGCATGAAGTCAGTCAGCACGGTTGTAGAGCACAAATCTGACTGGCTTACCGAGTGTAATTTCTCCTTGAGTGTCAAAGTTGATTGCAGCTCTCGCAGAGGCGGGTTATAACAGAAGAAGCAAATCACGGACGCCAGCGCGAAGAGCCCTGCTGCAATGTACCATAGCTAACACTTGAGTCAGCGCCATGACTTGGAACGTAAGTAATCAGACACTCACGATTCTGAAACCTTCTGGACCATGTGTCTGGATGAGTGAAGCACCTCCAGTGAGACCCGCAACACCACCGAGACCGTTGCCCTAGAAGAAATATCTTGTCAGGGTAGACGGTTGGGGGTGGAAGAAGTAACGTACAAGGCTGAGGGTTGCCTGTGCGCTCATTCTGTGGCGATGAGGCAGCACTTCAGATACGACGGCGAAGCAAAGAGCCTATGGAGTGAGCAGCCTGTACATGCTTAGGACATAATTGTAGACGTACTGTAGTTGCAAAGGCCGGGCCAATGATTACCTGACCAGCAATCACCATGTTCATCTGGAGGTCGTCAGGGGCGGTCATATCACAAGTTTACCAAACTCACAGAATTCGCTCGGGACGTAATGAGAGCACCAATGGCTCCCATGGCGTTGAGAACGATGAGGAACCATTTTCTGCCCCAATAGTCGGCGGCCTGGCTGACTGGCACAGCTAACACGACCATGGGAAGAAGGATACCAGCCACCATCCAGCTAGCCTTGTCTGCACCACCGACGACGGACGCAACAACTGACGAATACTATCGTCACCGTGAGTGAGACTCTTTGAATGATAAAGAGGGAGTTGAACTCACTGCACCAGACGCAGTCAACTGCAGGACTCCAACAAAGCTGAGAAGAAACATGGACTGGTCGCAGTGAGTATGAGCATACGGGAGCAAGGCACTATCGGACGTACTAGTAAGACCAGATATGTTTTAGTGTGAATATGCGGTGCCAATTCCTCATCACCATAATCCCGAGCTTGATGCTCATTCTCTTGAGCCATGACCTCTTTGTTTTCCGACATTTTGATGTGTTATTGGCGAGTAAGAAGGGGATTGATTCTGGTCTTCATCAGATATACCAGCGGAAAGGGGGGCTGCGAGGATACAAGTACTCGCTGTGGGGTCCCCTCAATCGAAGTGAGCACCCCATGGGGGAGTGAGTGAACAGTCGTCCTGTGTTTCTGCTCGGTCTCTAGATACTGGTCTCATTAGGTCTAGACTGAGGTTGGAAGATCATGGGTGGTCGTAGTCCGAACGCTGCCCAGATGATGCGGACCGTAACTCGGTCCGGAGCATTGCGAGCGCACGCGGTTTCAGAGCCCGAAGTCCCCAAACTCTCAATGCACACATTACTGAAGGTATTCGGTGAAGATGGGAGCAGACAATGGTAGGGGGTTTTAATAGCTGGCAGGTAGACAGACATCCGTCAAGTTCACAAGAGAGCCGTACCTTTTCATCACCGAGATACCAAAGGTGACACGAGCTTTGTATGATGGTGGAAAGGCCATGATGTGTCAGAAACAATGTGATGGGATAGGGAATAGTGGGCTAGCATGGAGATATGCTCACAATCTGATTTCCTACCATGTGGGAGAACGTTTATCAACGCCATCTGAATGAATCCACGTTTTGGGCATCATCAGATAATCATGATGGTAGACACCAACGCCTTGAGCGACTGGCGTTCAACCAATTAGTATCCGTCGATAATTTTGAACTGCTACAGACGAGTCCTGTTCATAGTCGCGGTTCAGATCAAATGATGCAGTTACTCAGAGCTGATGCCGTAATCTGGGTACAGGCACAGAGGCTCTTTCCATCACTTTGACCTATCATCAACTCAAGTACACTCTACTTACTGTTTGAACAGGAAGATAGATCTGTCTCACTGGCCACCTTTTCGCTTGGCTTTTGGGGTCAATACGTCCCGCGGATGTAAGGGGAATCACGGGGGATACAGAAACGTATCGCACGTTCGCTCAAAACTTGGCCCTTAGCGGGGCGATGGTCCCGAGGTCTTAGCTAGCACCCACAGCTTCTAACGACTCTTCTAACGACTATTCTTTCTATACAGGTCCCCATATTTCATAAACTTGCTAATCGAAGTCTAGCGGAAGATCAACGAGTCGGAGCCAGTAGTCGTGTCGCACATGTGCCTAGGCAGTTACGTATGATACCCTCACTTGCGCTCACTTGCCACGCTTGTAGAGAGGAGGCGAGGGAGGGAGACTCGACCGTTGGATCAGTAGGAGGGCAATCCGTCTGAGGGGCGAGAGGCCAGTGATGGGGGCCGAGGGGCCTTCGGGCTTTCCCAAACTTGGTAGCCACAAGCGTAAGTCGAGGCTAATAACTGCGTGTCAGACGTTCCCCCCTGTCGGGCAACGCGATGATCAGCGCATGAGACACGCACAACACGGGAAGTTAGGCCCAAGTTGGCCACTAAATGGTTCCAAGTCTAACAATTGGGTGGTCGGTCATTGAGGGGTGGCCGACGTCCCGGGGGCGATTGAGGGCTGGGGTTAAATGGCTTCAATGGGTCGAATGGCTGAACTCGCTCGGAGCCCACAGCCCTATTGAGCAAGTGGCTCCAGCTAAGGATCTTCCAAGTTTCCACCACAGCTTCTCTTGCATATTCTCATGCATTCAACGGCGTCAATGGCTTGTCGCCTTGCCGGGTTTTGCCAGACGGTGTGAATACGCCAACTCTTGACCGAACATGGGTGGCCTCTGGTTGGATTTTTAAGTCGTCATGGGCTTGTCCCACGTCTCGAGCATGACACTGGTCCCTGAGTAGGGCACGGCACGTTTGTCAAAGACAACTGACCGTCCTGACAAAGGGAGAGTCGCACAAGGGCCAACGCCGGCCACCCAAGTAGGAAACTGTACAGACTGTTCAAGGCATTGAAAAGTTTTTTTTTGAATCAGGAGGCTTAGAGATCCACGATCCTCATTACGAGATTGTGGATGGTTCGTCATAGAAACTTTACTGTTGCCTCTTAGAGACTTTGAAACCTGAGACCTGAGACCTGACGGCTGTGAGAATCTGTCACGATTCAAGCCTTGGTCACGGCAAGCGTTTCTCAGCGGTGACCGACCTCCAGGCTTATGCATCGTCAACTGGCGATTGGCACATGCGTGGTCGGCAAAGGCCAAGGGCGGGTGGATTCTTAAAGGGAACAAAGAGTGCCTCCCAGGCCATCATCAGGTAAACGATTGGCGCCCGTGACGGAGGACTAGCTGCATGCCTCGGCGTCTGCGTACGAGTAGGCATATGCGGACAAGCATCGAGGGATGTCCCAAGTCAATTACGCATAGTCGTTAGCCTGACGCCAGGAGGTGTCCCCCCAGAAGAGAACCCCCCCCCCCCCTAGTTGTCTCTGGCTCCATCGGTCTTCTCTTTGCGGCAGACCAACAACCTCAGCAGCACTGCACAGACCCCTGTGTACCCCATTTCTTCTAGAAGACAAGTTGGTGCTTCTACCGGTGCGAGTGGCTCCAGAGTCCAACCAGCCTCTCTGGTTTCCAAAGTTCCCCCATCCACAACCCCCCCACCACCTCGCCTTGATCAAGCCGCCCACCGGTGGATGTCCTGGATGTCCTAGCTGTCCATGTCCTTGGCTGTTCTTCCCTGTCTCCAAGTTGGGATCAGGTCATTTGCTCGTCGAGTCGCCTGTCGTCAATGCTCAATATCCGTACAGCTCCCGCCCGGCTCGTGGAGCATTGACCTCTCAATACCCATCTATCTACCTATACCTGTCACATCTCTCAATTATTCAATTCTCCTGCTCCACCGGCTGGCTCGAGCCTGCTCACACACTGTTTCTTGTCTTTCTTCCTCTCGTCATCCTCCTCTAAATTTCACAGACTTGCTTCCCTCCGTCTTCCACTCCCAACAGTGAATTCGACTGCTTTGTATTTGACGCGAGCGAATCTCGAACTCTCTCCACTTACTTAACTTAGTCGACCTGAGGGCAACCTTATTCTAAATACCGGAATCGGGTCCAGTAGCCCTCCCGCCTTCGCCGCCTCTTCGGCCCACCTAAACTCGATTCAACTACCCCCGAGTCTCAGTGTCGCCTCCTCGCTGCTGATCAACCATTTCTCAGTTCGGCTCATCGATATTCCTGCTTCTCATTTCTACTCACGCGGTGGCGCTGCTTCAGCAAAAACTTCTTTGTTGCAAAGAATGCAGACACGCAGACATATATCTCCCCGCCGCTAGACCATCGACACCTTTGTCGCCAACCCACACCGCTTGCGCTGATCGCAATTTCCACTCGCTCGACAGTCTTGGGTACATGCATGATCATTGCGATGGACGGCTACGACCCCTTAGCAATGAACTATCTACATAGTCCCATGCCCTTTCAGGGCGGGAATCTGCAGAATCTCGATTACATGAGTGTGCCGTCAGTGATGGACCTGCAAGATCAGTACTCCAACTTCGACTCGGAGCCATACATGAGGTAGGTAATTTGGATGCGCATACTTGTCTTTCTTGCTCGAGACTTGGTGCTGACAATTGTAGTGGTGATGATCTCGGTTTCGCTCCATCATCTGGACTCCAACATTCAGCGATGATCAAGCGATACTCGTCTGGATTCGACGATCCATTCGCAGAGGGAACCATAGCACAGTTTGAACAAATGCCCTCTGAGACCAATGCAGACAGTCCCTCCATCGATCGCGACAGCAAATACCTCAGTTTCCACATGCCGCATTACAACTTCACCCTCCTCGACGACTCTTTCCGTCGCACCTCAGTCAATATCAATGCTCAACTACATGGCATGTTTTTTCTCGCCGAATCTCAGTGGCCAGCTACTGCAGACACCCCTCCACCTCCACCAGAACTCACATGCTACAGACGTAATCTTTTCCAGATCACCGGTTCTGTCACTCTCCCTCGAAACTTGAGATATGTCTTCACCGACGACGGGTCTAGAATTCCCATCTATGAACTCGAACTGGCTGTTTCAGCTACCGAGTCTGTCGAAAACAATACGGTGAAAATTATATCCGTGCCTTGGAAGACCCCTGCGAGTGGCGAAGGCACAAAGTCAGATGACAAAGGAGAGCGCGAACCTCCCACAATCCCTCTAGACAAAATGTCTGGGCAGGATCTTGACACCGACTTCACCACTTTTCCCATTCAATGGAAGAGACTCCAATTTCGGATAGCCACTGCTAACAATGGTCGACGGAAAGAATTACAGCAACATTTTGTCCTCCACCTCAAGATCATGGCATCTTTGTCGACGGGCACGAAAATTTCAATTGCAGAGGCTAGGTCTGGGGCTGTTATTGTCCGAGGCCGAAGCCCACGCAATTTTGCCTCTCGAAAAGATCTTCCACTATCGAGCAGTTCCACGGCCAGGAAGCATCTGCCAGGCGCGAGTCGAACTAGTGTGAGCCAAACTTCAGTGCCTCAGGTCACGTCCGCTCCGAAAGTCAAAACTCCTCCGTCAGAAAACCCGCAGATGGCTGGGCTGAGATATGACCCAGCCGACTTTAAGGACAATGATCCCACCAGCGCGTGGATGTCGCAGATCCAAAACGATCCTCTCGTCGCCCCCTCATATTCTGCATCAATGAATCCTCCTCTGATGCCCACTTTCACGCAGGACCCAAGCGTGACCCCTGAGCTACCCACCCCAGGCGGACCGCCTTTCCAATTTACGTTTCCAGAAGTCCAGCCCACTACTGGCCCAATGAGTTTACACTTTGGGAGCGACGATGAAGGATCTCCATATCATCAGAATCAAGATTCACGACATTCATCGCGGCCACCCACCTCGAATCCATCACCTAATCTGTTGAACAAGGGTGCACATCAACACCCGTCTCCAGGACGAAGTGCTCAAATGAACGCACCTCCTCAGCCAACTGCCCCTAACCAAGCTAGGCCTCGAATGCATTCTCATCAAATGTCTCATACGTCAGTGCCCTCGTCGAATGGATCCATGATCGCGCCTGGCCACCACCAACAACTTCATCAGCCACAAACGCGGCCCGAGTTAGTGGCCATGAATTCAGGCATGTCTTTCAAATCCGAGGGCGAAAACTCCGAACAATTGTATGAGTACTTTCCCTTGGGTCTCGATGATTGGATGCCACCTGTTGATGCCGTCTTCAGGCCTCATGTTGTTCATCATTCGGGTCCGATGCCTCCAGATCCGAGGAGCCCCGGGGGGCGGCACACGAGCAAAAGATACTTTTCCGAGGTGGTTTAATTCCATATTATCAGCACACCAAACTTTGCCTCTTGACAATCCACTTGACGAAGATATGACAGATACACTATTCTTGAACACCGGTAATTATGATGGCAAGAAAGGGCATGATGCATAATGGCTGAGATTCCTAAGCACTTGGCCAGAACAGATTGACCAGTTTGGCTTTGTCACACATCCTAAAGGGTCGAATCATGTCACGTACAGGGTCGAAAACAAGGTGGCCAAAATCTCCTGACATCCTTCTGTTTTTCCCTCTCTCTTCTCAAAACGAGCGAGATATGAGATACCTGACCGTCATTGCAGTGACGAATCAGCATACCTTAGCGTGCACACAAAAATGCACATTCCGACTAATAACCACTTACTTAGATAGTGGACGATTGTCGGAAATAGATAATGTGACCATGACCACCAAATACTATCATGTTTACACATCGAAACTAAATCTCATTGTGTTTACGAATTGGGAGACATGATTAAGCAAAATCCCCTAGGAGGCGAGCCAGACTTATCGAGTAAAGTAGTAAGTAGTAATTCACTAGTCATCTATCTAGTACACTCTGCTGAGTAACCCGTAAGTGGAGGGACGGAACCAGAGTAGGCAACAAAGACGGAGACTGAGACTGAGACTGACCGCCCAGACCAAACCTTCGCTGTCAGCTACCGTGCATAGGCTGGGAAACTCGTTAGATACCTACCTGGCGCATATGCGTCCTTGCAGTAAGTCCAGTTTCCTCATTTAGTGGCTTGTCTGATCTACGCTCATTAAGGAAAGGCGAGACGGTGATAGGTCACCATGAGTTCACGAATCTCATCACTGCAGTTGCGGCGTTGTGCTACTGACTTTTAGAGAAACACTAAACAAAGGATGAGGCGTGCGTGTGCATATAGGTGTACACTTGACAACAGATTGAAGGATCAAAGAATTACAGGTTTAGGTATGTTTTACCTGGAGGCTTCAGGTGGAGTGGGCACGGATGCCGGAAGTGCCTGGACACCCGCCCGGAAGGAAAGTCTGTGGATGGATGATGAGAGTGGTGGTGGTGGAGGAGGTGGTGACACTGGTGGTTATGGTTTCGCGAATGCATGCATGGGGCCGATTCCGTAGGTGACAAACAAAGAAATAGGAATTGCCCTTTCTTCTCAAGTTCGAGCTATCGAGCTCGACGTGTCTCGATGGCAACGATGATAAGTCATGATGATCCATTGAATCTCCCCCATGAAAGGACACTTTGTACGTGAAATTGGTCGAATAATTGGTGCGGAACTCCAGTGACTCCTCAAGCTTGGTCGGTCTGACCTCAATAATGAACAGATGCCGAGGTGGGTTTGTGCACGAGCTGATCGTCGATAGCATTTCGGAGGCCGCCGAGATGACGACGATGTAGATTGGTTACGAGATGATGATTTGACACACTTGCTTTTCCGTGCACGCTACCAACGAAAACAAGAAGATGGGGGCTTAATCCAAGCAATGAATCGTGGGCTTCTGTCAGTTCCTACGAAAAGCTACTAGGTAGTTACAACCGCGATACGAGACTCGATGCATGATGACGAAAGCCGACAGCTTCTTGGTGTAAAGTACACAATAGGGTCATACATTTATTTTGTCCAAGTGTGAGGAATTGAGAAGGATCATGGAGTTTACTACTGGTATCACCGAGGATGGCGCCAGTTGAATCCAAGTCTGTCGCCAAGTGAGGTGATCGAGATGTCTGCTGCTTGAGATGTTAGACGATCGAGAGTGCCCAACGATAGTGTGTACGGAGTAAGTCTCTTTCTAGGGTATGTAAGTAGAGCAGCCGCCGGACCTGAGTATGCGAACTCACTAGCCCCTCGAGCGCTGGAACTTTGGCATCACTCGCCGCATCAGAGACACAGCCGAGTCCCAAATGGCTGCGGGCTGCGGAGGGAGACCAGGGGGCCTGGTAGGAGCGTTCGCTGCAGTGGTGCCGATGGGTTTTGCGGACTGATCAGTCTCGTATGCAAGCGGTAGAAGCCAAGAGTGGGGTAGAATTCAGTTCACTTCGTTTGGATGGACTCATGCTTTTTGGGCTAGAAGTGTGCGCATAGTTCCGCAACGGTTACCCTCGGCCGACGGCTGGTAAAGGTCTAAATGCGTTTGCAATAACGAAGTCTGGCTTCCTGTTCACTGGGAAGCCGAGGAGGGGGTAGAACCTCCTCAACTCAATCATGATAACCCTGATCTCGGTAGTACGGGTGGACGGCATCTTCGACAGGTTGTCCAGCGGGTATCAGGTGGCATGTGACTACTCAGTCGGACAGTAGTGGATTTGTTCGGGGGAATGCAATCGAGATCCCTGTTTGGGATTGAATGCATAGAAGGTGTCTGCCGCGACACTAGAAGGATGGAAGGTCTCTGGCCTGAGATCAAGTGGCCTGGTGGAGACGTGGGATGACGAGGATGGGTGGATTTGGATGGATTGCTTTCTAGCATGGTGGTCAGTTGGAGCCAAAGCCGGAACGAGCTTGACTCTCAGGCCCCCCTCTACTCGTTTATGATTTGGCGTTGATGTCGGCTCTAGCATCGTCGATGGGGACAACAACTACTCGTGCTACAGTACATGCGAGGGATCGTAACTACTTGTCAAGTCGGGTTGTTCCCTGGCAAGGAGTCAAGGATCATGGATGAACAGGAGGCAGCAACTATAGTCCTTACAACAAGTTACGTGGCTATGCATGTTTTGATCCCCACCTCGAATGGAGAGAGGGTTCACCCTCAATTGAACACTTTATTTTGACACATGTACCTCGGAAACAGCGACCGAGGCGAAGCATGGACATGAACGCAATATACGAGACAAGAAACGTGTCGTGGCTGTATAAGAATGCATGTATAGACGAGGAAGTGAGGAGATGGGAGAGTGAAAGGAAGGAAAGAGCGACCCGTTCGCACCTTCTTCGAAACCAAACGTTGATAGACACGGCAGACGGGCACCTTCCGTGCTCCGTCTGCAGCAACACATGGTCGCGCCTTCCCACAACTTCTTACCGAAACCGGTGTCTCGAATTGGAAGTTGATGGTCCTTTGGTCTACACGTGATGCGAGTTCGGGCGAGGATTGCTTCATTCGCCATTGAAATTCATTTAAAGTCTGACCAGGGCGAGTATCCGATATCACCTGATGAACTCGTGCCTTGACCCTGCATATTCAGTGGTTTCAAAAGGATATCAGATCTCCCCCGTCTTTCTCCACGACCATGTCTCCATGTCTTGTCAGGGCGGAAATGGCTTCGGTTCAACGGCTGGATTGGCTCTCTACCAGTATCCTTGATGTATATTCTCTTCTCTGTACTGTAATTCCGTCTCAAGACCTGCACACATGGTCAAGGTGGAGCTCACTCACCTCGTGACCCCCAAATCCGCTCCGCCCCCTCCAAGCCGCCCGGTTTCTACGAGAGATTCAAGTGGACAGTATCATAGCCCAAGGGACTTTCGCGGCGTTTTCTCATTTCAGCCATCGACTTCCCGCGTCTTCGACTCCGTGTCGTCAAGTCTATCCGCGCTCTCAAGGTTTCATCTTGTACCAAGTGACATGGTCCTGAACCAAATAGATGTAGCCCCATTATTTGCTGACGCTACCGTTGGTCCCCAGCAGTCAAACGTGCGTTCATCTGCCAGGTACTTTCTAAAATTCGGCAAGATGTCATCAACTACTCGTCTCACTGGTCGATGGCCCTAGAACATCACAGCCGAGGGCATCGTAGCTTTCTGCTCTCGGATCTCCATGACTAGCTTCCCCGTCAATCTCATGTGATGCCTGACGGGGGACCGTAGATGCCTCGCACCTGACCATCGACGGAATGACTCACCTTCAGAGACCCAGTCGGCCACGACGAACTGGTAATGTAGCTAAGCTATATTATTCTATTCCTCACTGCTCGATGAGACATCTCCTCTTGCTTTGGAACTCGACCATCTTACTCTGCACCTCTGTGCGATTCAAATTTCATGTACAACATATAATACCGGCCTACTAACTATTTGAACATTTCTACATTGCCATCCAGACCTGTAACATCATCCCTCCTTGTTCCTGCATAAAAACAAAAGCCATCAGAGCTCCACAATCATCTCGGTCAAGCCGGAACCCCTTGCAATCATGTCACGGCCTACCGAGCGTTCCTTTACTCTTGACCACCGTCGAGCTTCTGCTCCTGCCTTTGCATTTGCCAAAAAGAACTACGATTGGAACCACAATGTCCAGGGCTGTTGTCATGACCGCGACAAGCATCGCTGCGGTTGCACCTGTCGCAGCTGCTGCTGTGGCTTCAAACCAGCACAGAATAACCCCAATCAGCACAACTACAATGAGAAACAGGGACAAGCCATTATTCCCGGACCATTGGTGGCATTCACCAATAACCCCTACAGCCCCTCCTCTGTCAGCACCAGCGACTCATGCTTTAGTGCCCACGAGGACATCAGCAATAGTTGGGAAGCCCAAGGCCCCTTGATTGCTCGTATGATGGCCGATGACTTTGGCCAGCCTCAGCCTGGGTATGGGGTGGAAGCGGCAATCCATGACGTCGAGCTCGCCTTTGCTTCCGATGATGAAGATCCAAATCAGTGGCCCGAGTTTACTACCCGCCAGATCGAGAGTGAACCATCTTCTCATCACACAGACGATGACCTGGAGGTCATGGCTGGGAGCTCCCTGTTCTCATGTTTGGAAGTGGATGAGCCAACGGAAGTTGGCTACCAGAGTGTCACAGCGAGCCAGTATCTGGTCTGCACGGGCACTTCATTCTCAGGCAACAACTTCTTGCCTCTCACCCCCGATTGTCGACATGAGAGGACTCGGCAAATGTGTGCCCACTGCATGCACTATTGAGGCACGTTGCCTTTACCTGTTCCATACCAAATGGAGCAACCGGGTTGTATACGAATCACGACATGATAATGAAACGATCATTCTTTGCTTTCTGGCTTGGAGTTCTTGGACATGGATATCGTTCTAACATGAGGGTTTTGGACAAATGATAGATGTACCATATGACGCCCAATACTCGGCGTGTCCCCTCGTTGCCGGTATGTCTCGCGACGCAACATGTACTGATACTAGACCTACACTCGCTATCGTCATCAACAACTTAGGTAGTTAGTCAGTTGAACAGTCTGTATTGACAGTATGAATATTCTTCAAAGGATGTTGTCGCGTTACCCTTTTGGGAGATGCCGCAGTTCGCTTCCCGCAACTGCGATCGATCCTTCCTCAACTTTGTATGGGTGACGCACTTGGAGGGGTCACGCCCAACGCTCTTTCCTCTTTCCTCCACTCTCTTCCCCACATCCAACTGGGAAATTGTTCCGAGTCTATCCTAAACATCGAAACATCAGACAACCTTTCATGACTTGTCTGGTCTGAACTGCGTCTATTGGAACTGGTAAAGAGCTCTTAACACGCTCTCCGAACCTGCTCTCATCCTCCTTACAGACATCATCTTCTCTCTAGCTCTCTCCTCCTTCCCATCTCTTCCCGGTTTGCAGAATCGCCAGGACGAAACAAGCCCCTCCCTCCCTCCCCAACCTTCACAGCACCATATCTCCCGACCACCACATCTCCAAACATGACTCCTACAGCTATCATTGCCCCGTCGATACTGAGCGCCGACTTTGCGGCGTTGGGGCAAGCATGCTCAAAAACAATTGGTGAGGGGGCAGACTGGCTACATGTCGATATTGTACGTTTCCGTCCAGTCCCGCCGTGAAGCCAATCCACCTATCAATCCATATCCCAAGACTATCAAATCCTCACAAAGAAAAGATCGTTAGGCTGACAAGCTCTGAGAAATAGATGGACGGTCACTTCGTACCCAATATCACCTTTGGCGCCCCTGTTGTCTCCAAGATCCGGTCACACGTCGAACGGCCCAAGACAGCCAATGGCAAAGGCACCTTTGATTGCCATATGATGATTTCAGAGGTATGTTGGTATTCTGACCTATATGAGATCTATGCATCCAAATCAAAACCACCCATCCACCCCTCAAATGGACGCTGACATGTATCTGTCCAGCCACACCGATGGGCCAGCACATTTCGAGATGCCGGCTGCGACCTGTACTGTTTCCACTACGAAGCCGCCGTGTCGTCGGTTGCAGCCACTCAACCTGAAGACAAAGATACACAACGGCCTACCTCGCCAAAAGAGCTCATCAAATACATCCATTCTCTCGGCATGCAGGCTGGTATTGCCATCAAACCTGACACCAGTGTTGATGTACTGTGGGACATTCTAGAGAATGATAACAAAGACGAACTTCCTGATGTATGTGTCCATCCACCTTACTTTACTCTGGTCCTGCTCTCAGACCTTCTCATCACCTCTCATCTAACCAATCTTCTCATCCAGATGGTCCTTGTCATGACAGTGTACCCCGGCTTTGGCGGGCAGAAGTTTATGGCCAGCGAATTACCCAAAGTGACGGCGCTACGACAGAAATACCCAGACCTCAACATCGAGGTCGACGGCGGCCTGGGCGAGGGCACCATCGACCAAGCTGCGGATGCTGGAGCCAATGTCATCGTTGCTGGAAGTGCTGTCTTTGGCGCCAAGGATCCTGCCCAAGTGATCAGTATCTTGAGAGAAGCAGTTGAGAAGAGAAGATCAGCAACCGAGGGAAAATTATGATGATCGAGTGTGAGATGACCTGGTGTCGTGTATACCCCCGAAAGATGAGAAATATAGAGACATACCCAAGACAAATTGGGACCATGAACAGACTAGGAATTGAGATGAGCAGGATAGGCAAAGAATGATCCATAGCCAATTCAATAACCATCCTTTCCCGTGACTACTCCTGCAGCACCGCCATTCTTGCCAAACATTTCCCTGACATCGGAGATGAGATGCTCCGGTTTCTCAAAGGCGAAGAAATGTCCACCAGAATCATAACTCCTATCAAAGACCACATGACCCTGTGTATGCGTAAACGTCTGGGGCAAAACCCTCAATTCACCAGGACTATGCGTCAAGCCCAACTTGACACCTCCACCAACCCACAGCCTCGTCCTATCTCTGGTCACCCTCCTCTGTGGATCATCCCACTCATGGGTACTTTCATAATAAATCCTCAAACTCGCCGCTGGCCCTGCGGTTGAAAACCAATAAATACTCACCCAAGTACAAACCTCGTCCTCCGTCCAAGGATACCCATCCGACCAATCATGCAACTTCTCATAAATCCACGCCAACAGTCCCACCGGACTATCCGTCAATCCATATCCCAGCGTCTGAGGCTTGGTACTCTGCTGCGCACGATACGCACTCCCCTCCTCGAGAAACCATTTCGTTCTCGCCAGCCCTTTCTTTTCTCGTTCCGTATACGGCGTGACGGCGTGTTTGAGCGCCAGACCGGGAAACTGTGTCCACGACGGCGCCTCGCCTTGGTCGAAATTCACGTGTGTGGCTTTACAGTGTTGAGGATAGAGAATCGCAATGGTGCGTGTGATGTAATATCCCCAATCGCCGCCTTGGGTCACGTATTCGTCGTACCCGAGTTTGAGCATCAGTTTATGTGCGGTTTCGGCGTATTGCGCGAGTGCGAACCCTTTGGTTCGAGGCGTTGATGAGAAGCCATACCCTGGTAGACTGAGGGCGACGAAATGAAATGCTGGTGCTTCGGATGATGGTGACGGATTGGCCAATTCTTTCCAGATCTTCGATCCTTCATAGAATGAACCCGGCCAGCCGTGGACGTATAGAAGGGGGATTGCATTCGCAACGGGGCTTTTCTGGTGGATGAAATGGATAGTCAGGGGTTGGTCGAATCCAGCGACGGAGATTGGGGTGGTGAACTGGGGCATGAGATTGAGGTTTTTCTCCGCGGCTCGCCAGTTGAATTTGTCTTTCCAGTATGCGGTTAGGCGTTTGACGTCCGCCAGAGGTGCCCCGTAGTCCCATCCTGCTGAGTCGAGTTCGTCGGGGAATCGCGCCAGGGAGAGACGTTGTTGGAGGTCGGAGATGGAGGAGTCGGGGATATTGATGTTGAAGGGGGTTATGTCGGTCATTGTGGTGTTGAGTTCAGTGGTTGTGGATGTTTACTTGGCCGGGTGTCGTGGAGGATGAGAGTAGAGTAGATTTTGTTGTGTAAGTAGTACTTAAGTAGTGTCCAATTGGTAGGTTAAGTGAGTGACTGACTGGGGTGGTTAATCGGATTACTTAGAACTGGTGATTCAACATGACATGACGACGATGATTGATGCTCGACTTCATGTCATGATAGAAAGTAGGTACTACCTATGTACATTTGTTCTTCGGATGAAGTGGAGGTGAGCAAAAGTAATATACAGAGACCAAGGAAGTAGAGCGTATCTAATATCCACCACATTTGTCACATACAGCAACAAACCTCCTCATAAGAGCTATCCTCCCCTCTGCAAGGGCGCATTGATGACAAGGCAATGAGGAGATCTCGGGATTGTGGCCCGGCCTATTCATTTTCGGATATGAACATGATTCGGCAGATGCTCGGGTTTGCGAATGAGCAAAGGCTGTGGGGAGCGGGGAGCAGACGAGGAGCAAGCTTGAGCCTCCCGGAAGCAATCCGTAAATACCTTAAGACAATCATTTTATTCTTGCTGGCTTGAACAAAGTAACTAAATAAATTTGTTTCTGATATTCATTTCATGCTTGAATATGGCCTAAATACCACACCACATATCATCTATACTAATATGAAAGCCCCAAAGGATTGGCTGCTGCAGTGTGATTGATTTTGCCTTGTGGTTTTGCGATTGATGTTTTTGGAACAGACGCAGTGCTGGCTTTGACTGGGGCAGCTTTCCTTGTCGTACCAGCGCCCGGTTTTGTATTCGACTGTCTCATTGCTCCAGGATTGGGTGTGTTGGATTTGGTACCAACAGCAGGCTTCTTGACAGGTGCCTTGGTCTCGGTCTTTTTCACGGTTGTGGGAGCCCCGCGGCTCCCAGTCGCAACCTGTTTCTTCCCCGCAGAAGTTGCTCCTGGCCCTGGGAGAGCCTTCTTGGTTTGTCCCCCTTCGATTTTTTTTTGAGAATTAACAGTTTTGTTAGTCGTCATCAGTGCCTTAGAGGCATTGCTGCTGGGCTGTGATGCACGATAAACTTGAGGGCTTGTCACCATCCTCTTGCCCTGGGTGGTCCCTGAGCTGAGGCCGAGAGGATTACTCGCTGTCTGAGCTCGACTTCCAGTAGCTGATGTCCAGTCCATGACGCCATTCCCATAATCCAAAACTCCATCCCCATATCTCTTTATAGATCTGTTGATTCCTTCACCTATTCCATTGATACTATTTCCCACTGCACTGATGGCGCCTCCAGTGTATGATCCCGCAGTTGCAACACCACTGGACACTGTCGGAGCAAGAGCATCCGAGATCTTGTCCAAAACCCATTGAGTGGCCATGTTTAATTAGATGGTGGTGGCTGACTGGCTGACTTTCGAGGACCAAGCTTGGGTGGCTTTCGTCGAGGTTGTTCACCGGTCTGAGAAGCTGCGTCTGAGGTGTCTGGAGAGACCTGTTGAGGGGCAGAAGCCTGTCTTTTGGGGGCGAGAGATTGACGAGTAGAGGTCAACTTCTGTCTCGGAGGGGGTCTTGGGGTGGTGTTGGCTTCTTGAGGTTTCTCTTTTGGTGGCAACTTTGGTGCGGTACGGACTTTCCACTCGGGTTTGGCCTTGGGAGCAGTCGTCCCTCGAGTGGCAGTGATGTTAATAAAGTCCTTGTCAAAGAAGACGTCAAAGGATACGTTAGGCATTGAGACAACTGACCCAGTCTCTGTAGGACTGAAACGTAGATGGGTTTCGAGTAGAAGTGGTTCGAGGAGCCCGATCTTATGAAAGAAAAGGAAATGTATGTGATGTCAAGTATATCAAGCTAGATTCTTATGGTTCACTGATGGTCATCTAGACGTGGATTGTGGATTGTGGATTGATTCGATGCAAGGGGGATTGAGGGTTGATTGACAGCAGAAGGCGTGGCCCCGATGGAGACCCAACCAGGAAAGAACGTCATCCAGGGTCCTGGCCGCACCGCCACACAGGGTTTCTATCTTGATTTCAGGTTTTGGACACAACTCTACAACTTTCAACGGCTCAAATGCCCCTAGACCCATCCACTGATCCTTGTTAGTGGCACTCATCGACAATTTAGACCAGGATCTGGCCATTTTCCATCCTCCTATGGGGCCTGCGGACCGGTTATCTGACCCATCGACCCAGACGCGGGCACTCTGTTCATTTGTCAATCTACCTGCTACTTGATAGCAGTGTCGTGTGTTGTATGTGCTTACGAGCATGTCCTGGTGAAGATTGAGCCACAGTTTGGGGTATGGGCCTTCATGGGTGTTTCATTTCTCCCATCTACACACCTCCATTGTCTGAGGGTGAGAGCTGTCCATCCATCGATTGGATCCCTGTCTCCCAAGACCCTCTATATACGTCAGAGGTGGCGTCGACCACAATTTGTGAAATTGCTTCATATTATCCTTTGGCTGACTCAATTAATCATGATTTTTGTGTCACCAGGCTCCGTCTAGTCCATGATATCCTGTTACCCTGCATCTTGATGCTCGAGAAAGCATCATGACCGTCAGAGCCACCACGATCCCACCTCCTTGATCATCAAACATGTCTGTCTCTTCCAAAGCCCCAGCGCTGGAACCCGCTGCCGGATTCTCACTCGAATCCCGAGCCTCGCGCCCTGATCGCGTGCCATTGAAAAAAGGAGAATACTCGGTCGCTTCGAGGGCGCTGGCTTTGTCGACCTATTTCCTCTCGGGAGCATTAGCTATCAATCTCTCGCAATTCCTCGGCTCACCATTGTATTTGGTTAACAAGGATTGGTACAACGCATGGATTGCTTTCACCAAGCAGTCCTTTGGGCTGCTGACAATGACCTTGACCCAGACCTTCGCTCCAACCAAAGTTATAGTGTCTGGCGATTCATCGGTTCGAGGTCAACTCCTCAAGTCTGCTGATGGTAACTTGATCCTTGATTTTCCTGAACGCATTGTCCTCGTCGCAAATCATCAGATCTATACTGATTGGCTGTATCTATGGTGGATTGCATATTGTAATGGGATGCATGGTCGCCTGTACATTATCCTTAAAGAATCTCTCAAAAGAATACCGATCCTGGGCTGGGGAATGCAACTTAGTCAATTCATCTTTCTGAAGAGAAATTGGGAGCAAGACAAACCAAATATGGCCAGCGCCCTTCAGCGATTGAATAACCTTACAGACCCTATGTGGCTGCTACTCTTTCCAGAAGGAACTAATCTAGCACCCAGTACTCGAGCGAAAAGCGCCGCCTGGGCAAAGAAAACGGGTGTTCCAGACACAAAGCACGTCTTGTTACCGCGAAGCACTGGCCTTCAGTTCTGCCTCGAGGAACTCAAGGGTTCCGTTGATTATCTGTATGACTGCACGGTTGCTTATGAAGGGGTGCCTCGAGGGCAGTATGCGCAGGATATTTTTACTCTCAAGGCCGGCTACCTCGAGGGCCGTCCACCCAAGAGTGTGAGTATGCATTGGCGTCGTTTTGCAATCAAGGACATTCCTCTTCACAATGACAAAGCTTTTGAGTTGTGGTTGAACGCTCGTTGGCGTGAGAAGGACCTTCTTATGGAACAGTATCTGCAACGGGGCGGCTTTCCGGCTGACATTGGTATGACCAAATACAGATCTGGCAGGGTGCTCCGTGGGTGTGGGCATTTGCAAGTCCCCATTCAAGCTAGCAGATGGTATGAGTTTTTGCAAATCTTCGCGCCAATGGGTATACTTGCCATGGTTCTGTACATCTTTTATGGTGACCTCCCTCAGAAATTCTGGAACAGTATCAACAAACAAGCTCTCAAGTCGAAAACGGAAGACATTAAGAGAGCCAGCACCGAGGCTGGAAAGGAGGCAAAGACCATCTCGTCGTCTCTGTCCGGTCTTACCCTTGATTCCTTCTTTGAGCCATCTCAACAGGAGGAAACCTTCAAAAATGGAGCTGAGGCGGTAACCAAACTCCTGACATCGTCCTCCGCCCAAAACCTATTGAGTCGTGCGGATTTCTTGCAACAGTTTCTTTCTGATCCACAGAAGATGGTCAGCGATAGCATCACCAGTAAGCAACAGTCTTTTATGGAGGATTTGGCACAGGAAGAAGCCAGAAGGCAACAGAGCCGTGGCCCTGGGCCGACTCGCCCGCTGAAGCCAGTGGCCAATTTGGCAGGAAGAGGAAAGGGAACATTGTGGGACGAAATTGAGGCTGAAGAGAGCAGTCGTTATGGATCGGTCGTCGGTGCGCCCTCTCGATCGAGTCAAAGCCACAAAGGCAGGTTTTGGGAGGACTTACAGGCTGCAGAAGCGAAAAGGTCGAATGACACAACGAAAAGTACAGGATCTCGTGGCAATTTCTGGGATGCAATAAAAGCAGAAGAGAACAGTCGTTATGGCACCGTTGTCACTTTGTCAAGTAATGCTTCGACTGCGGTGGCAAGTGAAAGGTCGGGCATGTCCAGAAGATCGATCCCCAAACTGGGACCTCGAAATGCGAGCAACTCTGCCAGCGAGGGAGTCAACAAGGCCAAAGGAGCCCCAATCTCGTCAACAAAGACACAAAAGCCAGCTACTGCAAGCAAAACCTCGGAGATGCCGGGATCAAGGAAGTCTGCATCAATAAAGGCATGGAGTGCGAGAATGCAGGCCACAAAGCAGCCAGCAAAGATCAAGTCCAGCGTGGCCAACCCCACAAAACCGACAAACGCAGCCACCGATCTATTACCACTCCCTCCATCCACTTCAACTCCCACAAACCATCAGAAAATTCCCAAACCCAAGTTTTCTTCCTCTGTTGTCTCTCGAAGACAGCCAGAGAGTTCCAACAATGGGATAAAGCCTAAGCCTCCTAAATTGGCCTCCGGCAACCAGTCTTCGGACAAAACAAAGAGCTCTTCCACTTTGTTGGCCCACAAACCCACAAAGAAGCCAGCAAATACAAATCTCATAGCAAAATCCACCAATCCAAAGGCACCAAACTCAGCCTTGCAGCCGAATTCGACTCCAAAGCCAAAGTCCAAATCAAATCCGGGAAAGCCACCCAAGTTGAATCCAAGCCAAGGCTCTTGAGGGCCAAACAACGAGGAGGCGCGATTCTCTGTTCGATCAAGGATGACTATGGTCGTATAACACATCAATTCCCATCTCGGCTGTGATGAAGAGGAGGAGTAACATAAATCTCTATGGAGGTGACTGGTTGGTTTCTGAGAAACGATTCAGATCCAAGGATGAGTCATCTCTATTGGGTCATGTTTTCTACTGGATTTTACCCGCTGTCGGATCATGTCCTCTCATGGACTATGTACTCTGTTGTCTATCTGAGGACAGAAGGAGAAGATCCTATCCCGGCTAGCCAGACAGTGCATGCAATAGCTCCCGCCACGGCAGTCTGCACGTCAGTCTCACCAGTTGATGCCAACTATTAGCCAGGACAAATCTCAGCCTTCAGCAGAGGTTGCTCCGTCCTATGGAAGCAACGATCTGCTGGGAGTTACATCTAGCACGTCAAGTTGTCATTGTCGATCCATCACGGAAGGGACAAGAGAGCTGCAGCTGTTGAGAGAGAAAGGGCAACCCTGCCTACGCGGCTCCTCCAGTTGAAGGCAGCCAGCCCAACAATGTCTCAACTCGGAATGAGACGTAACGCTCACCCATTCCGAACCAGCGCAGGGACGAGGTCCTGCGTAGACACTTCCCGTTATGGGGGAGTCGGCACAACAGACCAGTGCAAATGTTGTGGTGATGTGAAAGAGAGGGAGAGGGGATGGGGAGAAGGGCGAGGTTTTGGTCCACACGCTGCCGGCAGACCATCGCAGTTGACTGCCGTGTCGACTGGTCTGCAGGAAGCGTATGGGCAAATCCTCGCCCTTCTCTCTCTTTCCCATTCCCCCTCTTTCTTTTACATTACCAGCGCAATAAATGATAGCCTGACTGCCCTCAGGTTTCAAGTTATCTCTGTTGTCTATCCAGTGAGAGAGGAGGAGGAGGAGGAGGAGGAGGAGGAGGAGGAGGAGGATGAGGATGAGGAAAAGAGAGAAACAAGGAGAAGAAGATCCTGTCCTGCTAAGAAGGTAGCCCCTCTCAAGGCA